TTCTTTATTTGCAGTCCAAATTACTATGCTGAGTGTTGTGGGTCCGATCCCCAAATGGGACGACACTTTGTGTGATCTACAAATTGTTGTTCCGAGTCTGGGTGTTCTTTGTGACCGTTTCATGTATGTTTGTAAAGTCCCTCGCGACACAGGATTTATTCCTAGTGCGGGAGTTGTCTTTAAAAAAAAATTGTAAATCTCTGGAGAGTGCCTCCACTAACAATCAGGATGTCCACTTACCGATTCACTTTTAAGCTTTAAATACGCAAACTCCATGGGTACTCCTTCGTTAGTAACGCGTTGTTGTTGTAATATTTTTCATAATAAAATTACTTAGGTTTTAGTCTTATTAGGAGCTTATTAACGACGGGCCTGTTGGTCTAGTGGTTAGTGGACCTGTCTGCTAAGCCGGAGGTCGTGGGTTCGATTCCAACCCAGGACAAAAATTGTGTAATGAGCACGGTCATTTGTTCTGTGTCTGGGTGTAATTTATCTATAATATGTATTTATTTGAAAATCTATGTTTATCAGCAATCTGGTTACGATAGCACAGGCTCTGCCTAGTTTGGGATCAGACGGCCGTGTGTGAGATGTGTGAAGTCATTATTCTTATTATTATTAACTCAGTGGATACTTTCTTTAACAATTATAAAACCCTAGCACATCCCACGAATACCTGTCTGATACTAGACTAGGCACAGCCTTGACTACGGTAACCTTTACCTGACTGCTGCTGAACATACCTATATATTTCTAAATACATGTATATTGTTAATAGTTTTTACTCAGACACAGAACAAATGCCCGTTCTCATCACACAATAATAATTTGTCCTGGATGGAACCCGCGCCTTCTGACTTGGTAAGCAGGATCAAAAATTGGTAAATAATTCCATAGGTAGCTCTGGTTGTAGGATCATTGGTAGTAATTGGTGTTTATGTCAGTGCCTTATATTATTTATTTTTCAAAATACAATTGAAATCTAAAAATAATCTTGTTTCAACTACCATATATTTTTTATATTTTTTAAAAGACAACTCCCGCACTAGTAATAAATAATATATTACGAGGGACTTACAGACATACATGAAACGGACACAAAGAACACCCAGACTCAGAACAACAATTTGTGGATCACACAAAGTGTCGTCCCATGTGAGAACCCACAACACTCAGCGCAGTAGTAAGCGGCGAGGTGACCGCTTAAACCACTACGAAATCCGTGCAGTCTACTTAAATATTTATGGTAACTATATTATATATTATATATTGATTCTGTGATTGAAACCGAGACTTCACAATGATCCTCATCGTAAAACATAAAATAATAATTTACATTTCTATTGTATATTTATACATATTTTAGAATATTCCACACCAACTGACTCGAGGTCTACGACCTCTGTGGGGTAAATAATAAATTACCATTTATCTTCTCCGTTTGACCGACGCTAATGGCGGCCAAACGCAATAAAATCACAGTTTATTGCCAAAACACCATGCAAAATGTACCTTATCAAAACTTTGCTGTTTAATTTACCGTTTTATATAAGTTTTTTTTTTATATTATATCGGATTTAAGACGTAGCTTGCACGGAAACCTTTAAATACATACCAGTCAAGTGCGGGTTGAACTCGAATGGAGAGGGTTCCCCACTATGAATTTATATTTCATCATCATCAACAGCCTCTAACATTCCACTGTTGGACATAAGCCTCTCCTTAGAAAGGAGGTTTTGGCCTACTATACCACGCTGACCAGACAGGTCGGTACAGGGCTAGTTTGCTCCCTTAGTCGGTTCTTACGAGACGCACGGGATGACTAGGGCTGGTAGCACTCCGCATTCTTAATCCACGCGGATCGCCAATTTTTTGTCCCAAGTATTATTCAATGTCCTTAGTACTTATGAAAATGTAAGTTTAAAATAATAAAAATTTCAGACATCTTACCCTCAACGCCATCTATTTCTTACCGTCAACGCCATCTAGTTTCAAACTAAGCAGAGTTTGAACTATCAAGTTTAATTTTATAAGCACACTATTAAGACATTTATCATATTACTATAAACAAAATTTAAATAGGTAGGTATACAATTTTAGGAGATAAGAGAGGTAGTAATAGAAATAATATTCGCTTTAAAACTAAAACTTGAAAAAATAAAAAAGTAAATTATTTACATGATGGATAGAGATATTATTTATTTATTAGATGTGTAGAGATATTTTATATGTTTTTAAATTTGAACTCCAAAAGTGACCGCGATGTCAAATCAATTACCTCACACATCTGTATTTGTGTCAAACCTAATGCTCTAAGTATGTTCTATTTTCAATTGAACCAGTGTGCTAGATTCAAAGCAAATTGGCTATGGTTAAGGGACGGACGGAGGCATAAGGGATCTATTTTTTAATTCGAACGTACGGAACCGTGCAAAGTATGTACATAACCTTACCTCATACTTACTTATGTCAAGCAGTCTTACTTTATCACAAAACCCCGAAATATTTGTAATTTCCAAGAATGAAAGAACAATGGCAGAAACATATTTACCTAAAACTTAAGCGTTTAAAAAATCGAGTCACAGTAAACTTAATCAATTTTTTTTCTATGATTTATCATTACACCACCATGTGTTGTATAAGTCTTATAAAAGATAAGATATTTTTGAAGATTTTATTTGACCTAAGTACGTAATGTCAGATTCGCCATCACGTATAACTGACTAGGGATGCGTGGTGGCAATATTATATTATGGAACAATTTATCGATAATCGATTCTTATAGCTTTGGCTGAAATATTTACCGAAGGTTCACTATTATGATTATGAATTTGCTTCTGCCCACGTCTTCACTCGTACGGTAGAGTGACTAAATCAACATAATTAGAAATGATTTAAAATATTTTTGACTCTCTTTAAACGATTTTAAACACACTAAAGAAATAGAATATAGTTACGTTATTTTCCACTACACAGTGTGATGAGAAAAATACATTGTCATTGATAACGGCACATAGATAGACATACATCGATATTTTCAAAATGTCGATACGTCGTCGTTTAGTACATATCTCTTAATCTGTGGTTTAGATCCTGTCAAGTTCCGGCCTCACCACGTTTGTTATTTTATTTTTGTTTAATTTAATGTTAAACTCGAATAGATGTTATGCTTTTTTTTATTTCATATACTGTAATAATAATGAAAATAATATTTTCGGCTATCTGACACACAACGCCATCTAGTTTCAAACAAAACATTAACAATATGTTAGTACTTAACCTCGAAACATTTAAAATCGAATATCTTTTTTCCTAGACTTCTTTCGCAAGTAATTTTGATATGAGAATGGTCAAGAATAAATTCTCAAGTGTTAAGGATTTTTTGATATTTAAACGCTAACATTTCAGTTCAAATAAAATTATGTATGGGGACCTGCCATTGTCCTTTTGCACACTTAATCAACTTTTTTCAATGAAGTGGTCACACATCTATTAAGTAGGAATATACTTTTATTTAATATCCTTTTGGAGGTTTCTAATTTGTTTGATTGCCTCGGTGGTGCAGTGGTAGTGTATGCGACTGCTGTGCTAAGGTTGCGGGTTCAATTCACGGGTCGGACCAAATGTTTGTATGATCTGCAAACATTTGTATCGGAGTTTGGGTGTTTTCTATGGGTCCGTAGCTGTAGAGGAAACCGGTCTTGACATAGAACCGCTCCATGTCCTTGTCGCCTTTGAGTTTATTCAACATGAGAGTACAATCATGAGTACTAAACGACTTACAGAAAGAAACAATCGAGGCCTATAATATGTATGTATTTACGAAAAAAAAGTACATGAGTATTCTATCAGTCAATCTAGCTTTCATAGTACAAGCTCTGCTTAGTTTGGAACTAGATGGCGTTGTGTGCCTGATGTCTGGAAATATTATTATTATTTATTTAAAGTCTGTTGTCAAAAACATATGCAAAATCATGCTTTATAATACTAAAATAGCTTCAAATAATAAAGAACAAATATAAATCAAACTGATAGGGGGATTATTCAACAATTAAGTTATGCCAATACAAATGACTTCATAAATATTTCAAGTGTTTTGTCGAAGATCTACCACTAGCTATTGTTCTATTAGTATTCCAATAATCTAAACAGGCGTATCTCGCCTGTGTACGCATTATTAGTAAAACGTCATATTTAACATGATGTAAGAAACTTCCTTTTATCTACAAAAGGAGCACCTTTCTTATTTCTGTTAAGTGTTAAAAAATATCTAACTCATGTGCGAAATAAACACAAAATAAAATCTAAATCTGTCATGGCGAATGACAGCATCATGCTGTATGGTTATATCTTTATACTTGAAAACACGTCCGTGTGGTGACGGATTAAGAATACGGAGTGTCAGCACCCTTAATCATCCTGTGTATGTCGTAAGAGCCGACCAAGGGAGCAAACTAAGCAGGACAACAGCACTGAAAAGAGAAGGAAAACTTGAAAGAAACCCTGTACCAACCCGTCTGACCAGCGTGGTAAAGTAGGCCAAAAACCACCTTCCTAAGGATAGGCCTATGCCCATCAGTGGATTACTAAATACTGTTTATGATGAGTCAAAAATAAAACTCAACGTTTACATGTTTGTCCTCTATATGTTCCGAAACAATTGATCAGGTTGTGATGAAACTTTGGTAAGTTGATCTGGGTTGTTCCTAGTTCAAACATCTATATTTAATAGTTACTTTTCGTTTTTAATAAAGTTTACTTATTTTACTTTTTTCTTTGTATTTCACGTAGCATTGCATAGTATGTCGGGTTCAGCTATACATAAATAAAGGAAAATACTATTAACTTAAAATATCACTAAATCTACATTTTATATCAGCCCGTTCCAATATAAAATAACTAGTTACAATGTAAGGTATGAGCGGACATATCTTTTTAAATATCACACTCATAAACTTTTACGATGTTAGTGTTTTAATGATATTTATGTTCTTTTGCAGATGGAGTTACGGAAGCATAGGTCAAGCGGGACGTCTTTCCTCACCTTCTGGATCTTTCTTCTACAGGTGAGCTAGTCTCAACTCCTAAAAATCCAGTACACTACCGACGTGAATCTACTCCTAACACAAGCAATTTAACTTAGCGGGAGGGGTTAACGGGAATACTAGCTTAGCAACCGAAGTAGACGTTTAAAAAAAAGAAAAAAGAAACATAAAAGCTGCTGTTTCTCTTTTGACGATTAGGTTTAACTCGAATAGTTAAAAAGGCTGCGAGATTGTTATACATAATTTGACGTAGTAGCCATAACTATACATTTAAAACACCCTTGACTCAAAATTCTCATCAACGATTAGAAAATAACCTTCTTGAAAAGTACAATTGTCTTCAATTATAGCTAAGAGCACTTTTATTTAAGTCTCACATTTTCTAACGAAAAAACTCAATCAGGACCGATCAATTTGAGAGCTATCGTGTACCAAATAGGATACATATTTCAATACCTACCAATTTCAACTCAATGAGTTGCCTGCGGCATTAAATATAATATAATAATAATATATTCTAATAATATAATAATAATAATATATTCTACCACATACACACAACGCCATCTAGTCCCAAACTAAGCAGAGCTTGTACTATGGGTACTAGACAACTGATATGAATACATATATACTTTTTTTTTGTAAATACATACATATTATGCATAGAAACACCCAGACCAAATCAAACATCAAATGTTCATGCACACAAATGTTTGACTTGAGCGGGAATCGAACCCGCGACCTTTGGAATAGCAGTCCGTTACACAAACCACTACGCCATCCAGTCGTCAATGTTAAACATTTTACAGTCAGTGTCATGGGGAATTTGAAGGTCGACATTGGTTTTTGACCTATTGGAAGAGAATGTACAATGTAAAGATTATGCTAATTATGTGTCTCTAGTAATAAAGACCTTTTATTTTTTGTATAATTATTCTAATAAAATTAAATGAACATAATATATTTTTGTTCAACAAGATATGTTTATAAATATTCATGGCGAGTTTTTATTGCATTGATATAGATTATAATATTTTGTCAGTTCCTTGTGTGATTTGGGTATTACGTAATGTGTGTATGTACCTTTACATTATTACGCTTGTATAAATAACGATTACTTTTTTTTAGCTAATTCTAAAATAATACTCATAACCTCACACACCTCACACACGGCCATCTGATCCCAAACTAGGCAGAGCCTAGACTATGATAACCAGACTGCTGATAAACATACTTATATAATTCTAAATACATATATATTGGAGATAAATTACACCCAGATATAGAACAAATGATCGTGCTTTTCACACAATATTTGTCCTGGGTGGGAATCGATATATAAAACAAATCGTTATATAAAATTAAGAAGTTCAGAAGGCCAATTCTCGCAATAAAATTTCGGTCAAAATTCCGATTCACTCTCGATGTCGCAATTGTCATAAAAGGTAAGGATAGAAGATTACCGATTCAATTTTCTGTTACAGTACGAGATATAATCACATTACAGTCAACGTTAGATGTTTAATACTTTACTACGAAAATAACTTTTTTGACAGTCATGAGATCGACAGTTGATCGGAACTGAATTGTGACCAAACTTTTATTACGAGAATTGGCAATCTGAGGTCACAAACGTTTAGAAGTACAGCCGAGTTGAAAACCTCTTCCTTTTTTGAAGTCGGTTAAAAACCTTCTAATGATACATATTATAAAGCCCTACACAATTTGTATGTGCTTCGATGGAAGTTCCATTCAAAACGAACAATACGTAAGGTAAAAGGAAAACTATCGTCCGGTGATAATTTAAAATGACATTTGGATCATGCATTTCATGAAATCAAAATACGCGACAATCATAAAATGTTTCTTCTACTTTCCAGATGCTAGGCAGCGCTCGTCGAGGCGCTGAAGGCCACGGCAGGTTGATGGATCCGCCAGCTCGCAACTCCATGTGGAGGTTCGGCTTCCCCAACCCAGTCAACTACAATGACAACGAACTGTTCTGTGGAGGGTATGCAGGTACGTTTACTGAGGAATATCAAATAACTACCAACGTGGTATAGTAGGCCAAAGCCACCTTTCTAATGAGAGGCCTAAGTCCAGCAGTGGACTATTAAAGGTTGTTGATGATGATGGTATGGTACTATGTATTTTCTACCAAATCCGTACCTTTGATTTAAGTCGATATGAAACAAGTTTTCAAGTAAAATAACATTCATTGGGTGCAAAATTTTGTTATAAATAGTGATTTTAATGTTCGATATAATATAAATCGAATCGAATATAATATTTATCAGTTTTGAAATTGAAAATACATACGGCAATGAAATTAAATTTACGAATGAGTCGAAATGTATGTCTATAAAATACTACCAATTTAAAGTATTACCTGCTCTTTGGTGGCAAGCAGTGTCAATAGAAACAGACACCGTAAAAATTTCAAGTGTCACCCGTCCCAGAGTACATTGGTGCTAATTCTGTTGTTCAAAAACTCTCTAAACTAAACTAAAAATCACTAAAAATTTGTTTAGTCTTGTTAAAAAACGTTTCGTATTCTGAAAACATAGTAGTTGACTGGACTAAACTAATTTTTAGTGATTTTTAGTATAGTTTAGAGAGTTTTCGAACAACAGAATTGGCACCAGTATCTGTTAGTCTGTTTGACAGATAGATAAATAGACGATGCTTAGTGATAATATTCCGTTGGAACCCCTTGGGTACGGAACCCTACCAACTTGAAAGGCAATTTACAAAGTGTAAAAAAAATCTTTATCATTGTTTTTTTTTATAACTGTAATTAGGCAAACAAAGCACATTCCTGTTCAGCCAAAGCACTATTATGGGCCACGCCGTGTGGGGCATTAACATCAACAATTGTAAACATATTTTTTACTTTTAACCATTGATTCTGCTAATGAATATAAGAGCAATGTACGGTAAATGAGGTTCATCAAACCGTCACTAGTGATCTTCAAGGTCAAGGCGTCTATTTTGTCTCGTATTCAGAAAAAATTTAAACTCTAGTCACGTTTTTCTCGCTCAGATTTGTTACACTTAATTTAAGAGAATCGCAATAACAAAATGCATTAAAATCTTATAACGTAAACTGGAATTCAATTGTAAAGAACCAATATTTAGACTTCATCATACATTTTTTTGCTACAGGCGTCTTATATTAGCGTAGGATTTTAGACTTTCAGGTAGTTGTTGGAGATTCTTAACACTCATAACCTCACCGTTACTGTAGCCAGAACTGGAATTGAGGTCTGGTGTTTTTCTTCGCTATTATTAAACGATTTGATGATGTGTAGTCGTAAAAAACATGTTTTTTGTGCTCTTAAAACGCTGGCTAAACCTTAGAAGTTACATCAAAATAATACATATAATGTATATACTACGGCATTTTACATCTTAAAAAAAAGCCGGTAGGTAGGTACATATTGCAAAAAAAACTAGTTTTTGTTTAGATTAAATATTTTTTTAGGCAAACTTTACACTTTATAGATAAAAAACAAATCCCCTATATAAATTCATTTACTGTAACTAAATTTAAAGGTCAAAACCCCCAGGCGCTCCACTACAACTGAATTAGAAAGAAACTAAGGTTAAAGTTTACCACAGTATTCCCTAGATGGCTCTGTTCGGAAATTTTAACGCACGCTATGGTTTCGTTACCGCAAGGGGTTTATAAGCCACATATTCTCAGATTCCATTGCTCCCTTAGTCGGCCTTACATTAGGCCTAAATCATCATCATCAACATAAAAAAATAATTTTTGAAGGCTACTAACACGTAAGTGTTTAAGTAGCTTTATAAACTGATAATTATTATTATTGGTAGAAATAAGTAAAAATTTCACGCAGTAAAGTCTATGCTTATATACAAAATGAAGTCCCTTTTATAATACTAGTAGTACTTGTACGCATAGATCTTTCGAAATACGCAACGGAATTTAATGGGGTTTTCACCAATAGAGAGTGATTCGAGAGGCGATACATGCATATTGTTGTAGAGGAAATCCGAGATTTTCAAAGATTTCTATTGTAAAGTAAAAAAACGTTTTTGTGCGCTAACGTTGCAAACCTAGGCTAAACCTTACGAGATAGATCAAAATAATGTACAATACCAAAGTATTGTATATCTTAAAAAGATCTACAAAAAAAATATGATGGTATATCTCTATCTCCTAAGTAAATGTGACTGCACGGATGGCGTAGTGGTTTAAGCGGTCGCCACGCCGCTTCCTACTACGCCGAGTGTTGTGGGTTCAAACCCCACATGGGACGACACTTTGTGTGATCCACAAATTGTTGTTCTGAGTCTCGGTGTTCTTTGTGTCCGTTTCATGTATGTTTGTAAAGTTCCTCGCGACACAGGATTTATTCCTAATGCGGGAGTTGTATTAAAAAAAACCCATAGTAAACATTTTTATATTTTACATATTACAAAAAATAACAGATAATTTACGAAGCTATTTTGAACACTACAGTATTATTCTTTATCCAAATAAATGTATTAGATACGTTGTGCATTTAAGGTAGATCAAAATTGCCTTTACAGCGGATCATTAAGGTGAATATTTTAGTAGATATCAGAGGTTTTAAAAGCGGGACCATCCGCTGAGCCGTACGTCCGTGCCGGCTGACAGCGGCCGGCAGGTGCGGAGCGTGCCTATATAATTATGTTGTGTATAAAGATATCCTGTAGTACAGTCTAATCATAATAATTATATAATTAATTACTTCACACTGACACCACATTAGTATCTACATTGCACCCGGGCGGGTCGAAAATTGACGATGAAATGAACTATTTCAGATTTAGAGAAAGCGTTCTCAGACTACATGTATATTTGTTGCGTCAATGTTTGTAAAGCAACTCACAGTTCAGGGATACAATTATGGAACTATCAAAGTCATGAACCTGACGATATTTAATACTAAACTTTAACTTTTGCACATTTGGCAATTGTAGAATAAACTATGTATTTTGTACAAATAAGATTATATTAGCAATGCGACATTAGTCGAAATCAAACATATGGAAGTTACAAGTTATATACGATACCTACTAGCTATTGCCCGCAGCTAATTACCTGTTATTTCGTGTTTTAACTTTGAAAATGACGAACTTCGTACAACCGTTATTCCCTTATTTAAATTATTATATAATTATTTTCCCTAATAGGAGTAGTTTTGTAAAAATAGGTGTCTATAGACAATATAATTATACTGTACGGAACTATGGAGTGTAGAGGCAAGGAGAACTATCTCTTAAGGGGGAAAGTTGAAAAAATGTTTAGCTGTATACTGAAAATAGAGGTCGCTGGCATACGAAAAACTACGATATGAACTTAGCTGTTGTAGATGAATGAATTAATTTTATAATACTTTTGTTGTCTGGAAGTTATTCCATGTTTATTTATTGTCTGTAAAACTCATTGACTACACAATTTAGTACAGTGTCTAATTATTATTTCAACCAATATATTTAACCTAGGCTACCGCAGTGCCACCCCAATTGCACGCGTTTTTACTTAAACTTTCATACACAGAGATGGTTCTCCTTGATTCTACACTCCATATTATACTGAGTTTGGAATCGATAAGTTAAAAATATAATAGTTCCCTATACAAACATACACTCGGTTTTAAAGGTAGTTTTGAAAAATTTGTAACAATGTTTTTTATTACTCCTAATAAAGAGTACATATTTACTGTGCGTTTGAAAACGCTACCAACAAAAATAACGAAGTTTCATATAAATTTCCAAGGGAGGGGGGGAGAGGGCCGATCCCGCTCGAAGGAAGCGACGAAGGGACGCGGCAGAGGTCGTTAGCTTCCCAATCGCCGCCTAAGAGTCGTTGCGGCCACATCTTGAGGCTATGCGGCCGCTGCAAACGACCCGAGACAGATGACACTCCGGTGCGGCCTGGGGGTGTTGTCCGCTGTTGCGCCTCCTACTGTATAGAGCAGTGAAAGGCGCCGCAGCCTCCTGCTCTAGGGTGACTACTGTCACCCTGGGATGTGCCTCAGACATGGGGTACGGTAGGGAGGACTCCAGAAGGTGCCGATGCGTTCCTGGAGCTCCTCCTGACTGCCGAGGTAGGCCGCCGCGGGGTTTAGTGGGTAAACCAGTTCTCCGGGAGTCCCACACACGCCCTGCGTTTCCCCAACGGAGGGTAAGGTGCGAAAAGCATTCCCCGCGTTAAAAAAAAGGGGTCAAATTATATAAAATCTTTTCTCTCTTCTCCCTCTCTCCTCCTTTCAAAATTTTTGCTTCTTCTTCTTCTAGACCCAGCGGTTTCAGCTGTGCGTTGATCGATCAGTCAGTGAATCAGTCTGTCAGCTTCTTCTTTTGATTTAGAAAATATAGATTTTTAAAATACTAACTTCGATATATCAATACAATTCATGTTTAATAGTAATATAAGATGATTATCTTGACATTTATATCGAAACTTTAAAGCGATTACATATTTACATAATCTGCCGATTTATCAAAAAAAAAAATCTTTACAATTCTTTAGTATTCTACGTTAACAAACTAAACGATGGGGCCGAAAGGTTCTGGAATTAAGACCAATGAACGAAAATCTCAGCTCCCTGGAATGATCCAACTGTTAGAACCCAACCAATATTTCTTTACTACGATCTTCTACGGGGTCCATTCGGTAACAAGCTTTGACTATGATATTCAGCGCTTGTTACCGGATTAAGACGGATTCTGATTGGCACAATACTTAATTTGAATATCTTTTCTATATTTATTTATTTACTTATTTATATCTGAACACTCTAACGTTATGCAGAAGTTCGATACTGTACTTTTATCTCGTTTTGTGCTTTACTTTTTAATTCTAACAATGCCAGCTCTACGAGTAGATTAAACTTGTGTAATGGCATTTGAGTGTTTGATTCTACTTTATAAATAAAGACTTAATTGGGTAAAGCCGTATGCCGCTGAACTTCCACTCTGTCCTTGCTATCTTTGTAGACAAGAACACAGGGTAGGATGTCATCGCAGAACGACCTCCGTCCTCCATAAGCGCTAGCCTGGGGGTAACAGGTGAGGCCATCTGTCACCCTAGCAGAAGCAGACGCGTTGTGGAGCGCGCGCGAACTTTCGGGAGCACCAATTGAACATTTTAGGAGTTTTCCGCAGAGAAGGTGTTCATCTACCCGTCCTAGATAGCCCGTGCTTCGGGGTACCAGGGATTTCCTTTCTAGGGTACACGTGGTTCCCCGGCAACTAGTACCCGAGACGGCGTGCGGTTTTTGGTCGGTTCGAGTCCGACATAGCCACCGGTGGGTGGTATCCGAGGAAATTCCGCACAGGAAAGAAAAAAGAGTAGGATGTTATCACTTTTGGTAATCATCGTCACACCGTAATACTTGTGCTTACAGTTCAGTGGGAACAAAACGGTGGGAAGTGCGGCGTGTGCGGTGATGCTCACCATCTATCAAACCCACGGCCTCATGAAGCAGGCGGCATGTACGGTAAAGGTATTGTCACCCGCCATTACAGCGTCGGACAGGTTAGTTCCTAACATATTAAAAAATAAAAATAATCCATTTTCATTTTACTTTTTATTTTTGTATAGATAATCGTACGACTCGGACCCGAGACGACTGTTGTTGTTGTAAAATTCATAACCGCCTGCTATAGATGCCGTCTATTTTTATATTGAAAATAAATTAAACTGAAAAGTGGCAGCTCCGTTTTGTAACAAATAAAATAATTAATACTACAGTTGTCTTTGAGACTATCTGTGAACTGTATTTGATGACTGCCTCGTTCGACTTGATGTCAGAACTACGACCAGACCATGTTTATTTTTTATTTTTTAATGTTGTTATTTGTACCCACAAACCCTCTGAAAAAGTTGAAGGTAGTAAAAGATGAACTTAAAATTTAAAAAAAACCTAACGGTCACGTTTGGTTTTTAAACTTTCATGTTCAGTAATTCTCAATAGCTGCACAAAGCATGTTAACGAGCTCGACACATCGATTGAGGCTTTCAGGCCCTGTAAGTGAAAATAAACGATTATACATCTAAAAAATCCAATGTCACAATACAGGCTGAATTATTAATACATCTATGAAAGTAAACTGTTAACTTTTATATGCATGATATGATACCATGGTCACTTTCCATCAGGTGACCCGTCTGCTCGTCTGCCCCCTCTAACATAAAATAAAAGTACAAATATTTTAACAATTCGAGACATTTTACACGTCATGGTTTTATGATTCTAAAATAGACAGAACGTTTGCTATGGTAACCAGACTGCTGATAAAGGGACTTATACATGTTATACACTTCAGCATCCCACGACCTCTGTTTCAACAGACAGGTGCGGTAAGCACTTGTTAGCCGTCAAATAAATGAATATTATAAGGTACATAATCAATTTGAACAGGAAATTGAAGTGGAAATAGAGCTGACAGCAAATCATCTTGGCACATTTGTGTTAAAGTTGTGCCCGAACAATAATGCTCAGCAAGAAGCCACACAGGAATGCTTTGACAGGTTGGTACAGGAGACTAAGTTATTATTTTTATTTATATATATATGACACACAATACAACCATTTTTACAGGTTTTGTACCTAGTACAATAGTGTAGCCATTTGTTGTAAATAACACTTATTTTATAAACAATTTTAGCAATTCATCACTACAGCCGGACACACAGTCACACTCCCAGACAAACCACTCCCAGACACGGCACATACTATGAATATAATATATATACCTAATATAATAATAAAATAATATATATAAAATATAATATTACTTAATTAAGTTAAAATTAAGTACGTTAACGTTGTTATTAAACAAACATACACGAATACAAAAGATAGTGGTAAAGATAGATATAAAAGCCACATCAGTAATGTACCAGAAATGAGCTGACCTGCTGACAGGTCAGTACTTTCTTATAAACATTTAGAACAGTTGAAATCTTACACGTCCCAGAAAGCAACCATCAGAGTTTATTTTCTCCATAGAGAAGATGATTGCACAGTAACTGAACCCATCGAAATCACACTGTGTTACTTCTCCACGCTCGCGTTTGGAGAAGAGATACTCCTAAAACATACTTAAAAGTAGTTAGGACCGCTTTCAACCTCTCGATAAGCGTTAGCTGTCAATACATTTGATTATTTTATTCCATGACATTTAGAAATTGTATAAATAGCTTTATTATTTTAGAATTTCAAATAAAAAGACAAGAACAATTCAAATAACAAAGTTGTTCCATGTAATATATTTCTTATTAAAGAAATACTGCGCCTAATACTTTAATTACAAAAACTCAATCCATTCATTTTTCCTTTTTTACTACAAATTTTCTTAAAATTACAGATACCCATTATACATTGCCGAGACGCGAGAAGACAGGTTTTTAATTCCCCTGGACACAGCTAAGAAGGAAATCTTCAGGTACAGAGTGCGTTTGCCACCCTACGTTACCTGTACACAATGTGTGCTACAATGGACTTATTATACTGGTAAGACAAGGCTGTTTTAAAATAATTTTTTATCTATGTTTAATTCTCAGACAGGAATGTGAAATTTAAAATGCTTAAAGTTTATATGTAGGAGAAGTGAGAAAATCTACAATTTTAAAAAGTCAGTATTTTGACAGCTCGAATTTATATAAATACTGATTATTAAAATAAATCGCTGAGCTATTGGATCCCTAATATTATTATTTTTTAATAAAAATTCGGAAAACCCATCTGTTTCATATTGATTGAAACAGATGGGTTTTCCGAATTTTTGAACTTTTTAGGCTGTTTCGTGTAAAATGTTTAGAGAGTTTTCTAGAAACTTAAATATTTAAAGTTCAATTTTGGTCAAGTTGGTAATTTTTACAACTACTGTGCCTTGTATTTACAAATAAAAGTGATATTACTCGCTCTTAGACAGTTAGTTATTCCAATAGGTATTCGAATCAGGCCACAGGTCAAGAACCACACTTGAGATTTTTTTCAGGCAATATGTGGGGTATCTGCGAGAACGGAACAGAGGCAGTCGGTTGTGGTCGTTCGGAGACGTTCCGGAACTGTGCCGACGTCAGTGTGGTAACCAACACTGGTGGTCTCCCACCAGCGTTCGCAGGAGATCTTAGAAGGGACTATCCCTTCTTATTGTACTACAGGGATTATAACATGCCCAAGAATATATACCCACTTGTTGTCAGGTAAGAATAATTACGTAAATGTGTTATCTGTGTGTCTACATTGTATTTATGTGTATTTTTGTAACTGTATTTTTGTCTGATGTATTTGTATTATCTATGCAAGTACTATATGTATTTGGCTTAATATTTTCAGAGATGAACTGAAAGATTTTCGAATGGCATCCTACGTGATTAGGTAAAATATAAACATATACAAGAGTCATATACGTATATTTAATGTTTTGTGTTACAACATGCACTATAATTATAACTGATCGTTTTTTTTCAGCAATGATATAGATACAGAATCAGTGGGGGATATTGTTCCACAGATTATTAGGTATAATTTGACATGTCCTTGTACTGATATATGTAAGGTTTGGGCTGTCTCCGTGGTGGTATCTTTGTGTATACATTTTCCACCCCTCCTGATCTGTGTTGATAATATTGATCTTTAGTTTTAAATTTGTAAAAATGTAACTAACAAACTGTTGCTAAATGCTATTAAAGTTACTGACGATGGGTCCTAATCGCATATAATAACTAGGTAGATGAAGTAATGTGTAGGTATATTTTATCTTGAGACTGTTTTCATCAGTCGTGGGCGTGAATGACAGTCAGTTCATCAATACACTGATCATTTTTGTTTTGTGTTACACACGATATTTAAGTATTGAACAAAAAAAAAAACAAAAATCAATGAGTTTTTAACATGTTTTAAAACAATTATGTTCTATTTATTTATGTACAGATACACAAAATAGAAGATTTATATAATGTTTGAGTTACATTTCTGCTTCAACATGACTTAACAAAAATGGTGTAAGTAGATCATTTTACTAAAAAATATCCACAAATACTTCACTATGTTGATAAAATCATCATCATGGGGTGCCATCCTCAAAATGAAGTTTGGAGGTCAGCAGACGGTACACCTCTCGATCATGAGCGGCCTCCTTTAGTTGGCGATATCGCAGTCCGGTCCAGGCCACGATGTCATCTATCCACTTCCTTCGTGGTCGACCTGGTGTCCTCCTGCCTGGTATTTTTCCTTCTAACAGAAGCCTCAGGAATTCATGTTGCGGGCCCCTTTGTATGTGTCCAAAGAAGGCCACCTTCCTTTTCGCTATAACAGCCATCAGTTCTCTCCTGCACTTGGCTCGCTCCAGCACCTCTACGTTGGATGTAAAACTAGTCCACGGGATATTAAACATCCTCCAAAATGCAGCGCCATTAATGACATGATGTTTAATCAATTTGTGTACTCCGTTTCTTACACCATGTTTTCATATATGAACCGTATGTATTTATTTACCCTAAGTTATTGTATGCGATACACATAAATCTGTTGTTTTTAACTTTAATACCTATTGTAATAATTGAAGTGTTAATATGTGCAAGATTCTTGTGTAAAGTATTAGTTGTGACTAACATTTGAACAATAAATTGCAAAGATTCTAGAACTTACTGTTGTAATATATGTTTTTAAGCTTAGTCTTATTACTTGGCCTATCAAGCTAGAATTAGATTTATAACATAACTTTTTATTATTTCGGGATGGATTAAACCTTGTTCTTTCTTAAGGCAATGCGTTGTAATGTTTCGAAGTTAGTTTATTTTTGGCTATTATGCGGAGTCAGTAGAACTTCCTATTGGCCTCTCTAGTCGTAACTTTTTGTACGGAAGTCTAACTTAACATGTATATTAGATTGTTATATTACTGTTTATTATTTAACAATTGTTATTTTTTGTCTGTAGTATGTTTAAATATAAAATAACCACTTAAGAGGTCCCTGTATGTAGAAACCCCACATTTCTCACTGTATATAAATGTCAGAAACAATAAACTTGCCTCTTCCGTGAAGTAGAGCAAAGTGGAAATATTTGGGAGCAAGCTAGGTTGCCCCATCTTGATAACAGAATAAAGAATACCAACAGAGTGTCACCACCCCTATTCACACCTTGGGTGTCATAAGAAACGACTAAGGGAGCAAACAACAACACTGCTAATAGAAGAAAAACTTGAAACAAACCCTGTACCAACCCGTCTGGCCAGCATGGTATAGTAGGCTCAAACCTACTTTCTACGCAGAGGCCTATGTCCAGTGGTGGACTGTTGTTAAATGCTATTCAAACTCAAACTTAAAATATCTTTATTTTATAAAAAAAATTGACACACATTTTACAACAATCTGTTTGGTCAAATATGGAGTAAAAGGAAGTTAATCCATTATATGCCTGTGCCGAGTTCCGATATACAACCATCTGTTTCCAAGGGATTGAACTGTTGATGATGATGAGCAATCACTCTTGGATAGTCTACCTACTTGATAATTGAATTTAAAATTCAAACACAAATTCTTAATTTGGCTATTCTTTTTGTTATCCCAGAACTCAGAATTTATTAACCGATATGGATTTTATTTTAATTGAAAGGATACTTCCTGTTTGGTGTCATTCAAATTTACATTTAAAAAATCCGATTCATCATTATTCGGTGGTACTTTTAAAAAGTTAATTATTACGGTAGTTTTATCTAATCTTGTTGATGCTATAAGACAGATGCTCTTATAAGAAATTATAGATAGTTTAACTCAGTTGTGCGCGCGGCTCTATGTGTGCGTGGGCTTGTAAATATACAACTTTCATTCGTGTGGCAGTGACGCGGCAGTCGGACGACCACTGCCACACGAATGAAAGTTGTATATTTACAAGCCTACGCACACATAGGGCCGCGCCCACAACTGAGTTGAACTATCTATGTAAATATAGCACTAATTCAGCATAAGAATTAGGTCTAATTTTATTTTATAATATGAAGCTGTATATAAAATGATATGTCATCAAATATGAGCGTATTCTGATTATGTTACATGGATTTTTCCAGGGACCAAGTGTGTATGCCCACTAAAAAGTTCCGAGCGATCCCCGGTATGCTGAACTGGTGTCAGACCAATTGTTTGCGGTACCCTCCCAACTGTCCTGAAGATATATGCACTTGCCCGTAAGTATTTGTACCTACTGAATGAATGAATGAAAGAATGTAAAAAAAATGAATTAAACTTTCTTGGTTTGAATTAGATGGATCTGTAATTGTTTTTTTTTATGGTATGAACGCAAACGAGCAGACGGGTCACCTGATGGTAAGCAACTACCGCCGCCCATGGACACCTGCAACTCAAAAGTCACAAGTGCGTTGTTGCCCTTAGAGTCCCTCCCGCTCGAGTCAGCGGGAGGGGGGGGTTTGGCCTCCGGTAACCTCACTCACTCAGTGAAAGGCAATGAAAGAATTGCTTAACACCGGTTTTCTGTGAGGCCGTGGTATCACTCCGACCCATTCCTGCCGAAGCATGGCTCTCCCACGGTAAAAAAAATATTGTAGATGCCAAAAATTTGCCCAGTCGATCAATTTATTCATATTGGAATAACTAAGTATTTTAAGGTCCCCCTATTCTTCCCGTGGCTGACATGCTACACATGACAACAGCACTGCAAAGAGAAGGAAAACTTGACAATACCAACCCGCTGTGCCAGCGTGGTATAGTAGGCCAAAACCTCCTTTCTAAGGAGAGGCCTATATCCAACAGTGGACCACTAAATACTGTTGATGAAGTATTTTAAGTGAAAAAATATTGTTTCCTTACTACTAGTACATAATAGTATTTTGCCCCCATATTATAAAGTAGACTTAACAGTAACTTAAGTAACTTTAGTAGACATTAAAGTAGACTACTTTAAAAATTAGTTCACATCGTGTTCGTATTCATAAAGTTGCGTTGTAAATGTTCTTAATAAAAATAGTCAAAACAATAGTTAAAATAAAAATAGAAATAAAAAAAATAAAAAAACGCGCCAAATCAAAGCAAAGCTTGTCTAGAAAAGTCACTAGCTTTTTTTCCCTTTTTAGGAATACCTGCGAAGCTTTTGGGGAGATTGAAGGTCGTCCAGGAGCCGATGTATACTGCATGGACCAATGCATCGTGTACCCGCCCCACTGTCCTACCAACCGTTGCCAATGTTATTAGAACTACATGCCATTACGAATTACTTTCAGATACTAAAATTTGTCGTGCAAAATCTACATGGAACAAGTAACAAAGTTTTGAATAAAAGTTACTGAATTGTAAAAGTGGATCATTAACCTCATTTAGAGTTTATGGTACGGTTATCTGTGCCTATAAGTATAGCTGGAATTAAAAAAAATGACATTAGACGCCTTTACTCGACTCATTTAAAAAAGGTTAAGAAAGTTTAGAAACAAAAAACTGGAAAAATGTTAAAAGCCAGTGACAATTTATAGAACAAATGTGTTTTTATTAATGAGTAATAACAAATTATATATTAATTTGTTAAGTATTGACCTTTTCACATCAGCGAGCGTAACACTGTTTATATGTAAATGGATTCTATGAAAGTAGTTTGTTATGTTTAAACAATTGTATAATATTAAAGCGATTTTAATAATTAAGATTTTTAAAAGCAAAACATGCTAAGAATCGTTCGTAAAAATCTCTCACTTGTCAGACTAATTTTGACAGCTGAGTGATTAACTACGCCTTCTGCCATAACAGCGTTTCTTTTTGGCTATGGCGGGTAAATTAGTAGATACTTACGTCCATTCTGATGTTGAAAGTCTCTTAACTGAAATATAATCTACTAAGATTATTTTTTTCTATCGCATATTATTTGCTTATGATGCGTAACATTTGACATCTCACCTACCATTTGAGGGTCAGCCTTAGCATCCGCGCGCTCATAGTTCATTTGAAATAGCCTGCGCTTCAGACTTCCGTCCCTTATCACTATGGATGGAATAAAATCACAATCACCTGTGATAAGTCATATAATCACACCTGTGACTAATTTACAAAACCACTAACTGACTTATGATTACGATAGGGCCAGACTCGCGAAAGTTTTAAATTTAAAAAAAAACGTCGTGATCTTTGATAGAAAATAAAATTCAAGCAGTTTTCATTGCATGTATTTTTGTCTATGACCAAATCACAGTTGAAATAGCAGTTACTGAAACCAATCATTTCATCATAAAATTATGATTTAAAACTAGTAATAATCTCCATCACTAGTTATAACACCACGAAGTCACTCACACAGAGTGCAGGCAAGCAAAAAAAAAGACGTTACATATTTAAAATTGAAATCAATGGATGCCTTAAATCATGTGTTTCTCTTTTTAAGTAATACCCAACGTTTTGATATTGTTGTGGGCAACAAATTTCGCCTTGTATATTTTTAAACTTAATATGTATATATTGATCGTAAATAAACAATATTGTACAGTTCGTAGGATATTATTTAAGTGCAATTTTGAATTTCAAAGTAATTTAAAGATCAATGATTCTTGAACTTCGAATAGTAACAAAGTGGGTACATTATCAAAATTGTAATACATTAAGTACTAGAAATAGTTTATATTTAGCTTGATTAAAATATTTCTTTATATGTTTAGCTTTGGAATATTTTTGTAAAATAAAACACTCGTAATTTTAATTATGCCGTTTTATTATCACTAACTTGTAGTTCCTACTTTTTGAATCATTTTTTTTAATTATTAGCTCTTCCTCGCTGAACATGGTGCAAGCGTATTATGTCTGAGGAGAGACCTATAAGGCTTGTCATACGAACGATTAGAACGATTCATATAGAATTCTCGTAAAAATACTGAACGTTCACAAAAATCTACTACAAATTAAGGACTTCTGATCAGACTTATTAGTGGTGCCATCTAAAATATGACATGTAAAAATGGAAGTGTACCAATACATAGCGGCATCTATGTGTTTCTTAATTTTCTAACTTATATTTTATAGTAATCGTTTAGCAACAAACATTTTTATTTACATTTAATGAAGAAATATGGTTTGAATCATGTGTATATTTCGGGAATGACAATAAAACTACCCAATAAAAGGAAAGAACTGTGTGATAGAATGTTTTCACTACAGTTCAAAAACTTAGAAAGTAAGTTTTTAAACTTAGAAGAGATGATTATTCTCGATTTATCCAAACCTGGTTATGGAAATACGTACGTTGGCAATTCAGCCATACGTTTTCTCGACCGACCCATCTTCTCTAATAACGGGCATGGACCAAGAGGTGATTAAGAGGTTGAGTTTAATGTGAAAGATATTAGCCAGTGAACACAAGAAAAATAATATTCATAATATTTCGAACATCGGACACACAACACCATCTAGTTTCAACCTTAACACAGCTTGTTCGACGAAACTAGATTTACTGATATAATGTTAAAAAGTTGACATTTGACAAAACAGAGATTGTTTTTAATGTGTGTGATGATCTATGACTTTAGAGTCTACATGAACTACACAGGAGGGGGCCATCTACACGTGTGGAGTGCCCGAGGTACGTCGGGGTTCCAGGGATTTCCTTTCTAGGGTACACCTGGTTCCCCGGCTACTGGTACCCGAGACGGCGTGCAGTTTTTGGTCGGTTCCGACATATGTTCGAGTCCTACATAATCACCCACCGGGGTGATTATGTCGGACTCGAACTAGGTACAATATGCTCACAACCGTTCATTAAGTTTTGATACACGGTCTTAATATAATTAGTATCAAACAAAGATTTTAGAGGGGAGAAATAAAAAAAAGACGTGTGGCACTCGGGGACTGCCGCGGTAAAGCTATTGCAAAGCATTTTGTATCAACTTATGCAATTATAATTATTTATTTATTTTATTTACGCAGTATTTCTTTTTCTTTGATATTAATTCAAGTTACACTTTTTGAGCGTGGTGACCGATAAAAAAACATTTTTTTTCTTTTATTAAATAAAAATATTGAAGCATATATTACAATTTGTTTTTAAATAAATAAATAAAAAATATTATTATTTAATCAAATTACATATCCATGTAAGATTTTCTGCATTATGTTGACGAAATTTCCTTTGACGTTCAGCATTTGATTTTGGTACTGTTTTTTGTTTTGTTTTTAGCGTGAGGTTTTTTTTCGTTACGGAATTTCTGGATTCGGTCGCCGAGCTCAAGGCCCTCGATAGAAGCTATGCAATACCTTAAAAAAAAAAATAATTAAAAGCCCGCAAAATTTCAGACGTCACACTTATGATATTAGGTATTTTATATAAATAGAATAACTTAAGAATAATCTAGTTTTTTTAGAAAAAAAAAAGAAGATACCTCTATGCATACACAAACATTATCATGTGCGGATGTTAAGTTTTAGTAGTACTTATTAAAGAAATAAAGATGTCTAATCAAAAAATTAAATAAGAATGAGATCTCAATTTTTTGCGGTAGAACTACGCTGTCAAATTTGCATTGTTCTGAATTTTATCTCTTTGTAGGTAGGAATGCAGAATAGCTCTTAAACCTATTCATATTATGTCCTCTTGGACTTTAGTTTTTTTAATGCCCTTCATTTTTTACTCAACTAAGTTAAACGGAGTCAAAAATGTTCTAAATGACTACAGGGAAAGGCTTTTCCTTTTGCTCGACTTTGATGTCCACATTTACGTAGCAAGATGCAAAATTTAAACTTATTAATTATAAAGAAAAAAGTTCAGGGAAGATAGTTTATAGTAGATCTCAATAACGCGGGCGCGTACCTAGTTCATTGAAAGATTTCAAATTTTGACATACTAACCGGCAATCTATGAGGCACACGACACAAAATGTAACGTAAATTGCTTTCCAGAAAAAAGTATAATACCTTTTCTGGAACTGAATAATAAATACTGCTATCCCCATTTTAAATATGAAATAAAATACTTTTTACCGAATAGAAGTAGAAAAGTATAATGAAATGAACTATTGAGGATTAATAAAACTGCCTGTGAAACGAAACGTAGATGACATTGACGTCGCTTATCAGTCGGTCGATTATTTTATTTACGCAGAGCTATTACATTTTTAAATCAAAACAGTATACGGAAAATAGTGAAGTATTAATTATGAGTGATTTATTGGAGGAAGATTTGGAGTTTCGCGGTGGTACCTTGCAGCTTTCGACCGATGCAGTAATGCCGGAGAGTTCGGAAACTAATCGAACCGTTACTGCCGACACTCCAGGTAGAAGGAAAGCTCCGGCTAATGCTAATCCCTCGGTGTTATCTGGTGCTGATTCCTTGACTTCTTCCACCTGTTCCTTTGCCGGTATTATATATTTTTAAATATTGCCATTCCTTTGTAATGATGCACCATCCTTTGTTGCAAATTACTAGAAACCGATTGTTTCTATGTTTATACTTATCAAATGTGCGCTTATAATATCACGATATCAAAATTTGCAAATATTAAATTTGTATTTTTTATATTCATGGTTAAAGTAAATAATATTATCGTAAACAATCTATGAAATAAATATTGGTAACACATAAACAAGACATATCAAGCAGGATCTATTAGTTTACATGTACATGATAATATTTAATGTTAGTGCTGGTAATTTACTTTATGACATGTACATGTAATGTAAACTCAATATTGTATGAGTCATGTCATACAGTAATTCTTTGAAATTGAAAGTCAGTGATGTAAGTTAATTAAAGTAACTACTTGGTGACATTACATCAACACTTCAGTACCTACCAAGTAGTTACTTTTTTGTATCTAGTTTCAATTATTCCAGGTTTTTTTAAATGAATATTTGGCTACTACCAAATGATAGTGAATATCCTCAATCTTTTGAATGCTATTTTATTTAAAACTTTTATTTTAAATATGTCACATATTAAAAAATGTTCTTTAAGAGATTTTTTTTTGCCCTTTAAATACCAGTAGGATGGCTATACCCAAAGGGGTGAAGGAAGGTCCCCTTCACTGGCTTTTATCTGCTTATGTAATACTCACTGTATGAAAGGAATGTATAATACAAATTATTTATTTGAACATGAACATGCTGCCTTATTATAATCATTGAAAAATATCAGATTCATTACTAAGATAAACTAAAATACTATTAAACTTAAATAATTTCTAGATGCAAGAACGGAAGCACCAGCAAATAACACAGAAGCCACTGCAACTGCACCTGCACCTGCACCCACAGAGTACCAAGTGTTCCCGCGATATGATGTCCCATTTAATAAGGAGAATATCAAGGACTTTTTCACTTTCCGTAAGGGAGTGGTTGAGGCTGCTATCCAGGAATGCATCACTGTTCTCCTGTTCCCTGAAGATGGGGAGTATTTGGGCTCTTGGTTGCTTACAGAGTAGGTACATTTCTATGGCCAGAAGTAGGTCTTTTAATAGAGTGTTTAGACTGTCACAGTGGTTAGAATGTCAAACATTATTTCAGTGAATTTTTAGTAGATACATTCAAGTATCTACTAAAAATTCACTAAAATAATGTTTACAAATAAACAGTTAAACTTTTACTAAAACTATTTAAATACAACATCTTTATTTCATAAAATTGGTTACTAATTATTTTAAATGTTGAAATTATTCATGGTCTTTTTGTTTGTTTGTGTGTAAAGGATTAATGTCTCGGTAGGTTTATCATCCCACCTTCTTGTGGTTTTGCTTAGATAAGATATCTGTGAGAAAGTGTATGCAAAATATCATGGTGATAAGATGACAATATAAATTGAAATATAAACTTGCAAATTTTTTATAAGAGATAATGGTAAACCTGTAAAGTCATGTATTTGGGTAAAAATTCTACAATAATTTTGTGTACCCATACCCACCAGATTTCATTAAAAAGAGCTTGCTTAGTCAAATCATGCTCGAACTATTTCTATGCATTCTTAAGTATTTTGTGTAAAATAATAATATTGTACCACATTCATACAACACCCTCTAGTCCTAAACTAAGCAGAACTTGTACTATGGCTACAAGACAACTGATATAAATACACATTATACTTAATTTTTGTAAATAAATAATAATAAAAATAATAACCTCACACATCTCCCAACTAGGCAGAGCCTGTATTATGGTAACCAAAAACATAAACTCTACTTATATATTTCAAAATATATACATCACATCAACACACACACATCAACAGCCTTTAATAGTCCACTGCTGGACATAGGCCTCTCCTTAGAAAGAAGGTTTATATACATATTATAGATAAATTATACCTAGACAAATATTTGAGTGGGATTCGAACCCACAATCTCCTGCTTAGCAGTCAGGGTCACTAACCACTAGACCAACTGGCCAATCATATATTATACATCATCACCCAGACCAAATCAGACATTGTATATATTGTATATATTCTAGGATAACTCTGTGGGACAATGAGAAGGAAAGAATTGTGCTGTTGACTTCTAGGCTAGTGATGACAATAAAGTATGACTTTATTGCTATGAAACAACTTGACTTTAAGAAGACTTACTTAGATGATTTGGATACAATTGTTCTTGGAGAACTGGTATACCCACCATCTTCTTTAGTACCGTGAGTAACTAACATTGTTTAACTACATTCAAATTATTAATTATATTGTGTTTGTGTAAATTCATTGTCGTTGCATATTTGGCAAAATTGTGTTGAAAAAATTTTTTTTATGAAAGTCTGCAATATATGTGTAGTGTAGATAAATGTGAAAGGTTAAGGTTAAATATTTTTTATGTATTTCATTTAACTACACAATAGAATAATAGGAGGATAAATTAATGTCATAACATATTATGCCATTAATTTATCCTCTTAAGATATTTGAGAGATGTGTTGTACACAATTACATGTGTAAATGAGACCAGATATATCCTTTACTTTAAATATATGAATATTTAGCATTATATACATGTATTTAACACACAGAAAGTTTTGGAATAAATATTTTGGGATGTGGCAAAAGATAAAAATTCCTTGGTGTTACGTAGAGATGTAGCTTCGCTCTGCATTCTCTATCGTATATATCATCGAGAGTGCTCCGAGGAATTGTTCGAACTAATACTGGCCGCAACCTTCCGCCATCTTTCCACACGTCAAAATTTCCAAGACACTTTTTACCTCGCACTGCCAACCTGGGGAACAAGTTATCGGCTGCAGTATTTCCGGACCGATACGACCCTCAAACCTTCAAGAAAAAAAGCGTACTCCTTGCATGAGTTGCAGGCGTTCATGGGCGATAGTTGTCGCTTTCCATCAGGTGACCTGTCTGCTCGTTTGCCCCTTATTCCATAAAAAAATAAAACGAAATTTTGGTTCTGAACTATAAAACCGAAAGCGTTTTAGCTCTAGGTGTCAAACATTTAAATTGTTTGATGCACTACAGTGACTAGTAGTACTAGTAAATACAAAAGATTTGACATGAAATTTGATCAGCACAGACTCTTAGGATATACCAATAAACAACAGTTCTAATTGGATTCTGACAGGTAATTCTATTATTTTTTTATAAACAATGAATATTAATTATATTTAACTCTTCTGCCTTTTTTCAAAACTTTCTGAGTGAATCACGCCTTGTTGATCTCACTGAACAAACCAGAATAAAAAAAAAACATTACACACACACTATTATTTTTTTAATAATTCTGGCATTATTAATTTTAATTAAAATTGTGACTGTGATGTTATCGATTTTTTACTTTAGTGGTACATTTCTTATTTTAATAGACTTAACAAGGTTTTAGTCCTATATTTTTAGACAACACTAGTTAAGTAAATCTTAGTGACGTTAGACTAATTTAGACAATTCTGTAACAAGTTAATCGGCACCAGCATCTTACACAATTCGCTTGGTGTACAGTCGTCTGAACGGCATCGCGTCCGGTGTCACCACGGTGGTGAAGGACTGCGTGATAGACCGGCTCTGCCGCCGGCCCTCGCCCGAAGACCATCAGAGCAGTAAACTGTTCGATCCCAAGTATTTTGAACCTAGGTACTTTCAGTTGCTGTAGGATATGCATTGGACATACTCGTGACAGCTTTTTAATATTAATTTCTTGCTTGGAATAACTAACTTTAGGAGTAACACGCTTTAGTAGAATACGCTTTGGTGTAGATTTTGTTAATCAATGCAGGTAGCCCTTAGGAATTGTTCCTCCTTGTATTTATTTCTTGATACTGGATACCTCTCTATATTATTCTTTGGCAACATGCACTCCCAAGTTTTGAAATAATCAGTCAAAAAGCAATCAAACTTTAATTCGATTATATAAATATGTATAGAATTGTTAGTCTTTAAGAGTATTTCTATTTTCGTATAAATAGTAAAAGTTCCACTGCCGCCATACTAATTTTTAAAGAAGTCATTAATTCATAATCTTATTAGACATACGATAACGTAGCTTCATAAAAGGGATTCACCTTGGGCTTTCTATTTTTATGACACAGTTTTAGAATGTTTCATATTTTCTGTAAATTAACTGGTTTCTGTTCAACATTAAATTGATTATTTGGTAAAGTGAGGTATCTTTATGGCCCTTCCCTCAGCTCTCACCAATCTAGGTGATCAAAGCTAAAAAGGTTGTAGATTAAAGTAAAACTTCTTCTTCTTCTTTCTTTGGTGTTTGCGTGTTAAAGTTAATGCATTTCATTATTTATTTTTAACCCTGCTAATGCAATTAAGTTTCTGTTAAATTATAAATCTATTTAGTGAGCATACGCTTATGTGATCCTGGTTTTTTAGTAACAATAACGGAGCTGTACAGCCTATTTAGTATAAATGACTATATCAATCATTACTATGTATATTTAGTGTTATATTGTAATTAGTTAGTGTAAATATAATTATTTTTTACTCTAGCTAGCTACCTATTTAATCTCTTATATCTGTAGTAGAAAAATCCTCTCGTACTAATGAACATAGTCATTATAAAATTAGTGAGAAACTTGGTGATTATGTATAGATATTTGTGGTGCGTGCTCGTGTGGGTGTCTGTGATCGTGCCTGCGAGCGTGTCTGTAAATGTTCGTGTGTGTATCTGTGAGCGTGACTGTGAATGTGTGTGTGAGTGTGTGGGTGTGTGTGGGAGTTCGTTTAGTCGTTATTATTTATCAACAAGTTCGGAATAATACACAGGTGGTAAAAGAAAAGTTAAAATTACATTTCCAATGTAAGCTGTAACAGTAGTTATTTATTTACGTTATTTTCTCCACCCTTTGTTTAGAAGTTCTTTAAGAGACTTCGTCTTAAAATCGTGACCGATCGTGATTTAAGCCTATAAATCGATGAAGTAGATAGAAGGTACCGTTATACTCCTATTAGGCTATTTCATCACATCACATAAACAGCCTTTAATAGTCCACTGCTGAACACAGGCCTCTCCTTAGAAAGGAGGTTTTGGCCTACTACACCACGCTGGCCAAACGGGTTGGTATAGGGTTTGTGTCAAGTTTTCCTTCTCAGTTCTTTTGTAGTGCTGTTGTCCTGCGTGGTTTGCTCCCTTAGTCGCCTTTTACGACACTCACGGGATGAATAGGGGTGGTGACACTCTGTATTCCTAATCCGTCACCACACGGAGTTAGGCTATTTAAACCTTGATATATGTTTATAAACGGCCCAATTTATCAAATAACTCACTTTCTCGGCATCCTGTTATGTATTTCCGTTTCTTTTTCTATATAACACTTGTTACTTTGAGGTCCGTGTGGTAACGGATTAAGAATAACGGAGTGTCACCATCCCTATTCATCCCGTGGGTGTCGTAAGAGCCAAATCAGGGAGCGAAATACGCAGGACAACAGCACTGCAAAGAGCAGGAAAACTTGAAACAAACCCTAAACCAACCCGTCTGGCCAGCGTGGTATCGTAGGCTAAAACCTCCTTTCTAAGGAGAGGCCTATGTCCAGCAGTGGACTATTATTGACTGTTGATGATGACTTTAATAAAAGCACGGGCGCTCATATCTTGACGTTCCTCGGCCCAAAGTTCTTATTATTTTCTGAATGTGACGTGTAACGTAGGTACTAAATTCATTTCGTGTGATATAATTTATTAGGCATAAGACACGAGTGACATTTCTGAGATAAAAGCGGTACGAAAACAGATTAAGATTATGTATTGAAAGGTATAAACTACATGCTTCATGTTACAATGCACTGTGTTAAGCCGCGAACAGGCATGCGAGGCTCGCCGGCTGTCGTTGAGCCGATTATTCGCCGAATGTAGTAAGTATGGTTGCTTGTTATTCGCCAAGCAACGATTGTTAGTGCTCGCCTCAGCTTATTGTCGGTGAGCTTGTCCACTTCAACGAAAAAGAACACGAATGTTCTCGAAAACAACGAGGTATTCGGACAGAACCTACATGTGTATATGCTCACTACTTGGCGAATACGAGGCCGAGTACTCGTTACGCGGTGATAAATCGGCATTCGGTGAATCCCCGCATTTGCTCGCGGCTTAATAGATATATGAACCTGTATTGCATGTTATCAGTGATAGCATCGTTCAATAACACTAAAATTCATACCTTTATCATATCATAAGTCATTACCCCGGCTTAAGTTTTTATAATAAAATTTGTTTTTAAATTACTATAATTTATTGGGTGCTAAAAATTGCATTTACTTATTACTAGACTAGTGTTACTAAAGCTATATTCCACATTATCACCCAGCTAAAAACACTACACATTTGTATGAACCGAATTGTTTGAGAGACTGGAAGTAGTCAAAACTGCTTTTTAGAGTTAAGAAGATATTTCGAAAATCACCTTTTAAACAAGAAAGCCTTATGTACTATATACTTATACTTTCTTCTTGTTTCTTCTTATTCTTGCTTTTTCTTCTAAAAGCTTATGACTCTAATTTTTTTAACAATTCGAAAAACTTTTTACTTTTGTAAACTCCTGGATGCTTGTTACATCTAAAGTCATGAATCTCGTAGTAATCTCGTAGTAATTTTACAACGTGACTCTAATAATAGAGTATATTTAAATATAATACGTTTGCACTTTAGTAAATATTCTGACGATAAATTGTTTTCAGAGAAAGACATCTTCGTGGCGTGCGCTTAATGTGGAACAAAGGGGAGCCGTTGCCACTCAAGACTGTTTGGAACCCGTTCAGCCAGGACGTGCCTTTCCTCACGTTCGCTTCCCATCCTATATTTTGGCATAAAGGTAAGAGTCTAAACACCGTTAGGAACATTTCAATTTTTACTCTAGTGAAGGAACTGTCTATGAATGCTTGAAACATGGTGTTCAAAATTATCCTGCAGTTGGTCTCTTAGGTAACTGGCTGCTTGCCGACACTACTTGGAAATATTATCGTTTTAAGATGGGACGTTTATTGTAGTAATGAAAAGAGAGAGGGTGAATAAGCAAGCTATATACACTGCAAGTCTCGGATGGAAAACAAAACTGAGAATGGACGAGGCCTGGGTCGCGTGTCCAAATGATGCTCCGCCCCTGCCTAATAAGGTTCTAAAAAAATATCGTTTCGTTGGAAAGCTTGGAACCTGATTGATCAGGGTGCACTCGGGTGCAGGGCTTGATGGATTTGCTCTGTTTTCTTAACGCGAATGGAGCATGATAATGATTTAGCTTAGTAAAAAATAAAAAATAAAAAAATAAAAAAATAAAAAAAAATAAATAAAATTGTCCTGTCAAATATTACGTTTTCAGAATGGGAAACGTTGTTTGCCAGGACTAAACAATTTTTTAGCGATTTTTAGTTTAGTTTAGAGAGTTTTCGAACTACAGAATTAGCACCATTATTTCGTATTTTATTTTATGCGTTATATGTCCCTAAACTTATAATAAACATTCCAACTCTCAGTTTCAGATGGAACACCAGTAGAAGAGAAATCCACGTACGACATGGAGACGTTTGCCGAAAAACTTCAACGTGCTATAGAAGCCATGTCGTCATCAGCCTGCTGCATACATCATGCTCCCATCGTCATACAAAGCTATGTAGGTGTGACATCACTACTCCACAACAAAACCAGCATGGGATTCTTCAAGGTCAGAGGAAAGTTCAGCTTCTAATTGTAGGAAGTATGACAGAGGTTTAAATCTAATACATTGTTGGTTATGTAACGAGCCAATGGTGCCAATGTTGACCACTGGAAGTAACCTAATTACGTAATCGCTGCATCTCTTTCTAGTAACAAGAGTTTACATAGTGTCAAAGTGATCGAAGAACTATTTGATGGCCGTCTTCTCTTGGATTTGACACTGTATGACTGTCTAAAGTTCTTTACAGTCTATAAACTCAGTTGAAATTACATGGCTACTACTAGACGTCATTTGTATGAAGTTCTAGTCACGTCAGTTCCTAATCTGTGTCAGTTTTCTCGAAAAAATGTAGCTTAAAATTTGTCTAAGCAATATTTGATTAAAGGTTAAGGATTTTATAATACTAATGCGTTTATATGTACACGCGAAGTTGATTAATATTGATAAGGCAGGGAAAAAGATAAGGTATTGGTGTGAAAGGCCAGGAAATTCCAAATTGTTATGAATTGTTATGAAATTATTGAAAAATATGCAAATATCCGTTGACATAAATTATACAATAAATTTCAATTGAATTATTTTTTAATATCAACATATCTTTCAATGATAAGATCGACAATGCGTTAAAAATATATACATATTTTATGTTGTATTATATATGTTTTTGTAATGGTCGATGGGAGTGGAGAACAAAAGATAAAAAAAGAATCTAACGATTACATTTATCAATATTTTTTAACCCGTTTATGTGTTACGAGCAAAACATAGAGGCTGACATACATACATGTCAAATATATAAATAATGTCTCGAGCGCAGGATGCGAACAGAATCACTGCCGTATGCCTCTCGGCGCAGTGCCATACCGTTATTTATAAAAACTCGAGTAAGGTAACTTGGTGTTAATATATAGTTAAATGGATAATTCAAATAATTGCCTTGAATATAGGAATATATTTTGTTTTTTTTAGAAAACGCTATAGCAATATTCCCTTATACAACCTTGAAAGGCGTTTCATTTTTTTTTTTTTTTAAGTTTTGTGGAAAAGAGATGCAGTTGGTGTACAATTAGTTCAGTTTATTTCAACCATTGGCACAAATGTACCTAAAGTGACCATGGCGATAGATAGATAAATGGATAGGAACTATTTTATGCTTATAAGATATTTTTGAGAGATATGTGATATAAAATTATTAATAAAACATCTAGTCGAATTAATGAATTAATGCTTTGGGCAGACGAGAAATGGCGCTATGATGATAGCTACATTACCAGCTCTGGCTTTTCGTAATGTAGCTTCTAAACTGTGACGTCTAAACGAATATAATATTATTTGTAGACAAAAGTGATACAATATATTGTAGTACACAAATAATATAAAAGTAAATATATATTTACTAGATATACATATACTGTATATATACATACACCCATTGTTTTTTTTATAATAGTGATAGTGATTTTTGTCGCAAATGGCTCGATACCTTATGAGCAAAATAGTTCCAGTTATTAATAATTAAAGATAATTATTGCGCTAAGCCTTATTATAATATAATAATTAAAACAATGTTTGAAAAACTAATAGTTAGCTTTCTAATAGAGTGGCATACTCTTAATAAAATTGGGCTGTGTCTTCGTGTTATTTGTGATTGTGTACCTTAACCGAGTGTTTATAGAGTTGATTTGATTTTATAAATTAATTGTGATAATTTATTGTAAGTATAAATTTAAATATAATAGTTACTCATGACACCTGCTTGAACTTGCAAAGTTTATAATTTGCTGTGGTTTTATTGTGTACTCTACTACTTTATTTTAAGTATATAATTGTAATTGGATAGTTTTAAAGGCAAAAACTATAGACGTTGTTGTTTTCTAGTTTTTTTAAATCACTTGTTAAAGTCAATAATTTGGCAATAGTTATGACGTCATCGTCAAACTTTTTATATTATGTTTTCTACAGGACGTACGATTTTGTCTTTTAAATTAAAAGAAAGTGGTTTGATTTAGCAATGAAATACAGTATTACAAGTATATATACATAAGTATGGTGATTTGAAATACTTAATTTGACATTATATTAATATCTAAACATGCTTCGAAAGTCTGAGCGGGTGTTGTGAGGTGATTCAATATAACATTGGTATATGAATCTGTGCCAGTTTGGATCGCATCAAACTTTTGCTATACATGATATATAATTATTAGTTTTGTTATTAACACGTTCACTGGCCGTGGTGACAGGTGGAATGCAAAAAGGTCGAAAGGTCAGGTAATTCAAAGGAATGTTAAACTTGTTTATCGCATTAGTTCCTCAACTAATAACAATATACTGGTTATATTAAATAACTTTGTCACTAAGATTTATGGTCTAATGAAACAACCATCACACGAAGAACTGTCCTTCGGGTATCGAACCGGCAACATTTAAAACACTTACCAGCGATCCAAACTCTTGATTCTAGTATGGAAGTAGCTATTACTAACAGTTATGACATGTTATACTTGAGTTGGTTGTAGATTTATTCCTCAGATTTGTTGCTATGTACTTATTGTGATTCTAAATTATTATAGAGGAAGTCTTTTTATTTTAAGTTTTTTTTAAGTTAGCAGTTTTTATGCTATATAATATACCATTAAGCTGTTAAAAGTGTAGTGAATTCAAACGATTGACGGTTTATTAGTTCAAGTAAATGTATGTAGCTTTTGCATAAATCAATTATGTCTAGACATTAATAAATACTCGAACGTAAGAAATTAAAATATTAAAACGTTTTTTTTTTTAATTAGAAGGAGTTAGTAAATGATAGTTTTAGACTTACATATTATGTCTAATAATATATTATAAATGCAGTTATCTCAGCGCTTTTGTCTCCTAACATCGCATTTTTTAACGCACTACGCGTTTTCCATTTACTATTTATTTAATGAATATTGCCTTTTAAAAATGTAGGTGATTTTATAAAAAATCAAATGTTATTTGTTATGTATGAAATTTTGTATACAGTAACCATTGACTTTGATAGCACACCTAACTTCAGGTCATTATAACAATGCGTGCTACATAATTAATTCATTTAAAATATTTACAATTACACCTTTTTATTCTAATTCTGGCCAACTAGGATTTCTTCTTTCTTTTCTAAATACCAGAACAACATATTGCAACGAAACATTATTTTTTTCAATACATCGTCAAAAGTATCGATATTAAATTGATCATAAAATCCTACAATTGTTTAACACCCCTGTGTTGAAACCCGTTTCTTACGTCTAAGGCGAACAGTACAAGCGTACATACACCTGCAGTAGATACCTACAAGATGTCCACTGTCCGTGGACTAGATATCTAATGTGTACTCACATTAAGAATAAATAATTTTACCATAAAACTGTATTGTGATTATAGTATAATAATGTTAATGGGACATTTATAGTGTTGATTGTGTTTATGTAGTATGTATATTTTATTAATCATGTTATAATAATAATCTTATTTAATATACGGGAGAGTAACCAATGTTGAACCGGCGCCTAAATTGAACCACTTCTGTATTTCTACCAAAATGGCACTATTTTTTTATACTAGCAACACAAACAGGAGCGCTAGCAGCGCCACTAATACTCCGCCATTTTGTAGCGCTCCTTTTTGTGCCAATATACCATACTAAATAGTGCCGTTTTGGTAGAAATACAGAAGTGGTCCAATTTAAACGCCGGTTCAATATTGGTTACTCTCCTATATATTGCTAAAATGGTATGACCTATTTATATTGGTTGTAAGTCTTCATTTATTTTGTTATTGAAAGGACTGTTGAATGTCACAAAAATAAAGATGTTAATTTTATTTTTTCTTATGAAATGAAAATATTTAGAAGGTTTTCATATCATTAAAGATCAGAAAAGTATACTAATATAAATTAGTCAGCAAATGGCCTAGTAATGGTTATAAGTATAATAAATTACTACATTGGTGCAGCAGTATAATACTTAAAAGTTAGAAATTAATAATAAAACAATTGTACCTTAAATTATATTATTTAAATTTTAGAGTGTGTAAGCATTATGTTATTTTTATGTAACAACTCTATATTTTTCACTCTTTCATCAACAAAGTTATCTTAATGTCTTTAACTATTAAATAATATTTCAATCGGATTGTCGTTTCATTCTGTATATTATGGCTGGATCTTATAATTGGTCACTTCATATGGTCGATCATTTCATGAAATGGTCATATTTTATAATGTGGCCGACTATGCCTGGCCATATTGTATAACGTCAACTGAAGATGATAAGGCTAAACGTTGATGTAGTTAATCCACGATATAAAAACTAATAAAAAAAATCTAAGCAAAAAGGGAACCAATATTTGACCTTAATAAGTACAAATAATTGTATTATATCGTCTATTTCAAGATGATAAGCTTTCAAAACAAAATAATTGTCCCTCGCCACGATGCGTCACAAAAATAAACCGATTACAGCGCCTCCGTGGGTAACGTAACTATTTTATGAACTATTAAATACAACCGTTTCATGAAATAAAATACTATATTATAATAGGGTGATCACACACTGTCTCATTAATGACATGTTTTTTGTTATTTAACCATTAATATAAGTATCAACAACAATCTAAAGAAAGTCCAAATCGTCAAAATTGGGTGGCAAATAATAATTATCCCAAAAGTCTTCATTTAAATTTGTTAATTTACTGTCGTATTCATCTTCTCCGACCTCTCTAACAAATCTAATACCCTCTAACCAAGACAGATCATTTTCTACATTCTTGTTGTATATTGCAAGAGAAGAATCTTTTTCTTCAGTTTGATTGTTCTTTCTTGAATTTGTTCGTCTCTTTGTCGGTTTTATTATTTTCTTTTTCTCAGTGTCGTTACTCTTAGTAACTAAAGTTTTGGATATTATATTATCTTTTTCTTCTTTGTTTCCTGTTACTTTCTTTTTGCGAGGATTTCTCTTCTTTTTTAAAGTAATAACAGGATTCGTATTTGTAATATTTTCTTGGAGTTTTGTCTTCAGATTCGAGCCTAAGTTTGTAATATCGTGATTTCCTTCAAATGGATGAGCCTCTGTAACATTTATGTTTTTGCTTTCTATTTTTTTATTAAATATCACTGGGATACTTTTAAAGGCACCGTCTTTCAATTTTTTTGTTGAAATTTTGGCACTTAAGCCATTATGAGCAAAGTTTTGAACAGATATAACATTAAAGTCGTCACCCGGTCTAACATAATTAAAAGAGTTGTTCACATTGGAGTTGGTACGCATCGGCTGTTTAGCTATATTCAAGTTTTTATTAACTTCTTCTGCCGCCTTTGTTCTGTCTTCGATAATTCCAGATTTTATTATTGGACTTGGCGGGTGGACAGTCACAAGACTAGGAGGTAATTCAGTTACTAGATCTTGTGATTCTGTTTGTTGATCTCTAGTTTCAATAATTTTTAAATCATCACAAATATTTTTTCCGTTCCTAGATTCTAAATTTAAAGTACAGTTAGGATCCAGGTTATCTAGTTCATGAAAGCCTTTTAATATGCTTTGCGAACTTTCGATGTAAGGAGACATGCTTTTGTCTTGATCTACATCCTTTAAAGATAAATTTGAAAGAGCTTTGTGTATTTCCACATTGATAGTTCTCATATTTTTAGTACTGGCGCTTGGAACTGTAAAACTAATTTTGTCTATTTCATTGTCACTGCTAACAAGATCATAAATTTGTGTATCTTGGTCGAATTCAGTTTCATTTAAATGGTTGTTACAACAATCTTCCATTTTTGTTACGTCTTCTTCTCTGACAAAATTTACAGAGGCTTGTACTTGTAATTGTTGTGACATTTGAGTTCTGTCTGCATCAGGTAATGAATAGACCGGAGATGCAGAGCCATTACATAAGTGATAACCTTCGCATTCAGTGTTATCATCATCAAGTCTTCCTTCTTGACGTTCAGCGATTATTGCTTTCATGCATCTCATTAGTTTTTCAATGACCTAAATAACAAAATAAAATTTTATTGCTAATATGTTACAACCAGACGTAGTAGGTATTGTTTTAGGATCTGAAAATCATTATCAGTCATTAGCCATAGTGGGTGTTGGTTTTGAGATAAATACTAAATCAAATGAATATCCATTGCAGCGTTTAAAACAAAGGCTGAATAAATGATTTTGTACTAAAACTATACGTGAATGTTTCCAAGGAAGCTGCTATACCTATCTATCCGTGGTGGCCTGGCTTGACTTATATTTAACTAAATTATCCCTCAAAATTTTCTTATTCTAGGAAAGAAATTGCAAATATGCTTATCTACCATGACTTGCTAATGACTTTATTAATAGATACATTACATTTTCAACGGCGACATCCACTCGGACCCAATCCGCCGCAGGCAAACCGGGCGGCGGAGGCGCGCTCACCTGCGCCTCATGCCGCCCTGAGTGTGGCCGCGGGTGGACGGGATGGGTTTTCCCCTCCACCCGCATTAGTTTGGCCAGCCGCGAGGGGGCGGCGTCCGCGTGTGCCGGACGTCGCCTAAAGAGAGGATAATTGGAGACGGAGCCCGCATCAGGAGCGGGCCGGCGCTGGGAGGGGTCCAGAAGGCGATAACTACCTGGACCCCCCTAAACTGGAAGCGCAAAGAGGGCACACCGTGTTGTTTTAGTCGGTTCGAGTCCGGCACCCCGCGCCGCCGAACAGAGAACCCCGGCGGGGTGACGGTCCGAGGGGATTTCCACACGTTAAAAAAAAAACATGATACGATCATGTTATATAAGTATAAGAGGAACGCACGATTAAGTGGTTAAAAAGTGTCTTTCTATCGCTACAAAAAAAGAGGAAAAGAGGAAGGCCTCAAACAACTTGGATGACAAATGGCCATGGGAAATGAAGGTGTTTTTTACTCCATGAACAAGACGTTCGAGATAGCCGAGCCCGCATAATTGGAGAAGGCGTGGCAGAAAAAGAAGACATAAACACATGGATATTTGTGATAAGATTACTCGTTTATCTTAAATTATTCTATGGTTACTTGTAGACCGTGAAAGTCAATTTTGGCCTTAGCTATGTTAATCAAAATCAAACTAAAAGTTTTTAACGGTTTTTAAAGGGTTTAACGGTCTAACAACTTTCCGTATTTTTTTCCGTTTAGGTATGGCCTGTCTGATTGATGGAGCACTGTTCAAAGCAGTTTTTTCCCTTTTGTTATCATTACCAAGAATCCAATCCATAAATACTAAATAATTAACTATAAATTATGGAGGAAAATAAATCATATTATTAAATTCTATGCAGATATCTCCGCCGCTGTATGTCCGTTCGGAAACACCGTTGACGCTCGTAGTGCAGGACATCCTATGTCCTATGTTGACAGGGTTATTCAGATGCATTTCGTGTTTTTCACAATTTAACGGCAAGTATATATCTTTTTGCGTAAGTACATGACTAAACGATATCTTCAACTTTAATCATTATTTTTTAATTAAATTGGCTATACCTACATCCGCAAGATCATTTAAACCCTTAAATTTGACTTACCTTGTCCAATTTAAGAATTTGTAATCCTTAAATGACAAAACCGGTAAGGTACGAGTCGAACTCGTACGCCAAGGGTGCCGTACCTACCCAGATCATACGTAGATTTTCGCGTATCAAAATTTATCTTAATTTTCAATTTTTTTTATTTTTTGGAAGTATTCCTTTATTTGTGCTGTAAGACGTTTCTTTCTGCCAAATTTCGTGATTCATGGTCAACGGGAACTACCATATAGGTTTTCGACCGAAAACCTATAGGGTACTTCCGGTTTACCTAGAATTGTCAATTTTGGTTAAAAGCAAGGTCTTATAGCACAAGTAAAGAGAAAATTCTGAAAAATAAAAAAGTTGAAATGAAGGTAAATTTTGGTACTTACAAGTTTTCGCGAAAATCGAAACTTGCCCATATCTTTTATCGTGTTGATTTTTATACACCTAATCATCATAGACCATAGACCTCATTTTCTGGTAAAATCGGTGGTGACACACCTGCTCCAGGTACATGTATGATTACCGAACGCCTTTTGGATGTATTTAAAAAAAAATAAGATTATTAGGGAACATCGGCATATAACAAGTATTTATTTCTTGAGTGGAATTAGATTTTTCAAATGTTGCTTTACTTCATCTGTCACCCTAGCAGAAGCAGGCCGGGGTGGCGGCGAGACGCGCGTCCTTTCGGGAGCACAAAGGGAACATGGAGGTTTCCACAAAGGAGGGGGTTATCTACCCACTGTAGCTAGCCCGAGGTATGTCGGAGTACCAGGGATTTCCTTTCTAGGGTACAGTAGGTTCCCCGGCTACTGGTACCAGACGGGGTGCGGTTTTTGGCCGGTTCTAGTCAGACATAACCACCGGTGGGTGGTATCGCAGGGGATTTCCGCACAGAAAAAAAAGACAAAAGTGTTGCTTTACTGTTTTTTTCTGTTTGTTTATTTATTTATTTTTGGTAAATACAGGGACTAAGTATGTATTTAAGCTCAGTATTTCAAAACTAACACTAGATTGTCATAATATAATTTCATTTCATAGTAAGTAAAAGCTCGTTACAGCTTATCCTATGTGTGCATGAGCGGATCAAGCCTTTGACTCGGAGGAAGAGGAGTGGGGTGAGTCAATTTAGTATTCTACTGGCGATGACTGAAAACCAACTCATGGTCATTGTTTCAGGTCCCTTGGGCCCCATCGACCATCCATTTCATTTCTGTCACAAGAAGACTATTCGTTGTAATTATTTTGTTTGTCATTAAATAGGAAAATTATTCTGTAAAATAAAGAATGGACACTAACTTGTAATCCGTAAGCCACAGTGTATTAACATTACTTACTATGTACATACACACTACACCTACAACATTTTTTTTTTGTAAAAGACAATAAAAGACATTAGGAATATATCAGATAACACCCAGACTAAAACAACAATTTATGGATCACACAGAGCGTCGTCCCATGTGGGGATCGGCCCCACAAAACTCGCGTAGAGTGGCGTGGCGACCGCTTAAACCACTACGCCATCCAATACGCATAATTAAATAAAACGCATATAAAAGACTAAACAACAAATGAATCGGAATAAAACGTCTGTCAAGGCCGTGTTACAAATACCAGTTAAGTACAAAACATGTGATTGAAATCCTATTAGCAGAAAATTTATACACAGCTGTCTCAAGAGTAGTTGAAATAGAAAGATTCTTAAGGTGTTGGATAATCCATTTATTAAGTATGACTATAAGCTATAGGTATACATTACACTACCACCAATGGGAGTCGAACATCAATGACAAATATTACAAAAACGGGGAACAATTCCTTTTTAGGGACGCAGACGAGTCACAGGTCAGGTAGTGAGTTTTAAAGCTATATAGTTAAATAGTTTATTCCTTGTAATTGGGTCTTAGATTCATTAGCCTAATTTGTAAAATGGCTTTTTAGATTACCTACCTAAATGGCTTTTTAGATTGCCTACCTATTAATAAAAGTAAAAAACTCCTAGTTATAGGTGGTGGCGTCATATATTTTGCAATTTATTCTTACAAGTAAGTAAATGGAAACGTCAGCTCGATTATTATTTTATTTAAAAAAAAACATGTTTTGTTTAAATGAGTCTCACTCTTTTATATTTTTTAAAACTGGCACGTCATTTTTATTTAACTAAAATATAGCCGAAATATTTTTTTTAGTTATTTGTTTACAGGTAATATGCTGAGAAGGGTAGGTTTTATATCATATCATGCCAAGGGAGCGAAGAAGTACAGCAGCAGTATATCAAGCTAAAAAGCATGTTTGTTTGCTTGAACTTCGCTTAACTCAGGATCTACTAGTTCGAATTGAACAATTCTATAGTGTTGGTTAGCCCATTTATCGAGGAAGGCTACAAGCTATATAACATCACTCTACAACCAATAGAAGACCAGCATCAATGACAAATGTGTCAAAAACGGGGGTAATTTGTTCCTTTTGAGACTCAGATGAAGTTGCGCGGGTTAGCTATTAGGAATATAAAATGAAGTAAATACCTGCAATGATCTTTCATCCTGAGAACATTCTATTTGATACGAAGTCACTTCATTGATGAACATTTCTGCTTCAGCCTCTGATATAGGCTTCTTATGGTAAATTAGGTCTTCCACTTTAAGACTTATTTCGATCAAGCGCGTTCTTATTATTTGAACCTGAAAGTTTATTCACTATTGCAATGACATTGTGTTAAGACTACAATTATTTAATTAAATAAACCATTCAGCTCAATCTTCTAGTAAGAATTACCTTTTTCTTCTTTATAGATGGTCTGTTTCTTTTTTTAGGAGGCATTTCTAATTTTTGATGACTTACTTTGCCGCCTTTTATTTATTTTAAACAAAAGAATTCAATTCAAATTACAATTTTTAAATTTCGAATACATGCTAAGAATAAAAAAGTCTTAATATGCATATTTTTGCAGCATAAAGCTGGCTTTCCTTTTATAAATTTTATTTAGAATTTAGGTACTATTAGGCAAATCCTGCATCCACCGATAACTTTTAGTTATCAAGAGGATGATTTCCGAGAATTTAGAGTATATAAACTGAAGTTATCGTAATACGACACAAGCATTCGGGATTCAGATTGCTCGTGTGGTTCGTGTCAACGCATACGACACGATCTGGAATATAAAAATAATAAATGGAAAAATAATTAGTAAAAAATGTATTTAGTAACACAAGTTTTAATATTAGTATACGCTATATATCTTAGCGACGCTGGTTATGGAATACCAGGGCCGCCAACACCCGGCTATGAATATGGGTAAGATTTTTTTCTTAGATCTGGCCGTATATAAGAATACCTTGGGCATAATATTTTATTAATAATATGGCGCCGCCATCCAAAAAAAAGGAATGATTTTGGTTTATTATTTTAATTCAGTCTGATTTGATAAATCCAAAGACGCATATTGGTAGATGCGAAAGTGTTAATTATCCGTGATTATTTAAACTATTAAAAAGTAACTCTTAATAATATTAGTAATAATAGTAGCCTAGTAGCAGAAATTAATAAAAATACAGCATTCACAAAAATATCGTCATGCTATATTGTCTTAGAACAAAAAAAGTCAAGCTTTACCAAATTATGATCGCGCGAAAAAATTAAAATAATATGAGTTCACCTAGACCAGGTTAGTTATAATGTCTCCATAAAAAGAAGTTTCGACTACATATTAGTACAATTTTGTTTTTAATTGATTTAATATTTTTTGTAAATATTGCTCTAGTAATTTCACATTTTTTTAAAGAAAATAAATATGACGTCAGACGCGAAGTGTTTTTTTTTTGAGCTTTTTAATTATATTACTTATGGTTAATGAGTGGATCCTATGTCCGGTATTTAAAAACTTAACACTTGCAATTTGCATTGTTTTGACTAATTAATTACAACAATTGTACCTTGATATTATTTTTTGTCAAAGCCATTTTCAAAACGTATTGCCTCTGGGCTAATATCGTAATGAAATTCTTATGCAATCGAATTCTTTAATTGCAAATTCATAGATGATCTTTATTTTTACGTACATATACAGTCATTAATTAAGTAAGGGTGAGCTGATTATAACTCCTACGTTTGTGGAAAACACAAAAATACAAAAGGTACCTATTTATCTAGTAGCTGTACTTACAACTATAAAATTGTCAACTTTGTACACAATATGTGAATATAAGTGTATTCAAATTAGCATGCCTTTGATTTATACTAGAATTATAGGTAAGTGTGGCACCCGCCCCGGGCGACAGTTTCAGGGGACGCCAAAATCATAATATAATCGGATTTAAAAAAAGATATTGTTATGTCCTAATCACGAAAAATGCCAACCATTAAATATATTTGTGAGTTTTTTTTAAGTTCTTTATCTCAAACGCTAAAGAGAGGGAGCGTTATTATTAAGTTTCTGCCTCGGTTTGAAAAAATCGTAGATCCGTGGTTGCAAATGGGCATGCTCAACCGGTATGACACAACGGCCTTACAGCCATAAAACTCTTAACTAAATCGTCCTGACAGTTATGCGTCTGTCCATTTGGCTCTCTAGTATTTCACTCAAAACTAATACTTGACTTAACCTGAAATAATTATTATTCCGTCAGTCTAGGGTCCTCATAGTTATAAAATTATTTCGAATAACTAATTCGGCTGATGATTTGTATTTGTATTAAAGTAAGAATAGGAATATAGAATTAAGTTTGTGTTGGCGCTTCCCGAATTTGCTTAGTAAATATTCTTAATATAAATATTAGAACTTACCAAATCATTAAATGAGTAATCGTGGAGCAACGCACTTTTGACTTGAGTCGCAGGTGTCTATGGACGGCGGTAATCACTTACCATCAGGTGACCCGTCAGCTTGTTTGCCACCCTTTGCTAAAAAAAAACAGAGGACCTAGTGTGAGTATATTTCACAACAACTCGCGTTCGGCGTTGCGAATAGTGAAGATTTCAGTGCGTGACGATCGAGTAGATGTCAAATAAACTCACACTAGGCCCTATATTCCTTTACAAATGTGTTTATAGACAATTAAATTTTATAAACATTACAGACAATCTGACGTGCAAGCACCATCCTATGTACCAGCATACGCAAGAAACCAGCACTTTTCAAAGACAGGCAACTCTGGAACAAAATCTGGTTATGGTGGTACCAAAACAGGTTATGGTGGAACCAAAACCGGTTACAGTGGAACCAAAACCGCTCACGGCCGAACTAAAACTAGTTACGGTGGAACTAAAACTGGATACGGCGGCACAAAGAATGCATATTCTGGTACTAAATCAAAATATGCAGAAAGCAGTTCATGGCATTCTAATTATGGTAAACCGTAAGTATTTCCTTAATTTATTTCTATTCCATTGTTTGATCAAAAATCCAAGTTACAGAGGCAAAATTTATTTTATTTGCCAAATGTAGGTTCATTGTGTCATTTCATGTACTTCCACTTAGGTACTTACAACATACTTAGGTATTTACTATTATTAATTAATATAATTAGCTTATCTACAGAATTGTTATGAAATTTAATTCAAGTCCGTCCGTCCGGTCAAGATTTAACCTTCTAAAATAAATATTTAAACTTGATTTCCTCATTTTAACTTCCTTTCTATTATATCGAATCTAATCAAGGTACGTGGTTCGTTTTGGTCTAAAACACTAGACCAAAACGAACCACATACCTCGCTTCAGGCTCTTTCATTAGAGCTTTGCCTTCCTAAATTAGTTAAGTGGCAAGAAAGCTAGGTCTGAACATTCCACTTAAACTTAATCACAGGTCCTCGAAGTATTAACATTCTTCTTACTACTATTATAAATGTGAAAGTTTATATATGTTTGTAACCCAACCACGTTAAAACGGCTGAACGACTTTGGATGAAATATATTACTAAGATAGATTACAGTCTAGCATAGTCCACTTTATATACAAATACAAAATTTATGTACAAAATTACGTCAACTTTAAATTGTGACATTAAGAAGAGCGAAACCGCGGTCAAAGCTAGCGTTCAAATTTTCCCAAAGCCCAAAATCGATATAAGTAGCGTGCATTGGGAGAGGCCTTTGTCCAGCAGTAGACTGCGATGATGATGATGATGATTGCTGAACCATTACATTAAATGTTCATTCTTACAGTGACGTATTTTTTTCAGACCCAGCTACAGTCAGTTCCTGAACAACGCTAATCTACCGTTCGTGCGTAAGTGATTCAAATATTTACAATCACACTTTATCTGTTAGAGATATCAAACCAAGTACCCCGCATTTATTAACATCTAAGTGAAAATATACTCGCAATTTTATTAATTGGGTTACAATCAGAGGCCCAAGTGCTAGTTTATTTGACTTCTAATCGATCGTCACGGTGACCGCACTGAAATCTTCACCAATCACAACGCCAAACGCACTCACCGTCGAAAGCGATTTGATGCTCGTACGTTCCCGATGTGCAGAAAAGTTAAATTCATAGTGTGCTGTAAGATGAGGCCTTATATTTAGCAATGATTTGAATGTCGAACAATATTCGACAAGATATAACATAAGATTCATTGCAAGAATTGTTAGTTGTATTGCATATCAGTAGAGGATAGACAATTTTACAACGTCCTCTCAACTTATGAACTTGAAATCAGAAACTAAATTAATAATAGCCGCGATAAGATGAAAATAGTAGCAATACCTAACAGTGTTGGCATAAGCGATAATCAGCATGTGTGGGATGCGTTATCTGCTTTAGCGGAAGCATCTCAAATCTAAGCTCGGCGTCCGTCCGATTTGCAAACAACTACGACCTACATAGAAATCGATGTAATTTATATACTTGTTAGATACGATGTATGGGGCTTAGAGTCAGACGTACTCGGCTTTAAGAACCCCTCTCCTCACCCTTCTCAGAGCCTGGACCTTTCGTTGCATTTCACCGAGCGAGTAGCGATGATAACCTATCATCAGTGACCCGTCCGCCTGCTCGTTAACCACATGTACCATAAAAAACCTGCCTTACATCTGTCACCTTAGAAATGGTTTGGTTCCGACATCACACACGACTTAAAAATTAATCATTCATTCAATGCATTCATTCATTCCAACCACAATACGTTAACTCTTATGATTTCTTTGATATTTACACGTCGCAGTGCGACTTTACTTACAAAAATATTTTATTTATTTATTTATTTAACTTAATGCACTAGTTGTACAAAGGCGGACTTAATGCCCAAGGCATTCTCTGCCAGTCGACCTTCGGGTGATGTAGAAAAATGAAAAAATATATATAAGGTACTCCTCCGTCTAACTTTTACCATTACATTATTACAAATATAAAGGTACCTCCTTAACGTTATTGCGATTAAATCCCAGAAAATACCTATACGATAATTTCCTATAGCTAAATGCGAGCCGGATTGCAAGAACTCAGGCATATGCGTGGACACCAATACGTGTCAGTGTCCGGTGAACTTCCACGGAAAGTACTGCGAGTTTGAGAAGAAGCCATGCCTGTCTAGTCCCCCTCAGCCTTTCAACTCCGAGAAGATGTGCACGTCAGAGTAAGTTGTACTTTCTGTTTAATAATTTACCTATCCTCATGTCGCAAAATTTTCTGAAATCGATCTGAAAGTCAGCATCGTCCATCGAATAAAAATGTAGTAAGTATAAAACACAACATAAAATATATTTATTACCATTAAAGTCCCATGAGTTATGATATTTGGATTCATCAATCCTTTTGTGGTTCCACTGAAGAGAACTAACTACACGAGAAGAGACTCAAGGAAGTCAAGCTTTCGAATAACCGTATTACGTGACTTCGAGATACCAATGATATATACCTAGAGAGACTGGCTAATCACTCCCCCAATTTCAGCTGTCTATATGGTCACTGCCTCGCTGCTAAGCATCATAGCGTGATATTTTATATCCTATATTATCACCTTATAAATACAAGGTGTCATTCAAATCTGACTAATAGTTTCGGCAATTATTGCGTTCAAACAAATAAACAAATAACTTCAGATTTATTTTATTATTATTGATATACATAGATTTTATGCGATACAAATCATCTTAATAAAATTGTCCTGCAATTGACCATAGAAATTTTATTCAATACTATGTAAGTTTTAAATTGACTATGAATAATAGCGATTACCTGAAAAATACTAGAACTCATTGGTCTAGTGATCTAAAGACATCATGTCAAACAAAGTCGTACTGAATGCCTCTAAAACTTGTATATCTATTTTATATTAGATTGTGTACCATCACCTGCACGGAATCCCACAAGTTCCCCGACGGTTCCACCATAGCTAACCTGCAATGTTCCGATGGGCAATGGGTACCAACCCGAGCTGACTTCACCTCCATTCCTGACTGTATGCCTGAATGCACTCCGGAATGTATGAACGGTGGAGTTTGTTTAGACGTCAATACCTGCCAGTGCCCTGATGACTTTAGAGGACCGCAGTGCCAGTACCGTAAGTATATAACTTGAATACAATATTACATGTCATTATTAACCGGTATTAAACAATTCTTTCGATAGTATTTGCCTAGTAACTGAAGTTGACGAAATCCCGAAAAAAAATACGTTTGTTGTATGGGAGAGTATTAAATATTTGTTTTATTTTAATTTAATTATTTATTTTTAAAGTGAATATATAAATAAATATTCTGTGAATATTTCAAGCGTCTACCTGTTGTCGTTATCAATATCGAGCAAAAACGAACAAAAAAATATACATGTTTGTTGTAATTGGGCTCCCCTTAAATATTTATTTTATTCGGTTTTTAGTATTTGTTGTTATAGCCGCAACTGAAATTTCTTTAAAAATTTCTACTGTCTAACTATCACGGCTCATAGAGCCTGGTGACAGATGGACGGACGTACAGCGAAGTCTTAGTTAATAGGGTCCCGTATTACCCTTTGGGTACGGAACCCTAAAAAGTAATGATATAGAACTAAAATAAAAAACTGATTGGAAAGAGCTAAGCAGTTTGTGTGCTATAAGTATTAAAAATATGTAGATTAATAAACTTTAACTGGGTAGATGTAATATTCAGCGTTTTTATTCTGCTTTTTAGCTCTTTATATATTTATATATTTCTTTTTTATTTATTTCTTATTTTTATTATATTTATATATTGGAAAAATCTATGACTTTTTAAAAGTAGGATACTTTTAATTTATACAGGATTAGCTGACCCCGCAATTTCGTCTTCATCTCTCAAAAAGAATAAATTTGCCCCGTTTTAACAAAAAAAATCATTGATGCTCGGTTCATCGATAAATGGGCTATCCAGCACTTAACGAATTTTCCAATTCGAACCAGTAGTTCCTGAGATTAGCGTATTCAAACTAACAAAAAAATCTTTAGCTTTACAACATAAGTATAGAGAATACTTAGAGAAATGTGAAATTAAGTTTCATATTCTATATTTTCAATACATTCAGAAATTTCTGTTCTTCTGTTCTTTCTGTTCAAAAATCTTTATTCCTGTTCTCCTTCTACAGCCACTACCGCTTGCGATATTCAGAAACTCGGATTCAACGGCGTTTACCACTGTTTTGGAGACAGCGACACCTTTAGCTGTGTGATCTCATGCCTCGGTGGAACCAATTACAGCAGCCCACCTGCCGAACTGTACACCTGTTTGTACTCCACTGGAGTTTTTGAACCTCAGCCTGTTCCGCAATGCGTTTCCCGTAAGTACCTAATATCTTATTACCGTTTCAATTACAGAACACTTTTACAAGTTTTAGGACATTTTGTATTTTCTGTTTTATAATAATAATAATATTTGGCCATGTAGTTTCAAACTAACACACACCGACCCGGGAATCGAACCCGAGAACTCACCACGGCAGTTGCATACGCTACCCCTGCGCCACCGAGCCAGTCAACAGTTATGATTTATCATAATTTCTTCGCGATTTCGCGATTTCGCGATACACGTATCATATAGTTGCCCAATATACAATGATTTGAAACTGATATGGCTGTCACCTCTAATTTATATTATACCAGCCATACCCTGCCACGCTTCGCTTCACATTGCGGTTGCATTGATAAGAAATGGGGAATAAAACTGATGCGAAAAAGAGACAAAAACAATATTTGAAGCGGGTTGTATATCGTCCCAAAATTTGAGCCCAATCGGTACCTATATAACTTTTTGTTTTTCGAGAGTACCCATACCAACTTAACATTTCTATATATATGGATAACATAGTAGTAAACCAGTTGGACAGTTTTAGAAACTTAGACAAAACAACTAAACGAATTTTCCAATTCGAACAAGTTGTTCCTGAGATTAGCTTATTCAACCAAACAAACAAACAAAAAATTAGCTTTACAATATTAGTATAGATAATGCTTAGAAAAATTAAAGATAAAGACAACTTTAATGTGTCCCGATTTTATATAGAGGTTATTTGAGATTAATTCTGTTAAAACAAAATGTTAAGGTACTTCAGATACGACACATGTTTGCTGTCGAACCAAATGAGTTACTTTTAATTTAGTAAACGTTGAATGGTACAGTCATATACAGATATTCTTTACCTTTACGTTTACATGTACCTCCACAATAATCAAAACTATTATATTTCTTCTTTAGAATGTATTCATCAACAGCTTTTTATAGTCCACTGCTGGACATAGGACTCCCCTTCGAAAGGAGGTTTCTTTAATACTCTTTTTATTTACAGCTGATGTCGTCGTTATTGCTCCTGGAAGTCATAAGTATAATAAAGTAAGTAGTTATAGTTTGTTTATATATTTATGTATATTTATAGGTTATACCACTTCTTGTCAGTACATTGTATAAGACAGACTTAACGCCATAGCCATTTTCTTCCAGTCAACCTTTGGGTGATGCAGAGCTGTGTGTTACAGGTGTATATTTAGAAATAACGAGATAAATGAGTAAATAAACATCTGTTAGAAAAATTATCTCACACACATATACTGGATATGTATACAAAAATAAATACACACTGTGTCCCTCTCTCTGCACCCTAAGTGGGAGTGAGAGCGCTAAACTGAGTTTTTAAGGCCATTTGAGTGTCTGGCATAAGATTGACTTAGCTTTTTTAAACAACAGGTGTTTTTTTTAATGAACTGCTAAAAACGTAAGAAAGTAGTGTTTTTGTTAATTTTTTCTGCTAAACTTAAAAAATCTTGATCCCAACACTTTTTCTTCTAGACCAGCCATTCAGAAACTACAAGTGATTCCCAATGGACCCTGCAGACTATAAAAGGCGGCCACTCGCAATACGAAACCATTACCGGTAGTAGCACCATCACCTCTACCCATGGCAGCCAAGCCAAGCATGGCTTCTATGGCTCCAAGAATACCGTGGTGGTGATTCAAGACCTTACACCTAAAAGTGGCACTTGCCTAAGCTGGGCCGGAGTGCATTATAAGACTTTTGATGGAGTAATCTATAGGTAAGTTATTTAATGTCAAAAACCATTGTTATCATGAAATTATATCATTGCTAAGCAAGAAAGTACCTAACAGTCCCAAACCCACGCTATTTCGGTTGGGGCCACAATACATATACCTACATACTTACACGTGGTTTTCGAAGTGTATGTTATAGATATTATTACATAAAGGAACAATTTTTTTTTTGTGTCGATATTTTAGGCGAAAGCAAACATTAATTGGTGAGACAAGATCATGAAATTATCGACTACCGCAAAAAGCTATCAGTACTATGATCTGGCCATAATATACACTTATAAGTTTATAAGACATAAAATTTCAGAAAGACTGTGACAAAAGAGGTTAAGACCTATATTAGACTCGTGTAGGAATACTCCTGAACGGACTCCGTAAATAACTTAAAAGGCTAAAAATTTTAGGAAAACATCATTTTATGATGGAAATCCTATTTTGATTTGAATGTCGGCATTTTTCTGAAAATACTTTAAACTTTAAACTTTCTTCTTTAGTGATGTATTATTCTGAATATTATAACGCTTAACGCTATCAAGTCAAGTAATTTTAATTGGCTGTGGTCAGCTTTTAAGCTCGAGCAGTACTATATGATTGATTGGAAATGATCATATACCCCAGGAAAACATTTATCGAAAAAAAATAAAAAATATTTTTGTTTCAAAATGACACCCAACTTTCTTAAAATGAGTTAGCAATTGACCACATATTTTTGTAACAGCCTGTACATTTAATTTTGATTCATATGTTACCCATACGTTGTGTTCATATTATATCGTTCTCTCAAGTTTCCAATCACCGTGTGAACACGTGCTGGTCCGCGAGGCGAAAGAGCACAAGTTCTCTATCGAAGTCAAGCACGGCGAGTGCAAGGACAAGTTGAACTGCCCCAGCGAGCTGACTCTCTATCTCGAAGAGAAGTTCTACGTTCTTAGTGTCGGCGGTGAGTACATAGTGTTGATCGTTTCGATTCTAAGTGCCGTATCCACTTGTGTATTTTTTTTTGATACTTATGTAGTGATTGTTTAATGAATTTTGTATATGTATTTTTATAGAGCTAAGTTAGTAAAAATAGTTAAAAACCAACCGTTTGAGCACAGAAAAAAAATGTTTAGGTTTGTTATGATAGTCTACTTCAAGAGCTTTCTGTGTATTTGTATGACATTAATTCTCATGGCTGACTGAACGATGGATATTGGTTTGACAGTATGTTACAGCTGATGTTGTACTACCTTCCGACAGTTTTATACCTTTCACATTCATTAGGTCACTAGGGTCATTTTATCTATTTTTTTGTGATAGTTTTTTTTAAATTTGATTATTAAAAAAATACACAACTGACGTTTAAAAGTGCACTGTGAAAAGGCCTATGTTTTGGGGACGGAGTAGAAAATCCAATCAGATCTCCGGCCGCTCAGGGATATAGGAGCCAGGCGTATGTCGTGTTTAGACTAGAAACCACGCCGACGGCCAGCCCGGGTTCGCTAGGAAGAACCTGGACCATGTGGTTTCAGGCCCCCCCAGATCGACGCCGCCCCTAACTAGGACCTATCTCAGGGGAACTGTAACAAGGCCCAATCAATAAGAATATTTGGGTTTAAATTATATTTCTCTACAGCGGACGGGTCTGTGCTGTTCCGCAACACGAAGCGTCTGATCCCAATGCCGGCGTCTCTCCCCGGGATCAGAGTCTCCATGCCGAGCGACTACGTACTGGTCAACCTGGACAGTGTCGGCGTCACACTCAAGTGGGATACCAATGTGAGATGGTTTTATAATTCCTGTTACATTCCTAAGTATTTCTGGAGTTTACGTTAAACAATATTTTTAAACCCGCACAGGTTATAAGTTCGACGTGTGTCTGTCTGTGGCACCAAAAACGCTCCCAAACGGCTGAACCAATTTTAACTTGTTTGAAAAATGACTTGATTTACTATGTTCTTGTGATTATGGCTTTGACAAAAAGTGTGGTGACGGATTAAGAATACGGAATGTCACCACCCATATTCATCATGTGTGCGTCGTAAGAGCCGACTAAGGGAGCAAACTACGCAGGACAACAGCACTGTAGAGAGAAGGAAAACTTGACACAAACCCTATACCAACCCGTCTGGCCAGCGTGGTATCGTAGGCCAAAGCCTCCTTTTTAAGGAGAGGTCTATGTCCAGCAGTGGACTAATAGGCTGTTGATGTGATGATAATGATGAACTCATTATGTAGTCTTATGCACCATTAAATGGATATTTACAAAAATACATAATAAATTATTATTATTATTCTCTTTATTTACTTTATATACATATTATTTACATTTTTAAATATACACTTTATAAAAAAAAATACATTTAAAAATATAAAAAATAGTAGACCACCGACATCGGGTACAGGGACCAAGACACCGGTGGTTAGGACTCCAAAGATAGGAACCTCCTCACTATACGAGCCGTGTCAAGGAGGACTGCCTTCTGCATCAGACCCTTGATCCAGCCATCCAACGTGAGCCTCTTAAGGTGTTGGTCGAGGCTCTTGGCTATCAATCCATGAGCAGATACGACTATCGGAACAATGATCACTGAATCAACATTCCACATATCGACAATCTCGTGAGATAAATCCAAATATTTAATTTGTTTTTCTTTTTCAACTTTCACGAGATTCTCGTCATGAGGAACGGCGATATCAACAATCATTGCGCGGCGCTCTAATCGATCTATCAACACAATATCAGGCTTATTGGCAACAATAGTCCTGTCTGTGATAATAGATCGATCCCAATACAACGTGGCCCGACCATTCTCGAGAACTGGGTCGGGCACATACCTATAGTATGGCACCTCTAGATTCACAAGATGGTATTTAAGGGCAAGCTGTTGGTGTACGATCCTGGCTACTTGGTTGTGCCTGTGCAAATATTCTCCGTTAGCAAGACGAGAACAACCAGAAATAATATGCCTGATTGATTCGCCAGGACGGTGGCATGCCCGACAGATGTCAACCGTACCATCTTTCAGGATATATTTCCGATAGTTATTCGTCATGATAACTTCGTCCATAATCGCACAAACAAAACCTTCAGTTTCTCCAAAGAGATCACCATGCCGTAGCCAAGTCGTAGATGCTTTTAAATCTATATCGGACCCGTTTAGGGCCCGATAAAACCGACCATGAAGCTCTTTGCCCTTCCATACTTCCCTGCGATCATTAACACCAAGTACTACAGGTCTGCGCCAATTCTCTTTAGCCAGAGCGAGCGGGGTGAAGCCGGTATCCACTGCAACTACATTGCGATGCACTCCCACGTCGGTATGTAGAAAATATTCTCTGAGATTGCATACCTCGCGATTATGTAGGGTCTTGATATTTATTTATTTTTATTATTATTTTATTATTATTATTATTATTATTATTCATTACACAATATTAATTTGTCCTGGGACGAAGACACGACCTCTGATTCAGTAGATCGCTAACCAGATCAGTCAAATCAAAGACCAATGGCAGGGTTAAACAGAGGTTCTTACCTATGTAGTATAGATAAATTTAACCATACAACATTTAACCGGTGTTAAGCAATTCTTTCGTTGCCTTTCACTGAGTGAGTGAGGTTACCGGAGCCCAAATCCCCAATCCCGTTGACTCGAGCGGGAGGGACTCCAAGGGCAGCAACGCACTTGTGACTTGCAGGTGTCCATGGGCGGCGGTAGTTGCTTACCATCAGTTGACCCGTCTGCTCGTTTGCCCCCTTATACCATTAAAAAATACAACAGATTAAAAACAATATGTTATATTTATATCTACTTAACCGTACTTTGTATTCTGTTTGCACTTGACAACAGTAATATTAAGCCATGACCTTTAATAATCTATGAGTGTCAGGTCAGACAGCGTAATAGTGATCTTATGTGTTATTTTTATACATTTTTATGTAATCAGTTAAAAGGAAATCCGCTCGTATCACAGCGGATAATCCCATCTGCGGATGCAGAAAACATCCTTTGATATATCGATAAACACATGCATATGTGAACAACTCGTGTAAGCTGGCCTTGTGAGATTATGCCTAGCTTATTAGAATATATATTATTTTAGATTATTATTATTTTATAATAATAATCATTTATTGCAATAAATACTAGTTTGTCCGTGTGGTGACGGATTAAGAATACGGAGTGTCGCCACCCCTATTCATCCCGTGGGTGTCGTAAGAGCCGACTAAGGGAGCAAACTACGCAGGACAACAGCACTGCAAAGAGAAGGAAAACTTGACATAAACCCTATACCAACCCGTCTGGCCAGCGTGGCATAGTAGGCCAAAACCTCCTTTCTAAGGAGAGGCCTATGTCCAGCAGTGGACTATTAAAGGCTGTTGATGATGATGATGCAATAAATACCATAGAATATATAAATACAATAGAAATAACATTAGATAGCAAAGATAATTACATAATAATAATAAAATAAAATAATAATATGATAACAATTAGTAAATAAATCCTAAATTATAATATTAGGCAATCGTATAGAACATTATTTTTATACGTCAAATTAGCTGGTACCCGCGATTTCGTTAGTTATGGAGTACGGTACGTGACTGCAGTCCATGACTGCGCTTTCGATTCTCGGACTGGGCAAAATTGTATAGTTTTTCTGAGGGGAAAAATAGCCTAAGTTTGTCGTTGAATAGACAGCTACCTGGTATTAAAAAAATCGGTCCAGCCGGTTTGAAAATTACCCGAAACAAACAGACAGACAGACAAACAAAAAATATTTCAACTGGTTTTTAACTATGCTTAACCGTCATCGCATCGTGCAAATAACCGTGTAAGCATGAAAAAACCTATTATTTTGACATTATAAACAGATACTTCAATTTCATTTATTCGTATAGAAATATCAAAAGAGCAGACATACACAGCTTGAATCACAGAATTGTTAGTGTTTCTAATTCAATCCATGAATCTACCCTTTCCACATCACCGCATAGAAACCATCATCATTACGCCCGCGGATTTCCTCACGTTAACTATCAATTTTTCCTGGAAAACAAATAGCTTAGTCGGAGAGCCAGAACTTGGACTAAAGGCGGCAACACACTTATATCTGTTGAGTTGGTGGTTTCCCTAGTCGTTTGCTCCCCATAATAAAAACCCACATCTGATTCAGACAGCACGGCTTTTTTAAAAGGTTTTTTAAAGACAGCCATCTGTGAGATGTGTCAAGGTTAAGAAAAAAACAACTATCAAAATGACTGACTGCACGGATGGCGTAGTGGTTCAAGCGGTCACTACGCCGCTTCCTACTACGCCGAGTGTTGTGGGTTCAAACCCCACATTTTGTCCGTTATTTGTGTCCGTTTCATGTATGTTTGTATGGTCCCCCGCGACACAGGATATATTCCTAATGCGGGAGTTGTCTTTTTTTTAAAAAGAAAAAAAGAAAAAAAAAATTGATGTAAAATATTGGTCTGTCGGAATAAGATTCTAGTGATAACTTTCTTTAATTCTAGAACATGATTCTCGTCGAAGGCTCAGTCCTCTTGTGGAACAATACGGAGGGCTTGTGCGGAACGTTGGATGGCAACCCCGATAACGACTTAATGACAAAAGATGGAACTATAGCCAAAACCAAGTCAGTACTCGCTTCTTCCTGGATGGTCAACAAAATTGGTGGTGAGTTTCAAACTAAACTATTATTTCTTGATTATTAATTTTAGAAGAATTATAGTTTTAACTAGCTGTTACCCGCGTTTGTTGTTATAACCGCGGGCAACGCCGCGGGGCGAAGCTAGTCTAAAAAAAGTAATCTAAGTTACTCCTTATGTCATCAGCTATCTGCCAGTGAAAGTCCCGTCGAAATCGGTCCAGCCGTGCCAGAGATTACCCGGAACAAACAGACAGACAGCCAAAAATTGAAAAAAATGTTATTTTGGCATATGTACCGTATAAACATACATATGCATTTAGTAAAAAGCGGTTATTTTAATATTACTAACAGACATTCCAATTTTATTTATTTGTATAGATATAGTGTGATTTCACAGACAACGCTTTGTGTGATCCACAAATTGTTGTTCTAAGTCTGGGTATTTCTTTGTGTCCTTTTGATACATGTTTATGAAGTCCCCCGCGACACAGGATATATTTTCAGTGTGCGAGTTGTTTAAAAAAACAAAAACAAACTTTGCCTAACCGCTGTTGAAGAATTTTAGGAATCGAACCCACGACGTTTTTCTCAGCAATCAGAATCGCTAACCACTAAACCAACAGGCCAGGTAAAATGAAATAATGATTTCAGTTTGGTAATAATATCATAAAAAATAGGTTAGAAGCATTTCCTAGATTTAGGCACAGGTTTTTTTATTATACTTTTCAATTTGGTGACTCTTCCAGATGTGTGTGAGAGTAATCCAACAGAGACCAGCGCCTGCGCATCACTGGCCGACGCCGACATGAAGAGAGCTCAGCAGTTCTGTACTAAGATCTTTAGCAAAGACAAATTCAGGAAATGTTCGATGGTAAGAATAGTCTAGTTTTGGAAATGGCATGTTTATATTTGTATTGCACTCATTGTAAATGAAAAAGGTGTATCTTGGTGGATGATTGATTCATTCCTGACAGAACAAGGGCTATTATATCCCTCTATTAAGCGACCAGTCCCATTACTTTTAATATCTTTACTGCTTAACCCATATTTGCCCCCTGATTCGAAAACGATCAACACCCATAAATGCCCAGAACTATTTTTGACTTCCGATTCTACTAAATTTTGGATATGTTTGTGGTAATTAGTCTCTAATAACGTTATAACCAGTTTCATGAAGGTTGGAATTGGTTATGTACCTTTTTTTTAATTGTTCGAAAACGAAACATCGGGCACTTCCCATACTTTTATTATGAGTTAAGTAACAATAACATTTTTTTGTATTATTCTAAACATACAAATAAAATTTAGGTACACATTTGAGGAACACATTTAGGAATTCAATTTAGGAATGAAACGCTATGAAACATTTAGCATGTAACTTAACCTGACACTTTTGACATGAAGTAACCGTCAAGTTTTTGCAATAAGCACAACGCAGTCGGCTCGGTGCTCTACCGATCATGTGCTCAGCATTACACTTTCGCACTGAGGGAGGTACAGTCGTAGAAATCTTTTTAGAAGGACCCGGCCTCCGCTTATCAATGCCGTACTTTTGGAGCAAGGTTTGAGCAATACTACGCCGAAATTCCAGTGTATCTACATCATTGAGCATTTATCGTGCGACAAGTGTTGCATTGTTTACAGCCACATCAATAAGCCAGAAAATTATGGGGATGTACCATTTTTTGCCTCTAATTGCAATCCTGTAAGTGCCTACATTACCAGCTAAACGATCCACGCCACCCATGAAGCAATTGTATTGTTATACAATGTCAGGTTGTGGCACATCCACTCTTGCCTTTTGCGCGGCTGAATACCTTCTTGCTGTTCGCACAGGTTCCACGCCGTACTCACTCGATAACAATGTCACGACACTGTTGTCATGCCAGCGTACAGCACAAATACCACTTTTTTGTTCTAGCCGACTATCGTGATAACCTCTCGGTTCTTTCTTGCATAGCTTGATATCTTTCAAAGGACACTTCTCTATTCTGTTGTTTCTTACAGTACCCGTCACTAGAAAATTTCGTTCCTTCATTTCAGTAATTAGGGGTAACCCTGTAAAAAAATTATCGATATAAACAGAGAAGTTTGTATCTTCGTAGACAGCTTTGATCTCCGTCATAAGTTTACGTACGACATGTTGGCCTAAACCGGTCCTGACTCCTTCAGATCTACCCTGGTAAAGATCAGTATATAAGCAATATCCTAGTCGCAAAGCTGCTACCCAAGTTTTAAAACCGAACCTGATAGGTTTTCCTCTAATGTGCTGTTTACACCCATGCCTACCGTAATAAGGGATCATAGATTCGTCTATGCTTATATCTTTTTCAATCACAGCATACTGTAAACTTTTATTTATTGAGCATCTCAAACAAGGGGCGCACTTTGGCCATTTTGTCACCCGGAGCTAAATTTGAGTTATCAGCCACATGGAAGTATCGCAAAATTTCTTCAAACCGGTTCCGTCGCATGGATTTAGCTATCAACAAATTGTGGGTATCCTCATTAATCTCCCAATACATACGTCGTCGCGGCAATGACAGTAACCTGTCAATATAAGAATTCCGACGAAGCAATATATTTCATCATCAGACAAGGTAAACGCCATATTTCCTTTTTCTACAGCATAAATAACTGTATGACGAACAATATGAATTATTATTTCGTGACTAAAAAATAATTCAAAGAAATCGACTGGATCCGACGCATCTGATACGGTCACCACTGATCTTGGAGGCGGTGAAATCCACTCGTTATCCATTCTGGATAAGTCTCGTTTTACCCACTTACGGGCTTGTGGCTTTCCTGGTCGACTCGATAGAGGCACGTCCGATGTTGTGTTTTGACTAGCTAATGCGAAAAGCGGAAGATTATCTTCTGACTCGCTATCATCGTTGTCTTTATTTCCATGAAGCACCAGCTCAGCTGGAGCCAGAAGTTGTCTACGTGATAAATTTTCAAAACTTACATTTGTCTCGTCGCCCGAATCGGAATCCGAAACTAATCCATCTCCGGGGGGATCAATATAAATGTCTATACCTGTCGCTTCATCGTCCGAATCCAAATTATGGACAATATCAACTATTTCATTGGTCGATAACGGCTTGCTACATCTGAAATAAAAAAATCTTATTTAGTATATTACATACGTATGTATCGTTTACGAAACACTGATTTGATAAACATCTTTTAAGTGTTTGAATACAACAATTTTGGTTTTATAATTACACACACATATTCTAAAATTATCGAACTTTATCCTAAATTACGCAAAACCTCTAAACTAGAGTTAATTTTGATAATTACTTACTTTTTTGTGAAAGTCGCCATGATTTCTGCACGCCGAAAACAGGTCACAACGTGCACTGATTCATTACGGGACAATAAAATTTGTTTAGTTGAAACATTCTATTACCATTAGAAGAAGATACCTTAACCTTGATATAGATGGCGGTAGGATGCACTTTCCGAACGAAACGCGTAAGATGATGAACTTTTATGAAAGCTTAATTTATGATTCGTTTTCGAATCAGGAGGCAAATAAGGAACCAAAAAAAAAAATAGTTCTTGCTAATTAAAAAAAATATATGCCCATATGGGTTAATTTTAAGTAATAAATATGAACAACAGCACCAACCCATGTGGCCAACCTGGTATAGTATGCCAACACCTCCTTTCTTAGGAGAAGCCTATGTCCAGCAGTGGACTACTAAAGGCTGTTGATGATGATGATAAATAAATATATTTTACAACAATGAAATTGAAATTTTATTATTTGTTATGTAACATTTGTAAATGTATCGTTACATTTTTATACAAATATGGAAATTCATCATTTTTCAAAATAGCTATTTTACAGAACATCATTACATTTGTTTACAGGTAATGGATATCACTATGTTGCTCGAGACTTGCCAATGGGATTACTGCGCCTGCGCAACTAGTTTGAGTAAGTGTACCGTTACAAATATTAAATAAATACAATTGACTTTAGCTTACTAAATACGTTTCGCTTTTATTTCATTACAAATTGAAAAAATGTCTCTCCATAATACTTAGCATCCAGGATCTAGTTCAAGGTCAGATTTAATTGATTAAAGGAGTAAACTTATTACAGTTATTATTCAACTCGATTCCTATGTTATATAAAGAATTAAAAACTCTTCAGGTCGAGATAAACATGACACTTATAAAAATCTAAAAGGAATATTGTTTTATTTTGTGGTAATGATTTAATCTGTATAAAATGTAGGTCCTGAGGAATGTGGCTGCAGCACTGTTGCTGTATACGCCAAGGAGTGTTTACGTCATGGCGTCGAAGAGATGAAGAGCTGGAGAGACGACGAGACCTGTCGTAAGTAATCAAACCTTTGACATAACCATGCCTTTCTTCATATTGGCCATGCCATCGGCAGCAGGTACGGACTAAGCAATGTACTTAATGTACACTGTCACAATATACGGGTTCTTCCAAAAAAAATATCCTATCTTTCGTCAGATCATTGATACTGCCTTTCTACCAATATTTTTATATCTTTCTCTAATACGTTTTGTTCATCTCTACTTACCACATTTTGATAAAACTATCTAAATTTCTTTATAGCAATGAAGTGTCCTGAAAACAAGGTCTACAAGTCTTGCGGGCCAGACTTCCAGCCAAGTTGCGCCTTCCCGCAGCCACCAGCGAATAGTAACAACAGCACTTGCGTGGAGGGTTGTTTCTGCCCTGAAGGTTTGCTTTTAGAAGAAGGACGTTGTATTCCCAAGAACAAGTGCCCCTGTCGGTATAAGAATAGAAACTTCAAGCCTGGAAAGACTATCAAAAAGGATTGTAATACTTGGTAAGATGTTTGAAAGCTTAGATGGTGAACGTAGGGTATGATTTGTTCTCATATGGGCTGGCTCGATAGGAGAGTTACCACGACCACCACCACCTTCAGCAATTCTCTGGTTGTTTTTTTTACTGAGTGAGTGAAGGTATGGAAGGAGGAGATATTATTACGTTCAGTAGGCTGTTGGAGCTGGCTCGCATTATCTGCAGCACAGACGCAGCACACTTTGGTTTCAGAAATCTTAATTCTCATAAGAATTAAGATTTCTGTACATTCACTTACGTGAGAACTTTTACACTAATAACTATAAAATATTCCGACGAGCATGCATAGCATAAAGGTCTGAATGTGACAAAAAAAAACCATATTTTACCAATTTTAACAACAAAATCATCAAACAGTATCAAAGCAAACAAAACACTTGCATCTTATTGCCGTGAAGCTGTCATCAGAGCGGCATCCTGAACGCATTATTGTTCTTGACGCAAAGAGCGTTGATGGCTTCTAGAGAATAGTTCGTACAAAGGCCAATTTCTTTCTTTATTAAAAGAATACTGCTGCACTAAGAATGCATCCTGTGTCGCGGGGGACTTTACATATAAATGAATGAAACGGACACGTGTTGTCCACACGTGGGGATTGAACCCACACACAACACTCAGCGCAGTAAGAAGCGGCAAAGTGACCGCTTAATCCACTACCCCATCCCTACATATCTAGAAACTTCGGCAGTAAACTTTAAAAAATAATATTTTAACTGTTCCTGCCCAACGTGTGAACCCTTTGATCACCATCATCCCTTTGATCACCATCTGCCGCCGCCCCCTCTCCATATCGAAATTGTCCTTCATACTTTCTGTTACTATATGTCCCAAGTATTTAAACTGATGAACACGACTCCATTTACCTACCACCACACAAAGTAACATTTGGGTACTTATCTGGGACCTTTGTACCCGCTTTTGATCAGTTGAAGTTTTTTAGAGTTATATATTAAGTCGTATTGCTGAGCGTAACATTAGCATATTTTCAACAATGATGGTTGTCCTCCAGTACGTGCCAGTCGGGCGAGTGGACGTGCACGAAGGTGGCGTGCGGCGCGCGCTGCGGGGCCATGGGAGACCCTCACTACTCCACCTTCGACGGGCTGCGGTACGACTTCATGGGCCACTGCACCTACACCATGCTCAAGACCGACAATCTCACCGTCGAGGTGGAGAATGTCGCCTGCTCTGGGTCTATCACTGAGGTACTTAATACTTAAGATACATCTATAGGTCAATTTTAAGATATTTGTGGGGAGGAACGGGTGTCATGTCCCTCCAACATAAAGGAAGGATCCTCTGACCAGGCGAGGTGATCATGCCTGGCGGTCCGCGGCCCAACGGTTAATAGTGGGAAGTTAATACCGCGATACAGGATTACCAGCTACTCCGTAGTTCGGTGTGTCTTCGTTAGATGGCGCTGTTGTATGTTTCTACGTTTCATCGCATGTGGAAGTCGCCACAGTTCGAAGCGTTCAAACCACGTGATAGACTGATAATTTATGTTTATTCACAAATTTTTTCAGTATTTTAAGTGTATATGGATGTAATAAAGCTTTTTTTTCTTAAAAACTCCTAAAACTACAAATCGGATATAAAAATGAAGAGATAAATTATTCAACATCACGCTAAGACTTTTCAAAGCAGAGCAGTGATGATCGCCGTCGATGAAAGAGAACAAGAACATGTAAAGTACATAGTGAAAGTTCAAGATGCAAATTGCGAACAAACTAATTATTTTTAAGACACTAAAAGAAAACGCATGAATTAAAAATTCATCTTTAAAAAGGCCTTAGCTTAACCTTGTTGCATTATTTTTTTCACAGGCAATGAACTTAACCCCTTATAAAGGAGAAGGCAAACCGTCATGCACTAAAGCCATCAGCTTGAACTACGATGGAGCCAGCATCCACATGAAGCAGGGTGGATTCATCTTGGTGAACGGCAAGGAGGTATCCGCCCTCCCCGTCATGGTGGGTGATGTAAGGATCAGGGCTGCTTCATCTCTGTTTGTTATTGGTAAGTACTATATTGACTGCACGGATGGTGTAGTGGTTTAAGCGTTTGCCACACCATTTATTACTACGCTGAGTATTTTGGGTTCGATCCCCACATAGGACGACACTTTGTGTGATCCACAAATTGTTGTTCTGAGTTCGACACAGGATATATACCTAATGTCTAAAAAAATATTTTTCAGAATAGAATTAGACGTAACAAATATATATGTATGTATTAGATTACCTCCGACCTATTGGAGATTGCAGCTGAATACCGTCTAGGTTTACTGTCCGTGTGGTGACGGATTAAGAATACAGAGTGTCACCCCTATTCATCCCGTGGGTGTCGTAAGAGCCGACTAAGGGAGCAAACTGCGCAGTACAACAGCACTGCAAAGAGAAGGAAAACTTGATACAAACCAACCCGTCTTGCAAGCGTGGTATAGTAGGTCAAAACCCCCCTTCTAAGGAGAGGCATATGTCCAGCAGTGGACTATTAAAGGCTGTTGATGATGATGAAAACTGTCTGGTACAATACAATGTAAATATTGTACCTATTCTATTAAAGTGAATGTTTCATTGTAAGTAATATTTAACGTTTTGTTTTAATCGGACATTGACACACAACGTCATCTAGTTTCAAACTAAGAAGACTTGTGATATGAAAGCTAGATTGACTGATACAATATTTATATACTTTTTTTGTAAGTACATACATATTATACAAAGAAAACACCCAAACTCTGAAACAAATATGTACAGATCATAAAAACATTTGGTCCGACCCGGGAATCGAACCCGAGACCTTAGCACAGCAGATGCATACGTCCACTGCACCACTGAGGCAGTCAAAATAGTGTATGTGGTGTCCTTAGACCTTTTCTTTGAAAACCTAGAAATTCACTCATTTTGTTTGTTTTAGTGCAAATGCCAAACAAAGTGGACCTGTGGTGGGATGGAAACACTCGAGTCTTCATTGACGTACCCCCTGCATTCCAGGGCAAAACGAAGGTAATTATCATTGGTCTATTAATATATATATAGATATGTTGGTCTATTACTATTTATTTAAACTATAATCAAACTTAGTACCTAAAGACGAAAACATATTTTGTTTTTATAGAATTTGTAATTAAGTTTATCATCACGTTCTCAAGCTTTTCTCAATTGTTTTGGGGTCGGAAAACACCAAATATTATACGCAAAGGATTTCGGTTGTTTCTTTTAATAGTTGGGGACGGAACACCGTGTGGTTTTAATCAGTTCTGACATACCACTTCACTATGAGTCCCGGTGTGTGAATGACCCGTGGGAGACACACGGGAATAAAAGACAAGTGTCGAATGGGTAACGGGACTGCAACTGCAGTACTTGAAGTACACTGGTATGTACATAACAGGAATTACATGGGTAGGTACGAGAGGCCATAGGAATGGACATCAATAGTTTCTGAATAAGAACTTTACCTGACTGTTTTGTCTCCAGGGCTTATGCGGAACCTTCAACTTGAACCAAAAAGACGACTTCCTAACTCCCGAGAACGACGTGGAACAGAATGCTCTAGCGTTCGCCAATAAGTGGAAGACCAGAGAATTCTGTTCTGATATTGATACTAAAGAACCAGAGCACCCCTGTAAAGCCAATGTGGAGAATAAGGAGGCCGCTGAGAAATACTGCAGCAAGTTGAAGAGTAAAGTGTTTGAAGGTGAGTAGGGGAATTTAAGTTCTTCGGTAAGTTTATGTTTAAAGTAAAAAAAATGTGAGTGATAGAAATATATATTACTAGCTGACCCGGCAAACGTTGTTTTGCCATATGCATTATTTAAAAAAAAATGTCAAAATTATAATATCTGCACACAAAATTTCACGAAAATCGGTCGAGCCGTTTCGGAGGAGTTCAACCACGCACACCGTGACACGAGAATTTTATATATTATTAGATATATATATATAATTCTTCTGTGAGTGTGTATGTCACTGAACTTCTCTCAAACGACTGGACCGATTTTGATGAAATTTTTTGTGTGTGTTCAAGGGGATCTGGGAATGGTTTAGATTCACAATTTTGAATGGTAAGGGTGACCCATCCCTAATTTTTTTTTTGTTGCAATACAACGTTTGCCGGATCAGCTAGTATTAGATATAATTTTTATTACATGCACCCATTCCGTGTGGTGACGTATTTAGAATACAGAGCCTCGCCACTCCTATTCATCCCGTAGTGTCGTAAGAGCCAACTAAGGGATCCAACTACGCAGGACAACAGCACTGCAAAGAGAAGGAAATCTTGAAACAAACCTTATACCAACCCGACCCAGCGTGGTATAGTAGGCCAGAACGAGGCCTGTGTGCAGCAGTGGACTATTAAAAGGGTGGTGATGATTACATGCTACCAAAGTATTATACAATCTGGAAAAGAATATAAAACTTAAATGACCTTTCTTAAACTTACTTGGTATGGGGATGGGAACTAACTTCAGATTAACTCTACTTATAATAACTTATTTTATTGTTAAATTTAATATTTATATGAGACTAGGTATAGTTTGTACTAAAAAGCTGAGTTAACATAATCTAATAAGAATAAGCTGTGTATGTTACCTAACTTTATATTCACGAAAACCAGATATCTGAAAGCTAAGCTTTCTTACATATCTACGAGTAAAACCGTTGCTAATTTTAATACCAGTCAGTTTACTACTGACATAACGAACCTTTACTCTGAGGGGTTAACGACAATACTATTGTCATTAACCCCTTCGATCTTGGAGTAGGTATAAAATTCTAATTTACTGGTGGTTGAAAAAAGAACTCAGAGTATCAAGGAAGACGATTTATCTTACAAATGTGGTAAATTAAACCATAAATAACTAAAGATATTTAAGTTCAGACAGTAATCAATTACTTTTCATTATCATTATCATCATCATCATCATCAACAGCCCTTAACAGTCCACCGCTGGACATAGGCCTCTCCTTACAATGGAGGTTTCATTATAATATACAGCAAAATATTACCTAAGTCACTTACTCACCTCCGGGTCGTCGAGTTGTAGAACGATGCACAATGAAGTGCGTGCGTGTTGCAGCGTGTCACTGGGACGTGGACGTGGAGGCGCACTACGAGGCGTGCGTGTACGACATGTGCGCGTGCGCAGGCGACGTGTCGCGCTGCCTGTGCCCCGTGCTCGGCGACTACGCCATGGCCTGCGCCAAGGCCGGCGTCATCATCCAGTGGAGATACCACGTGCAGGAGTGCGGTCAGTTACTTACATAATTATATCGACACTTTGGTCCGCGTTTTTAGGGTTCCGTAGTCGAACTAAGGACCCTTATAGTTTAGCCATGTCCGTCTGCGGCTTAGCTTAGAGACTTGGTTAGCTTGGACACACAGACTTGGCCGATTTTATTCTAGATAAAAGCTACCGTGTGTCCCGGTTCCTAAGTTAAAGCGAAATTGGCAATTTGCGTATTTAGATAGCTACGCTCAGCGCCTCTGTACGTGCAACAGGGAACTAAAATGACACAATACAATAGATCTTAGCTCGTTTTAAATATATTTTTAATTTTTGTTAATTATTAAAAAAAATTGTAGCAGTAAAATACAAATGTACCACAATAGTAATATTACATAATCTACACTGCGGGATTAGAAATTATGACTCATTTACACAGGTTGTAATCTAGTTGCGAGACTAGAATTACACCCACTATAATTGTATCATATTAGTACTTTTACCATTTATACACTATATATATATATATTACCCATGCACTGCAATATTTGAAAATAGTTTATAAAAACTTTATTATTATGTACGAGTATATTATTATAAATATATGGGTATGTATTATATACGAATATTTAACATTGTTAAAACATTAATTATAATAATATTTGATGGACTGTTCAACAAGTAAAAGTATCAACTTTTGAAGTCCTAAAGGATGGTAGGTTATTGCCATCAAATAAATTTTACATGTTTACATGAATTCAACAATTTTTGTAACACAATACTTCGCAATTTTAATTGAAATTTGACAGGCGTTGCCATTATTTAAAACTAGTTAGCTTGTGTGTTTTATTTCTATCTGTAATCCTGTTTAGAGTAGACAGGGACACTAATCACGACCCGACAGGAACTTTAAAAGCACTAGTAACAAGCCCAATTCCAATTTAATAAGTTTAGCTTCTATGGTTTCTACATTTTAATATAGGAAATATAGGTATCACGAATCCAATTCCGTGTATTACTATTGTGACGATCATAATTATTTTGGATTGTGTGCATTAAAGCTATGTACGGACAAATATATTAATTAATATAAACCCTGTTCGGGAACAAGGCTTCAAAAATACGTAGAGACTCATTTGAGTGTTCCCCTCCACGGAAATCTTTAGTAAAAGGCGAAAGATTTATACGTTATGAAGGGAAACCAGAGTTAGTCTATAGAAATCAGTCTAGCTATTTATATTTTCCGCGGTAACGAAACCATAGTGTGAGTCAAAAAAACGGCATAACGACATCTATCGAGCGCAGGGTAAAACAAAAACACCTATTCATAAAGTCTACGATATCTCACGATCCGATTTTTATGGATGATTTACTATTGTGATATATATTATACTATTAGCTTCTATCGGAGGAAGGGTAGGGAGGCCTTCTTAGGACACAGAGAATCCGCCATTATAATGTTAGGATTGTTTGTGTGCAGAAATCCAATGCACGGGTGGTCAGGAGTACACGGTGTGTGCGGACAGTTGCCTGCGCAAGTGCTCCGACATGGCGCTGGCGGCCAGCGGCACCTGCAAGCCCTGCTGTGTTGAAGGCTGCGCATGCCCGCAGGGACAGGTAACTTCACAATTCGCTTTTTGCATTTCTACTTATTACAAAATATCACGTAAATAGAGATGCATTTCAGATATTCATGTATTTGTTCCGCCACTTATCATAGACCAAGAAGGAGACAGTTTTAATTACAACTGTAATAAACTGCATTCTTAATTCTTTAATTATTTGATGTAGGTGCGATGAAGCCGATGACATATTTTTTTAAATTAATTTTTAGTGACAAAGATCACTAAAAAACCGCGAGATATGCTAAACCCGATTTATCTCAAGACCCATTTAACATGATAAAATAACGAACCACCACAAATGCTGGATACAAAGCCAAAAGGACTTATCTTCAATATATTTACCAATTTTGTAGTAAAATTGTAAATACCATGACAAATATATTGTGTTTTGGGATAAAGGTCCTTCACCAATGAGTACTAAGAAACCTTTTTGATTACTATCATACTTCCATAGCATTCTTTACCTTACCGTATCTTTGCTAATAATAAATTGTGTTTCCAGCTACTAGACGACAATGGACTGTGTGTTCCCACTGCTCTGTGCCCTTGCTACCACAAAGGGCTGCAATTTAACGCTGGCTATAAAGAGGTCCGAGCTGGTAGACGAGAAAGGGAATTATGGTGAGTTATTAAAAACGATTTTTAACCTCTTTGGACATTAAAAATAGTGCCCTATTCTTAAATTAGTCCGGATCATGTAGGTACAGTATGTTTTTGTATGTTTGTGTACAAATACTTAACTAATAATAATAATTAAAAAAAAGTTTGTTGATAATTTTATTTTCTTCGTCAACTTCTCAACAACTTTAAAAAGAAAATACTTGGAGGCGCCGGGTATCGATCCCGGTACCTCTCGCATGCTAAGCGAGCGCTCTACCATCTGAGCTACGCCCCCGTTATTATTATTTTCCAACTAAAAGTATAGAAGAAATTGATTACGTGTGTACTAAAAATACGTAATACACAAAACTACCCTCAACTTCAAAAAAACACTTTGGAGGCGCCGGGTATCGATCCCGGTACCTCTCGCATGCTAAGCGAGCGCTCTACCATCTGAGCTACGCCCCCGTTATCATTATTCCCCAACTAAAAGTATACAAGAAGTTAATTATGCATGTGATAAAAATACGTAATACAAAACTACCCTCAACATAAAAAAAAACTTGGAGGCGCCGGGTATCGATCCCGGTACCTCTCGCATGCTAAGCGAGCGCTCTACCATCTGAGCTACGCCCCCGTTATTATTATTTTGGAATAAGCAGAACAGATTCTGTTCATGCGTATTATATGCAATATAAATACGCAACAAGAACTTGCTTACCTTTCACTTTTGTAAAACAGTTGCACAATTTCATCGAGGGCGCGTTCTCACTGTATCGGAACGTAAAAAGCACGTTCATATCGTATCGTTGAAAGGCTGTCGTTTCTAGCTATTTGCGTTACCACCACGTAGTATAATATGTTTCGTTGGAATTTTATCGTTAAATGTTAGCCGTATTTAGGCTGACCCCTCGGATACCACCGTGGTGGTTATGTCAGACTCGAGCCGACTAAAAAAAGCACGCCGTCACAGGAACCAGTAACTGGGGAACCCGATGTACCCTAGAAAGGCAATCCCTGGTACCCTGACTGACCCCGGGCCATCTACGGCTTGTAAATGAACTCTTTCTGTCCCCTAAAGGACGCGGGCACTCCGCAGTCCGTCGCGCCGCGTGTCCGCGGTCTGGCTATCAAAGTGGAGGCACCCAGGCGTTGGCCCGAGCCAACGCCTGGGTACCGACCATACCGGCCATGCCGACTAACGCAGATGATCACTGGGACAGGATCCCTTCCCAGTGATCACCTGCGTTAGTCGGTATGTGATGGTCTCGTGTTGTCTTCCAAGCCAATCCTCCATAACGGGCCTTACCGCCATAATAACAGCGTGCAAGAGGCTGTGCCCCCCTGGTTCGTGACGATTTCATAGTAATCGTCATTACGTGTTTTTAGATAACTTCTGTATTGTGTGTTAGTTCCCATGTTCATATGTTAATAGCTTTTTAAAGGGAATGAATAGGAACTTGACGGTAATTTTATTTTTATTTACATTTAACGTCATATTTTTAGTCTATACCATAAAAAAGATGTTTTATTGTCTTAATTGTCTGTCGTGTAACATTAAAAAATAGTGAATGACAGTTACTTATAATCATACCGTATTGGATGTAAATTGTGTGTGTAATATGCAAACCTTTACGTTTTCGATAGCTGTCGTTACGGCATCGCGTAGGAACGCTCACTGATTCAACTTTTAATTTACAAGCAGTCAATGTTATTTTGATAACTTAAGTAAAACATTAAATTATTCTGAATTATATACTTAAAATAGAAAAAAATAATCAACTACATTGTTAAACCTATAAACCTTTTAACACATAGGATGGTAAAACAGAGTCGAGTCCTTAAAGTATAGTCGAGTTGATTAATAAAGAAGAGTGCAGTAATTGACTCATTAATATTGATTCAACTTCACTTAATATCTCCGCTTTGCTTTAGAAACTTTAGAAACGCCTATAGCAGATATAGAAAGAAATCAGACTTTTCAATTAACATATTTTGTTCCTGATAAGTTTTATTTTGTCTTAAACCTAATACATTAACAACAGAAAGTGTTACTGTGTTTTGATATAAGACAAAAATATTTTATTTTTAACTAATTCAACTAAATAACCTTAAAAATAAATTATAGTTAAAAAAAACTAAAGAAACGCTCAAAAATGCGTGGAGTGCTAGATGTCAATTGTTTTAAATATTTAATTGACAGGTATTGGGAAAAGTAAAATTATTAAATTATAAAATATCTTGAAAAGCACAGATGCAGCGGCAGATGTTTATAATATTTTTTTACAACGATAATATTTGGGTTCACTAAAACTATTTATCATATTCAGCACCTGTGTGGGTGCTCGTTGGGATTGCAAGCCGGCGAAACCTGATGAGATTCAGAACTACCCGCCAGCCGAGGATTTGAGGAGTAACTGCAGCGCTAGCAATAACATGGAGTTCAGTACCTGTCAAATTTCAGAGCCGCTTACTTGCAAGGTATGATTCATTTAATCATAAAAGTGCGTAAAACGAACCGTATCTCATCGTAATTCATCAATCAAATCTAAAATGAATGATTAGGTAATATCAATTATGGATCTCTATTTAATCACAGAATATGCACCTCCCACCATCATCCACAACAGCAGAATGCCGTCCAGGTTGCCAGTGTAAAAAGGGCTTCGTTCTGGACATGGTATCTAAAAAATGCGTCACCCCAGCGCAGTGCCCATGTCACCATGGTGGACGCAGTTACCCTGACGGACATACCATGCAAGAAGAGTGTAACAAATGGTGAGTAATTCTTCTACTTCTTATTTCAGCAGTAAGTTCTGCCACCCAACTAATAGAAAGTTGCAGCACAAGCATTACCTTTTGAAATAATTACCGATTAAAAAAACTTGGAATTTGCTGAAAAAATTACTTGGAGGCGCCGGGTATCGATCCCGGTACCTCTCGCATGCTAAGCGAGCGCTCTACCATCTGAGCTACGCCCCCGATATTATTATTCTCCAACTAAAATTATACAAGAAGACGATTATGTGTATAATAAAATACGTAATACAAAACTACCCTCAATTTCAAAAAAATAGTTTGGAGGCGCCGGGTATCGATCCCGGTACCTCTCGCATGCTAAGCGAGCGCTCTACCATCTGAGCTACGCCCCCGTTATTATTATTCTCCAACTAAAATTATACAAGAAGACGATTACGTGTATAATAAAATACGTAATACAAAACTACCCTCAATTTAAAAAAATAGTTTGGAGGCGCCGGGTATCGATCCCGGTACCTCTCGCATGCTAAGCGAGCGCTCTACCATCTGAGCTACGCCCCCGTTATCACTTGACTTCAAACAATCCAATATGTAAAAGATAGTGCACAAATTGGTATGCGTAATGCGTACGTGCCTTTCACTTTTTTGTAATGAATGCCAACTGCTACTGCTGGCTCAGCAATTACGTCACTAATCTACATTATACAAGTAGCCGTCTACAGGCATTTTGATTTGGTTCTATATTATTTTAATTTATTTATCACATAAAACAACTTGACATAGACAACTACAAAATGACAGCTTCTGGAGAAACCGCATAGGTTTATGTTTGAGCCGTCGAGAGTTTACCCTTTAAAACAATGTCGGTGAATGAGGGTAGTTACATGCTACATGACTACATTTCATTGGCTTGTTGGTCTAGTGCCTAGTGGTCCTGACTGCTAAGCCGAGATCGTGGGTTCGATTCCCACTTTACAATTGTGTGATAAGCACGATCATCCGTTATCTGTCTAGGTGTATTTTATCTATAATATGATGTAATTAGAAATATATGTAAGTATGTTTTATCAGTAATGGTTACTATAGGACAGACTCTGCCCACCTTGGGATCAGATGACCCTGTGTGAATTGTATTATGTTATTATAATGTTTTACTCGAACACCTAACCTGATACAATATTTAAAAGACGTGGTTTATAATCCTTACATTTCTCACTGTAAATGTGAATTTGTTTTTTTTTTAACTTACATACAAAGGCTCGTTTTTGGACGAAAATTGACAATACATTCTTGTAACTTGCATAGTAAATGTGCAAAGACAAGAATTGCTTCTGAATTACAACAGTAATGTTATATTTTGAGTCGTACTCTATCGAAATTTATCTCTGAATCCCGAGAGATACCATCGCGGCGATGCAGGTGCCAGGAATATGTGGTATTAACACTCAAAACTACTCCGACGTCCACGCCTCAGACGGCTGACAGCCCCGGAGTAAGGCATAGCAAAACACCACATACACCTGGTTCTGCGTCTTCAAGTCTGCGTCTTCCTTAATAACTATTTACCATCACGGTAATGAATTGAGTGCTTGTTGCCCATAGAAATACTTTGTTCAAACAGTTTAGTGCCTGATACGTAATCTTGGTAATAAACTATACGAATTACTCGTATTATCATTCGTTCATAACTATACTATTTGAATCGTTATCATTATCATTTTTAAATTTATGTTTGGTATTAACAACAGCAGTTTCGTGTTCATTATAAATGAAAACGTTTTGTATTATTTATTTAGTTTGTAAACTTGGTCTGGCATCGCCTTTAACCGGACCAGCTAGCTACCCTACCCTTTTTTGCGGAATCCCCGTGCGGAAATCCCCTCGGATACCACCTATCGGTGGCATGTCGGACTCGAACCGACTAAAACCGCACGCCGTCTCGGGTACTAATAGCCGGGGAACCAGGTAGCTACCCTACCCTAGCGCCTTTAACAGTTACTTAATTGAAATGTTTAAGGGTGCCTGATTTTTTATCATGGTGAAAATACTTTATTTTCAAATAACAGCTGTGTTTGTACAAACACAGACAAGTAATAATAGCACTTGACTAGTGGTAACTAATAAAGTTATTCACAACTGTCTTACAAAATTAGGTTTGAACAACTTCTAAAGCAAAGACAGTTCCATTCCTTTTCATTTTCATTGTTATTCGATGTGTTACATCCTTCCGCTAACTTTCCTGCAATCTAAAAAGGGACGGGAATATGTAATACTAGCTGACCCTGCAAACGTTGTTTTGCTATTTAATTATTATTTTTTTGAATTTCTTAAAATCCGTTCTTAGCTGACCTCTACTCGGTGAAGAATATTCCTACCAAAATTTCAAGTCTTTAGCTCTAATGGTTCCAGAGATATCGTGATGAGTGACTATATACGTGGAAATCTCTTATATATATATAGATAAAGCAGGGAAACTAACGAACAATCACGTGCGTTGCTAGAGTTGTCCTTCAGGTGGCACTTGAGATATCAGATGTTATACATCAACAATGAAAATGAAATGAAATGGAACTATTTTTGCTGTAGGAATTGTGTATGAGATTATTGTAACGCATTTTTTCTTCCTTTCCAGCGAGTGTAATAGCGGTACCTGGAATTGTACGACCAAGAAATGCGCCGGTCTGTGTTCAGCGTGGGGAGACTCCCACCTGGTGACATTCGACGGTAGCGACTATGACTTCGAGGGAGTCTGCACTTATTTACTGGCTAAAGGAGTCATGGACAGCAGCGATGGCTTCGATGTTGAGATACAGGTAAATATAAGATATACTCAGACAAGTTTGGATGGACATATTTATGATCTCAGATCTTATTGTCGAATGCTCTACCATAATAAATGTATGTAACATTCAAGAACCAACTGACTACACTTCTGCTAAATAAGTGTTATTATTCAATTAATGATTTTTTGAATGATAAACTTTAGATGTTAGTTTTTTTGACATTACCTATGTTTATTTGACATTGAATTTATTTTCCTTCTTTCAATCAATATTGCTGACGTAATTATTTTGACCACTTTATTTATATTAATATTATAAGTTGTAATCATTCAAAAATTTATTTGTTGTTTTGAATTTATTGTTAATTTTTGATGCATTTTTAATGTTTGCATGCCTAGTCCAGGTAGATTGTATAAGGATTAGAAAACTTGTTAACATCACTATTTTATGTACCTACAATCAATGCAATTAAAATATATTCTATTCTATTCTATTCTATTCTATTTGAGCGCCCTTAGCCATATAACCTATAATGATTTTTCTTTTTCTTCATTTGTACAGAATGTACCATGTGGCACTACAGGTGCAACTTGCTCCAAATCCGTAACTCTCAAGATTGGACGTGGCAATAACGAGGAGATCGTTTCTCTCACCAAAGACGCTCCTATTCCTGACATTAGCAAACTAAAGAGGTGCGTCAAAAATATCTTTTTAAGATCATATTATTTAACGGTGGTACAGTGGTAGCGTTTACGACTGCTGTGCTGTGGTCTCAGGTTCGATTCCCGGGTCGGACCAAATGTTTGTATGACCTGCAAATATTTGTTTCAGAGTTTTAGTGTTTTCTATGTATACTATTTATACATGTTTTTATTAAAAAACATGTATAAATATTCTATAAGTCAATCTAGCTTTCATAGTACGAGCTCTGCTTAGTTTGAAACTACTCGTATATGGCGTTGTGTGTCAGATGTCCGAAAATTATTATTATATTATACTATCTCACATACATACATCTGCAATACTTCCCCTTTTATCAATAATTATATATTTGCTAGCTTCTCCAGAGTTCAGTACCTTGTCATAAATGGCAAAATCTTATACGAAGTTGAGTTATTATCTCGATTTGAGGGCTCGGACATTCCGACAATAGTGATTTCGAATTACAGGACCTACATGACCTATTAGAGCAATTGTAGTTCCAATTCGTCCTCATAATCAATACCCTTGATTAAAGTAGACATTTTCTTCAGGATCAAGATGCGCATAGCTGGTGCCTACGTATTCCTGGATGTACCTTCTCTAGGCATGAGCCTGCAGTGGGACCGGGGTATGAGGGTCTATGTCAAAGTAGAAGCTATTTGGCAAGGAAGGGTAAGATTTTTTATTTAGTAATTTTAAACAGATTTTCATTGATAATTTATACAGAGTGTTACAGAAAGATGTCATCCATATTTCAGGCGCTAACATTGTTTTTAGAAACCTGTGTTTTTTTCGTCTTCTTATTTTAAAACGACAAATTGAATTTGATAATTAACTGATAAATCCTATAATTCATACGAAAGGCTGCCATGAATGAAGCTATAGATATTTAACACGAAGGGTGGTGATCTAATATCCAGTTCATAAGTTTAATGTCTGATCATCAGAATATAAAATTAAATCATTGAAATTTACTTGAAAAAATATAACATTTTGTATAGAAAGACACGTATATAAAACATCATAAACATAAAAGACCATATCTGTAACTTTAACATACTTTAAATAGGACAGACAATCAACGTGTCCTTGTTTTTAACAGTTCAGTTTAACCATAAGCTGCACTAGCACAGGTTCTAATCCGTGTGGTGATTGATTAAGAATACAGAGTGTTAAAACCCCTATTCATCCCGTGGGTGTCATAAGAGCCGACTAAGGGAGCAAACTACGCAGAACATCACCACTGCAGAGAGAAGGCAAACTTGACACAAACCCTATACCAACCCGTCTGGCCAGCGTGGTATAGTAGGCCAAAACCTCCTTTCCACTTTCTAAGGAGAGGCCTATATCTAGCAGTGAATTATTAAAGGCTGTTGATGATGATGTTAAGGTTAAGTAACAATTTAGTATTAACTGTTTAGTAAAGAGAGAAATGCCAACCGATCTCTTGACCGCTAGGGGAGACTTGGTGGCACTTCTTTCCCAAATGCAGTTTATTTGACATATGTATATTTTTTTCATAGGAACCTATATATTATAAAAATCATGTTAAGTATTTTTTTACTTTTTGCTCAGGTGAAAGGTCTATGCGGCAATTACAACGGCGACATGCGAGATGACTTCCAGACGCCCTCAGGGGGTGGCATGGCTGAATCTTCTATTTTAATATTCGCTGACTCGTGGAAGCTCAAACCGACTTGTCCAAAACCCTCACGGATCATTGTATGTATTTTTTGTGTTTTATTGTGTATTCTGTTGTGGCACCATAAAATTATTTAGCGTGGTTACAAATGTTATTGAAGGGCGTTGTCTTAATACAACAATACGCTTTAACAGTGGTTTTATGAATTATTATCATTTTCTTTTTACCAGTTCTATTTAGGGTTAGCGTAATGAGTACCTAATATTGCAAAGGACGTTGAGTGCGTGATGCGAACCTGCCTTGGGAATAGAATCCTTTTCAGGGGGTACAAAGGTAAATCGGGTTAGGATAAGGGATATCGCAAGTCTCGTATGGAAAAGGGGACTGGAACTGAAGATGCTCGATTAATACATTCTTAATAAGCATATTGTTTAAATAGTTCTATGATGACTGAAGTATGTATGCGCCGGATAGGTATCTATATAGTATAATAATAATAATAATAACCTCACACATCTCACACACGGCCGTCTGATCCCAAACTAGACAGAGCCTGTACTATGGTAACCAGACTGCTGATAAACATACTTATATATTTTTAAATACACACATATTATAGATAGATTACAGATTATCCCAGACACAACAAATGACCGTGCTCATAACACAATATTTGTCCTGGGTGGGAATCGAACCCACGACCTCCGGCTTAGCAGTAAGGGCCACTAACTACTAGACCAAAAGTCCCGTCGCAGTGTCTGTCTATAATAGAGTATATTCAATTAGGATCACTGCAAACAACGTCCCGAGCGCAAAGACTGGGCAGCATCGACTTGCTCGGCCATGAAGCGCTACCCGTTCACGCTGTGCCACGCCGAGGTGCCCCCGTCCCCGTACATAGATCGCTGTACGCGTGACGCGTGCGCGTGCGACTCGGGCGGCGACTGCGACTGCGCATGCGCCGCGCTCGCCAACTACGCGCACGCGTGCGCGCACCGCGGCGTCACCTTCAAGTGGCGGACGCAGGAGACTTGTCGTCAGTAATATTTTCAGCTCTATTTTAATACAATAAGGTTGAAATTTTTTTCATCTTTGTCAGACCTTTAGCTTCTACCTTCAGACCTTCTTCTTCTAAGAATCCTCAGTTTATTAAATACTCCAATACTCTACCACCAGTTTGGGAATGTAAAAGTTTTCAGATTTGATAAAATTAAAACAAGGTAAAATGGGATAAGCAAAATTGAATAGAGTGATGGGACTGGGTAAGAGAAACCCCAGTCTCGTAGGAGGAAGTGGAATTCCAGGGACGAGATCCTCTAAGAGACCCGGATCGCGTGATTGAAGCCAATAGGAGTCAACACGTATAGAAATAATATCATACGCCATAATACGCCAGACGATTAATTTATTATTAATTACAGCCATGCAGTGCGATGAGGAGTGTTCCAACTATGATTCCTGTTTATCGGCGTGTCCGCTAGAAACTTGCGACAACACCCTGTTCTACTCAGATATGAAAATTAACTGTGAACAAGACACTTGCGTGGAAGGTTTGTTGAAATAATACATTTTAAATAACCCAATTACCAAATAATCGTTATTATAAGGTGTGTCTGTGTTTTTTATGAGTTATCCTTACCTACTAATAAGGAGATGAACCTTTTTCTATAAAAAAAACGACGGTTGCACTCCGGGAGTGCCGGCAGAAGTGAAAACTTGAATATTAACGTTGTGCATTTTTGATATTTTGGAATGGTTAGGGAATAATTTTGCACGAATTGCTATAATTATCAGTATAAAAGTACTATCATTTATGCGGTTGAATACAATATTTATTTATTGTGCTATATTACACAAACATGACAATTTATATTACATTAAAAAGTTTACTCTCACTAAACGGCACGCTGCAACATAAACACACACGAACATTCGCGCAAGCGCCCTGCGCCGCCTAAACGAAACAGCAGGCGCAGGCATACATTTTCGCCGCGCCGTAGAAAGAGAGGGGGATACTTCCTCTCCTACGCCGCGCCGGCTGTCTACTCTCCATCCTTCTTACGAATTTTCGGTCATGTGTCCTGACGCGATTTTAACATTTTTACCCATTACAAAAAAGTGTACAACGCCGCTAAAGAAGTTTTCACTTCAAAAACTTTTTGAAATATGATTCAATCGAATTCGTTTTTGGCTATAATTCAAGAACAACTGTTTAACAACCTGTGCTATGGTAACCTGTCTGCTGATAAATATACTTATGTATTTAAAAATACACACATTTTAACTTAAATTAAACCCAGACACAGAATGAATGATCATGCTCATCACACAACATATGTCTAGGGTAGAAATCGAACCCAAGACCTCCCCCGGCTTAGCAGTAAGATCACCAACCACTAGACCAACAAGCCCGTCAATATGTGATCCTAATCTATATAGGGATTAGCGTGCAACGGGAGATGTCTATGTCCAGCAGTGGACTGCTATAGGCTGATGATGATGATGATGATAGGTATGACAGTATAAGAAACAAGTTTATTGCAGCATAAATGTACCTTACCCATTATCATCCAATCAACTCTTGAATTAAAAAGGATTTTTTAATTCAAACAATATTATCTCTTCTAATCACAGGTTGTAAACCCAAGAAGTCCTGCCCTGAAGGCCAGGTGTACAAGAACAGCACCCACATTGAATGCGTACCTCGTGCTAAGTGCAAGCCGGTGTGCATGACTCTGGAGGACGGCAGAGAGGTAGAAGAGGGTGAGATCATCGAAGAGGATGCCTGTCACACGTGCAGGTGTTCTAAGAAACATAAAGTGTGTACTGGACAGCCGTGTTCTACTGCAGCAGTGAGTACCCTTTTGATGATCTTCTAGAAGTATCTGACACTAGGAAACTAATTCAGGGATTGCATTCCCCTTGTGAATTTTTACCTTAAGGGTCTCACAGAAAAACCGGTCTTCTACAATTGTTCCGTTGGTTTTCACCGAGTGACTGAGGTTTTCGGAGACCCAGACGCCCACTATTAGAAGGAGGGTTCCTTCTAATAGTGGGCGGATTCGAAAGGATGGAAACGAATTCCTGCCTTCTGAGGGCGGTCGCTTACCATGAGGCTCGTTGCTCGTTTGACCCCCCTATACATACATTTTAGTTGACTTGTCTTAACTTGTAAGTTTATAACAAGTTAAGCCCCTCCACACGGTTCTTACGAAACATTTAAACGTTGCAACTTTGCCCCCAGCCATCATTGACGTCACCGAAACCTAACGACGAGCCCTTGAAGTGTGTCTCCGGTTGGACCAAATGGATTAATAGAGGACCTCCTGAGATCGGGAACCTTGGGGAGTCTATTGACAACGAACCGCTGCCGAAACCTAATGAACTGGTGAGTTGTTGCCTTGTTGTCATATTGTACATACAGAGCCATCTACTGGCTCGAAGTATATCGAAGATATTTCAAGTAAATTAATCCAGTAAATCCAAAAGCACAAAAAAAATTGATGAAATCGTGGAAACTCCTGGCCGGAAAAGAATTACAGAATTGGCAAGCATATATTGGTTACATATTAGCGAGCTCATAATTTTTAATTATCATCATAATCATCACATCAACAGCCTATAATAGTCCACTGCTGGACATAGGCCTCTCCTTAAAAAGGAGGTTTTGGCCAACTATACCACGCTGGCTAGTCGGGTTGGTATAGGGTTTGTGTCAAGTTTTCCTTCTCTTTGCAGTGCTGTTATCCTTCGTAGTTGGATTCCTTAGTCGGCTTTTACGACACTACGGGATGAATAGGGGTGGTATTACACATTTCGTATTCTTAATCCGTCACACATAACTAACAAAATTAAATTTCTTGTAAAGTTTGTTTTGAGCTTTTTTAATAAAATGGCCAAGTTCAAACTGAATTTGACCATTATATTAAAAGTAATCAAATGCGCGACATTATGGTGAATTTATTCCTAAATCATCTATTACTCAGGTAATCGGAAGTCCGATGTGCAAACAAAGTATGATGAAGAAGATCGAATGTCGCACGGTGGGTGACCACAGGACGCCCAAGGAGACGGGACTGGACGTGGAGTGCAGCCTCGAGAGAGGACTTGTCTGCAAGGAGGTGGGGAAGGCCTGCCTCGACTTTGAGATCAGAGTGTACTGCGAGTGTGAACGTAAGTACAGCGTACGGTGGAGTCACATATTTATACATTGGACTAGATAGATAACTAAAGAGTTTTTGGAGTTTGGTTTTGGGTTTTCAATCCTAAAAGTTGTTTCATAAGAATTATTGAAATTAAAATAAACTAATTGTACCAGAGATTAGCGTCAATAAAAAAAAAAACTGGTGCCTAATATTAGTAAAAATACTTCCGAAGTTTTAGCCACAACTGGGCAAAGTCCTTGTCTTGGTAGCGTGGGCCTACTGTTAGCGGACCAGACTGAGTACTGCCCTTACAGAAGCAGGTCTAAGATGGTTTCGCGACGAATTTGATTCTTCTTTGTTTTAGTCGGTTCGAATCTGACATACCACTTCACCTTCGGCTCTGAAAAGGTGATGACCCGTTGGGGTTTTTACACGACAGAAAAAACACAGGCCATCAAATTTGAATCCATTTTTTCAGAGCCAAATGCATGCGAGAACTCCGTACGTCCTAATGAGCCTCACCCCACGGATTGCACCAAGTTCTACGAATGCGCTCCAGACAAAGTGGTACTAAAGGACTGCGCCCCTGGGACCATGTACAACCCCGTCACGATGGTTTGTGACTGGCCCGCTAGCGTGGCCAAGGTCAGACCTGAATGCGATTCGAACACAATTGGTAAGTTGATAATTTTATGTGGAATTACTGTGTAAACTAATTTTATTACCTATTTAAAACTTAACCTAATCTTAATAAAAAGTCAGATTAACTGATGGAATATTTATATACATATTATTAATACATAGAAAACAACCAAACACCGAAACAAATATTTGCAGATCATGCAAAAGTTTGGTCCTACCCGGGAATCGAACCCGAGACCTCAGCACAGCAGTCAGTGATTTAAAAGTAGCAATAATTGTCATGTCTAAATAGTGTTCTGTTGTCCCCCAGAGGCCGCCCCCCCCGCGGAGTGTCCCCCCGGGAGCGAGTTCTCGGAGTGCGCGTACCGCTGCGACCGCCTGTGCGACTCCTTCAGGACCACGCTCATGGCGCAGGGACGCTGCCGGGGAGAGGTACCGCTCTCTCTCTACTCACTTTTTATTTTATGGAAGAAGAGCAGACGGGTCACCTGACGCAACTCAGGAGTCACCACGCGTCACGGCCTTTTAAAAAAGATACGCTCATTTCCTGAATCTTTGAAGATCTTATAACTTGTTCGATAACTTGTTCCCCAGATTAGTTGTTAGTAAATCCTTGAAAAGCGCAAAATGGTAAAGCGCCAATTATCCAAGTGATGGGTGATCCAATGAAAATTTAATTATTTATTATCTAACTAACCGGAATAAATAAAGTTCACGAACTCCACGTTATTATCTTGTCATGTATACATAAATAACAATTATGATGATTATTCCACTTCTAAGGAATATAAAAACTAGTTCAAACATTAAAACCTGCTAATAAAATTACAGAAATGCGTGGAAGGGTGTAAGAAGCTTTCGTGTGACGCCAACTCTTACTGGCGCGACGAGAACACCTGTGTGCCGATGAAGGACTGCACTTGCTTCTCAGAAGGCAAGATTGTTAAGGTAACAGTATACTAAAATCCCACCTAAACATTACTTAAAAATAACCCTGCCTGTTAACAAAAAAAAATTGTTTTAAAAAATTAAAAAACACGCTTTTTATAGAAAACCAAACTAAAAAATAGAAAATAAATTTTAATAAATTTGAAAAAAGCGTTGGGTGTAGTTTTTAAAACTATTTTATTTATTATTTTAAACTATATTAATTACTGTATTGTCATCGGTCCTCGATATATCTACAAAGTTTGAACGAATTCTGACCGTTTAAAGTCAGTCAAAATCACGCCCAAAGGAGTCGGTTACAAACAAACATACAAGTGAAGCTAATATAAAGCGTGTAAAAGGGGGGTTGAAAGTACGAGCTTTCTAACTTTTATTAGATAACAACATTTTATAGTGACTGTGTCGATATTTAAATTCTTTGTGCCCTAAATTAAATTGATTCATTATAACATCATGACCCTTGCTCCGTGTGGTGACGAAGTGTCACCACCCCTATTCACCCCGTGGGTGTTGTACGAGCCGATTAAAGGAACAGACTACGCATGACAACAGCACTGCAGAGAGAAGAGAAACTTGACCAAAACCTTCTTTCTAAGGAGAGGCTTATGTCCAGCAGTGGACTGTTAAAGGCTGTTGATGATGATGAACTGTTGCTATATCATTTACTTTCTAATATATGATATAACAATGAAATATAATAGAAAACTACGAATATATTTTTTTAGAGTAATATATTTTTACAGCAAATTGAGCAAATAATAACTCTTTCAATAAAATACAGATTAAATAATTAATTCTCTGTCACTCTCTACTCTGCAGCCAGGAGGAGTGGTAGTAGACGGTTGCATCAAGTGCCAATGTATCAACAATAACTTCCACTGTGACTCAAGCGAGTGTGTGGTAGTCAGTACCATTGTGCCAGGGTCTACGCATCAGCCGATCATCGAACCCCACATTTTTCCCACTCCCGGAAAACCACGTACCACCACAACCACAACTACAACAACTACTCCACAGCCTACATCACCATCTACAATACCAGTTCCTGAATGCTTGCCTGAAAAGTAAGTGTTATTTTTTATTAAGCCTGTGAGTCACTGAAAGAACGATTCTATTCGCATCAAAATATTACAGAAGTTCATCTAGATAGATCTTTGTTGATGAGTCGTGGGTTCGATTCCGACCTCGTTATTCGAATTGTGCATGTACCACATTATTTGTTCAGTACAAAACTTAGCTACTATATGTATGTATTGGTATGGGTACCAGGGTCATCGTTTATAAGGTCTACGTTACATAATTTAGAAATAGCGACTGCAACGTCAGGTATCGCGGGTTCGATTACCGCTCAGTGTAATTATCGCGGAATCGCGGAATTATCGGAATATATCCTGTATCGCGGGGGACTTTACAAACATACATGAAACGGACACAAAGAACACCCAGACTTAGAACAACAATTTGTGGATCACACAAAGTGTCGTCCCATGTGGGGTTTGAACCCACAACACTCGGCGCAGTAGGAAGCGGCGTGGCGACCGCTTAAACCACCGCGCCATCCGTGCAGTCACTCCAATTTTATTTCCTAAATACGTGCTTAAGAAAATGAAATGACACCTTTAAATTTAAATAAGAGATAGATATCGGTTAACAAAGCTTCTGTGGGTAGTTATATACGTCCTTATATTAACAGCTACGTAGATCTCCTGTGGGGTGACCAGCCGTTGCCTGATTCAGCGTTCAGCGCCAGTTCCGTCGCCAGCCGACTGTACGAGCCGCAGTACGCCAAGCTGAACGGACACCCACTTGACATCACAGGTATTTTCACTACACAGGCAACACTCTTCAATCTTTGTATAGATAGTTCAACTCAGTTGTGCGCGCGGGCCTATGTGTGCGTGGGCTTGTAAATATACAACTTTCATTCGTGTGGCAGTGACGCGGCAGTCGGACGACGACTGCCACACGAATGAAAGTTGAAAATATTAGAAATATATATATATATATATATATATATATATACTAGCTGACCCCGCAAACGTTGTTTTGCCACATACTTTTTTTTTTGTGTGTGTCAAAAAAAAAAATAAAAAAAATGAGGGGTATGAAAAACACTATTATGCACACAAAATTACACGAAAATCGGTCGAGCCGTTTCGGAGGATTTCAACTTCTAAAACCGTGACACGAGAATTTTATATATTAGACTAGCTGACCCCGCAAACGTTGTTTTGCCATATACATTATTTAAAAAAAAAATGTCAAAAAAATAATAATTGGGCTATGAAAAATAGATGTTGGCCGATTCTCAGACCTACTCGATGTGCACACAAAATTTTACGAACATCGGTCTAGCCGTTTCGGAGGAGTTCAACTTCTAACACCGTGACACGAGAATTTTAAATATTAGATATATTTAGTACATAATGTAAGAGGAACTCCAAGGGCAGCAACACACTTGTGACTTTTGAGTTGCAGGTGTCCATGGGCGGTGGTAGTTGCTTACCATCAGGTGACCCGTCTGCTCGTTTGCCCCCTTAAACCATAAAAAAAACAAAAAGATATGTGTACATAGGAAAAATTATTTGTCGAATGTCGGCGCGTAGCAGTGATGGTGTGGTAATCGTAGAACCAAAGAGTAACCGGTTTAAACTCCTTGCGCCGCATCACCCTTAAGAAACGGCGTGAACAGAAACATTAGTTCACATTACTACGTAGTATTGTACCTACGTGACCCTTTTTGTTGCGTATTACAAAAACCACTTATTTAAAATAAAATATATATATATTTGTTAAAAAATGTAAAATTGAATTTTAAAAACTCAAGCAAATGTAGGAAAGAATTTAAAGAAATGACCAGAATAAAGTAGAGACTGTATTTTAGACATAGTTTTTTTTCTAAAAACTAAAACACGTATAATACTATACAAATGTTTGCACTTAATAAAAACAGAATTACAAAACTCGTAGATATGTACATTCAATAATTAAACTAGAATTGCTGTCGGGTTGACTTATTATACCCGAATAGTTGTCCGTGTGGTGATGGATTAAGAATACAGAGTGTCACCACCCCTATTCACCCCGTGGGTGTCGTAAAATCCGACTAAGGGACTAAACTACGCAGGACAACAGCACTGCAAGGAGATAGAAAACTTGAAACAAACCCTATACCAACCCGTCTGGCCAGCGTGGTATAGATGGCCAAAACCTCCTTTCTAAGGAGAGGCCTATGTCCAACAGTGGACCATTAAAGGCTGTAGATGATACCCAAATAGGTTGCTATCACTTGCGGTTTCGCGCATGAGATGTGGACCATTATCAAAACTTTAGAACGTATCGTAAAATTGTTTTGATTTATACCCTGTATTTGTGTCAAATTCTTTAATAGCTGGCAGTTGGAATCCAAAGACCCAGGACCAGAACCAGTATATACAAGTAGAATTTCCTGCACCTCAACCTATCTACGGCGTGAAGATGCAAGGCAGTCCACTATTCACCCAGTACGTCACCTCCTACGAAGTGTTGTATGGACCCGACAAAGACCACCTGGTACCCGTTCCTGGAGATGATGGAAAGCCTAAGGTACACTAATAATATATTCGTATATTTTACCCTTAAAATGTAATTAAACTAACTCCTGGACTCTCTGATTTTGCCTTAAAAAGACTACTTAACATTGGTCACTTTCTTTGATTATTATATAACTTTCTATTTACAATTTGTGGGCAGTTGCCCACAAATTGTATTTTTTTAGGTCAGTCAGTTTCCAAGTTTCAAGTTAAATTTAGTCAGTCAAGATATTTTTTAATACTGTTACCCCTGTACTGTACTGTTTTTTTTTTCTGTGCGAAACTCCCCTCGGATGCCACCCATCAGTGGGTGATTATGTCGGACTCGAACCGACCAAAAACCGCACGCCGTCTCCAGGTACCAGTAGCCGTGGAACCAGGTATTCCCTAGAAAGGAAACCTGGTACCCCAACGTACCTCGGGCCATCTACGGCTTATAGATGACCACACCTATGTGGGAACAATACTGTTACCCTTTATTTTTTTTATTCAACTACCTTCAGATGCTTTAAAACTTAAGCGTAATAGGAGCGTTGAATAAGTAAGTAAGCTTGAGACTAAGCGGCTCCTAAAGCAATGTATTTTGGGGGTCTCCAGACCTTGATTACCACCGCAGGAATGTTACGATCGATTACCTATAGACAATGGATTAGTTATGGTGTAAGAACATCGCCATAAGAATACCTCTCATTACATTAGCCAAACCTTGCAGGTGTTCACCGGACCTTCAGACAATAATAATTCTAAGAAGCAAATGATAGAACCACCAGTAGCTGCCAAGGTCATCCGCATCAGACCTCTGACGTGGCACGAAGAAATTGCCTTACGATTCGAGCTCATTGGTTGTGGGGAACTGACGACAACTGAAGAACCTACTACTGTTATGTCTACTACGACTAGTTCGACTACGACTACAACGACTACACCTACAACAACAATACCAGAAACGACGACTACACGAATAACGACGACAACTATTGCAGCTCCTCTTATTCTTCAATCAACTGTTAGCCCGCCGCCTGAATGTAGTCCTTACAGGTAAGATTCTTTTCCATACTTTGGTTGCTTTTCTCTGAGGTTAGCGGTAATTCCTGGGGGTGGGGAGGGGGGGGGCAGAAGGACACGTAAAAGGTGGCATCATATTTGTGTCTTGGTATTCATGACGACGGGGGTCTCTTATCATCTGCAAGTTTGGCTCCATAAAAAAGAAAAAAGCTGTACTTCCTCACTAATCAATAATAATAAATTATCTATATCCAGCTACATAGACTTGATGTGGGGTGACCAACCATTGCCGGACTCCGCCTTTAGCGCCAGCTCAACGGCCAGCTCGCTCAATCAACCTAAAGATGCGGTACTCAATGGTTTTCCACTAAATCACACAGGTAACACTTTGTCAGACTATTTATTTTTACCCTTGAGGCACGGGAAACCTTGTTCTCAGACCCAGAACAGTCATGGCAACAAACTGAAGCCTAACTGAAATGTTCGATACTCTTTCACGCCTTAATTACTTAACTTCTAATTATGTAAATTGGTATACACATATCAGATGTACAGAGCAGGACCAAAATTTATCTGTTCCCGAAGGTTACTTGAATTTCCAAAATTTTCACCAGCTGGCAGTTGGAATCCGAGCGTCTCAGACAAGAACCAGTACATCCAAGTGGAATTCCCTCGGCGAGAACCAATCTATGGTGTAATGATGCAAGGTAGTCCTCTGTTTGATCAGTACGTCACCAGCTACGAGGTACTTTATGGCGATGATGGAAAGGTATTCTCTACAGTCAACGGACCTGATGGTAAACCTAAGGTTAGTAATGGCAATACTTGATTATTTTTTCTCTTTAGGACGGTCCATTTTGCTTATTTATTATACAGGTTGTTACGGAAACATGTGGTTAAAATTTTACAAGTTTTAAATATCGATGTAAAATAGTTAACTTCTTTGAAAATTGCTTTTTCTAGTAAATGTGACTAAACATCAAATTATGAATTTTCATGTCAACTTCAATGATTTTGTTTTTTTATCATTGAAAAATCGGTTTAAAATAAACTAATTAATCCAAATTCCTCAGGTATTCCGTGGGCCAGTAGACAACCAAACCCCCAAGAAACAGATGATCGAACCGCCGATAGAGGCGAAGGTGGTCCGCATCAAGCCTCTCACGTGGCACGAACAGATCGCCGTCAGGTTCGAGCTCATCGGGTGTCAGGAGCCGGTGGAAACTGAGTCCACATCTGAAGCATCCACCGTTAGTACATTTTATAGTTTATATCCATACCTAATCAGGCCCTATCCCAGGGAAAAACACTTCCCCCCGCAATCGCGACGTGGTGGCCCAATTGCGTCTTAATGCAATCAGGCCGCCATCCTATCCCCTACCGTAGCATTCAAGTTATTTAAACCTAATGTAATGCTTAATGTTTCACCGACTTAGTGAGGTTCATCAATTTATTGATTTGATCTCAGAAACCGAAGTTGATTTACGTTTGCATCAAGGCTTAGAACTTGACATACTGATATTATATTGCTTAAAGTAGTTAAAGTGTTACAGTGACACAAAAAATGACGATACATAAAAAGCGGATGAAGCCTTTGCTTAATTAACTGGTAAATGTTGAGAGCAATAAGTTATTCGTAGATATTATAAATGATATTAATAGACTGCCTCGGGTGGTGCAGTGGTAGCGTATGCGACTGCTGTTCTGAGGTCTCGGGTTCCCGGATTCCCGGGTCGGACCTAATGTTTGTATGAGCTGCAAATATTTGTTTCGGAGTTTTGGTGTTTTCTATGTATAATATGTATTTATTTACAGAAAAAAGTACATAAGTATTCTATCAGTCAATCTAGCTTTCAAAGTACAAGCTCTGCTTAGCTTGAAAAACTAGAAGGCGTTGTAAAATATAAACAAAAAAAATCTCCCAACATTAATGTTCTATGTAGACTCCATCACTGGATTGCACTGAACCTCTGGGCATGGCGGCTGGTCTGCCCGTAGAGATGATAGAAGTGAGCTCCAACTTCGACGCCCGGCAGTACTTCACACTCGAGGGGGAGAGAGGCTGGAGGCCGCTCTACAGCACTCCCGGGGAATGGATCATGGTAAGTGGAAAATGTGGAAACTATACTTGTTGTGTTATAGTTAGTCACGAACGCACGCAAAACAGTAAATCTTTGATCAATTAAAAGGCGTTTAATTTTTTTTTCTTTATGTATTGTTTTGTCCCGTGTGGTGACGGATTAAGAATATAGCGTGTCACCACCCCTATTCATCTCGTGGGTGTCGTAAGGGAGAAAACTACGCAGAACAACAGCACTGCAGAGAGAAGGAAAACTTGACACAAACCCTATACCAACTCATCTGGCCAGCGTGGTATGGTATGCCAAAACCTCCTTTCTAAGGAGAGGCCTATGTCCAGTAGTGGACTATTAAAGGCTGTTGATGTGATGATGTGATGTGAATATGTCTATTTTGTGTGTATGTATTGATTTAAACTATCATGGTCATTTTCACTTCATAAGTTATGATTATATTTACCATGAAACATGGTAAAATATCCTGTTTATAATCAACTAGTTGCTTCGTCTACTTCTTACAAAAATAATAAATTTTCCTTTTTCTGCAACATTTTTCATTGATACTTGGTTCCTATTGGACACAGCACGATATTATATAACCTATATCCTTCATCGATATAAGGTCTATCCAACACTAAAAGAATTTCTAAATAGAACCCAGAACCCTGAAGTAGTTCCTGAGATTATTCCGAACATACAAACTCATAAAGTAATAAACTCGCATCTAGTGAAGTCGTGCAAGTTTTTCAGTTTGTTTGAATACTGTAAAACTACCAAACGACTAAGTGACAATTTCTTTTACAGTTCAACTTCACTTCACCACGTAACATCACCGGCATCTACACCAAGGGTGGTCCCAAGGGTTGGGTGTCCACCTACAAGATTCTTTACACCTCTGACCTTTCGATCTTCAACCCTGTAGTCGACGAGCGGAAAGAAGATGTGATCTTTGCTGGAAACTATGACAAGGAGAGTACGGCAACGAACGAGTTCCATCCACCGTTACACGCACAGTATCTGAAAGTTCTGCCACTTACCTGGAAGGATAATATTGAAATGAGGGTTGAACCCATCGGATGCTTCGAGCCCTATCGTAAGTATATTGAATCAAAAATCAGTTTATATATAAGACTCAACTCTTTACCAATTAAATTTCAAATCATACAACATCAGTTATGTTTGCTAAAACCACAAACCAGCTTAAAAGCAAGCTGACCGACCGAATGGCGTAGTAGTTTGTGTAACGGACTGCTATGCCAAAGGTCGCGGGTTCGATTCCCGCTCAAGTCAAACATTTGTGTGCATGAACATTTAATGTTTGATTTGGTCTGGGTGTTTCTATGTATAATAAGTATGTATTTACAAAAAAAAAGTATATATGTATTTATATCAGTTGTCTAGTACCCATAGTACAAGCTCTACTTAGTTTGGGACTAGATGGCGTTGTGTGAATGTGGTAAAAAAAAAAAACTATTAAAGCAATGCAATTTAAAGCAAGGATGCTCCAGTGTTTGCTAAATTAAATACTGCAAAATATTTTTTATTAGGGTAATAATAAGTACCTTTTTTTAGTAAATTTTCTAAAAGAGAAACTTAGCTATATCGATTAGTCGCCCCCGAAACCCCCTGCATACTAAATTTCATGAAAATCGTTTTACTTACTGGCCAGTCAAGTTGAAGTTACATACGGAATTGTGTGTTACTTAAAAAACAAAATTTTTTTGCTACTACTAAGTGATGCTAATAATTTATACATAATCGGATCTTCTTTGGATTTAATAAATTGTAGTGAAATATAATATAATATAATAATAATATATTTTACTACATACACACAACGCCATCTAGTCCCAAACTAAGCAGAGCTTGTACTATGGGTACTAGACAACTGATATAAATACATTTATACTTTCTTTTTTTTTGTAAATACATACATATTATACATAGAAACACCCAGACCAAATCAAACATTAAATGTTCATGCACACAAATGTTTGACTTGAGCGGGAATCGAACCCGCGACCTTTGGAATAGCAGTCCGTTACACAAACCACTATGCCATCTGTATCTTTAACGAGATTTTATCAACTTGCCTCCAAACACTCCCACCTGCGTGTCATCGTCTTTTCTGCAGCGTTCAACATTGACTTTATCTTTTTCTTGGTATTTCTGAACAGCAACAACAGTAGCAACAGAGACTACTCCCAGCCGTTACAGGGAGCCAGTGCTAAAGAACACCTGCGAGTTCTGTCCCGGCGTGCAGAAAACAGAGTTTGCGTGCGTGTGCGCGGACCCCGCCAAGTACTACGACGGGGAGAACTGCGTCACCAGGGACCAGTGCCCGTGCATAGAGTCCTTCATGTCGTGAGTACTTGTGTTAATTCCTCGTCATCATCATCATCATCAGCCTATCGCAGTCCACTGCTGGACATAGGCCTGTCCCATTGCACGCCACTTAGATCGATTTTGGGCTTCTCGCATCCAGCTCCTGCCAGCCATCTTGCGCAAATCGTCACTCCACCTGGCCTGTGGGCGTCCTACACTACGTTTGTCGAGACGCGGTCTCCACTCAAGAACTCGTTTTCCCCAACGGTTATCGGTTCTGCGGCTAATATGGCCAGCCCACTGCCACTTCAGCTTGCTGATCCGGTACGCTATGTCGGTGACCTTGGTTCTCTGCAATTCCTCTCTAATTCCTCGTGCATCTCCTTTAATAGCAAGTTTTACTCCGTACTTTAGGTATAAAGTAGGCATGGAACAAAATCACAGTGAACTGAGAATGCACGGATCGCGTAGTTAGCGCGTCACCTTTTTTTTTTTTTTTTTTTTTTTTTTCCGTGCGGAAATCCCCTCGGATACCACCTGTCGGTGGCATGTCGGACTCGAACCGACTAAAACCGCACGCCTTCGCCGGGTACTAATAGCCGGGGAACCAGGTATACCCTAGAAAGGAAGGCCCTGGTGCCCCGACATACCTCGGGTCATCTACAGACGAGTAGACGACCCCCGCCCCGTGTGGGAACCCCATGTTCCCTGTGCTCCCTGGAAGCGAGCGCGCTTCGCAACGCGCTCGCCGCCACCCCGGCCTGCTTCTGCTAGGGTGACAGATGGCCTCACCTGTCACCCCCAGGCCTGCGCTTATGGAGGACGGAGGTCGTTCTGCGACCTCCGGCGCCTGAGTCGCTTGCGCTGCCTGGCCCGTGCCCGGGCCTGGCGGGCCGGGAGAGTTCTAAACCTCTCCCGGTCCCGCTCCGCCGTCTCCTTCGCGAGCATAACTTGCTCGCAGAAGGAGACGGCAGAGTTCCACGCACTCTCGCTCCGCACGATAGCCGCAATCAGGCTATCGAGCGAGAGAACTCCCACTCCGATGGCCGCCACGAGGTCTCGCCTCTGCTCAACCCACGCCGGGCACTCTGCCAGCGTGTGGAGAGCCGTGTCCACGGTCTGGCCATCGCAGTGGTGGCACTCAGGCGTTGGCTCCTTGCGGATCAGACACAGGTGATCTCCGAAACATCCCTTCCCAGTGATCACCTGCGTCAATCGGTATGAGAGGGTCCCGTGACGCCTCTCGAGCCAATCCTCCATAACGGGTCTTACCGCCGCAATGACGGCGTGCCCAGCGCTCGGTTGCCCGAGTCGTTCCCTCCACTCCCCTATGATGACCTGGCGGAGTTGGGATTTCCGGTCATCGATTTCTCGAATCTCGGGGCATCGACCCAACTCCTGCGCCTCCTTGCGCCACTGATACAGTGCCGCAAGGGCTCTCGCCTCCAGGTCCCACGGTGGACTTCCGGCCAGGAGACTCGCTGCCTCAAAGGAGATCGTGCGGTACCCCCTTATGATCCTGATGGCCAGCATTCGCTGCGGTCGTCGCAGTATCGCGACGTTGCTGGCCTTCAGGGCCCCCGCCCATACCGGGCACCCGTAAAGGGCCATGGACCGCACAAGTTAGCGCGTCACCTAGCCGCTTACTACTACGTTAAGTGTTGTGGGTCCGATCCCCACATGGGACAACACTTTGTGTGATCCACAAATGATTGTTGTCTGGGTGTTCTTTGTGTCCGTTTCATGTTTGTTTGTAAAGTCCCCCGCGATATATTCCTAATGCGAGAGTTGACTTAAAAAATAACAATAATTAATTATTTTATTATATGTATATAACTACAATTCCCTACATAATAATTAAGAAAATACTAGATTTACTGTTAAAAATAACGTAACAGGCACTACTTATAGTGATAAAATGTTGAGATTAATTTTATTATTCTTTAAAAGAAGATCTTCCTGTAAAGAGAAGAAGTACCTGTACGTTCGTCAAGAACCTCAGCGGCCTGAGGTCGCGGCTTCGATTCCCACTGAAGACAAATAACTATGTCCGTGTGTAATTAACTATAATATGTAAATAGTAATAAATAAGTATTTTATCAGCACTTTGTTTATCATAGTTCAGGCTTTACCTTGTCTGGGATCAAACAGATTTGTGTGAGATGTCTAAAAATTTTATTATTTGTGTATATGCATGTTTTTATGCAATGATATATATTTATTTTATATATTATCAGATACCCCGTGGGCTCCTCCTTCCGAGGGTCGAACTGTGATGAGTGCGTGTGCAAGCTGGGTGGGGTCACCATCTGCACGCCGGTCAAGGAGTGCACGTGTGCACCGGTAAGGACTAACTTTTCAAAGGATTTCGCACGTATTTTAATTAAGGTTCCTAATTAATGTCATTAATGCGAATCACAGTTTATTGTTATTTCACTCCACTGCTCAACTGATTGCTTTTGGAACTTTGCACACACGTTGTCACAAAAAACGCATTAGAAACCTCTCATTAAAATAAAGTAGTTACTGTTCTCGAGCGACTTGATTATCAAAATCTGTTTTATCGTAAGGAAACTTTTTCCACGGTTTCGGTTCGGTTAACTATCTTTGTGCCAAATTTCATTAAAATCCATCTAACTGCCCTGTGATTACATGACGTACATTTACGTTAATATGATATCCATGTGACATAAAACAATAATTTTATATCATTTTGATATCACATTTACGTAAATTGATGTCATGTGTTCACTGAGTATTCAGACATTCGTCCATCCATTCACAAATATAGATACTAAAATATTATCATTATTTATATAGGAATTAATACCGAAGCTTTCCAAATCGACATGCGATTGCGGCTGTGAACCTTGTCCCAACGGCACCAAGATCTGCTCCACGAGCAAACTGTGCCTACCTCTCGAAAAGTGGTGCAACGGTCTCCAAGACTGTCCTGACGATGAGAAGGATTGCACAACCAATTCCACCAGCACCGTCACTACTCCGAAGACGACAGTCACTGAACCCACTATTGTGACTACTCATCAGCCAACTGTAGCTGCAGAACCCACCACTCCTAAACGTGAGTATTAAACATTCACATTAAACCCTAATATTTTCTAAACGTTTCCTCAAGAAAAAACTAAGTTTTGAAATTTGGAATAAAATGTAGATAATGATTAAAGCAAGTCCCTTAAGCGAGTGGAAGTTTTTTCCTTTTATATTTGTTTAAATTTGGTAGGTTTAGGTCATCTAACATTTGCACAAAGGATCTACCATTTAACAAAATGCTGGATTACATATATTAAACTGAGTGTGTTTTTGAAAACCATTTTATAAAACTAACACTGTAGAGGGCTTCGTACTCTTTTGTTATTTTGTCAAATAAGTCATAAGTATTTACGACAATTCTTTGTCATTTAAAGAACACAAATAATATTTTTCTTTATATTTCAACAGCTGTGGTATGCCCGGTGGTGGAGTGTCCACCTGGCTACTCTGTCGTCTATACTAAAAGCTCTCCGACCACTTCTCCCTCAACAACGTACGGAAATTCCGATCTACCGCCTCCAAGACCTCGGTACTCCTACCAAAGATACGTTAAGGGTGGCTACTCTAAGGGTGGCTACTCTAAGGGCGGTTACTCAAAGGGTGGCTATTCTAAGGGAGGTTATTCAAAGGGAGGATACTCTAAAGGAGGATATGGTGGATACGGTAAGAATGAAAATTTGTGATATTTACAATCTTAATATATGTTTTTATGTGTTTTTTTTTCAATAATAATAAAAAAGCTTGTAATACTCGTATGAATAAAATGAACTTATTAATAATTAAGATTCGGTTTCCATTAGCACGAAACTTTATCATCCTAACGACTGTAGTAACGAAAGCCTCGCGCCTCCCATCTACGCCAAGTGCTGTGGGTTCGATCCCCACGTGGGACAACACTTTGTGTGATCCACAAATTGCTGCTCTCAGTCTGGGCTCTAATCAGTCTGCATCTAATCAATTTATAATTTAAAAGATTAATTCTCTCTCGGTAGGCTTGCCACCCCCATCTCGTCCAAGCGAAGCCTTCTCCCTGGACAAGCCCGAAGTAAACACGACCCTGGCAGCACCAGTACAGGAATGCGCACAATTCAAGTGTATCCCCAAGCTGCCGCCGTTCAGACCTGGTGGTGGAGTGACTCCTCCTCCTGTCTGTTCCGTGGTGTCTTGTCCTCAAGGGTACACCCTCAAGTTAGACAGCGTTGCGTCCATGCACAACAGATGCCCTCAGTAAGTGATTCAAATATACAACCCGTTTAGATTTAAGCAACAATACTCGTCATAAATGTAGAATATTAACCACAGAACTGAAAGAGCGGCTGTTTTGTTGTTGTTTTTTTTATTAAAAATATGTAGAAACTACATTAATTAATCAAGAGGAAAAAACAGGGTTTTTTTTTATTTTTTTTAAAAACTAAAATGCATACAATGAACACTTGACAATTTCGGTAGTGTATCGCTGGTGCCTGAGGTAGGTATAAAAACCTGTGTTACAGGACACCAGGTCCCCACTCGGACCTCGCCTTGACATTTCAAAATACCTTAGCGAGGTGGTTACAAAATTTAAGAAAAAAAAGAAAAAGAAACGAAAACAAAACAAAAACAGGGTGTGTGTGTGTGTGTGTGTGTGTGTGTGTGTGTGTGTGTATGTGTCTGTCATATGACATATCCACTAGACTTACATATGTGCGCACACCAGTTTCTTTACAGTCGCACAACAGTGTAATAAGCTTGTTTATTTATTAAATATTCTGCACGTAAGATTATAAATCATCCTCATCCTCCTAGTTTTTGTCTAAACTAATAATAATAATTTAATAACAGTAATTTTACTCACAACTATTTCAAATGAGGATATACTCAGGTATATACTCCTAATTGTAGCTTACTCAGAAAACGCAACAGCTAAAAACATGAAGGAACTAATAATCAACTAGGATGGAGTCAGCTTCCATTCCACTACGACACGGCTGAAATTCGATTTTTACATGGAGCGACGCCAGCCACAAGCCAATAAATATTAATTATAAAGATAACGAGCTCTCCAAGGGACGGATGGATGTGTTAAGAATGGTCACCGATGCATAGACTGACCTGCCTATATCAACAACCTTTAATAGTCCACTGCTGGACATAGGCCTCTCCTTCGAAAGGAGGTTTTGGCCTACTATACCACGCTGGCCAGACGGGTTAGGTTGGACTGACCTGCCTATAATTTCTTAACTTTGCAATGTGTGTGCACGAGCCCGTCAAACTTTTTGCAAGTGTAATATATATATATATATATACCTACTGTAAATAGGTCCCATGTCATAAGCCATTCAGAGTCATAAGCCATTGCCTTGTCTCTAGGTACGACTGTGTCCCGCCGCCTGAACGCCAAGTGTTCTGCAATGTTACCGGACGCACGTTCAACACCTTCGATGGCACCGAGTACAAATACGACGCCTGCTTCCACATACTCGCTAGAGAGAACAAGTTTGACTCTTGGCTCATACTCCGTAAGTATGGGATGGGGGGTGCACTTATAGACGAGTTACCTGATGTTCAGTTAATACCGCCTTGACACTTGCAACTCGAAAGCACAATAATATAATATGATAGTCTCACACATCTCACACACGGCCGTCTGATCCCAAACTAGGCAGAGCCTGTACTATAGTAACCAGACTGCTGATAAACATACTTATATATTTCTAGATATAAGTACACCCAGACACAGAACAAATGACCGTGCTCATCACCCAATTATTTGTTCTGGGTGGGAATCGAACCCACGACCTCTGGCGTAGCAGTCAGGATCACTAACCACTAGACCAACAGGTCAGTCTCCAAGCTACAAGTGTATTTAAACCTAGGGCGGTATACTATGAGGATCTTGTGTCAACTAGGGTGAATATCCGTGCGTTTAGGCGATTCTGCCATACATATTATAAAAATCAAATTTAGCTTACTTAGGACCCATAATATTTTGTGGCCGTGGTGCTTCCATGCTTAAAAGGGTGTATGCCTACTTCATTTTGTCTCCCGCTTTGATCTCCTTACCAATTTTTTTTTTTTTTTAAACGGCAACTCCCGCACTATCCAATATGAAAGAAGGAAGGAAGTGGATTTATTGCATTTAAAACTTTTCCAATTTTCTTATGATTAACTTGTGGGTTCATTGTGGGTACATTGTGGGTTCCAAGACAGTTTGTTTTTCCTGTTACTTCCCGAGTGTTCGTCGTCATAACTGCTGTTAATCCTGGTGTGCAGGAGTTACAGTGGTGGGCGTGTGGAAGGAATTAGTCCCATTAAAAAAAAAACCTTTTGAGTCTCCCCTGCCCCAGAATCAAGAAGGGAAAGGATTGTGCTATTGTTAACCTCACTCAATCGGAAAAAAAAACAACAAAGGAATTGCTTAGTAGCGGTTTTCTGTGTGACCCTAGTAGTAGTTAAGTCGAGCCGGCCAATTTTTGCTAAACCGTAACTCACCTAGGGTTGACATTTATCCGGATGTCTTAACAGCAGCAGTGCCCGGATCCCTCCTGTTATAGGCGCAGAGTGCCACACCGTGTGGTTTTAGTGGGTCACATTCTGACACACCACCACGCTGTAAACCTCGGTGGGGTGACTACCTACGGGGTTTCCACACGCAATAAATAAAAGGGTTAACATTAATAACGTAAGTGTGTTACAGCATGATCCGTTAGCACATAAGTTTTACGGTAATGCTACCATTTAACTATTGCACAGGCAGTGGTCACAGGCTGACTCGACCTCACTTGACAGTCCTCTAGTGACCACGTCCAGTCTGTCTGTATGCATGTATGTAAAATCTAACCAACAGACTAGTCGAGGTCTAACTGGGATGCGACTGCTGTGCTGAGGTCTCGGGTTCGATTATCGGGTCAGACTAAATGTTTGTATGATCTGCAAATATTTGTTTTGGCGTTCGGGTATTTTCTATGTTTATTATGTATTAATTTACAAAAAAAGTTATAAGTATTCCAGCAAACAATCTAGCTTTCATAGTACAAGTTCTGCTTAGTTTGAAACAAGATGACTTCGTGTATCAGATTTCCAAAATATTATCATTATTATCAATATATTTTGTTACAGTCCGCAAGAAATGTCGTTTAGACGGATGCCGCAACGAGCTTCTGGTACTCCAAGACGATCAACTGATCCTCGTTAAACCCAACATGATGATAGAATACGACAACTACGAGTATACCGTGGAGCAGACCAGCAAAATCTGCTTCCAAAAGAACAGCTATGACGTGGCGCAACTTGGAAACGGTATTTCGATCAAGTCTAGGAAGTACAACTTCACAGTGCTGTACAGCTCCGAAGGTGATATCAAGATTGGTGTAAGTAACTTTCAAGACCTTAATAGTAAGTTTATAATAATAATACGTTCACACATCTCACACACGGCCGTCTGATCCCAAACTAGACAGAGCCTGTACTATGGTAACCAGACTGCTGATAAACATACTTATATATTTCTAAATACATACATATCATAGATAAATTACACATAAACGCAGAACAAATCACCGTGCTTATCACACAATTATTTGTCCTGGCTGGGAATCGAACCCACTACCTTCGGCTTAGCAGTTAGGGTCACTAACCACTAGATCAACAGGGCTGTCAATATGTTATAGACACTAGAGATGTGACGTCGGCTTCGGTGCTCACTCAGTGCATATTTTTTTATGATGGAAAAGGCAAACGAGCAGAGGGGTCATCTGATGGAAAGTGACTACCGCAGCCCATGAAATTTTTACATGAAGCCCATGAACATTTATGTACGTGAGTTGCAGGCAACTCACGTACATAAATGTTCAAGGATAACATTTCAAAATAACTTGTTATTTAGTAATACATTAGGTCTTTTCTGTATATGTTTTTCTGGTTTATCAGGCTCTTAAATTCTACATTTATAAATCAAGTATGTTAGTAATTTGCGTCACAATATTAATAAGATTATTTCTGTTAACTCTTTGTCTTGTTAGGAATGAGGTCACATCGATTTACTGATTCGAACCTGCAAGATCCATTGCAAGTCTGACACTTTATCTTATGGAAATACCGCCACAAATAACAAATTGTACTAAAAAAAATCCTGTGTTTTTACAAATTACACATTGCTATCTGAGCCCACTAACATGTAACATATAGTTACATATAAACGAACGTATAGTAGCATATCGACTGCACGGATGACGTAATGGTTTAAGCGGTCAGCGAGGTGACCCCTTAAACCACTTCCTACTGCGCTGGGCGTTGTGGGTCCAATCCTCACACGAGACAACACTTTGTGTAAATTGTTGTTCTGAGTCTGGGTGTTCTTTGTCCCCCGCGACGCAGGATATATTCCAAGTGTTTATTTTACTATGACTTAATATCAGGTGTACAAGAAATACATGGGCTCAGTGGACGGCCTGTGCGGCGCGTTCGACGGCAATCCGTCCAACGACCGCAGCCTGCCGGGCGGGCGCCTCGCCACCAGCATCGACGAGTTCGGCCGCTCCTGGGCCAAGCCCGGCCTCCCACCTAACGCTTGCCAGATCAAGATCACCTCCGACGAGAAGCAGAGGCACGCTTGGGATCTGTGTAACGCCATCATGTACGTACATTTACTATGTATCAGTGCATAAAAGCCAATTCAATGTTAATATAAGTGTAATAAAGTTTACTTTAGATTAACTGGACCAAGTTGTCTTGAATCATGACAGATTCAGTATGAAGCCACGATAGATAAAACCATCTCTTTTTGATACGGTATCTGAAGATTTCTGCAAAGAAAATGTTACTAAAGTACTTGACATACCATTACGCTATGATTTCTGTCTTGTTATCTAGATGTATCAGAATTTCAGCTAAATCACATCAAATTCTATGTCACCAGCAGTCCATCTATCAGCTACATATTCAAGGGACCGAGTCGTCGGACCATCTAAGGAAAAGATAGTCTACGTTCGTTCGTTAATTCTAAGTTAGCTTGAAGCATTACTAGTTCTCAGGACCATGTGACAATTTATTTCCCATCCCAATTGAGCATATTAGTGATTTTGGATTCTCTACTTCTCTCATACTGATACTGTATGCTAGTATCTTCTCTCTCTATTTCATCTACAGAAAAGAACCGCTGTCCCAATGTGCTAAAGTGTTAAACCTGAACAAGTGGCGTTCCATCTGCTTGGAGAAGATCTGCCAATGTACAGATTTAGTGGTGAACGGCACCCATCGCACTGGAGAACAGTGCCGATGTCTGCTTGTGGAACAAATGGTGGCTGAGTGTCTCGCTGCTGACAAAAATATAGATGTCTCATCTTGGAGGATACAACTGGATTGTCGTAAGTTATAAATTTCCTAAGTTGCATACTCAAATTATTGCTATAATGTACATTCAGTACTGACATCAAAGTTTTTAAAATTATTTTAGGTTTAGAGAAGCAAATACTTGAAATGTTTTTAAGAATGGAAGAGTTTACATAGAGTAAAAAAATCGATTTGTTATACAACCTTCTTAGGTGATATATAGATGACAAGTATAAGTCATTTAAGCGTACCTACTACTTTTAATATTATTACTATCTCTACTGTTTCTTTATCGTATATAGCATGGAGAGTGTTCCGAGGAATTATTCGGTCACCAGTCCGGTACTCCCGGTACGGTAATTTCCCGTCATTGTTCCACGGCAAATTTTCATCCCCATCACTTGGATAATTGGCGCTCTACCACTGTGCGCTTTTCATGACACTTTTTCTCTCTCACAATTAATCCGTGGTGGTATCGTCTTTGGCATTTCCGGACCGATACAATTCTTCCGTACTCCTTCCTAAAAGGTCGGCAACGAGTTTGTGGCTCCTGAGTTGCAGACGTTAATGGGTGGCGATAGTAACTTCCATAAAAAAAAAAGCCCTGTGGTGTCGTGGGACACCCGATAGGAACGAAGTTGTGACGATCGAGTAAAACTGATTCGACACGATTTTAATTACAACGCCATCTATGAAAGCGGCTATTACCTACATATTTTTCAGTTGGTTTCTAATTAAAACAATTTATATATTGGTAAAATCTCCTTGAGAAATGATTTCCTATCTATTCAATAGATGGCACTGAATGACTGACAAGTGACAATTCAAAATAAATACTGAGATGAAAAGTAATGATGTCCTATCCATTCGATAGATGGCGCTGAATGACTGACATAAAAAGTGTCGTTACAACTTTTCGTAAGATTTTTTTCCGTCTAGCCCCCTTTCACAACGCGCGATAAGGAACTTCGTTCCAAAAGAAAAAAATGTTGAAACATTATTAATGAGATGTACATTGTACTGTAGCGGCGGAGTGCCCGGCGCCGCTGGTGCACTACGACTGCTACCGCAAGCGCTGCGAGCCGGCGTGCTCGGCGCTGGGCGCGGCCCCGCGCGCCTGCCCGCTCGAGGACGGCCAGTGCTTCCCCGGCTGCTACTGCCCCGAGGGCAAGCTGCGCAAGGCTGACCGCTGCGTCGCGCCCGCCGACTGTCTCGACTGTGAGTCACCACTATCTGCATCGAATTCTATCGATATAATTTAATCGATTATTGAAATAGTATTTTTATTTTAAAATGAAAAGATAAAAAAAACCTTTTTAATTTGTAAATAATTAGTTAGCGTTTTTACAGTATTTAATGCGTTTTGGGGCATATAGTCAAAAGAGAAAAATAACACAAATGAACAGCAAATTGTCAAAACGCATTAACGTTAAAAAAAAACTTTATACTTGTTAAGGTTCTGATATCTATTCATACTTTTTTCGCCGAATATTCACTTTGCAGAATATTGGATATAAGCTGTTCGGTTTTGGTGTTATTGGTCGCAATATCCCAACCTAACCTACCGTTTCGTTTTCTATAAGCTAGTGGAATTGGTTTCACTACTCTAACGCAAGTAGTTCGGTTCTGGCACTTACCAGATGAATGTTCGACATTCTGCAAACTAGACATTCTACTTTGACATGCGCGTTTGACAATGTGCGCTTTTGTCATTGTGCTCTTTTGACATTCTGATCTTTTGACAATTTGCGATCCTCTTTTGACCGTAAGCTCCGAAATTATTTGATGTTTTTTTTTCATCATGATGATAATGTACTCGTATCATTTACATAAAAGTCAAGAAGTGTTTAAAGAGTGCACATTTTTTATGTGCATGTAAATTTATGTTCATAATTTTATGTTCATGTGCACTAGGCAAGTGCCACGGAGTAGGCGCACCAGCTAAATACGTAACCTTCGAGGGAGACGACCTTCCCTTCCTGGGCAACTGCACCTACTTGGCTTCAAGAGACAGGAATGCCACCGGCCATCACAAGTACGAAGTGTACTCCACCAACGGCCCTTGTGAAGATAACGGCGTCGTTTGCACCAAGATTGTACATCTTTTGTATGAGAAAAACGTAATTCATGTGTCCAAAGACCAGGATACTAAGAAGGTAAACTTTTCCTGTTGATATACATAATACATATACATACACACATACATACAATGATGTCAGTACCCCGAAGAGATGGCAAGGGAAGGGATATTGGTTATACGGAAATATAAATATTATTGTTTACGTTGAAGTGTCTCAAATAGATCAGGATCGCGGATCTAGTGTCACGCCTCTCTGTACTAAGTAACACTAATAATAATTTTACTTTATTTTTTTCGTTAATGCATGCCTATATAAATGATTTGCACGTCTTCAATTGGACAAAGCATGTTGAAACCATAAACCTCTAACATCATAATACATATGTTTATTTTAGTTATTTTCATTTTATTTGACTCAAGTGTAGATTACAGATAAAATTTATACCTCTAAATTCAAACAGAATGGATCACAGATTATACTGAAGCTGTCTTCTATGCTAGCTAATGCCTATATTATGGAAGTCAGAAATTGTACACATATTATGGCAAATAAATCATCTTTGTCTTTATGTGTAATAGGCTTGTGTCCACCAATAACAAATTGCTTGGTTTATAGTTTCAAATTATAAATGAAAAGACATTGATAAGAAAAACCAGTATATTTCTCATAAAAGTTAAAGATTATTAATATATAAAAAAACGATTCGAACAAAAAAGGCACTAAGTCACGTGACAGCGAACACCTATCAAAAAGTGTTACGTCACGCCACGCAAAACATCATTGTTGTAGTTGACGTTTTCATACAACAGAGCAGGTTACTCCTTATTGTTTTCGTTTTTAGCATATTTAAACAGTTTTGTTACGCAGACTGTGACGTCATTCAAGACGCCATGACACTATTCAGCGTTTTCAAGGGAAATTTAATTATTTTTTTTTAAATACAAAATACGTAATGTAAATATTGCTTTTTCTTTAAAATATAGGTTTTTTTGGATAAAATAGATATTAAGGTATATAATTAACCAAGTTTTCAAATTGAGTCAACTAGCCTATTGGACCTAGTTATCAAATTGAAGTATTATTTCATATTGATGTATTTTCTACAGCTTTTAACGACAATCGGCGATACGGCAATATACAAGTTCCCTGTGAAGAAAGACTGGGTTACAATTAGCCAAGTAAACGGACAGGACATCTCTATTGTACTTCCGGACATACATGTTGAGGTAAGCAGAAGAAAACATTTATTTATGGTATAGGGGTTAAACAAGCAGCCGTGTCACCTGATGGTAAGTGACTACCTTCGTCCATGGACATCTGCCGCCCTTTGAGTCACCCTCCTTTAGTAAGCAATGAAAGAATTGGTTAACTCCGGTTTTCTGTGAGGTTCCGGTTGAGCCGGCCCATCATCATCATCCTTTAACAGACTTTAACAGTCCACTTCTGGTCATAGCCTACTATACCACGCTGGCCAGACGGGTTGGTATAGGGTCAGTACTGCGTAGTTTGCTCTCTTAATCGGCTCTTACGACACCCACGGGATGAATAGGGGTGGTGAGATTCCGTGTTCTTAATCCGTCACCACACAGATACGTGCGCCGGCCCATATGTGCTGAAATATAGCTCTTAAAAGAAAATAAATCCAAAGCTTTGATATATGTACAGGTGAGATCAGGAAAGTCCTGTCTGCTATTGAAATATAAATTTAATCACATTATATATAAGTTATTTATAAATGTACTTCATGAAATTTTGGTAAGTATGCCTGGCATTTCTGACATCAAACCTTATGTTTTTACTATCATCGATTTGAAGTCTCCTCTCATTCCCTCTACAGCTCACAGTTCTGCAGTCGAAGATGGAGTTCACTGTGAGAGTTCCTTCATATCTGTACGCGAATCAAACGGAAGGCCTCTGTGGAGTGTGCGCTGGTTACCAAGATGAGCTCATCACCAGCAATGGAACTGCTACTGATGATTTTGAAGAAGTAAGTTACCAGAGTGATCATTTTTCGTCTTATTTAAAATGAATAGGTAATATATTTACTTGTTTTAATCGTTACTAAGTCGGTTTTGTTATTTGTCTGCTGACCATTCAACTGATTATCGTGAAATTGTACAAATATGATGTAAGAAAAAGGTATAGAAAAAACAGTGAGCTACTGAAGTTATTGGCAAAATATATTTTAACTGGATCGAAACCGCGTGCAAAAGTTGATAATTTGGATTTCATCTACAGTACGGTAAGAGCTGGGAAGCTACACCAGAAACTTTGAAGAACTTAGGTATGTCAGAAGAAGCGCAGTGTGATCAACCGCCATCAGCACCGGAGTGCGTGCTGCCTCCTCCGGAAACGAATCCCTGCTACAATTTGCTTAATGCTGATAGATTTGGAGCCGTGAGTACATATTTTTTATTTTTTTATTTTTATTATTATATTTTACAGGAACTTTTTTGCATTAATTGACACTTTCTTCCTCCGTGCCTTTTTCCAAACTAGGTTGAGGTCGGCTTGAAGTGTTCTCCCCTGGGATAGGGCTTGATTAGGCATGGTGTCAATTCGGGGAGGACCTGAGATAACATGGTCCGGGTCCTCCCCAGAGTAGGACACCTAAGGTCGGGGTGGTTTTTAGTGGAATCACCACATACTCCTGGCTCCTGAGTCCCCGAGGAGCAGGAGATCCGAAGGGATTTTCCACCCCGTCAACAAAAAACAAAAAAAAAAGGTTGAGGTCGGCTGAAGGCGGAAGTTTAGCTTATCGTAGCCTTAAGTCTACGATACAGCTAAACTTCATTTTTTTTACCGTAGAGCGACTGCCATCACACCCCAACAACCCCAGTACTAGCCGATATGGAAGTTCTGTAGATAGACTGTTGGACTATTTAGGGCTCCAAATACTCGTAACGATTGCCACAGATGTTCATATGGTAACCGGGATTGACGGCTTAACGTGCTCTCTAAGGCACCTAAGGGTTTCAATGTGTTAAGAATGGTCATCCATCAGTAAATTGACCTGGCTATGATTGCTTAACTTTGCAATGTGTTTACCTACTCAGTTACCAGTTAGCCACGAGTGTCTTATTAAGTGACACTTAAATATTTTAATGTAAATGTAATTCTAATTGTAAGAAATAAATAAGATTAGACCTAATCGGCTCGAAAGACCATGATCGTGTGTAGTTTTCTAATTGTTCAAGATATTATTTTATTAGAAAATTTGGTTTTTTATATAATAATAATTATGTTTGAGTGTTTTATAAGGAATGTTTTTTTCTGAAATCATCAAAATGTAGTAGTTCAGCCACCTTCGCTTTTAAGTAACCTTAGCGCCACGTGTTAATGCTGACTTCTTTTTACCCTGGCAGTGTCATGCTCTGGTAGAGCCTGGTCCGTTCGTGGAGTCGTGCGAGGCGGACCTGTGCGCCAACGTCACGGATTCGTGCGCGGCGCTGGAGCGCTACGTGGCTGAGTGTCGGCGCCAGGGCGTGTGTCTGCAGGCCTGGCGCGCCGACCTCTGCCCCTACCCTTGGTGAGTTGTTGATAGATATAGAGCCGGCGACAGGAGGCCTTTGTACACTTGTAAGAGGGGACTTACACGCCATGGACTAATGTAAGTCGGTTATAACTTAAACGATTGGATATCGGGCTTCGGGTATTAAACCTTTGCTAAGAGTACAAGTATGGCCAGCTCTACTAAGGTTTATCTTTGTCAATTTTATATGTCTGCTAAAATATATTTGTCTGCTGTTTTCTAGTAAGGAACCCTTCGTGTACCAGCCTTGTGTGGACTGCGAGAGGACTTGTGATAACTTTGACGAGTTGTCCAAGAGGCCTGACATGTGCATCGAACAACCTGCCGAAGGCTGCTTCTGTCCTGAAGGAAAAGTATGTTTCTTATTTTGATATCCATAATTATCAGCTCTAAACTTTTTTTAAACAGTTGTGTCTCACCCGCAGTAAAGGTCACCTCAAAGTTTACTCGCCAATATATATTTTGACGTCATCAGCTTTGAATAGACTTAACATTAATTTAAGACTTGGTGCAGCTTTCCTAAGAGATATGCGGCATTAAGTAATTTGGTGTTTCAGGTGAGAGTGAACAACACGTGCATTGAGCCAAGTAAATGCTTCCCTTGTGACGCAAAGAAAGAACACTACGCAGGAGATGAGTGGCAGGTAAGAAGAAGAATATTAAATTAGTCAAAGATTTCTTTTTTTTAAACACTGATGAGGATACTGATAACCCTAGGATCGGAATACCTCCGCAGCACTTTTCAAAAACCAATGGTCCGATTTCATCTTCATAGAATTTATTCAAAACCGATAGCTAGATAACAAAATGACAAAAAATGCATGTGTAACCTTTGGTTGATTCAAGGCTACACGAACGTACAGAATTTCTTACCATAAAAGCAACTGTTTTTTTTATTAGATTGGGTAGTTTTGACAAGTGATATGAGTTAAAATCGGGATACATGATATGACAGCATCTTATTGAACAAGGTATCTATATAGATCTTGAGAGTGATAATTAAGATATATTTTTTAAAACCCACGATTTCAGGTTTTAATGTCAATGTGGTTTTACTCATACATAATATCGTTAATGTGTTCAAATATTTTCTTCTTGTTCTTTTATTCATATAATACTGTTTGTTTTCTCAGGAGGATGCATGTACGAAATGCACGTGCAGCAAACTTGCCAATGAAAACACAGGACACGTGTCATGTACTAAACAAACTTGCAAAGCGCCCGTGTGTTCAGAGACTGAAGATATGATCACTAAGCCAGCGAAACCTGGACAGTGTTGTGCTGAATACTTGTGCAGTAAGCGTATTAACATTTTTATTTTTGCTTGTGGAACCTATCTGAAACTGTGTGTGTTTGTGGACTTTCTAACCTAAAGAGCAGAGAATACTTCTTCCTCGAAGTCCCAAGGCTCGAAGTCAGTTGTCATCATATTTTAACAACATATTCACTCATACTATCTTATATGGAACTGGCAGTTAATCTCTTAGTGACTTAATCAAATTCGGAGTGTTTAGCGGGCAAATTCGAAAGTAACTTTTTTCTCCGTAATTAAACCTTTTTCCAAAGAACAGTATGTTTATCGTTAAATAAAGGGCTTACTATAAAATATTTAACAGTTTCTAAAATTTAAACATCGCTATTATCACTTTATTATATTATTATCGCTTTTTACTCACAATAGTAAGACAACAATCACTCAATTGTTTCTGATTTTTAGTACCGAAACCAGTGGCAAACTGCACGGAACCTAAGAAGATGGAATGTGGGTTCGGTCAAGTGCTGAAACAGAAGACCACGCCTGAAGGATGCAAGGAATTTGCTTGTGGTGAGATAAATTAAATTTTCTCAATATAAAGCTGTATATAATTCCGACACATCAATTTAAAAACCTAAAAATCTTTTTGTTTGCAGAATGTAAGCCTACAAGTGAATGCGAGCCATTACCGAACGAAAATGAAGTAGAAATCTTGGAGCCTGGCATGAAACGCGTGGTGGACACGAGCGGCTGCTGTCCCCGAGTTCAATTCCTATGCCAAGTTGAAACGTGTCCTCATCCGCCTCAGTGCGATAAGTATTATGAGCTAAAGACCACCAATGATAGTAACAAGTGCTGCCCACAGTATAAATGCGGTAAGTAAATTTCGTCATTCAGACCCGTTCATCAGGACCACTAACCACTAGTCTAGTGATTCGGACTGCTGAGCCAAGTACAAGCTCTTCCTATTTTATGATTAGATGATCGAGAATTGTATATGAGGTGTCTCAGTGTATCATTTCATTATTAATTATGTTAGTAATCAGATATTCTCAGTCACCAAAATACATACAGAAGCATCGTCACTCTCTCACTTCCATTAACCGCTTTACTCTAACTGTAGTTATTAATTCTACTTTACTACAGTACAGTAATTACAAGTCCACTTCAGCATTATATTATGTTCTACTATAGTAATTAATTTTTGGAGTTCATCAGGTGATCGTCTTCTTTTCAGAATTGCCCAAGGACAAATGCGTGGTGACATTGGAATGGGAGGCAGCTTCTAAAGGTGGAGAAAAAGTTAGGACTACCCCGCAGGTCGTTCTCAAAGATGTAAGTGGTTTTAAAATCCCAATTCGAGTAAGTTTATGTATCCCGAAAAAATGTTATACTACATTTATTGCTAGTCGGTAAGTATTTATCTATGTGAAAAATAAAATTCAAAAATGAAATTCATAAAAAACAAACTCGACCGGTGTGAAAGTTTAAATGGCTTGGAAGAATAGTCACATTTCTTGGGTGTCGTCGATGTAAGAAAAATGTCGTTTTGTATTAGGTGGAGTCGGTGTGGCTGGACGGCCCGTGCCGCTCGTGCCGCTGCGAGAGCGGGGCGCGAGGCGCGGCGGCGCGCTGCTCCGTGACGGAGTGCAGCGCCATCGTGAGCACGCCGCAGTTCGTGCTGGAGCCGCGCGCCGTGCCCTTCCAGTGCTGCCCCGTGCCCGTCTACGTGGCCTGCATCGACCGGGACAACATCTACAAGGTCGACCATACATTCAGTACACGAACGATATTGCAGATTTAGCTAAAGCTTTCGATACTGTTGAGCACTTTCGCTTTTGATGAAGCAGTACTAGTAGGACGGTAGCATATTGATTTGTTAGAACATTGAACTACGAGGAACATGGAAATGTTATGATTATTTGTACGATGTATTCATTTATAATTTTAAAATAATTAATTCGCATACATCGAAAAGACAATCTCGGTGTACTCCAAGGCAGTATGTTGAGTCCTATCATACACATTATACAAATAAAACCCAATGAATAACAAATTTTATACGTAACGTATCTATATGTTTTACATATCTCTACTATATATTATTGTTAGTAATACTAATACATTATAATTTAAATACAGTATCACCAAAAAATTTGCAACCTTAAATTCCACATAGCATGATACCTAGATTACTCAAAACTTATCCAACTTTCAATTTTTTCCAGATTGGAGAAAACTGGACATCAGCAGACAACCCTTGCGAGAGCTACAAGTGCTCGCGCACCGAAACTGGAGATACACTTGAAAAGGTCACAACTCTGTCCACCTGTTCTGATGAATGCCAGCCGGTAAGTTTACAAAATACTAAACTAAATACATAAATTAAGAAATTATATGTTGAAAGCACTAATAAAACTCAGAATTTATATTGAATATCCGCTGCACAATCCAGAAAATTAAACTGAATTCCTACCTGTTCTATTTATTATTTCAAGATCTGCAACCAAATTCACGCCGATTCCTGCAGTTTATCTTTATATTTCTGCCCTGTATTCATATAATATTAACTCTGCGTCAGTAATAAACTTGTCTAGCTAAATAGGAAGGTCTCCTATTAAACTCCTGTTCGCTCTGCAGGGTTGGAAATACTACCCGGCGACCAAAGAGAGTGGTGAATGTTGCGGCAAGTGTGAGCCGGTGGCCTGCATCGTGGACGGCAAGGAGAGGCTCATTGGAGAGAAGTGGACTTCCAGCGACTTCTGCGCCAACTACACTTGCGTCAACTTGAACGGAACTGTCAGTGACTGCTTTATTTTAATCGGGTTCAAATGAGTCACTTAATGAATGAATGGTTATGGGTTGAACCCCATCACATCATTTTCGACCTGAACTCACTTTTAACACAAGCATTTATCTTAGCTTAACAAAATATTGATGTAGTAAACAATCTTTTTTTACCCTCTATGGTATAAACCATAGAAAACCCTCGCATAAAAAATACTATTCCGGAATTTGGCTTTTGGCTTTCTGACCAGAAATAATATTTAATATTTAAATCCTAAAGATACCAAAGAAAAAGGAATCTGATTTTTAAACCAATTAACAAGATGTCATCGGTACTTACAAACATTGACATTTTTAATTTGCAGCTGCAAGTGCAATGCTCGAATGAAACGTGTCCAGAAGTGTCGGATGCTGTCAAGAAACAATTCGTACTGAAAACAGAAAAGGTGACTGGCAAGTGTTGTCCTATCGAAGAACCTGTCGCGTGTCGCGTGGGCAACAAGATTTACCAGGTAATTATTTGTAGCATCTTTCCAAAAATCCAGATTTCATGACATACCTGAAAGTCTTAATATACTTTTTACTGTCATTCTCTCATGCATTTCTAAGATGGTGATTCCCCTCTATAGGAAGGACAGACATGGCTATCCCCTGACCCGTGCAAGCACCTGACGTGTTCCCGAGACGTGAACGGCCACCTCACCCACCAGGAGAGTATGACAACCTGCACGCGCAATTGCAAGAATGGCTGGAAGTACCAGAATCCTCCGCCAAACGAGTGCTGTGGAAATTGTGTGCAGGACCAGTGTGTGGTGGACGACAAACTTGTCTCACCTGGTAAGACTTGAACTTCGACTTTTTTTATTAATATATTGTGAAATCAATCCTAATCGACATCTCTCTGATGAATGCCTGGATAAACCTTAAATAAATTGAATTCGATTAATTTATAATTATATACCTACATATAATTGGGACTAGATGGCGTTGTGTGAATGTGGTAGAATATTATTAGATTAGCAAGACATCATACAAGGTTTAAACTGTCACTAACCATTACATTGAGTTTTAAGTTTGGGTGGATCTTTGCTATTAAACCACACCAGAACCGCTGAACAGAAATAGGCAGTTCCAGACTTTAATTTATTTTGGGCTCATGCACAGTATCTCAAAAAAATTGAGTGTCAAAATCGTCATTAATACGAGCCAAGTCACGGGCGAAAGATAGTATCATAAATGCTAAAGTGACTGTGTTTGCTAATGTGTGACACGTCTGAACTACTCATACGATCACGATGGAATTTCCCTTGCAAATTTTTATATTCATGTTTATACATGTCAGGAGTATAGAAGAAAACTTTTGACAGGTTTCATTGGCAAACATAACTGTGCTCGAAGAAAATAAAAATGATTCAGCATGACTTGAAAAGCCAGTTGAACAAAATTCAAATTCTAGTGTATAACATCTAATGATTGAAACTCTATACAGGTACAACATGGCAGTCTGCGGACAATTGCACGACCTTCACGTGCGACAAGTCGGGTGAGGAGGTGTACGTGACGTCATCGCGCCAGGCCTGCCCCGACGTGTCGCAGTGCGCGCCGCAGTACCTCGTCAACGAGACCTGCTGCCAGGTCTGCGAGGAACCTGCACAGGCTTTGAGTAAGTCGATTTACCTATTATGGTGCTGCTGCGAAGATTCCCCTTTTGTATTCCCTATTCCATAATGGCGCCACGGCTGCAACTAGCTGGTTTTTTTAAATCAGATAGTGTTTCGTACCTTAAACGTATTTTCACAGTATTAAAATCGTTCGCAGTACAGTTTTTCGGTGTAACGAAATATCGCAGTAACAAGACGTCAATTTCACAAGGCGTCGCAGTATAGACATGTTGTTGAAAGGTTTTCAAAGAAATAAAATTCGATGATACGGCTTTCGCACTCAAGTGGGAATTCCATATCACGTGTATCTAGTTAAGAAATTCTTAGATTTTGCAAATGATTTTTTTTTAAATATCTTTATCACTACCGGCCATTATGCCAATTTTATTTAGAGCAAATAAAAAAAGGATGATTTCTCCGGCCTGCCGTCTACCCTGACGCCGACCGTTCTTGGGAATATAATTGTTTTCAGACGGAACAAAAGCACATGAGCATTTTTTTTAATAGGTGGGCTCCGGGAACTGCTGTTATTAACGCAACGGCGCGGGCACCACCTTCGGGTACATTCTCCATGTAGGAGACGTTCGGCACACGCGGACGTCACCTCCTCGCGGCTGGCTGTTATGACGGGTGGAGGGGATCCCCTCCACCCGTCATAACAGCCGTCATAACACCCGTCCCGTCACATAGCACATGAGCTAGATTAGGGGGATAGCTAGATTAGAAATACAATGTTAGTCTTTGATGGGAAACGGGACAACCGCTGTAGTCGCTTCAAAAAGTCTCGTTCGTTTGTTCAGTTCATACGGTGACGAACCCATAAGGTTGATAAGGAGTTCATATGACAACTATTTAAACTGACAGACGAGCAGACGGGTCACCTGATGGTAAGTGACTATCGCCGCCCATGAACGTCTGCAAGTCAGGAGTCACAAACGCGTTGCCGGCTTTTTAGGAAGGAGTACGCTCTTTTCTTGCAGGTTTGAAGGTCGTATCGGTCCGGAAATACCGCAGACGATAACCCGTTCCACAGATAGATAATATCATCAATAGAATGTTGACTAACTCATTAAAGTCATAATTGGTTTATCCCTGTCGTCATACAATGACTGTTTCAATAAGAAAAAATGTGTATTCAAACCGGGTTCAATGTCGTGACTATATATGGGCCGGTATCGTATAGCTCCAGTGGCGCAATCGGTTAGCGCACGGTACTTATATGACAGTATATTCGTGAGACATGCCGGGGTTGCGAGTTCGAGCCTCGCCTGGAGCAGTTCTTTTGGTGTTCGTGGTACTCTAATGTTTAGGGATTTTACGTATAAAATCTCTTTGGTCGACTTCATTTTTAAATGTTATACAATTTAATAATATATTTATTCCTATTTTATTTTTACAATATTTTTACCTGATCGCTTATTCGATTGTGTTGTTCATGTATATGTTATACACCTTCGATATTTGTGATTTTTTATTTTTTTTATTTCCATAATATGTCCCATTTAAAGAGGATTGTTCAAACAACTATTGAACTTAGTATCGCTACAAAGATCTTTACAAGAAGATTTTTACAAGAAGGGCATCAATAAACTGCCAATGCGTTGGCAAAGATGCGTCGATTGCATGGGTGATTACTTCGAATAACAGAAATGAAAAAATAAGTACTTTCACTTATTGCATACAAAACGGCAACTTCATAGGTAAATACCTATTATATTTATTTAGGAAAACTCAACATGTATTTTGTAACTGTCCGCATTTCGTGGACAATTGTTGGTAAAAAATCGGTGGGTCAAAAGTCAAACGAAATATTTTCGGTTATTGTTGACTTGATATACCTGCCTAAGTAGATTAAAAGAAAGGCCGCTGATTCTGTAGTATGTTCTTATATTATTATAGAAACGATCTAATGAGTCCGTAAGACGAAAGCTGAGTGGAAAAAAGTTATCGGTAGGCGGCGCGCTTGTCATGTCAAAATAAATACTTAGCTAACACATCCTTTTTTATTTTATTTTTTTCCTTGCGGAAATCTCCTCGGATACCACCTAACAGTGGCATGTCGGACTCGAACCGACTAAAACCGCACGCCGTCTCGGGTACTAATAGCCGGAGAACCAGGTATACCCTAGAAAGGAAGTCCCTGGTGCCCCGACATACCTCAGGCCATCTACAACAAGTAGACGACCTCCCCTCCCCCCGTGTGAGAACCCCATGTTCCCTCTGCTCTGCCGCCATCCCGGCCTGCTTCTGCTAGGGTGACAGATGGCCTCACCTGTCACCCCCAGGCCTGCGCTTATGGAGGACGGGGGTCGTTCTGCGAACTCCGGCGCCTGAGTCGCCTGCGGTACCTGGCCCGTTCCCGGGCCTGGCGGGCCGGGAGAGTTCTAAACCTCTCCCGGTCCCTCTCCTCCGTCTCCTTCGCGAGCATAGCTTGCTCGCAGAAGGAGACGGCGGAGTTTCACGCACTCTCGCTCCGCACGATAGCCTTAATCAGGCTATCGAGCGAGAGAACTCCCACTCCGATGGCCGCTCTCCACACGCTGGCCTCTGCCCAGCGTGTGGTAAGCGGCCATCGTGTCCACGGTCTGGCCATCGCAGTGGTGGCACTCAGGCGTTGGCTCCTGAAAATTACCAACTGAATTTTTTTATCGGTTTCTTTGTCTATCGGTTAATAGTGGTCATATTAGCCCCACGTCAACCTCACGGGTAGGTACGTGATCGTACGAACTAAACGAAACGGGACTGCGACCAGATCTGCTCTGATATTTCTTAATCTAGCTCACTTGCGCGGCCTTTTTCCCAATTTTTGTTTGTCAAGTCTGAAAGCAATTATATTCCCAGAGAGGGTTGACGTCAGGTCTGCCGGGCCTTAATAGGTCAAAAAAATGCTGATCATCAGCTGATCATTTGACAATTGGTTTTAGTAGTTGTGTATATTATATAGTTAAACAGGCGTTATATATGTGTCACTTACTAGACCCCCAGTAATTGGGACGATGACTGTGACAGTCAAAGATTTGAGATCAAATATTTTAAAGATTTGCGTGTTTTCTTTAGTGTAGGTACGATTTTAGGAGGAATTGATTGATTGAGTGATTCCCACCGCCTAAGACAATGAATACACAGGTATCAAATATAATTATTTCAAGTTTATTGTATTCCTTTTTACTGTTCTCTTTTTTTAAGGTTTCATGTGAGAAAACATAAGAAAAAAAATCTTTTATGTTTATGCGTACTGTTTAGTTTTGTGTTGATGTTTAATTTATTTTGTTTTGTATCCGACAGGTAAATGTGTGCCCAGGCCGATCCCCAGTTCAGAAACGGTGGGACAGGTGCGCTTACACCTGGGCCCGCACGGTGTCTGCGTCAACAAGGAGCCCATCGTAGGGCTGCGCGACTGCGAGGGTAGCTGCGACTCCGGCACCAAGTACAACAATAGTCAGTACATTTTACACCGTTATTACTAATGACAAAAAAATGAGCAGGAAATATTTTTTATTCCACAATTTAATCGCACTTTTTCATGTGGGTAACATCCTTCATGTATGCAACCCATGAGAATAAGTAAGGGAGGCCATGATGCTAAATGGGGATTTACTCGAGCGTCATGGGGACCTATTGCATTTAAAAGATTAGGTAAAAGAAAGTAAATAAAAGTTATGTAATTAATGGGTTTTTTTTTTTAACTAATTTCATGGCTCATGTACTCAACTGGATGTAAGGTATTCCTCCTTATGTTAATCTGCCACGCTCGAGTAAAGCCTAAAATCCTCCCAAGGGCTCCCTTATTGTGTAAAAAGGAACGGAAATGTGTAACAGGAAACCGCTCTCAAATCATACATATGTGATTTGATAACAATGATCATGCTCGGTGCCAAATATTTCACAACTTACGTTTAATTTATCTAGTAGATTCCTATAAATATCGAATGATATGTGATATTTGTTTAATAGGGAACTTGCACAAAAATAAATAAAATATTACAACTTACTACTAACAACTTTGTTTCATATGGGTTTTAGATTTAAAATAATCATACTCTGGATATTGTTTTTATAGATAAACATTCAAACATTTAGATGATTGCACTTTAACTATTTTTACTGAGTGGGAATTGAACCCGTGATCTACAATTGCTGCAACTATCGTGACCTTACCGCAAATAAAAGTAAAATAATAAGTACATATTTATGATACTACAGTGACGAGCACGCACGAGTCCAAGTGCGAGTGTTGCAGCGCGCTGCAGTACGAGGGTTTGGTGGTGGCGCTGAGCTGCGAGGACGGCTCGCACCAGCCGCACAAGCTGGCCTCGCCCAAGACTTGCACGTGCTCGGCCTGCGCCGGCCTCGCACAACCCTCCTGGACACGACCTGGTAAGCTAGCTCTACTACCACCAGGAGACATTCCGCACCTGGTTATTCTTTATAACGCATCAAACAAATTATTTTACTAAATTGTATTATTTACTTTAATAATAATTACTGTCTATGTAGAACTGCAAAGAGAATTAAAACTTGAAACAAACCCTATACCAACCCGTCTGGCCAGCATGCTATAGTAGGCCAAAACCTCCTAAAAACGCTGACCAGACGGGTTGGTATAGGGTTTGTGTCAAGTTTTCCTTCTCTAACTTCTAAGTATTTATATAAATATTGTGAGTGTCTGCATCTTGTGTTTTATCACCCACAACTTAAGATCAACGTTCCCCTATGTTAGAAGCACAATGTTCATAATAAAAGATATTCATCTAAAACAATACAATCATTTTAATTTAAAAAAAAAAACAATTGTTTATAATCAATAATGAACATAAGAATAATCTTAACAATTTATATTACAGTTTACTCTGGAGTGAAAAACCCTCCAAAGAAGTTTGAAGAAAACTATGAAATCCCTCAGATTTACCAACGATTCGGAGAGACAACGCCACCCACGCGATAAACGGACCATATCACAAAGCCGACATACACAAGATTACCTACAATACCTACCAAAAATAATATAAAAAACTGTGATGTAAATATTTGAAGTGTATATGTAATCAAAATAAAATAAATATTGATGAATTTATCTTAAAGTATTATTTCGCCTTACAAAACACCTAACAATCGCGTGGTCTAGCAAGGTGGACCGACCAAATTAGAGACATCTTTCAACAATTTGTACACGGGCTTACGGACTGGTATTGTATGACACACGTGCTGCACTGGACCTGGTAGAGAGAGATCAACAGAAATAGATGGTAGTATTTTTTTTATTATAAAAAAGACAACCACCGCACTAGGAATATTCTCAAGAACACCCAGACTCAGAAAATCAATTTTTACATTTACATGTACAAGACAAATTGAACCCAATAGCACTCAACGCAATAGGAAGCGGCGAGGTGACCGCTTAAAGCAATACGCCATCTGTCTACCTAAACAGCCTGTTGCACCCACTGCTGGGCCTCTTCTCTAACATGGCCGTTTTGTGCCAGCCGGATCCGTTGCTCTCCTACCGTCCTCACATTGTCGTCTGACCATCGGGCAGGTGGTCTACCTCGAGGCCGCCGCATATCCTTCATATATCCCTCCCCGAATATCGCCCATCCGTGCAGTCCGGATATATTGGAAAGGAAAGTAATAGGGAATATGCATGTATTTTTTTTATTTTTTTTAACGATTCAAAAATAAATATAACACATCCGAAATATAAACCGTTAAGCAAAAAAAAATTTATTAAAATCACTATCATTTTGGGGCAATTTGAACACGTCCATTTTGGCGCGCCTTTTTTGTGACGTCAGATTACACTTTCAGACGAATTCGATGTCAACAACGGAGTGAAGTTCACAAAGTTTCTGAAAGTTAAAAAGTGAGTGATAAAAATTAACTTATTACCATGGAAAAGCCAATAAAAACTTATTATAAATATTTTGCCGTTCCTTTGTGCCCAAATAATATCAAAACTGCACCTGAGCGTATTTTAGGTTATATTTATGTTATACGACTATTAAAAAAACCATGAAAACGATCATTTAATAAAATTTATATAACTTGTTTACCTCGCAGCTTTTACTCCTCTGAGTTCAGCAAACGTAAAATCTGAATTAGATGCGAAATAGGTGCTCATCATAAACACGTCTATTTTAGGAAGATTATCTGATTGTGCTTTGACAAAACCGGTTTCAGTCATTGTGTTGAGTGTTTCTACACGGGAATTTAATAACTTAACACTGAAAACGTATTAGTTATTAACTTAAAATGAAACAAAAAATCACCAGAAACCAAATATTTCAAATACACACAACTTGTTGACACTCTTGACAGTGTAGGTTGACGTCACGTTTTATTCAACCAATAGCGTTGCGTTTTAGAAATTTGCGAGGGAATCTTAAAAAAGCCAATTTTTGATGATTAAATTTCACTATTAAATTGTAATAAATTTCAAAAATAATTGTATGGGTATCTTTTTTTAGCATTAAAAATTACAAATAAAAATATGTTGTCCATTTTGGTGTCACGTGCATATTCCCTATTCGCACTGACAGTTGCAGAACAGTCTCAGCCTTAAGATTAGTATGTAAACAAACTAAAGCCAATCGGTATAAATTTGTGTATTATTACGAATAATTTATTACTGTAGTACATATTGTTATTACAAATAATAAGAAGATATAAGTTGATTAATTTATTCCTCAGCAGCTATATAAAACTGTATAAAATTTTAACGTCTTTTTACAGGCCAATAATATGTAAACAAAATCTTAAAGACATGTCAAAGTTGTAATGATATAGTATTCACAGCGATTTTACGTCTCTTCGTTGTCTTGTGATGTATTGTCTTGTCCTTCTGCGTCTTTTTGTTGAGCTTCTTCTTCCTCTTTCTGTCTCTGTTTCCTTACCATTTCCGATAAATATTTACACCTCTGCATGCATTCCTCCTGGAAATTAAATTGAATGTTATGTAATATTACTCTAACCCTCATTCAATGTTACCATGTGGTGACGGATTAAGAATATGGAGTGTGACCATCCTTGTTCATCCTGTGGGTGTCGTAAAAGCCGTCTAAGGGAGCAAACTACACAGAACAACAGCACTGCAAAGAGAAGGAAAATTGGAAAAAAGAAACCCTATAAAACAAGTCTGGTCAACGTGGTATAGTAGGCCTCCTTTCCAAGTCCTATGTCATGTGAAAGTTTTGGAAGTCTGTCTGAGCCTGTACTATGGTAACCAGATTACTGATAAACATACTTATATATTTTTAAATACATACATATTATAGATAGATTACATCCAGACACAAAACAAATGACCATGCTCATCACACAATTATTTGTTCTGGGTGGAAATCGAACTCAACACCTCCGGCTTAGCAGTCGGGGTCACTAACCACTAGACCAACAGGTTCATCGAAAAAAATCTCATAGATTTTTGTTATTTTTGAGTCTATTATAGCATTAAATAACACTAAACTTTTTAATTATGGTATAAAAAGTTTTTAACAACGTGTATAAGACGTACTTTGGTCTTGTCGGGTACGGCGGCGGCGATCTTGTGCCAGCGGTCGCCGGCGCCGCCCTTGGGATACTTGGCCAGCGCCGCCTCCAGCGCCTTCTGCTGCGCCTGCGACCAGTTGCCGCTCGACACCTCCTCCGCTTTGCGAGTTTTCACCTGTTGTACACATACACGTTCTTGTATGTCTCTACTCCAGTTCTCTAGTTTAACAGTACTCAACATATTTTGAACCACGTGTTTTGAGTCGCTCTCTAAGGTGACCCGTTTGCTCGTTTGCCACCTCTATCTTAAAGAAACTAAAACTAGAAATATATTTTATGAGGAAATCATTCAGTAGTTTAAAATATTACAGAAAGGACGACGTTTGACAGTCTTTGTTAAATTTATTGTTATTTAAAGCTAAAAATTAAAACAAAAATCGATTTCGTTATTGTTCTTCTTGTCTCTTAATCTTGGTTTTATGGATTACGCCCTGTAAGGCCTGCGTTTGTCCGTCCTTCTTGCACCAGGAGAAAACTCATCCTCAGCAGCAAACTAATATCAATTTGCGGATCGAACCTTGAAGTTCTCAATCAAACATAGACATAGAAAATACCTTTTTAGGTGGTTCTACCACTTGAGGCTGTTCCGGCTCCTGGCCAGGTATCTTGTAACAGTTCTCCTTCAGTTTGGCGGCCATGTGCGTGACCTCGGGTACGCTGCGGCACATGGCTTCGGCGATTCGCTCCCATCGCTCCGCTGAGCCGCCCGGGTGCTTCTTAACTAGACGAACCAACTCCGCCAGGTCATCGTCTGTCCATAGGCCACCTGTGATCACTGGGGGGGCGGGCTGGAAATAAATTTTTGTTTTTTTACACCATTAACGTGATAAATAAATAGGCGCAGATTCTCTGACAGTAAACAGTACCTAGTACATAGGCATTTAAAAAATCTTTCCTCTCATTTTCCTGCAATTTCTGAGTGATTTTATGAAAAGGGACGGAAATATGTAACTGGAAGGAAGTTGCCTTTCATCCGGAGCGCAGTGCTAGAATTGATGTCATATGTTACACATTATATGCCTTTACTGAAAAGTTTGCTCCTTTTTATGTGACTCCATCATCATCGTTTACGTTACTAAGTATTATTTATTTACAAACTTAAAACGCATTACCACATGGAATCTTATTACAAATCTGATAAAGGTTTAATGGGCATTAAGTCGCATACCTGTCTGACAGGCACCACCACAGGTGCACTGTCGGGCTCTTCGCCAGGATCGAGCAGGCAGTCCCCGCCGTCCTTGACCGGGGGTACGAACCCGCGGCGCTTGCGCACGCCCCCGCCGGCTGCCTTAGCTTCGGCCGCCGCCGCTGCATCTCGCTCCGCACGAGCCTTCTCTTCTTGCTCCCTGACAATAGTAACAATGATTTAAATATACTCATATTGTTAAGCTATAGATTTTCTTTGATTGAAGCGCTAATCTGAAGAACTGAAAAAAAAATATTTTAGTGGAAGTTGCGCGGATCTGCTAGCATAATTTAATTTGACATATCTTACACACGGCCGTCTAATACCAACCTACACTGTGGTAGCCTACACTGTGGTATCGAGACTGCTGATAAACATACATATTTTATATTCCTATACATATACTCTGTGCATTTTATTTTTAATACTGGAATGGTCAAGAGTAGAGTGAACTGGTCAGTGCCAAAATATCAGGTATGTACTTAATACCTAGTGTGAGCGGTTCGGGACAAACCGCTCACACTAGGTAGGTAGGTAAACATAATTATTTAACAAATATTCCAATACCGAATAAAAATGCACCTAAACTAACAATAATAGTTACTTTTATTTGTATTAAACTGATAACAGCTGTTCTTGTTACGCAAACCCTTTACACAATAGCCGTCACGACAAGATCTGTTATTGCAATAAATTTCTTATTATACATACTGGGAACAATAAGTCACAGTATTACATCACTTCATGGTAACTTACCGAGTACCATGCACCGTTTTGGAAACTAAATCATTATTCAAAATCATTATTCTTTATGTAACTTATATTATAAATCGAATTTAAATTATGTTGAATCGCGGGAATTTACGCGATAATAAGTGTAACAGGTATTACAAACCTTTAAATTGCCTGTCGTTTCGACCAGGTCGTTAAAGGTTTGATGTTACATGAATTTGTTACGAAAATTTGCACACGTTATCAGGGATACAGTAAATTCATATGATAATACGAATTTACCGTATCTTCGTTCATTCGTTCGTTAAAAAAAATCACTTCATAAGTGTATTTCGAATTAATTTACCAATTAATTAACCTCCTTTCTAAGGAGAGGCCTATGTCCAGCAGTGGACTATCAAAGGCTGTTGATGTTATACCAAATCACATTATTGTAAATAAAGCAAACGGTAAAGAATGTCTGTTTTAGATTATAAAGAATCAACTATCCTGATTGCTACTTTACTGTCTGTTTATGTTTGCACATACGTGACTTAAAACTACTGACCAAATTCGGATGCGATTTCCTTAGTTGTAATCTGGGAGGTACATGTTTAATGAGATATAATTATAACTTTATAAATATATCCACTAACCTCTTTTTCTGCCTCCTAGCTTCTTCCTCTTTCTCTTTCATTATCCTCCTCATCTCGATGATACCTCTAGGGATAGCGGTTACCATCCACCAAGCACATCGTGGTATTTGAAAGGGTAGTGTGTCCTTTATACTCGGTTTCGGCAGTTGATCTAGTATTTCTGATAAACCTTGTTCAAAACCGGACTTCTTAGCGTGTTTTTTACCTCTGCTATTTAATATTTGTTCCTGAAAATAGGTTTTTTTAAAATGAAAAAGAGCCCTCGCAAACGAGCAGACGGGTCACCTGATTGAGTGCCAAGTATTGGGTCTCCTGTTACCTCACTGTTACTTAACACCAGTTTACTCGTAATATGTCTTGTAAATCAATATTTAACACGCTAACAGTCCGGTGTAACTTATATGTTACACGGGGAGCCGTTCCGCCGATTCCATAAACCCTTTGAAGCACACGAGCCCTATTACTCTACGAACCCTGGGACTACAAACTTTTTAAATTAGTGAATGTTTTATTTGTGAGGCCAAGAATCAATAGCAATAGTTTTAAACATGTATTTGGACTGTTAACGTCTTAAGGGTGACTAAGGACACTAGGATGAGGTGGGATCGACACGTCTACAAAATGAGATACTGTCTGCAGTGTCAACCTTCAATATGTTTTTATTATTTGAGTTGCAGAGCTAACAATGGTAATTATTATGTACATAATGTGTTCTTGCTGAAGACAAAATAATAGCGAGAACGTCATCATCAAGTGTAATACAGTTTTAAAATAATAGTAATTACTGTTCTATTTTTCTACAGACCAAGACATACCTACATGTATTATTATCATCATCATCATCAACAGGCTTTAATAGTCCACTGCTGGACATAGGCCTCTCCTTAGAAAGTAGAAAGGAGGTTTTGGCCTACTATACCACGCTGGCCAGATGGGTTGGTATAGGGTTTGTGTCAAGTTTTCCTTCTCTCTGCAGTGCTGTTGTTCTGCGTAGTTTTCTCCATTAGTCGGCTCTCACGACACCCACGGGATGAACAGGGGTGGTAGTGTCTGTCTAATTCTGTGGTAAGGAGATGAGCAGCAAATTCTAGTTTAGATAGTTTCAACTAAAAAGCTTGTCTATATAACTTTTCTATGCATTGTTTATATTGTAAAAAAAAGTTGTAATAGGCCTATATTATATGTAGGCAACAACTTCGGACTTGCAAAAAAGTTTCAAGTAAATAAGTTTGTGTAATTTGAAGATGTTGTGTAAAGAAATGACTCAGATTGAAACCAGATTTCACTTTCAATTATAAGTTATTTAAAAGAAAAATCTTATTATTTTCTTCTAGTATAGATTTATGTACCAAATTATTTAAGTAAGTGGCACGCAACTTACTGTTTGCAGACCAAACTGAACTCAATCAACCGTAACATTGGTAATGATAATTTACGTAACTTAAACGAATGGTTTTTAATGCTGCTGCAACCATTACTTACTTTTACTTTGATGCCCTTCTCTTTTAAAGGAATATAGCAACAGAAAGTATTTATATCAATATACAGTGTAATAAATATAAACTGATGAGAATTTAACATCAGGTGTTAGGATTGTAATGCAGCCATGTAAAGCCGATGTTACCAATTATTCATAATTTTTTGGAATAGCAAATAAAGCCATGCAGCATTTTTTTTTTTAAACTAGATATTGTTTTGTACTTTTATTTAATGGCTAATCTAAAAGATTGACATTTTCACCCTAAGAACACCAAGATTTTTGGATTACTTTAGGTATAACCATAATAACTACAAAGAAAAAAGAGGAACACTATTAATAAAGCTTTTTGTATTTGGAAATAAATTATGTCTACTTACTGCAGTAAATCTTTTTTCCGCATATGCAGCCCATCCTACAGCATACTGGCCAAATGTGATGATGATGAACAGGATGATGGAACCTTCGGCCAGACCCATCTTTCTCACATGTCGGTAGTAGTAAACTGCTGATCTCCAGTTAGGAAGCCCATTTTTGAGTACTTCATTATATCTGCAAATGTTTTTTTTTAATAGGTGGCAAATAAGCACAGGCGCAGATACAGGTTCACATCAACAGCCTTTAATAGTCCATTGTTGCACATAGGCTTCTCCCTAAAAAGGAGGCCTTGGCCTACCATGCCACGCTGGCCAGAAGGTTTATTATAGGGTTTGTGTCAAGTTTTTCTTCTCTCTGCAGTGATGTTGTCCTGGATAGTTTGCTCCCTTAGTCGCCTCTTACGACACCTACGAGATGAATAGGGTTGGTGACACTCTGTATTCTTAGTCAGTCACCACACAGACAACATGGAGACACAGGTTACGTGATGATGAATAAATTAACAACTGGGGTGATATTAGAAGTTTGATATCTTATTTAAGAGAGAAAACAAGAGTATATTAAAAAGTTGTGTTTTCTGTAAATCAATGTCCGCTTTGCATCCTAAATAGGATTTAAAAAAAAAAGATCTCAAACTTCAATTTTAAACCCAATCAATTTTCACTGGTAAAAGGTATGTTCCATTGCTCGGAACACTAACTGTTTCAAATTCTGAACTCTAAATTTAACACAGGAGACTCAGTAATAAGCATAGGGATTGAATTAGTTGTTCCCGAGTTGTAACTTTAAAAAAACTAGCAACATACTACAAGTGATTAATTAGTTTGTAAATTGTACATTAGATAATATTTATAGATAGCATACTTCTCTCGTTTCCCTGGGTCTTTGAGTATATTGTGCACTGAGACCAAGTTTCTGAACTGCACGTCCGCATCTGGAGCATCATTCTTGTCCGGGTGTAATTTCAGAGTAAGCTTCTTAAAAGCAGATTTTATCTCTGATGGTGATGCATCCTGGGTGGTAGATTTAATTAAAAACCCATTGATTAGAGATAGATTTAGTTAATATCCGATTGAAACAAAATTTTGCTGTCTTATTTTGTTGCTAAAGCAACAAATGTCTGTCTATCTTATTATTGAAACATTCATATAAAATGCAAGACAAACATATTTATAGAACAAAAAATTTTATACACATCATTGTAATGCTGACTAATAATAGGTAATGTTTATTTAGTGTAAATTAATCTTTCCAAAATTATTTACTCTATTTAAATCCAAATTTTGAAGAGTGTACAGTCGGCATAATATAGAGCAAAATGGCATAACATTACCAATTAATTAGACTTTGGCAGGTAAAAAATTATTAAAAGGATTTAGATTAAACAGATTATTAAAAATATTATCACTTCCAAGATAATATGAAAAACCTTAGATAGGTTTTATGCAGTATTTTATACATATGCATATCCCAATTGTACGTTGTGTGCTGTTGTTGTTGAGGAAGTAGGATTTAATTGTTGATTCCAAATGTAAATAATTTTTTTTTTATGTTATTAACTACCTCTGATCACCTCTTACCTGTTTAACACCCATCAACTCATAGAAGTTTTGATTCACTTCTTCAACCACGTCAAACACTTCGAAATCATCGTCGTCCCACGCTTTTGCACTTATTATCAAAGTAAAAATGAGCAACAGACACCACCGCATCTTATAGATCTAAGCTCAATCTAATTTTAATTTATAATCCATATTACTATTCGCGTAATTATTAGTGAATTCGCTCTTGCCTCTTTTCTTTCGCTTTTGACAGTTTCTCTCACCACATGAATTTGACAACTCAGCAGCTGGGAAAAAGTGGTGCTACCGCCAGTGATGATATTTAGGTTAACGCTTAGTAAAATCATCAATCATATAAGTCTTAAGTTGTGTCTTGACGGATTGTAATAGTTATGATTAATTTTAACAGCGTTATTCTACAAACATTAATATTATATATTTAAATTGTTTAAAATTAAAGAATATATTGTGTATAGTCCGCGTATTTTTTCGATCATAAACTGTCTTAAAAAATTGTACGATGCAACTTTCTGACTCGCCTAGTAGACTATTATTAAATTATCGTTAAATTTATCCTACAAACATTGATATAATACTTACATAGATGAGTAATTACCGCCTAAAATCGTTGCTACTGCACATCTGTCCACAGGCATATGCGTAGCAAACGTCAATTCAGTATTCAATGTGGCGTCAACCGAGTTGAACATAGCGACACATGACAGTAACAATCGCCAAAATGGCTAAATGCGTAGTGAAAGAATGCGATTCAAGGTCACAAAACATTAATAAATCATGCGGAATTACTTTTCACGTGTAAATTTATGGTTTTTGTATTGATAATATCGTAAATAAGGCTATAATTGAAATAAAACACTGATAATTGTAATTTAGAATCAGTGTTACCATTAAAAAATCAATTTGGTTTTCCCACATTAGTGGGAGAATTTATAATTTATGAAATAATATGCTTTATACTGTTTTTAAACATTTTGCGCATAATAATAAAATATAGGAAGAACGGTAGTTGTTAGGGCTGGACCGATCACTTTTTTTAGGGACCCGTTGAACGTTCACTGCGAGCTTGGCAGAAGTGCCAAGCTCGCAGTGCTGGAGACTTTTGTACAAAAGAATTAATTCATTGTTTTTCTTAATTTATTATCAATTTTAAATAATAATTGTATAAAATAATAATAATAAAAAATGTTTATCATAAAAATATAAAATAAAAAAGTAAATAAACATAAATAAAAAAAATTATAAAATATAAATTAAAAAAATTTTTTTTTTTTTTTTTATTTGTTTTTTAAATTATAATAGAATTTACAATACACCCTGGGGATTATTTATTATCAGTACAAGTTGATCATTCACTTTTGTTATTTTTACATACGTAAAAATAAGATTGTATCATGAAAGTAAAATATCCACACAACCTTATAAAAAAGAGTCTAAAAGACAATTGTATACAAAACTGATGCTTCACAGTGCAGTTAGATTTTACACTGAATATAAACCCTTTTAACCAAATATTTCCAGTTATTTTATTATTTATACCTATTCTATTCAATTCGAAATATATTATTTAGAATATTTAAATTAATTTATTTTATTACAAAATTGTTTAAAAAAAATTGATTCTTAGTTGTTATGGGTAAAATTTCATACGGTAGTCAACACTGGCCCACCATCGTAAAGTTATATCTTTGTCTTTGTCTAATCCGAGCGATGGTATTGTTCTTGTCTCGCGTGTAAATGAGACATAAATATGTTTACTTTCAAATGTTTAGTGGTATCAAAGCTACGTCGTCAAAGTTCAAAAGTGGTTACACTTTTTTCGACGTGTGATAATGAGGTTTGCTTCTCTAGTGTTGTTTTAACTCAATGCCTACAAACAATTTTTTTTGAAAGTGAGGTGTTCCAAATAGTTCTTGTCACACAGACAAGAAACTATTTTTCTCACAAATATTAAAAACCAAGGCCTAAAAAGTCAAAAACAGTGTTTAATCAGTTGAGGCTTGTAATTTTTAATGAATACAAAATCATTATATTAAAACAGGCATAACCAGTATGATAAATAATTAATATGTTTGCACTTGTTTTAATAAATTGAGCCCACTTTTATGTTTTGATGCTTGATGTTAGTCAACTGGCCATATTTCTGTGATTATTATGACGAGCAACCCTAGACATTTTCCTATTGATTGAATTGCGAGTAAATTGAATTGAATTTTCACCGAGTTTCATAGTTTAATATTTTCGAAAAACAGTGTTTTACTAAGCAATAACAATTTAAATTCTGCCACGAAAATGGTAAATAAAGTTTTTAATAGTAAAGAGTAATTAGAACTCATTTTCTTTGTTCATTTATATTATAAATTATAAATTAATGGTTTCATTCTTATCCACCTAAATATATTTTGCATGTCGTGAAATGATTGATTCACAGTTAGAGAACAAAAAGAGTGTTACAAATAAACAACTCAGTCTACTCCTAGACGAAGTAGAAAAAAATCCAACACTAAGCCATGAAAAAATCTTGAGTGGTACCGAGAGAATTCATGATGCAAAATGGGAGAAGCTTGTTGAAAAGCTAAATGCCGTTCCTAATGGGGCTAAAAGATCTATAGCGCGATGGAAAACGGTAAGTCTATTGTGTTTATCTGCAAGTAACGTATTTAATTTAATATTTTATAATATTTAATTGAATTAATTATACATATGTCCTTTTCTCATTCATTAGTATTACATACTTGATTTTTGAAATTATAATAGGATTTTTTAAATTTATTTTAAGTTCGATTTCATATTATATTATAAATTTTGGTCCATAATGTAAAATAGTTCCTAGCGTTCAAGATTTTAGTTAGATTTTTTTTTATCACGACAATTAGACTGCAGGCTGTCTTTGAGTCGTGAGTTATAGTTTGATTGTAATAGAAAAATTATTAATAATAAATGTTCTGTCCATGAAGAGTCTCTTAATCTCTTCACCCCGATTCTCCTCTGTGCCCTCTGATAATAAGAGAGAAATGTGGAAAAAGTAACCTTGAATGTAGGCCATGACTCCTCAGAAACATATTGATCAAAATCTCGACTGCTTAGGACCTACTTAACCAGTTCCATATTTAAAGTAAACTTAAATGAGAATGTGAACATAGCTAATTTTAAAATTAATAATAATAATATTTTCGGACATCTTACACACAACGCCATCTAGTTTCAAACAACGTAGAGTTTCTACTATGAAAGCTAGATTAACTGATACAACACTTTTTTTTTTGTATTTACATACATATTATACATAGAAAACACCCAAACTCCGAAAGAAATATTTGCCAATCATACAAACCTTTGGTCCAACCTGGGACTCGAACCCGAGACCTCGGCACAGCAGTCGCATACGCTACCACTGCGCCACCGAGGCAGTCAATTTTATTATTATTTATTGCAGGTATTGAGTAATTGGAAGTTAACACTAAAGAAACAGGCAGACTCTAATGAGAATGTAGACAACCCAGAGGTGGTTGATGAGATGGGCAAGAGGCTCCTCCGACTTGTTGAAGAGGAGGAACTTGTTCGGAATGTTGAAGTTGATCTGGTAAGCATAATTATTTGCTTACTAAGAAGAGCCATCATCTCAGCTAAAAGACATCTACAGCTGTAATTAGGCCTCCCCCAAGTCTCTCCACAACAACTGGTCCTGTGTTCTCGGCATCCAACGGCTTCCCGCGACTTTCACCAGGTTGTCAGACCACCTTGTAGGGGACCCACCCACACTCTGTCTTCTACTCAAACATATGTAGTTAAATTACTATGTTACTGCCTGATAATGTAGCTTTCTATTAGTGAAAAAATGGTTAAAATCGGTCTAGTAGTTTTCGAGCCTATTTCTACAAATAAACAAGAAATCTTTCCTCTTTATAATATTAGTATACAAATAGATATTCTCAATAATATTCACTTGGTGAAAATAACAGTGTAATGACTAGTAACAGTTATGTATATTCTAATATAATTACATTGATGATTAAAACAATAACAATATGCCAATAGCAGTTTGACAAACACTTTGACACACATTCAACACAATCTCTTTCAGTCTTTAAACTAAGCAAGGGTAAGTAAGGGTTTTTAATCCTGTAGTGATTAATATCTGGAGTCACTGCCATTTGTCCTTTCTTGATCAGCAAATCATCTCTTTTATTTTACAGTTCTTAGACTTTACAGACTTCAGTAATCCTACAGAGGAAACTGAGAATCAAGAAATTTTACATGGTCCACAACTAAGGATTTTGAACAGGAGGTCGAGGCTTGCAAGGATAAGTCTTGGACGGGGACCATGTAAGTAGGCCCTTCTTATCTGAGATTGAATTTTTAATCAGAACAATAAGGCACTAGTATTTCCTGTATTTTTTTTGAAAACAACTAGCTGTAAGTGCTTTCTTTTACATAAATTATGTGATAGTTTTTTTTAAATAACATTTGTGGAAATGTTGGTAAGTTTACAAATAGTGTAATTTTGTATTTATTATCTTTTCTGTTCTAGATATGAACTCCCAAAGAACAATGAATAGTCTTAACACAATCTATGATAATAATGTGGGTAAGTGTAAGGTTTTATTACAATTTTTACTAGTTTATTGGTTAATAATTTTGACTGCTAAACCAGAGGTTGTGGGTTCAACCAGTGTCAGGCATATGCTGAACCAGGTCCCATTTTGATCATGCTATGAGAATGACAAAAAATAATGGCAAATGGAAATAATGTTATTATTTTATTCCATTTATACTTTGTTTTTAACTCTTTTGTGGTTTTGTTTTGTCTTTTCTTTACTCATCAAAAACAAAACTTTGATTCGTGATTTTAATTTATTACATTTTTATTCCTAGATCGAGATAACAGCCCAGAGAGGAAGATTATGCAGATGCAGTTAGACCGACTCCACTGTGTGTCACAGCAGCTGGAGAGTCACATCCAAGATGTACAGAATAGGATTCAGGCCATTAAGGATATGTGGCACCATGAATGCATAGAGGAATAAGCACCTCAGCAAAGGAAAGAAAGACAGAGAAAGCAGAAGAGGCTCTCATAACCACACAAGAGAGACAGAACATATATTATGTACTCATTCAATTCAAGATTTAATTAGGAGTATAATTCTTTATCTCATCATTGCTCTTTGCCTGTAGGACGGTAGCACCTTTTGAAAGAAGATGTCTGAATGCCAAGCTCCAGTTGTGTGGCTGGTGTGCTTGACTGGATGTGTGTTTTAAGCATTGTAAAAATAACAACTTGTAACTTGTAACAATAATTATTAAAAGGTGATGTGCACGCGTGGACATTTCTTGAGCGAGAGTTGGCCCGCGCTGAGCAGCCCTCGCCCGGCCGTTGTTGAAGGTCGCGGAACCGGCGGGGGCCGCACAGCCCGATGAGACACAGGAACAAATATTTAAGAACAGAAACAACATCTTTTTATAGAGATACAGTGAGAAAAAGATTGTGTCTTTAGTCTCCAGTGTCTCCACTTTAGTAGTTGTAGACACTAAAAACTATTTATTATAACTATCTATTTTAACTATCTATTAAAACTCAATCATATAGGTACATATAATGGGTCTATACTATGTAGTGAGTAGAGAAAATGTTTCCGTAATTATTAAAGTTTAAATGTATCTTGACTGTTCTCGTAACTGAAAATATTTATGTGTGGTGTTATAGAAGTGTATGTGTCATAATTATCTTCTTTTTGGGCTTGTGGTGGAACAGATGTTATATCCCTCTAACACTAGGAGGATCTTCCGACCGGGCGAGGTGTTCATGCATAGCGAGCCTGGCCATTGAGTTGAGCAGTTGTAGTTCGGTGTATTTTCGTTAGATGGCACTGTAATATGGTTTTGTTTCATTATTTGTGGAAGGGTCACAAAAAGGACAGCAAAGACAATCTTTTTTTGAGACTTGCAAATTGAATTTGAGAATAACCAATGAAACTAATATTATTTAATAATTTATATTAAATACCAACGATGTTATTTTTTCCTAAAATGTTTGCATAAAAAATAATTAAAATATGCAACTAAACTATGGAAAGCAGTTGGCGTTCTGCGAAGTTGATGTTTTGAGAAGATACCATTACGCGTGCCTCGGAGACCACGTTAAGCCGTCGGTCCTGATTGCCATACGAACATCTGGGGCAATTGTTACGACTAGTTGGAGCCCTAACAAGTCCAACAACAGTTTTTCTATACTATGGGGATCTTGTGTCAACTAGGGTGAATTTTCGTGCGTTTAGGCGATTCTGCCATACATATTATAGAAATCAAATATAGCTCACGTAGGACCCGTAATATTTTGTGGCCGTGGTGCTTCCCTGTTTAAAAGGGTGTATGCCCATACTTTTTTGTCTCCCGCTTTGCTAAGGAGGGAAGTGGATTTACTGTATTTCCAACTCCTCCAATTTTCTTCTGATTAATTTCGTTGCGGGTTCCAAGACAGTTTAATTTCTTCCTGGGACTTCCCGAGTGTCATAACTCGGTGTGTTCGTGGGCCACTGCTGTGGATCCTGGTGTACAGGGGTTACAGTGGTGGGCGTGTGGGTGGGATTAGTCCCAAAAGTTTTTCTACAGAACTTCGATATTTTGCCTAGTACTTGAGTTGTGGAGGTCTGACAGCAGTCGCTCCACGTAAAAAATCGAAGAACTTAAAGCCGACCCCAACCTGGTTTGGGAAAAAGGCTTGGAGGAAGATCATTACGAAAAGTTATTATTCTGCAACAACTTAGCAGAACCCCATTTTCAACTTCTGTTTGAACATTATGTGAAGTTGGCGTCTGTTCAGATTCTGAGAAGTTAGCATTCTGCGTCAGAATGTTCTGTCCAGCGTAACATGATTAAATTTAAAAATTACATCTATACACCCTATACACCTTTCCTAAGGGCCAGGCCAATGATATTGATATTATCCTGATCGGAGTATACTTCAAGAAAGGGCGTACTCTTTCCACAAAGGCTGGCAACGCGCTTGTGACTCCTGAGTTACAGGCTTCATGGGCGGCGGTAGTCGCTTTCCATCAGGTGACCCATCTGCTCGTTTTACCCCTTTTCCATAAAAATAAATACTATCGAAGCTTGATTATGTAATTATGCACTTCGTGTTCACGGCCCTTTGTCATCTGTATGTAGTGAATTATCCTCATCATCTGTGTTAGAAATCTAGTCAGCAATGCACGAAATGTTAAATGTATTATTAAATCTAATTAACATTTTAAATAATATATTAGTGTTGAAGAGTAATTGTTTCCATTAATTAACTATAATTTATTCACCGTAATTATTATGATAGAGACACAATTTAATCACGAATTCAAAATTTATTCGCTTCATGACTGCACTGATGGCGTAGTTGTTTAAGCGGTCACTTCGCCGCTTCCTATTGAGCTGAGTGTTGTTTATTCGATCCCTGTTGATATTGTTGTTCAGAGTCTGGGTCTTGTTTGTGTCCGTTTCACAGACACGTCCCCCGTTACAGGATATTTTCCTAGTGCGGAGGTTGTCACCACACGGGACCACGACGGTTCTTATGCTTTATAAGCCGACTGCCTCGCTTCTGGAAACTAGAAATTCGTTAATGAATTGAAGAATGTAGGTATCTAATAGGTCTTTACCTATGAAATTTGCACCTTGCACCTACCGACTATTACTTTTTCCAAAATTTAGACAACTTTTTAGTGGGTAAAAAATTCAATTCCCGAGAGGCAGTACAAAATGCCTTTGAAGAGTTTGTTGCCTCCCGTCCAGCTGATTTTTACAAGAAGAGCATCAATAAACTGCCAATGCGTTGGCAAAGATGCGTCGATTGCATGGGTGATTACTTCGAATAACAGAAATAAAAAAGTTTGAAAAAATAAGTACTTTCACTTATTGCATAGAAAACCGCAATTTCATAGGTAAAGACCTAATATTTAATAATAATAATAATATATCCCACACACACACGGCTGTCTGATCCCAAACTAGGCAGAGCCTGTACTATGGTAACGAGACCGCTGATAAACATACTTATATATTTCTAAATACATACATATTATAGATAAATTACACTCAGACACAGAACAAATGACCGTGCTCATCACACAATATTTGTCCCGGGTGGGAATCGAACCCACGACCTCCGGTTTAGCAGTCAGGGTCACTAACCACTAGACCAACAGGCCCGTCAATTATTGTTATAACAGTATAGAAATCATTTACAGTATAAGTTGAAGTTGGTGTTTCTATGTATAATATGTATGTATTTACAAAGAAGTAGATATATATTGTTGTCTGTGTGTCAGTAGGTTACTATCCATAGCACAAGCTCTGCTTAGTTTGGGACTAAATGACGTTGTGTGAATGTTGTGGATTAATATTATTAACTGTCATTATCTAAACTTTCCTTAAAATAACAGGTCACCGTTTATACTGGACGTTTTTTGTAGATTTTTTTTCACGTAAAAATATAATGTATCCGGATATAGGGTAAGCATATAATCTGTAGTAAAATCATTTTGAAACTTCTTAATGTCATGTTATTGTCGAAATATTAAATGGATGGATATTAGAAGTGTGTATTATTTATATTTGCGAAATATTTTTTTATTTTGTTCGGAATACCTACCAACAGCACAAATAACGCAAGGTAAAACGTTAAAGTAACAACAAAGCTATTCACAGGTATTCGCAAATAGATTCCAAGTGTGAAAAAACAGTTCTAATAACAACAACAACTTAGAAAAAAAAAGAAAAAAAATTAGACTAAGAAAATGTCACGCTCCTAATATTGGGCTGAAAAAAATTTTTGAAGCATGTATTTTTTGACATGTGAAGGTCTGGATCTGAAGAGCTCAAACTCGCTACTCAATTTATGCATATCATTTACAGATTTACTGGCTCGAATAATAAAGGATTTTTTGCGGTAGTTGGTATTTGTTCGAGGTGCTGCTAAGGGTAGATTATGCCTAGTGCGTAAATTATGGTCCACGCGTGCGACATAGCGTGGTCTCTTTATTACACTAAAATACCGCGTCCAACTAGAAAAAACAGTTTCTATTAAGAAAATAGAATACGAAAAATTTGACATCGATATGGAGAGCATGTGCTTTGATTCTATCTATGGCTCAAGTGACGTTAGTACAGCTACTTCTAAGCTTAACTCTTCTCGTATCTAAGCTTAACTCTGCAATTGCGTCCAACACTCGAACCATCACTGTTCCAAATCGCATACGTCTTAAGAAGCCATGGATAACTCTCGGTGTGTTATGATGCATGAAAAACCAGGACAAACTGAACATTAAATTTAAACTTTTGTAACCGGCTGTTGTAGAAAGTAAAACTGATTATGAAAAAGATCTTTTAAAAAATGCGGTTAAAACTAACAGCAACAACTTGTGGGACTCTATAAAAAAAGTCACACATTACAATAAAGAATTAAAAACAGCTACTGACCTGTTATCAGCAACAAACCCAATATCATTCATTTCAATTTATTCTTTATTGTACACACTGAACACATACATATATAAGTAACAAGGAAATGCCATGTACAAAGGCGAGCTTATCATCGGTAAATAATTTTAACACATCTTGGGTCTGAAGAATGTCAATACAACTGCACGAGACAACATCTCTGGATTCTTACCCTTAACCTACATTATTAATCTTATGTTTAGTACTGGTGTATTTCCCAAGGAATTCAAGCTTGCTGAAGTGATACCTATCTACAAACGTGGAGACAGAGCATGTGTCAATAACCATAGACCCATTTCGATTCTCTCCACAATTTCTAAATTAGTAGATAAACTTTTAATTAAATGTTTAACTGATTACCTGTAGACTAAAAAACTTTTATCAAAATCCCAATTCGGCTTCAGAGCGTCTACTAATAATGCTATTCACGAATTAACGGATCATATTGTGCACAAATTAAATAAAAGAAAAAATAATTATATACTAGATGTAGCCTAAGCTTTTGATACGGTCTCTGCCCCTTTGGAGCCCTTTTGCCCTTTTGCCCCTGCTGGAGCTAAAATTATGTAATCGAGGTATACAACATAAATTTTTTGCTGATTATCTCACGGACAGATACCAAAGGGTAAAAGTTGGTGATGTCACTAGCGATGACGTTCCTATGGAGCTCGGCGTGCCGCAGGGCAGTGTACTAGGTCCAACGCTCTTTCTCACCTACATCAATGACCTTTGTAATCTCAAACTTGTTAACGGCAAAATAGTGACCTTCGCTGATGACACTGCGATGATTTTTCATGGAGACACTTGGAAGGATACCTATGCCTCCGCACAAATGGGTTTCAACGTGGTGTCTTCCGGGCTCAAAATCAATAGACTAACCCTTAATGTTGACAAGGCTAAGGTTATACACTTCGCCATTAAAAACTTTTTACCCAACGTACATGATGGCAATTCCATCTTAGCCTACTAATGCTTACCCAACCAAACCTGGTTTTGTTACCACCTAAAAAGTGTCTCACACATTAAAAACTTATGGATTGTAATTGAAAACACTCTAAACTTTAATTGCCATCTAGACCTACTCTCAGAAGAACTCATAAATTAAATTCTTTGGTTTCATGGAAGGTACTTATATAACAAGGTAAATGAAAAATTACACATCTATTGCATTACAAAATATCGCTGCAAAAAAGCTATTTCTGACTGGCTAAAAACACTCAGTTATGAGGAAACGGAAAACCTATTATACTTCCCGAAATAGATGATTATCTAACTAAGATGTATTTTTGAGTAATTGTAGTCATATCTACATATTAGTACCATGTTTTTCTTAAATAAATCACGTTCAGTCACGAACTTTCGTTCATCTTGCTGTTACTTTTGCTTTAGCTGTCACCTAATCAAGTTACACATGATAACACTTGAGCGAACGCATCTAGTGTCAGGAGAGGCTGGTAATCTGTAATACAGGTCTACCTAGTACAGATACAATACTCTCACACAGATTCAACTCACTTATAATTGTGTATTTAGTTTAAGATGTCAAGATATTTAATTCTGTGTGAGAAAGAAATAAAAAATATTATTATCCCTCTTATCAAACAATTGAAAAATAATGCTTAATTGTTTATAAAGTTTTTTTGCAGAGGCAAAATAATTATAAAATCAAATAATATAATAGGCCTCTAACAACGGTAATGTAACTAAAACAATGTGAAAATTCAATATTAATTTAAAAGCTAAAATTAAACAAAAGTATACAATTACTGTATATTTCATCAAATACAAATTAGTTAAAAATAAACTTGGCCTCCTTCGGCAGATTGGTCAAAAAACGTTCTTTTTGAGGATGTGAAAACAAAAAAAGCCCATATTATCTACCGACCAGTAGTTAGTTTTATTCAGCACGCTATTCAAGGCCGTATTTTAATGTGAATTTTGTATTATTCAGTTATGAAAATGTAGGAAGTAGCTCGTGGCAAAACGCCTCGCGTCCGTCTGTCGGTTAGTTGTTAATCAGTTATAAGTTATAACACTCGCTATTCTGGTAACAGTCGCGTAAAGATAATACTTTTTATTATAACTTATATCAATTTGACAGTCTAACCGGCTTTTTATGTGAGTACCTATATTTACTTAAAATATATAGATATACCTACATAATATGTTATAACCGCTTGTAAATCGTATTTTTGCTTAATTACTGTAATTAAATATGATTGATTTTTCATAAATCTATACTTAGATAAGTATATATTCTCAGTCAGTCAATGGCGCATCGTATTACTCGTAACAACCGTATTAAACATGGTATTAACCAGACGGTTGAAAAATACAATTTGTAATTTCAGTAATGTATTATCCGCAATAAAACGTAAATTATGTCAGAAAGCCTATAACTCAATTGTGGATTACATAGAAGACAAAAATGCTTGGGATTATGCTAGTGATTTGGGCTAGTGTTTTTTCTTTTTTTTCTTTTCTATCCTTTATGTTTTACTTCACTTCCTCTTTTATTTGATCTTTTTTCCTAATCTTATTTTTCTCTTGTCTTTTTTACCATTTAGTCCTTTATAACGGACACACTGGCTTGCATCAGAATAATGTTGTGGTATATTTAATTATGCCATTGTATTTATCTGTAAATTGCAAAAGACTGGCCATGACTTTGTTTGCCCTTTCTTCTCATGAGGACCCCTTGGAAACGGGCGATTGTAGATCGGCATAGGCATATCATGGATTCTGTATAAGTAGAATTTTTATTAAATTTATTTTCCTAATTATTTGACAAAACAGAGATTGTTGCTATTGTGTGTGTGTTGATCTACGATTTCAGAGTCTACATAAAAGACGATTTCAAACAATTAAAATTGTTTTATGATATAAAGATATTTTGAATTTGAAGAGTAATAATTTTGTCTCCTAACTTCTAAAAGGCAGAAGTTAATTAACTATTAAAAAAGTTTTACCAACTTTATCATCATGATGAAATTGTACATACAGCCTTTAATTTCCACCCTTAGTGATGTTTTTTCTTCAAATTTCAATAGGACCTCAAACGGAAAGTGTACTTTTAAATAATTTTGAATCACCTCCTTTCTTATGTCAAGTAGACATTTTGGATTTACTTTATGATCATAGCAACGAGTCTCGCCTCGAGCGGTTAGTATTATTTGTGTGGAGTACTGTGAGTATAGGCTCACTGCTGATGCACTCCGAAGCGCCTCGACCGCAGGTTGACCACGCGCGGACGGCAAGTGGACTACCAGGTGCCAGCGCGCTGTTGGCAAGTGGTTCACTTGCGAGGATGATGCATCTCCCTCGAGCGAGTCTGTCGTTTCGTTCTGCTTAACAACTGACTAACTGCGTCCATCCGTGGACCACCTGTCAACAATGAGTAGACACCGAGCCGAGTTGGCGCTGGTCGGGTATGGCGCCGCACCTTTACGCACTATTAGAACTACTCTGATAAAAATAATTTTAAGAAATTCGTTAACTGGCCTATTAAATTAAATTGGGCACGGCATTAGGTCGGCACATTAAATTAGGAATTCTTAGAAATATGGGTATGTTACATATACCTACCTAAGAATCTTTGTCTTACGCAGACAACCTATGAGATAATATTATTCGCAGCAGAGGTACCAAAGATAAAACTAGTTTAACGAATACCGAAAATTAAAATTTCGAAATGTAACAAAAACGACATATTTTTAACACATAGCTTCGGATAATCAATACAAGGTGATTTGATCCCTTACTATACTACAGCGAAACCTATGTTTGTATGCATTCCTATTCCTTAGAGACAAGTCGTAGCCATAATTTATGAAGTAAATAGGATTCCTCATATTTGGCAAAATAACGCAAAACAATAAGCTAAAGTATTTTTTGTAAAAAATCCTTGGAGATTCTAGCTGAATATCTTTAAAACTTGACTTTCTAAAGTTTTTACATAATGTAATCGAAACAATAAAAAAACGTACCACAGAGGTCAGTAGATATGTAATTAATTAATTAACGTTACGTAACGAAGGAGGGGCGTTACTCTGACATACGGCTTCAGTTTGACAAAATGGACTCTATGGTATTTGTTCTATTCCAGGGTGGGGCAAATGTAACCCTGGCGCACCATGGCTACGTCCTTGGCTGGGGATATCAAATGTAGAAGAATTGTGTGCGTTAGCATTTAAAAATAGTATCTTACAGCGCTCTCCAAAAACTAAAATAAAATGTTTTACACAAGTATTGAATCAAAACAATGGGACTATAAGTATATCATAAGTCTATCGCCGTCCACTGCTGGACAAAAGCATTCTCGTATCCTAGTCTTGGATAGTCAATGTCCATATGATGCCAGCCACTTTCCTTAAGTCATCAGTCTCAACTCTAGCACGTGTCGGCTCCAGCGACTATTAGTTCGCCCTGGGACCAGACCGGACTTTAAATTCAAATGGGACCAAATAGAAGTATTCCTTCTCTAATAAAAAGTAAATTTCCAAATCGGTTCACGAATGAGTTCCGAGGTAACATTGGCGACTTTGTAATAAGTACACTTAACATTGATAACCAATTCCAAAATATTAATCCATCACGTAACATCAGTAGTTTTTAAATAAAGGTAAACAATTGCCGTGGGTAAATTATTTGAATGCGACATTTAATACTTAATTTTATAATTCGATGTTTAATATTTCGAGGTACACACCGTAACAAAAAGATAGAAGAAATACTCTCTTGACGAAATAACAACTCAAGAAATAAGACGTAATTAAAATTTAGTAGTATAGAATCTCTTCTAGAACTGGCTTAGATTAAAAAGTTGAATTTACTAAAGACCTTGATTAAGGTTACCATCCATACTAATATTATAAATGCGAAAGTGTATCTGTCTGTCTGTCTATCAATCTGTCTGTCTGTTACCTTTTCACGCTTAAACCGCTGAACCGATTTAGATTAAATTTGGTAAAGAGATAGTTTGAGCCCCGGGAAAGGTAATTTTTTATCCGAGGACAGTTTTTGTCCCACAAATAATCTTTTAAGGGGGTGAAAAGGGGGTGTGAAAGTTTGTATGGGGAATCAATAACCGCTGAACAGATTCAGATGAAATTTGATTGGTTTAAAACTTATGCCAATGTGACTGTAGTGTGCAAGATGGCCACTCCGTGAAAAAGAACTGGCCACCATCTTTTTTGTCAATGTTCCTCGGTTTTTGAAATTTTCTTGGCAACTAGTTCTGCAAATATCTCTATCTTATACCGAAGAACACTTCTTGATTGCCGGATTATATTGATATTTCCATGTTTCGTGGCCAGTAATGATTTCAGAAACACGTCTTGTCCTCCCATTTTCAAACGTAGACGCATCTTTTTTTTCCATTTCGGAGAGCAAGTGAGGTATCCAACGATAATAAAGCTATCTCATTCTAAGATTATTATTCATTCGTTCGTTGTAAGGCGTCCACTTCTGTTAACATCTTCAAGGCTAGTTTTCCCCCTTTTAACGCCCCCATCAAAAAATGGTTGCCCGAGAAGGAGCAGACTCACCTAAAGCTGATTTTAAACTTTCTAAACTTAAACCTTCAGATAAACATAATTTTAAGTCAGAGGCCATACTATATATTTTATAAATATTTATTATATTATAGTTGACTATAGTTGACGTTACTAAAAGTAAATGAGTGGTAGTGATTAGTCGAAATCCAAAGTCCACCTTATTTTCTTTTTTTACGTGCCGTTACCCACTGGCACTGCGCTCAAAATTGGAGGAATCTGGGTAAAGCTTATATTAAGACAACACCTTCAGGTAAAAACTCTCGTTAAAGCGACGTCCAGGCACACGCAGACGTTGCCCAATTGCGGGCCACTATAGCAGGTGGAGGAAAAACCGCCCCTTTTACCCGCAGTCACATTCAGTGTTAGTCGGTTCTTACGACACCCACAGGATGAATAGGGGCGGTGACAATCCGTATTCTTAATCCGTCACCACACGGACGTACAGTAGTGTACTAGTAAAATAGGCGTACTAAAGGTAATATCCAATTGTAATTTATTTCTCTCTCCCTATTTAATTCCGGGCTTAAAAATATGCAATCGCATTTGAAAATTGCCCTTGACCCTTACACACACACACACACAGAATGTAGTATATACAACAGATGTCAATAATTACAATACTGGTTCAGTACATTCTACCATTTCTACCATCTGAATTGATGGTAGAAATGGTAGAATGTACTAAACTGTAAGAATCTGGAAACTGGAAGAAGAACTGTAAGATCACCAAGGTATAGCCAAGGAAAATTCCTGTAACTTTTGTTTTCAACGTATTTACGAAAAATGCATCCCTAACGAATTACTCTGCTACCTAGCTAGGTAAAACTAGTACTTACATATTTGACTAAATTTTACCTATATAGCAGTACCTCGGGTTCCTATTCCCTTTAAATTTTCGGATAAAAGGTTGAACAAACTATATAAAACAGCTTAAAATAATAAGCACATTGTTGAATATTTTATTTCGTTTCGTGATTTCAGTTGTTGAAAATATTTTGAAAAGATTTTTGTAAAATTGAATTCTTACAACCAAATGATTTATGCAGCATTCCACTATGAATAATCACGACATTAATGTAATTATATTTAATTTATTTAGTTATATGTAATATAATAAATATTATTATTAATTAATGAGCAATTAAATTAAAACAGTATAATAATATTACGTATAATTACAACAATACTTATATCATTGGCGTTTGTATCATCAAGAGTTTTGTTATACGCTCCTCTCTTATATTTTAAAGTAAAGTAAAGAGATAAAGTACTAATGTGAGTAAATGAAATAGTAAAAATATTGCGAGTAATCTTGTGTTGCATCAAACGCGTGCAACTCTGCAATTGAGGGCCAAGTGCGAGTCTATTTCGCTTTCAGTCAATCGTCACGGTAACCGCGTTCGTTACGATTGGCCCGCACTGAAATCCACACCAATCGCAACGCTAAACGCGCTGCCGTCGAGATCGAGTAGATATGAAATAAACTTGCACTCAGCCCTCTGATGTACGTGACAATCCAGCGTACCGGTTAGCAAGCGAAGCCGGGTACTACCACATATGTCGCGTCGCGGGCAGATGGGCACTTCTCTCTCTTTCATACTTCACCCATTTATTATCATAGATAAATGACATGTTCTGAGTCTGACAAAACAAAATGATCATGCTCATCACACAATTATTTATTCTGGGTGCGAATTGAACCCACGGCCTCTGGCCTAGCAGTCAGGGTCAAGGTCACTAACCACTAGACCAACAGGCAAGTCGTGACGCTTCATTGTACCAATCGATGACGGCATGGGCGTACCCATCATTTATTTAGGGGTGGGGCAAAAGTAAGACAACTGGATAAATGATTGGAATTTAATAAATTTCTAACCTTATTTCAAGAATAACCTGTTAGGGTTACAGCAAAACCGGCTTAAAATTTCGTTTATTTTATTTTGTGCTTCCAGACGTTTTTTCCACTATGTTTACCTTCGTGATGAACCCTCTTCCTATGCACACTCATCATGCAGAGGCCGACATTAAGTTTTTTGCTATTCTTGACCGTAGCCAAGTTTATGCTCTGCCTAAATTTCTAAAATACCTTTGGATTCTGGTTCTAACTGGATTATTCTTATTATTTTTTGATAATTTAACCAAAACGTTTAGGAGGCGCATTAAGTTTGTGCATTTTTATTTAAATTTACTTTTGGTGTCAAGACTCTGACACGTCCGTGCCTTTCTCCGAAGACACTGAAAGTTTTAACAATATTAGTGTACAGCCAAAATGGTTTTTAGTAATTTGAAATTACTTCACTAAATTTTATAGGTGTTGCACCGGGATATAACATATTGCCACTCTTCCAAGAGTCGATCATTTGGTAATTATGGATGTACTAAACACAATGACCCAACTCTGGTTTGAGGTTTACCTTTTGTAATGCGTATCTTTTTGCTCATCCTCCACGTAACTTGCTGCCAGTGGTAATAGCACCTTTTAATCTCAATATCGTTTAAAACTTTATGTATGGAAGAGCCTCAAGACATATAAATGTCTTAGTAATTAATACAGAATTTCCCCATAGGTCGGTTGTTTCTTTAACATAAATAGTGTTAATGAGTTTAATAATTTCTAATAGGGAAACATACTGGAACTTAAATTCATTTTAAATCCTACTAACATAATCTTTTAAAATTAGTTTGCATTTAAGTAGTTCTGCAAGGCATTTTAAGTAGTTCAAAGATTTAGTTAGTTAGTTAATACATCGTTTATATTTAAATTAAATTCATTATCACGGTATTGATTTTTTCCAGTTGCACTGTAAATAATTTTCCAAGTGGTTTTAATTCATCATTGCTACTTTTAATCTTTGAACTTATACGAGACTTAACCAATTTACAAAGTTTTCTAAACAGCTTCAAAGATTCTTTAACATAGTTACGAAACTGTTCACTTTTATTATAATGCCTCTCATCATATAGCTCGTATAATCTTTTCCTAAATATATCGTTACCTTTAACCACTAGCGTTTTTGCTGTAAAAGTGGTGTTAAATGTTGAATAAAAAGTTTCAAAAAAGCTATTATAACTATATTTTAATTAGTAAACTGTAAATTATTGATTTTGTGAAATTGTACTAGCAGTACTGTCTTTTCTTTTTACGTGTGGAAACGTCCTCGAACCGTCACCCTACCTTCGGGTAGATTTTCTATTTATATACCGAACGTCGACTGCCACCTGGTTCTCCAGCAGTGAATTTGTAAAGACAGACACACATAAAGTTTTGATGCATTTTCAGTTAAACAAAATGGCGCCCATCCTGTACCGCATAGACGCTGGCCCGCCATCAAACGCGGTGCGCATGCTAGCTGATATCATTGGATTGGAACTGGAATTAAAAGATGTTGATTTAATTGCTTTAGAACATAAATCACCAGAATACCTCAAAGTGAGTAATTAACACACAAACAAATACGTGTAAATAACCGATTAACTGCAGTTGTTCTTTCAACCAAAGTTTACTTGTAATATTGTAATATCAGGTGTATGGTGAATGGGCCGTGTATGCATAGCAGAAGTTCAATTCTCGTAATAAAAGTTCGGTCACAATTCAGTTCCGATTAACTTTCGATCTCACAGCTGTCTATTCTATTCCTAAGACTAGCAGACTACTGATTCGATTTTCGGTTACAATACGATATAATCACATTACAGTTAACGTTGGATGTTTAACACTTTACTACGAAAATACCTTTTATGATAGTTGTGAGATCAAAAGTTGATCGGAACTGAATTGAGACCGAACTTTCATTACTAGAATTCGCCTTCAGGTATTATATTTTATGGAAATATTGTATAAAAATGTATTGTACGTTTGCTGTTAGTATACCAAATAAATAAATAAAGAACCCCACAAGTAAGACAGATCTCCTTCTCTCTTCTTCTCCTAGTCCTTCATCAACATCCATTATTTGATAAAATTATACTTATCTATACTAATATTATAAAGCTGAAGAGTTTGTTTATTTGTTTGTTTGAACGCGCTAATCTCAGGAACTACCGGTCCGATTTGAAAAATTATTTCAGTGTTAGATAGCCCATTTATCGAGGAAGGCTATAGGCTATATATCATCACGTTAAGACCAATAGGAGCGGAGCACCAACGAAGAATGTTTCAAAAACGGAGAAAATTTATTACAATTGAGAGACGCAGACGAAGTTGCGCGGGTCAGCTAGTATATGATATTATTAAACCGTTGATCTCTTCTTATTAAAGAAGATAAAAAGGTGTCGAATGTTATCATTATTGTAATAACAAACAATAGTATCGCTATCGCTTTTAGTTTATGACTAGGACCCAACATAAAGAAATATCATACTAGGGGAGCCCATGATGCTAAATAGGAATTTAACCGTGGGGACCTATAGAATTTAAAAGATTACATTATCGAATGTATAAAAGTCATATGATGTTTCCGCTTTCGGCGGGGTAAGAAGCGTCCACAGGTTTTCAAAATGCTTGCTTTCAAAGGACCGACGATTTGAAAGTGACATAAGCCCGTAGCGAATTTATGAAAATGCAAAAAGTCGCCATTTTGAAATACTCGAGCGTATCAGATTTTAGATTTTTAAACTAACGGTTTAGCTCGTCATACTAGATAAATATCTGACGATTATTTAGGGGAGTAACGAAAAATTATTTTAATTTATGAAAATGTATTGTTTCAGATTAAATATTAACATGAATGATATGACATGAAAGTAAATGTAACAGGTTGTAATTTAGTAAATTTAGTACATAAATTAGTAGTTTAGTAAATCTCAAAATCTCTTCTAGGGCTCCCCTACTATCAAAATTCAAATAATTTTATTTACCTGTATTTTTTTTTTATCAGATCAATCCCATCGGCGCAATTCCAGCATTAAAAGATGGCGAGTTCATTCTTTCAGACAGGTAATTATTTTAACTAGTAGTTGTGAGGATGAGATTCAAATATTTTTTAATCATAATTTTTGACATTTTTCATACTAACACGGCTATTTGCACGATGCCTAAGCCTAAAAACCAGTTTTAATATTTTTTGGCTGTCTGTCGGTTACTGACGACAACATTTGTCTTCATTCAAATTCCGACCGAAGTCACGGGTACTAGCTACTTTAATATAAAAATAAAACTGATTCCTTTAGCCCTTTTTTTCTGGAGAGTTGTTTTCACAAAGATATTATAAAAAGCCAGTAACATAAAAAGTTTTTAATTTATTGGCAATTCGTAACGTGAGGCTTGTGTTGTGTGAATCTAAAGGGACGAGTAATCATTTTAAAGATCATTTTGAAAACGATATTTAAAAACGACCTCATGGGACTTCAAGTCTTTGATTTCTCAGAGGTGTTTCTGTCATGATATTTTTTTTACAGCCACGCCATTATGAAGTATCTTCTTTCAAAGTATGCACCAGATCAAGTCGAGTCTTTATACCCAAGTGACTTAGAAACGCGCGCGTTGGTCGACCAGACCATGTACTTCGACACCGGCGTGTATTTCATTAAGCTTAAAAATGTTGTAGTGAGTATTTAATATCAGTTAAGTTACAATAAATAAAAACAATGATTACCGTAAATACCGTATACCTACTACTAAGCTCCCTTCAAAACTTCTAACACTTTATAACCACTAAAACTTAGGTGCAAACTTATGGGTATTCCTGAAAACGGACTCGAATTAATAGTTTGTGTCGTATTTTGAAAAGAGACTACAATATTCTTAACCATAGTTACGGCCACACCTAAATACCACTCATATAAGTTTGGAGTACCGCAAAGGAGTGCGTTAGGTCCTTCAACATTTTTGCTATTTAAAAAAAACTTGTCACACTTACTTATAAATACTAACATTATATGCCTAACAGGTTAGAATATGGGGAGAGTAATATTTTTATAATAATATTTTTATTATATTATATTATGAATAATATTTTTATACATCATAGCGTTTCCTAAAATAATATAAATTTACTAATTTGCCAGCTGCCTTCAATTTTCGGTAACTATACCGAAACCCCTGAAAAGTCGAAGGGGGAGATCGACGACTGTTACAAGGTACTGGAGACCTACCTTGAGAACCGAAAATACATTGCAGCCGACCACCTGACTCTTGCAGACATTGCTGTAGTAGCGACCACTAGCAGCATGCAACCGATTCACAAGTTGGATTCGGAGAAGTAATTTTTAACTTTGCTTTAATACCTGTTGATTTATATTAAATATCTTTCCGTTTTTTACTATCATTGATTGTTAAGGTTAGCTCGTTAGATCTACCCGATACCGGACCAGTACCACCTCGATGCTCGGTGTCCACTTGTTGTCGAAAGGTGGTCTACGGTCGTACGGGTGTAGGCGTATGTCGCTCTAATGAGCTATGAACTTTAGACTGCAGGATTGTTTTACATCACCATAGATATTTTCCGCTTTTCGCACTATCGGAGAAACAGTTTAGAAATTTGTGATCATGATTTATTAACGTACTTTTAATACCCAACCTGTGACAATGATGGGCCTCTTCGAGTTTGTGAGAAAAAAAAAGTGAGTGTGTCAGCTCCGACGCACGACTGGAGTTTACTCCTTAAGAACGATTCGGCTGCACACAAGTATACAAATTATACACTAAGTATACAGTGAAACTACTAAAATACGACGACTAAGATCGTCTGCATGCATAGGTGACTTGCTATCTTGGACATAGGTTCCATGTCAGAAAAATTACAGCTGGTAATTAACGATATAAATATGTCTTAGGGGGGTCTTGCATTGTTTGTGACATTTACAAAAATTTGGTGTTTTCACAGATTCCCGCGCACCGCTGCATGGCTGTCACGTTTGGAACAAGAGCCTTTCTTTAAGAAGTTCATGGCACCCGGCGCAGAATTATTGGGCAATATACTGTACTCAATCTGGGAAAGAAATAAACAAAAGAAATTATAAACTTCATTGTTACATAAATAATATGTAAATATGATACATATTATGAATATATTTTTAAAAAAAAAACTGGTTTTATTTTTCTACCTGTTAAAAGCATCGTATTACCTCGATACAAGGTCAAAAAAATTAGATAATTATATTTGATCACTAGGTAGGTACTTTGTAAGCCAATTTAGTTTCTTTGCAATGTATAGAACTAAAGGACTTTGAAACAGTTGAAAGTCGACTTACCTACCTTTATTGCCCTTTTATGTTTGTTGGCATATTCTCTCGTGGCTCAAATAAGAATAGCACACACACGTCACTAATTGATCGTTTTTAAATAAAAAACCGAACGTGTTTGTTTGTGGGCAGTAATTACCCAGTGAATGCAATTATGTCAAACTGAGGGCCAAGTGCGAGTTTATTTCACTTCTACGTGAAAAAAAATAGTGAAAAACCAGCTAACTAGAAACTAGAGATGAGAAACATAGCAATATAAATGGTAGCAACAGAAAAAGTCTGGTACTACAAGCTTTCCATCCAGGTTTGTTCACAAGACAAAGATCGTCTTCGCTAGGAAGTAATCAATCCAAAACTCATCCCACCTCTGGAGGCCAACCTGTTGATACAGAAACAGAGACAACAGAACTTTGTCTTCCAACATGGCAGAGAGTGCCTGTAGGTAGAAATCCTAAGAAGAAGAAAACATCTAACAAATCTTCTCCTGAAATAGTGAAAACCTCTAACAGATTCACAGGTCTGACAAAAGATCTTACTGATACTGAAGCTGTACCCAAAAATAAACGTCACGCCTTACCCCCATCAATAGTAGCATATGGTGTAGAAGATGTTAATAAGCTCATCGAACTACTTATGACTGTAGTAGAAAAATACCAGTTTAGTTTCAAAATTATCAATCGAAACCAGTTAAGAATAAGTAGCTTGGATATAGAAACTTATAAACAAATTTTAAACATGGCACGGAAAAATGGTTTGATTGGTCACACCTTTAATCGAAAAGACCAAAAGTGGCAAAGAGTTGTGATACGAAACTTGCACCCGTCAACACCAATGTCTGCTATCAGAGAAGCTGTTTAGAAAGGTAATATATTAAAAAAGCAGGTTGTTGCCTCACAATAGGTTCGCGCGGTGTACCGCTTCTTACACAAAAGTTTTGAAATCAGTCAAATATGCATACGGTGTCATTAACTAAAATTAAAATCAAAAGAAAGGAAAGAAAATCTCGGTCTGTTCGAATGCGACACCACGCGCAATGCGGTGCATCATTTTGTGTTATGGTTATTGGCTAATTGTATACTGGACTAGAGAATACGGCCGTGACCAATGGATCACCGGATCCTGGTTACGGAAATACAGGTTGGGAATATACCGGCAACGTAGTTTATCAATATATTTTTATAAACACATTTAGATAGGGAATATTTACACATCACAGGGTTCCGAATAGAAGATGGATCAGCCTCACTGGTAAGTGGCTAAATTCTTCTCTTGAACGGCTCCGCGCTATCACGGACGGTTTGGGGTCCCGGGAGAATCCTAAATAGAAGCTATCGAGGTAACTTGCAACATAGTCTCAGGGGAAATCATGAATGCAAAAAACCAACATCAACATTTTTTGAAAACGGACCGAATAACGAGGCTGTAAAGGAACTCAAATATATATACCACCAATCAATTTTTATTGAGTATCCAAAGAGGCGAACTTCAATCGTGCAATGCCAAAGGTGCCAACAATATGGACATTACAAAATTTATTGTATGTGCCCATATCGCTGCGTAAAATGTGGAGAGTCCCACAAAAAATCTGAATGCCAAAACGCGGCACTACTCCCGCCCATTGTGCACTATGTAATGGTCCACATCCAACGACCTATAAAGGGTACGAAGTATACATGGCAATTTTGCTAAGACGATCTAAGCCAACACGTTCAGGTGCAAAAAGATATCAAACGCAAACACTTGCGGCCGAAAATACCTTGAATAGAGTAGTGCCAAACATAAGGAAAAGAAATAATAACCTATTAAGGTAGCTCAAAAGAATACGGGGGGGTCGTCTACTCGTCTGTAGACGGCCCGAGGTATGTCGAGGCACCAGGGACTTCCTTTCTAGGGTATACTTGGTTCCCCGGCTATTAGTACCCGACACGGCGTGCGGTTTTAGTCGGTTCGAGTCCGACATGCCACCGATAGGTGGTATCCGAGGTAATTTCCGCACGGAAAAAGAAGAAAAAAAAAGGACAGCAAAGAAAACATATTCTGATGTTACTCGAAACAAAATGGGACTAGCTCAAGAAATACCAAAACCTTTGAACTTGGAAGAGATTTTAATCAAACAGACTGAAATATTTGACATAATCCTACAATTGATGAGTACCTTAATGATGCTCATTACGCGACTCGTTGACAAATTGACAAAATGACTGCAGTTCGAATGGCCACATCGGACATCAATGGAGTGACACCAAATAAAGATGAAGCAGAAACCCTCATGGTACAGCCAAACTTTGACTTGCGAAGTTCATTGTGTTGCTTTCATAAATATTAAATTTAAGAACTCTGAGTGCTATTTCACCCTTCACCCAGATGGGTCCAGACATGCTTTTACTGCGATTGAGGTCAGGAGATCACTAAAACATCATGTAATGCCTGAGTATAGAACCTGGATGTGCCAAGCTACTACAATAGCGGTTGAAGACAGAAATGGCTACTTCAATATTTCTTCAGTGTACTGCCCTGTACTCAGACTTAAGATATACGTAGAGATGTTTAAAGAATGTTTCAAATTACTTGGTAATAGATTCTCGGCGGTGGAGACTGGAACGTCAAAAACACTTTCTGACGATCCAGACTAACCAGCACCAGGGGCAGACAGCTTAAACTTAGTGTAGAGACGAACAGCTTAACTACAATTTCCACATGTGAACGAACGCACTGGCCGACGGATGTCTCTAGATTGCCAGACTTATTTGACTTTTTTATCATTAAAGGCTTTGTTCTATTTTCAATGTGAGTCTTGTTATGACAGCTCCTCTGATCACACACCAGTACTGCTTACTCTAAGTACAGAGATTATACATTAGACTGGTACTCATTCAGAGAATATATTAATGAGAACCTTAAGCTGAAAGTCGCTCTTAAGACGCCACATGATATCCAAATAGCGGACGAATATATTACAAACCTCATACATGAAGTTTGCTGGAGGAGTACACCACTATTAGATACCAAAAATAAGATACAAAAGACCCTCTCGTAATAAAAAAAAGCTGTCTTAGAAAGAAGTAGACTGCGCCGCATATGGCAACAGAGCAAACTTGCGGCTGACAGAGCCAACTTCAACAGGCAAGAATCATATTTAAAAGATATGATTAAAACTTGGTAGAATAACACTCTTGAGGCTCAGCTGGCAACCCTAACGCCCACTGCAGCCACGGATTACTCACAGTGTAAATTTACTAAATACTATGGTAGACCACAAGTGCCAAGGTCCCCATTTAAAAAAAACTGTGGCTGGTCGACCTATTTGCAGCACCATTTATTGACTCTCTTTACCCCGAATCAGGTCGGTGACACTGATATCGAAACAGAGGTTGAATCGTTCTCGCCCAGCCTATACAAATGTCGCTCCCGAAATCCCCGGTATCGGTGAAAGAAGTCTGCAAAATCATAAAAGGATAAGAAGGCACCAGGCTATGATCTTATTACGAAGGAAATCTTGAAAGAGCTTCCAAGAAAGGCGTTAGTGTTTCTAACAATGACTTTAATATAATACTAAGAGTTTTAATCTTTACAGACCTTTGGAAGGTGTCACAAATCTTTATGATACATAATACAGGGAAACCGGCAGACCAAACAACCTCATACAGGCCCATTAGCCTGTTGCCAGTTTTATCCAAGATCTGTGAAAAGTTTAATTTTCACCGGATTATACTCATACTGGAAAATAATACGATAATTCCTAAGCCGAAAGCTACATTGGATGCTGGGCCGAAAGCACAGACTATCAATAGACAACAAGCTTCCAATTTACAAGTATTCAACTTTGGGGCAGTGCAAGTAACTCAAATATTATGCAAATATTATACAAAGAGTGATGAATGCTATACTAAGAACAATAGAAAAACGTCCTTTGGTTCATCACCAACTAAGAAATTCAGGTTGCCACGCAAAAGCACCAAAAAGGGCTAGAAAACCAACCGAATGCACTTGGGGCGAGTCTTATTACCCACGACTATCATAAACGTCTTAAAAGAAAAGATGTGTTGTAATAGTATAGGAGAAATGAAGAAGTAAGGAGTAGTTGACCTCACACGAGGACGCACTCGACCTGCCAAAACCTACCACTTATCTGCTTATAGTTGGCTACTGATAGCACATTGGCACACAAGAAAAACAAAATTAAGTCATATGGAGGTCATGTGTTCAGTGGGTATTATTTTAAAGATGATAGCAAAACAAAAATAAAAATACAGTTTTTCATGAATTTGAAGACATTAACTATATAATAATGAGAAATAAAGATTCAAGGACGTATTCTAATGTGGGTATAATTACTATTCAGTTAAAAATAGGAATTTACTTGTTGCAGCGTCTCGCGTCAGACGGTTCTTGTTTTTATATTGGTCGGGTAAGACACTCCCTATTCCGGCGACAGTCGTGTTGAGGTAATACATTTTGGTTATTACTTTATAGCAAACAGTTTTGATAACACAACCGGCTTGTTATGTAAGTATACCTATATTTATATAGAAATAAATATTCTGTGTCTGGGTGTAATTTATCTATAATATGTGTGTATTTAGAAATATGTGTGTATTTGAATACAAGAATGTAGGTATGTTTATCAGCGGTCTGGTTACCATAGCTCGGGCTCTGCCTAGTTTGAGAACATACTGCCTTAAATAAGATAACGCAAATATTAGAAATAATTGTTTATTTTACAATGGTACGGATCCGTCCGAAGTTCAGCCGTGTCGTTCAGTAGACTGAAAGCATACCCCAACCTGGTTTGGGAAAATGGCACGGAGGATGATGATGGTAAGGATCCTTCTATAAAGAATATTTGAATTCTTTCTGAGTACCTACTTTAAATCACCACTGTGCGTTTTTCAAGACACTTTTTGCCTCGCACTACCAACCTGTGGAACAAGTTATCGGATGCGGTATTTCCGGACCGATACGACCTTTAAACCTTCAAGAAAAGAGCGTACTCCTTTATCAAAGGCTGGCAACGCGCTTGTGACTCCTGAGTTGCTGGCTGTAGTCGCTTTCCATCAGGTAACCCGTCTGCTCGTTTGTCCCCTATTCCAAAAAAAAAACATTGTTTTCTCTCACCTCCTAAAAGACAGAAGAGACACTTGTTGGTCTAGCGGTTAGCGGTTAGCGGACAGCTACTGCTGGGTACGATTCCTACCCAAAACAAATCATTGTATGATGAGCAGGATCATTTGTTCTGTCTTTTATTTTAATTTATCCATAATATGCAAGTATTTAGAAATATATAAGTATGTTCATCAGCTGTCTGGTTACTATAGTACAGAGTCTGCCTAGTTTTGGATCAGTCGGCCGTGTGTAAGATGTGTGCAGTTTAAAAAAAAAATTAGGTACAATCTGCAATTGACATCGTTAATCACGCACGGGAAGTCTAAGTGACAGTATTTAACGAAACTGCAAACAGAGTAATATATGTCAATAAATTGACAAAGATTTTAATTAATTTTCAGATAAACAAAATGGCGCCTACCCTGTATAGCATGGATGCTAGCTCGCCAGCAAACGCGGTCCGCATGTTCGCTGATATCATTGGATTAGACCTGGAATTGAAACATATTGATTTAACGGTCGCTGAACAGAAATTACCAGAATTTCTCAAAGTGAGTAATTTACATGATACCTAATATAAGTAACTATTTGTGTCATAAACAGGACTAAAGGTAATAAATCGACGATTAAAATTATTTATTTTTGTAAAAAACACTGTTACAATGGTGTTAGAAAATTAGATGTTTGAAGAGCTTTTACCGTAAGGCTTGCAAAATTAAGTGTGGTTTATCAAATCAGAATTGACACTGAAACATTATAAAATTAGATAACAAATATTTTTAAATATTAAATTAATGCTATGTCCTCCTATGTATTAATGCTATCCCTATTGTGCTTATTAAACTTATAATACTTTATAGAGATCAATAATTTATTTATTATTAATTCATTAGTTTATCTTTATTTATTACCCATAAACTAGGGTTCTTTGTTTGTTCCAAAGAACCCCTGTTTATCATCTAGTTGTTCATCCTTATCCGTTACTTGATGACAGAATATTAATAAGTGATATGAAGAGATAATAATTTAACTATTAATATGCAAGAGTATGTGGACTGAGACATGACATGAACAATATTATTATTATTATTATAGCCTCTTTATATCCATAATGAATAAATTACAAAACAAATATAAATAAATCAGGAATTAAAAGTCCATATTAAGTGCATGCATGAATTAATAAAATATTACAATTGATACAATGATTATTATATAACAACAATATATGAAAGTTTAAATAATTCTATGTTCCTATCATATTTTATTTGACAGATAAATCCTATTGGCTCCATTCCAGCATTAAAAGATGGCGACTTCATTGTTTCCGACAGGTAATTATTTTAACTAGAGTTGTGACGTGAACGAGATTCAAATTTTCGTTAAATCGACATTAATAAAAAATATAAACAGTGAGTTCCTTTAAACCTACGTTCTTTCTCTTTCCTTTATTAGTTCGAAGAAAGAGAAATAACTTAGAGAAAAAAATACGTTACATATTTATATATTAATGTTTAAATACTAAAATTCAAACAAGGGAAAGCGACCTTATGGGACAACAAATATGTCCGAACTTCGTTTTGATAAGTTGTGTTAGTAACGCTCTGCGGAGTTAAAATGTTGAGTGGTTAAAGTCAAGTTTCGGTGTTGTAAATGTGCAAGAACTGTAAAGGATGCGACACTCTAACGTTAAGTGAATTCATAGTTATAAAAGTGACGTGTTCTAGTCTTAAATTAACTAAAAATCTATTGAACTTAAAAACTTAACTTAACTAACAAAGTGATGTACCCAGACGATAGTTGTATCGAGGCTATCGGCGTTAACGCGTAAGCGACGCCGTTTACCGCTTACTTTTGACTTACCGCTATCTTTTTGACGCGAAGACTGTCTGTTGGTATTTATTAGTGTGCTATAACAGCTCGACGTTTTGCTTGGGCCTTTACTAGTGTCTATTTCTTTTGAAGATTGATTGAATCGTTTAATTTTACCTTTTTAGTTAAATAATTCGTTGATTATTTTGTGGAATTAATAATAATTGCTCAAACGACTAACCATTCAGGTAGTGTCACATAAGCGAGTAGTTGTGCAGATAACATACAGATGGCGCCTACAGTCACCCCCTGTGCAGGTTGTCAAAATTCTTTCGATAACCGACCATGTTTAAAATGTAGCGAATGTTGCAAATTTTACGATCTTACCTGTGCGAACGTATAAGAAAAGAACTCTATGAGGGAAGATAAATAATTAAAGTGGACTTGCCATGAGTGTAGGTAGATAAGTTCCCAAAGGTGGGAAACTTGAACACGCCGGTGTGCAACCTTAAGGAGGATGAAGCAAAACACCTCTAGAAATGAGAAACCGGATCCTGGATTTTGTAACGTTACCTTTAGGAGGAAACAAAGTGACTGCAATCTAAAAAACAAAGATTAGTCAGGAACTTGCAAGCTCACCACAAAAAAATGATGACTCGCTTGTATCGACAGTTAGCGAACAAGTACATAAAATGATTCTTTCTGAATTGCCTGGAATGATCTGAAATATCATGAAGGCTGAACTTTCCTCTATAAAGGAGGATCTGCAGCATTTTTGAAAGTCCATCGACTATATTAGTATGGACTATAATGAAATGAAGACCACGGTTGATAAACTAGCCAAGGATAATTTAATGCCATCAAAGGAAAACGAAACACTAAAATCCATCGTGTCGGAACTCTCAGATCGTCTCAAAAATTTGTAAGTAAGCAAGTAAGGTGTACCTGAACATCAAAATGAAAGCCTACCTAAGCTCTTAGAACAATGTGCGCGTGTGGTGGATTGCAGTTTCAAGGAGGGCGATATTGTGAAATGCACCAGAGTAGCTAAGATGAACAAAGAAAGCAGGCTCCCACGTAGTATTATTGTTTAAGTAAGTTTAAGTAAGTTTAGAAGTGTGAGAAAGCGAGATGAATTTTACTCCGCGTTATATCGATGCAATAAATCAAACCCAAATGACAAACTTAATACCTCATTGCTAGGAATTTTTGGTGGCGACAATAAACTTGTGTTAGCGTCAGAGCACCTATCTTCAGGTAACAAGATTCTGCATGCAGCAACGCATCGGAAGGCTAAAGAGCTGGGCTATATGTTTGTTTGGGTTAAGAACGACCGAATATATGTTAGAAAGTTAGTAGACTCCCAGTATAAAACTATTAAAAATAAAGAGACAGTCTTGGTCTCATTAAAATCAGTAAAATCTCAGTAAAATTAGTAATGTCAATGGTTATTAACATTTAAAAAAATGTATTTGTCAATATATTACCAGAATGTTAGAGGTATAAAAACCAAGACATTCGATATTTATAACGCAGCATTAGTTAACAACTACGATATCATTTGTTTGACCGAGACGTGGCTTGACAACACTGTTATGTTTTCTGAGTTGTTTGATGACAGATATTGTGTATTACGTAGATATCGAGACATTAGATTTCTAAAATTGTTCTAGTAAAAAACTTTGCTATCGTAAAACTGACTTTGATAGGTGCAGACTAGAGATCAAGCAAATAGATTGATGATTGAGATTGATGTGATGAGTTTGTGCAATTTTTTTACAATAATCTTTACTCATTTATAGAAAATTTTACTCCTAAGTCTAAAGTCTGTAGTAACAGGTATCCTGCATGGTTCTTTAAAAGTTTAATAAAATCATTGGTAACAAAACATAAAGCTTACACTAGATTTAAACGATACGGGAATCCAAGAGATTATGACATGTTTTAGATGCTTAGAGCTAGGTCGAAATCGCTTGCTTATCAGTGCCTTAAAAGTTACGTCGAGCAAATTGAAGAAGACCTTAATATGCTTAACATAAAAGCCTTCTGGCGTTATACCAAAGCTAAACGTCACTAATACCGTCCCCAGTCGTGTGTACTTTGATGACAGGGTCTTCAACTCAGGTACTGATGCTGTTGCATTTTTTTGCAAATCACTTCTCTTCGGTTTATTGTACTGGCACAATAAGCAATTACTCTCCTGTATTTCACCCCTCCAACTTTTCAATTACAGATTAGCATATTTCAAAGTGGATTTGTTAAATGAGCTTAAACAGATCGATGTCTCCAATAACGGTGGTTATGATGGTGTTCCCCCAATATTTTATTCGTATGTGTGCAACTGCTTTCGTAAATCCGCTATATATCTGTTTTAATAAATCATTAGAAGAAGGCACTTTTCCGGAGTTATGAAAGATATCAAAAGTCACGCCAATACACAAATCAGGACATGTCTCAAAGACGATGTCTCGAAGTACCGTCCTATCTGTGTTCTTAATTGGTTTGCTAAATTATATGAAAGCCTTATTTATAAACACATATGTTGCCAATTTAAACACTTATTAAGTCTAAAACAACACGGATTTGTCGCAAGTAGATCTACAATTTCGAACCTCCTCTATTACACAAATTATATCTCGGAATCTCTTAATTGTATAAAACAAGTCGATTCGGTATACAGACTCTAAGGTATTTGATCGTGTAGACCATATACATACATGCGAAAGCGCAAAGCGTAGGAATACATGAAAATCTGCACCGATGGCTCACATCCTACTTACTAAATCGCTCACAATTGGTCACACTCAGTGGGTATGATTCTGTGTCGTACTTGGCGTTCCTCAGGGGTCCAATTTAGGTCCACTTTTATTTTTAATATTTGTAAATGATTTGTTAAATTTAATTAAAAGTGAATGCTTAGCTAACGCTAACGACACAAAACGAATATCTAACTATAGTGACTGTAAAATTCTCCAAACAGATATCGATAATATAGTAAGCTGGTGTGACAGAAATTTCATGTCATTGAATAAAAAAAAGTGTCAGGTTATTACATTTACGAGGAAGAAAAAGGGTATAATTACCACATCTATGGAGCTGTTAGTAAGAGGGTTAAAGAAGTGCGTGACCTGGGGGTGATATCTGATTCCGGTTTGTTTTTTCTTACAGCCACGTCATTATGAAGTACCTGCTATCGAAGTATGCAGCAGATCAAGTCGAGTCTTTATACCCAAGTGACGTACAAACACGCGCGTTGGTCGACCAGGCCATGTACTTCAATACCGGTGTGTATTTCATTAAGCTTAAAGGCGTGACAGTGAGTATTTAATTTGAGTTAAGTAACATTACTTAAAAATAAATATTACAGTTTACCTTTAAATAAATAAAGTGGCATTGTAAGGTCGTTTACGCCTTTGAAGACATATACAGATACAGAAGAGAACTAATCAGTTTAGAAGTTTTAAAGAGATTAAGCTTCATACTCGGTTTTATGTTCAAAACAGAGAAATATTAACTTCTTTCTCATCAATAGCACTACATACATACATATCTAAGCAATTAAACAACACGTAAAGCAAATTAGCAAAATCCTTAACAGTTACAACATTGATAAAATCACACCAATATCAACTAGACAAGGTCAGGACCAAAATAGATAATGATTACAATATATTGTGCAATTTATTGTCAAATATCGCAGCCTTTTGACCACGCACACGGTGTTTCTTCAAACGCACTCCAATTATGGTATAGTATTTGAAACATTGGTGCTAATTCTGTTGTTCGAAAACTATCTAAACTAAACTAAAAATCACTAAAGAAATTTTTAGTCCTATCAAATAACGTTTCTGATTCTGAAAAAGTTGTACTTGACAGTTCTAAACTATATTTTAGTGATTTTTAGTGTAGTTTAGAGAGTTTTCGAACAACAGAATTAGCACCATTGACTACAATATATTCAATATGTATACACAATATCGCCCACATGTATTTGGAGTTCCACAGGGGAGTGCATTTGGTCCTTCATTATTTTTGATATTTAGAAATGACTTGAAACATGTTTCTGTAGATTTATAATTCTGACGCAACTTTATATAATAGTAAAAATAAAACAAAATGTAAGCTTTTCTTGAGAATATAAACTTCAAAATATAAACTTATTTATTTTCTAGTTACCGTCATTATTCGGTGACTGTACCGAGACAACCGAAAAGTCGAAAAAGGACATCAACGACTGTTATAAGGTACTGGAGGTCTTCCTTGAGAACCGGAAATACATTGCAGCCGACCATCTGACTCTTGCCGATATTGCTCTCTTATCGACGACCAGCAGCATGCAACCGATTCACAAGTTGGATTCGGAGAAGTAATTTTTAACTTTCCTTTTTTTGGATTTAATACCAGACTATTTTAATATCATTGATTGTAAGACTGTATTTCATTTCAATGTTGGCAACACAAGAGCTCAGAATCAAATGTCAAATTAACCTTCATCGATTAACTGGAAAACACCCTTCGTCTAAAATCGATTCTACGATTCTCTCTTTACGATTCGTTAATCCTTAGTTGCTGATCGCGTTTAGCAACTATGGATTAACGAAGTCATAGTCGAACCTACAACGATTGTTTAATTTAAGGAACCATTGAGCAAGGGTATTATCGGCGAACAGTACATTGTCAAACTATTAGTTGTGGAACCGACCACGGACAAAGGGTGTTTTCGGCCAGAAGTTCATCGATGTAGAACTTCGGCCACGGCATTCGATTCTGATCTGCGAGATCGAGACAAAGTAAATGATTCGAATAACTTGGGACAACAATGGGCCCCGCTGAGTTTGTGTGACGACAAAAATAATTTCTGGATCTCAGACGAATTACTGAATTAGTAACCAAGACCTGCTGAGAAAAGTAGATATTCCGAGAGACTCTGTTACAGGTGACTTGCTCTCCTGACTATAGGTCAAAGGTCGGTATCGGTATACCATAAAAGTATCTTAGCAGGGTAATTCTTAGTTCATAGTTGTGACGTTCACAAAAAAATTGTGGTGTCTTCACAGATTCCCCCGCACCGCTGAATGGCTTTCACGTTTGGAACGAGAGTCTTTCTTTAAGAAGATTATGGTGCCCGGTGTAGAACTGTTCGATAAGATACTACACTCACTCTGGGAGAGAAATAAACAAAGGAAATTATAAGCTCTAAAATAATCTGAAAATAAAATGTATATACCTGATCCATAGCAAAATATATTGAAATGATCTTATTATTTTTCTACCTTTAAGATCTCTTTGTCTCTGTGTTATTGGTTACAAATAAAGCCACCGTGTCAGCTCAACATAAGGTCATTTAAAAAATTGATCAATTGTTTGTAGCCAGTTTATCTTTGACCTGGAAAAGACTTAGGCCGGCATCACTTTGGACACGTTTTCGTACGAATTAGACTCGTGTGAATACGTACGAACACGCACGAACGATCCCGAATTTGCGAGTACTACGGTGTCTCGCACACTATGTTATATTATAGTATGGTATATTAAAGTTCCTTTATTTAAGCCGGGTAGCACGTCTGATCCTACAAATTATAGACCTATTTCAGTGTTTCATACTTTCAGTAAAAATTTTGAGAAAATAATACTAGACCAGCTGCAAACTCAGTTTAGTGTAAATAATATTTTACACAGGTAACAATTTGGCTTCAGAAGATGTCGCTCGACAAGTGGTGCTGGTGTTGAACTTCTGGAAAGTATATTTGGTACCTGGGAGGATAAACGGGATGCGCTGGGTGTGTTTTGTCTAAGGCATTCGATTGCGTTTTACATTTTTTATTTCAATTTCAATGAAACATTGATCAGGAAATTGCATCACTATGGAATAAGGCATACTGCTTTGGTTTTTTAATGAAGTTAATGGACAGAGGTTCCTCAGAGACTCAATTCTCGGCCCATTTTTGTTTCTCGTTTCTATAAAAGACTTACCTAATTTGATAAAAAATAATCAGGAGAGAGTGCTACATGCGGATGACACTTCACTTTTATTTAAACTGAAACGACAGCATTCAGTTTTCTGACGATTTGAATAACACTCTCTCCAAGGTTGTGAACTGGTTCAACGTTAATAACTTACTTTTAAACGAGAAAAAAAAATGTATTAGATTTTTTTTCACCTAATATTGAGCAGATAAAAACCAGTGTTCTGATATGTGAAAGGATAATGGAAAGTTAGATCTTGTGGACACCACTAAGTTTTTGGGTTTAACTCAAAACTCTAAATTGCAGTGGGGCCCACACATTGATAGATTGTCGAATAGACTCAACCCTGCAGCATACGCGGTTTATAAAATTTGACAATTAACCGATGTAGAAACAGCTACTCTAGTGTATTTTAGCTATTTTCCTAGTGTAATGTCATACGGTATTTTGTTGTTGGGAAATGCTGCTGACATTCGGAGTATCTTTGTGTCGCAAAAGAGAGCTATTCGTGCAATTTATAATCTCAGTTATAGGCAGTCACTGAGGGATAAGTTTAAAGAAATTGGTATTATTATTAAGTATTATTTGTTAGAACATAGGACATTAGGTGGTATATTTTATTCATTCGTTTCTTACATTCTACCTTTTCTGGTATAAAAATATTTTCATTTAGGTGCTTTAATGATTAATAATCACTTAATTTATGAAATCATAATCTATTTACGACGAATTTATTAATAGTTATCATAATTCAACACTTAACCTAAAGAACACGTTGTTTAGTATAAAAACGGGCGGCAGTGGAAGCGCAGATCATTCTCGATCGAGGCGTCGGGCTGTTCGGATCCATGTACGACTTTTGTAAGACCTTGGAATACATCTTTGGTTGTATTTACTGTTGTATTTATTTACTACTGTACGGATTAATGTGCTCATACGGCAGTTGGTGAGAACTTGATATACATCTTTAATTGTATTTACTGTCGTTGTTGTTGTTATTTACTACAGCTTTTACAAAGGAAAAGGTTGTAAGGAAGTAACTCTTTTTTAAAACACACGTTCCTCCGCCATCAGAAGTGGTACACATTACCGCATCTCCTATTGCATGCCACTTAGATCGATACTTAGCTTCTCGCATCCAGCTCTTTATCAGCTTGTCTGCTGCGACATTCGTTGGACATGGCCGTTGTGGCGGCGTAAGTTATTACTACACATTCGCATTGGAATATGGAACTGTGTTGGCCTAACGCTAGTGACATGTTCATGTTTTTTAGGTCTTGTGAGAAAACTCCGGCTCCAGTACCTGACCTAGTCTTGGAAACGTCCGTGAAAATTCGGACTTCGTTTATGCAAGATTTATATCAGTGATTTTCTTGTCTGAATATGGTATCTCTTTGTGAAGGTATGGTGTTTTCGGATCCTGTCGCATGGGGTTACTATTAGTGGTTCGTATTCATTTTTTAAATAATAATTAGTGGCCACAAACAAACACGTTCCGTTATGTAAAAGCGATCAATTAGTGATGTGTGTGTAATATTCTTATTTGAGCCACGAGAGAATATGCCAACAAACATAAAAGGGTAATAAAGTTAGGTAAGTCGACTTTCAATTGTTTCTGAGTCCTTTAAGTTCTATACACTGCAAAGATACTAAATTGGCTTACAAAGTACCTACCTAGTGATCAAATATAATTATCCATTTTTTTCTGACCTTGTACTGAGGTAATCCGATGCTTTTATCCATAAGCTAACAAAAATAGTTTCTTTAATAACTTGATGTAGCCGAACCATAAGCTTCTACGATAACGAAACGATTTGGGCTTGTTGACAGTACCTACATCTAAAAGAATCAAGGTTAATTACGTGAGGTTGCTGTAAAAATTATTTTGTTCTTTATAATTTTACACAAAAAAAATAAGAATCTTTAATTAACCAAAAGAATAATCCGCTGTCAGATGTCCAACCAGTTGAAAACCGTAGTCCTTTTATCCAAATCAAGTGTCAAATGAAGTAGATCTAAAATCAAAAAGAAACATCCAATATACTGTAAGTGAGCGTAGTAAGTACTGATTTGAATAGAGCACAAGACTTGAAGTTGTAGTCTAGGAATTACCCTACTGCCATCTAGGCAGGCTTTATTTAAACTTGAGTGAGTCGCATATGAGAAAGTTTGTCCATGAACTGAGGATTCTTTGAATCTTTTATTGGAACGAAGTTCCTTAGCGAGACCGAAAAATGTGTAACAAGCCTTTTTCCGACACTTCTTGCTATAATTACAGCCGTATGTGATTTATATACCCAAAGACTCGACGGTCCTCTTCTCTTCGGCTTTTTGATATTAACTAAATTATCCCGTTTAATTTCTCAAATTAAAACAGGACCAGGATTAAAGCGGACATATACAGAATATTTCCAAGTGTCGCTGTGTGAAGGATCTTGGGGGCGACCTGTTGTGCGAGGATCTCGCAGTGAAGGACAGATGGCGCTCATACTTCAACGAGCTGTTGAACAAACAGCATAAAGAGGTGCAGCCACCGGACCTTCCTCCAGACCAAGGTCTAGTGCCCCCGGTAACGCCTGCAGAGGTCCAGACTGCTCGTCGCCGCTCGAGGAATCGGAAAGTTGTAGGAGCCGACGGAGTCCCCATCGAACCATGGAAAGCGATGGGTCCCCGCGGTGTGGGCACCTTGTCTAATCTGTTTCCGCGTACTCTTTACCGGGCAGATCCCAAGCCAATGGAGGCTGAGTATTATTACTCTAGTCTTCAAAGGCAAATGGTCGGTGCAGGAGTGCGGCAATTACCGCGGTATAAAAGTCATGTCCCACACCATGAAAATCCTTGAAAGGATAATTTACTCCAGAATTCGGCAAGAGTGCACTATCTCGGAGTGTCAATATGAGTTTCGCGCAGGTCACGGTACCATGGACCCAGTTTTTGCCCTAAAAATTGTCGCGGAGAACACACCTCACAACAGGACGAAGAACACACCTCTGCACTGTTTATTCCTAGACATGCATAAGGCTTTGGACTATGTTCCTCGTGTGATGATTCGGTGGGCACTACGGTCCAATGGGGTTCCAGAGACTTATATTGACATAATCCGGGACATGTACCGTGATTCTGATTCTGTGGTTCGGACTGCGGTTGGCGACACGAAATCCTTCCCCATCACCGTCGGGGTACACCAAGAATCCGTCCTCAGTCCTCTTCTGTTCAGCGTTATACTAGACGTCTTGTCAGACAGCATCAGAGATCCACATGAGCAGTCGGTCGGCGGTCTGAAACCAAATGTGGCAAAGACCGAGTACTTGGCGTTAAACTCAATAGATCCCATATTCGTTCGCAAAGGCGATGACTTGGTCGAGCGCATGGACCATGTTAAATACCTGGGAACGCATTGCTGCCGCGTGGGCTGAATGGCGTGAGATGACTGGTGTCCTTTGTGACCCCAAAATGCCGATCAGGTTGAAGGGACAGGTCTATAAAGCCATCATTTGGGGTGTCCTTTTACAAGGCTGCGAGACGTGGCCCCGTTATTGGAGCGACACAGGCAAGAGCTGCATGTCACGGAAATGAATATATTGCGGTGGATGTGTGGAGTCACGCATCCGTGGTAGCCTTCGTGTCCGTGACATTGCCGATAAGTGGCCATGCCGCCTCCGCCGGGCCCCGGTAGGAGGGGAAGAGCCCAGAGCAAGAAGTGCTGGCTTGACGTCGTAAGGGATGATATGTGTGCCAATAGTCTCACAACGCGGAATGCCTTAGACCGTGCGAAGTGGAGGAGAATGAGTCGGAAAGCGGACCCCGGGCGTCATCGGGCGCAACCGGGATTAATCGGCTCGGATGATGATGATGATGATCCCCTTAAATTTATCATTATTTATTTTAAACATAATAAATCTATTATCATACATTTTTCAATTTAACTCTATTAATTTGATATTTTGCCAAGTATCTGCCAAAAAGCGAAAGGAACTTCGTTCTGATCGGGGTCAATAGACCCCTCGCGTCGTTTTTAATTGGTATCGGTGGCATCCACTGATACGCTTATCTTATACTCGTACCTCACCTATACTTTAGTAACCATGTGAATAGTTGTGTCATAATCGTACTTAGATAAGCCAATATTGTATATATACCGCATACCGGTTTGGCACATTCAGATCGCCTCGACCAGAGCGATACCACGGTTTGTCATAAGAAAGGCTTTAAGCAGTTCCGTCATTGGTTTTCACATAGTGAGTGAGGTAACTAGTGTTTGTGTGTATATTGATTGAATAGGTATTTTATCCATACAAATAAATAAAATTGAAGTGTCTGTTTGTAATGTCAAACACTTTTTTTTATGCTCACACGGTTATTTGCACGATACCTATGCCTAAAAATCAAATAAATATTAAAATATTTAAATCTTTTTTGTCTGTCTGTCTGTCTTTCTGTCTGTTTTGGTTATCTTCAAAACGGCTGGACCGATTTTGATAATTTTTTACAAGCAAATAGCTGTCTATATAAGAAGTAACTTAGGCTATTTTAAAATAAAATAAAAACAGTAAGGATGAATTTAAACTAGTCTAAGTCACTAAGTCGTTATTGTTTTTGCTTTAATTTTAGCTATGTTTGTATTGCCTACTATTTCTTTTTTCGTAGTTACCACATTGTTGTATGGGTTACATATTTTTGCATTTCAAATAGACAGATTATATTTTTAGTACGAGTTGTCTTTTTAAACAAATAAAAATTATTACATAAGAAATTTAACATAATTGTCAATTTAAAAGTAACAACAACAACAATTATAAATTACACGTAGGTATACTGTAAACATTTACCGTCAAAAGAATACATATTAGTCAAAAAACATTGCCCTCCCTCCGCAGACTGGTCAAAAAATTAATAAGTCGAAAAGTCGTCCTTATTTAAGACTCGAAAACAAGTAATCGATGCTAACTACCAATGTTTAGTAAAAAGTAGTGATCATTAAAATGCTATAACTACTACCATTGTACCAATAAAGTTTCAAGGACTTATTTAAGTGTACTCGTAGCTATAATTTGCCTATCTATTATTCAGTTAAGTATAGGAAGTTGTGTGTGGCAGAGTCTCGCGTCAGTCGGTTCTTGTTTGGTTATTGGTTAGTCAATACACTCGTTACTCCGGCGACAGTCGTGTTGAGATAATACATTTTAGTTATAACTTAATAGCAAACAGTTTTGATAACACAACCGGCTTGTTATGTAAGTATACCTATATATAGAATGAATCTACGTAATATGTTGTAACCGCTTGTACTAATCCCTTTGATTCGTTAATTGCTTTTTAGTAAATCTCAGTCCGTGGTGCAATGCTCTGTTTTTAGACTTATTTTACGTGAACTTTCATGTATCTTATTAGTTAGACGGCGGAAATTTCCAGTATTTTATAATGACAATACTGGAAATTTCCGCTGTCTTTTTTGTAAAGGCAATAGACACACATAACTGTGTACATAGTACACATATAGTATACATAGTACACAGTAATGTGTTTCTATTGCTTTTATAAAAATAAATGGGCTTGTTGGTGTTGCGGTTAGCGGTCCTGACTGCTAAGCCGGAGGTCGTGGGTTCGATTCCCACCCATTACAAATATTTTGTGATGAGCACAATTATTTGTTCTGTGTCTAGGTGTAATTTATCTATAATATGTAAGTATTTAGAAATATATAAATATGTTCATAAGCAGTCTGGTTACCATAGTACAGGGTCTACCTAGCTTGGGATCAATCGGCCGTGTGTGAGAGGTGTGTACTTTAAAAATATATATTAGGTACAATCAATAATTGACATCGGTAATCACGCACGGGAAGCCTAATTTACAGTATTTAACGAAGCTGCAAAAGGGGTAGTGTATGTCACTAAAATGACAAAGATTTTGATTAATTTTTAGATAAACAAAATGGCGCCTATCCTGTACAGCATGGATGCTAGCCCGCCAGCAAACGCGGTGCGCATGTTCGCTGATATCATTGGATTAGACCTGGAATTGAAACAACTTGATATAACTGTCGCTGAACATAAATCACCAGAATATCTCAAAGTGAGTACGATTTGCACGATACCTAATATTAGTAACTATTTGTGTGTTATAAACAGGACTATTAGTAATTAATTGCCGATTAATTTTTGCAGAAAACACTGTTACAATGGTGTTATCAAATTACACGTTTCAAGTGCTTTTACCGAAAGGCTTGCAAAAAAAATTATACAAGTGCGGTTTACCAAAATCAGGATTGACACTGAAACTGAATTTTAAAATATTAAATTAATGCTATGTCCTTCTTAAAGTTATCTATCTAATACCTTTAAATGATCAGTTCTTGTATATACATAGATATATAATCTGAATCTCGGAAACGGCTCCAACAATTTTCATGAAGTTTAATATGCAGGGGTTTCGGGAGTGATTAATCGATCTAGGTTTCATTTTTAGAAAATTTACCAAACAAAGAAATACCGAGCAAAGCTTAGTCATTCAGGTACTAATACTTAGGTAATAGAGATCAATCATTTATTTATTATTAATTCATTAATTTAGTCTTTATTTATTACCCATAAACTGGTGTTCTTTGTTTTTACACGCTTTATATATTAGCTTCACTTGTATGTTTGTATGTTTGTAACCGACTCATTTGGACGTGATTTTGACTGACTTTAAACGGTCAGAATTCGTTCAAACTTTGTAGATATATCGAGAACCGATGATAATACACTAATTTAAAAAAAAAAATAGTTTAAAAAAACTAAAAAAACACTACTATTTTTTTTCCAAGGAACCCGTGTTTATCATCTAGTTGTTCATCCTCATCCGTTACTTGATGACATCATATTAATGAGTGATATGAAGAGATAAGGTGTGTCGAATATTATCGATAATAACCTAACCATTAACATGCAAGTGTATGTAGACTGAGACATGGCATGAACATTATATCAAAGTGCTAATAACTATAGTACCTATCTTAATTTATTTTATTTGACAGATAAATCCTATTGGCTCCATTCCAACATTAAAAGATGGCGACTTCGTTCTTTCCGAGAGGTAATTATTTTAACTGACTGCACGGATGGCGTAGTGGTTTAAGCGGTCGCCACGCCGCTTCCTACCACGCCGAGTGTTGTGGGTTCAAACCCCACATGGGACGACACTTTTTGTGATCCACAAATTGTTGTTCTGAGTGGGGTGGTCCCCCGCGACACAGGATATATTCCTAATGCGGGAGTTGTCTTTTTAAAGAAATAAAAAAAATAAAAACGAGAGTTGTGACGTGGACGAGATACAAATTTTCGTTAAATCTTGACATTAATAAAAATATAATAAGTGAGTTCCTTTAAACGTACGTTCTTTCTCTTTTCTTTGTTAGTTCGAAGAAAGAAAAATAGCGCAGATAAAAGAATAACAAGTCTTTGATTCCTGAGACGTTTTTCTGTCATATAGATTTTTCTTACAGCCACGTCATTATGAAGTACCTTCTTTCGAAGTATGCACCAGATCAAGTCGAATCTTTATACCCAAGTGACTTACAAACACGTGCCTTGGTCGACCAGGCCATGTACTTCAACACCGGCGTGTATTTCATAAGGCTTAAAGCCGTGTCAGTGAGTATTTAATATCACTTTAGTTCCATTAGTTAAAAATAATGATAACAGTTTACCTTTAAATCAATTAAACATTGGAAGATCAGATGAGAACCTCACTGTACTCTGTGATGAGAACTAAATCGTTTTGCTATTTAAGAAGTTCTAAAGAGATTGATCGTCACATTTGATTTTATGTTCAAATATGTACATGTATGTATGTACATAAAAAATTATCGAATTCTTATGAATAGTCGTGTACTTTGAGTGCGTTTCTAGTGAGATATGTAAAACCTGATTTCTTTAATAAAGAACATTCTGTGACCAAGTTTTTTTACATAATGTAAGGATCATAGTTCATTGTAAATAAAACATAGAAATATTAACTTCTTATAATAGCCTTGGCTATTAGGCAGTTGAAATTGGAATGACTCATCAATAGCACTACATACATATCTAAGCAATTACAACACAACAACAACAACACGTAAAGCAAATGATATTAGCATAAACTTTAACAGTTACAACATTGATAAAATCACACCAAGATCAACTAGACAAGGCCATTATCAGAATAATAATATCGCAGCCTTTTGACCACGTACTCCATAATATATACCAAAAAAAGTATAGAGGTATTAGGTATTCCTTCAAAGGCACTCCAATTATGGTATGGTATTTGAGAAATTGACTAAAATTTATTGAACTAGAGTCACGGAAACACCTTAATACCGCTTACATGTATTTGAAGTACCACAAGGGAATGCATTAGGTCCTTTATTATTTCTGATATTTCAAATTCTGACGCCAGTTTATATGCCTAAGAAGAGCTAGCTTAAAAGTAATAAAATAATAAAAATAAAACAAAATTTAGGCTTTTCCTCAGAACGAATATAAATTTATTTAATTTACCAGATACCGTCATTATTCGGTGACTTTACCGAGACACCCGAAAAGTCGAAAAAGGACATCAACGACTGTTATAAGGTACTGGAGGTCTTCCTTGAGAACCGGAAATACATTGCAGCCGACCACCTGACTCTTGCCGATATTGCTCTCTTAGCGACCACCAGCAGCATGCAACCGATTCACCAGTTGGATTCGGAGAAGTAATTTTTAACTTTCCTTTTTTTGGATTTAATACCTGTCTGTTTTTAGTATCATTGATTGTATGACTGTATTTTATTTCGAGGGTGGCAACACAACAGCTCAGAATCGAAAGCCAAATTAACCTTCATCGATTAACTGTTCGCTGAAAACACCCTTTGTCTAAAATTGGTTCTACGAAGGATGTCATAGATGATTATTACATTTAAGGAACCATTGAGCAAGAGTATTATCGGCGAACAGTACATTGGCGAACTATTAGTTGCGGAACCGACCATTGATGAAGGGTGTTTTCGTAGACAAGGTCATCAGTAAACTTCAATTTGAAGAACCGATTTCGGACAAAGGGTACTTTCAGCAAAAAGTTCATCGACGTAGAACCGACCATCGATTCTGATCTCGCAACACAGTAAATGATTCGAATAACCTGTGACGACAATGGGCCCCGCTGAGTTTGTGAGACGACAAAAATACCTGCTGGATCCCAGATGAATTACTAAAATAGTAACCAAGACCTGCTGAGATAAGTAGGTATCCCGAGAGACTCAGTTACAGATGACTTGCTCTCCTGACTGTAGGTCAAAGCTGGGTAAATTACTTTGTCGGAAAGTAATAAGTATATTAAAAAAGTATGTTTCAGCATCGTTTTTATTTGTCCATAGTTGTGATATTGACAAAATATTGTGGTGTCTTCACAGATTCCCCCGCACCGCTGAATGGCTGTCACGCTTGGAACAAGAATCTTTCTTCAAGAAGATCATGGTGCCCGGTGTAGAACTGTTGGATAAGATACTGCACTCAATCTGGGAAAGAAATAAACAAAAGAAATTATAAACTTTATAATAATCTAGAAATAATATGTATATACCTGATACGTATCAAAATATATTAACAAAAAAACTTATTGTTTTCCTACCTTTATGATCTTTTTGTCTCTGTGTTGGTTACAAATAAAAAAAACCGTGTCAGGTTATTTAAAAAATGTATCAATTGTTTGTAGCCAGTTTATCTTTGATCTGGATAAGACTTATAGAAAAGATAATTATAAGACCAGAACAGTTTGAAAGTATCTGCAACTTTTTCGTAAATAGCACATTCTGAAATAAGAGTTCGGGTCGTTAACTTGTGTGAAATGGATTGTTATCATTTTGCTTAGAAAATACATTATCGTTAAAATATGAGAAGGGTCTATCTTTATTTTATAAAAACTAAAAGTAGGTAAGTTAAAAAAGTAAGGAAGTAAGTAAAATATTTCAGATTTATCCACAAAGACTACTACGAGGTACTTATTTAATTGCTAAAATGTTATTTATCAATGATAATTCTTATGAAAGAGTTTACTGCGAGCAGTCTTCGCGTCCAATGTTTTTAAGTGATGGCGATGGCACCCAGTGATTTGCTGAAATAACCAACCTGTACTCTAGTAACAATGTAAATATTTATTAGTTACGTAAATTAAGACACCACGTGTGATGATAATGTGGTGACTACTACATAAAACGGAAAACGTACTTTAATACCATCTAATGAATACAGACCGAACTATCGAGTTACCGCTAATCCGTGAGAGTCGAACTGGCGGGTGTACTATAACGTATTTAGTCTCATTTAGTGTAATGTAGTTATATATATTGTACTAAAATAGGTGCAATTTAGTAAAATTTAAATACCTTATATTCTTATTTATATAGTTAAAAAAATTGTTCCTCTATTAAAACGAAAATATAACAAAATCAAGATACGTTCGCCATTCTTACGTCAGAACGGCTGGTGTATCCTATATATTAATTCATAGTATACATAGGGATTAAACATGAATACAAAAATTTGTACCTATTTTATACTCTATAGTAAAAGCACACACACTCGGTACGAGTTCAATCGTAGATTGAATTCTGTGAAATAAAATTACGTACTAATGTTTCCGTGCCTACTTGCTCTGTATCGCGCAATTGAAGTTGGCAGCACGTATGTTTTAGTGGTTTAAGCGGTCGCTACGCCGCTTGCTACTGCGCTGAATGTTGTGGGTTCGATCCCCACCATCATTTTGTGTGATCCACAAATAGTTGTTCCGAGTCTGGGTGTTCTTTGTGTCCATTTCATGTCTGTTTGTAAAGCCCCCGCGACTCAGGATTTATATTCTTTTAAAAAAAACTTCCCAAACATCGATTATTGGGTCGTAGCCCACCAATTTCGCCTGGTCCGAGGACAAGGCTAGCAGATAAGGCACATGATGGTGGTCACGTACACGCGTACTAAAGTGATAACATCTAAAAATAATCGCGGTGTCAGATAAGTCTATTATTGAATCTACGCAATCGAATGTTCTGATTATACCCTAAAGTAGCTGCCAGAAATTGAATGCCTAAAATGAATGCCGAAACCTAAAGGGTGTCTTAGTAAGAGTGCACGTTTTCATTTTAAAATAAAAACACGTATTTTATGAGAGTTGTGATATTTTTATTGGATTGTAAAGAAGGCAAATGGCCCCCACGGCTCTGATGACAGGTCATTACTTTTTTCATGAAATTTTCCATGATTTTACACAGAGATGTGGCTGTATCTCACCGATGACGCGTCGGATCTCTGATTTGAGTTCAGGAATTGTTAAATGAGATATATGTGTTCTGGAAATCGTTGCTGCAGTAAGTCGATTGTTTCATGCGCGGTGTGGCAGGTGTGGTGCGTCCTCCTGCCACACCACCAAGCACATGTTGTCCAGATCCAGTCAGCCGTTCAGTTTAAGCCACAAGAACTCCGTTACCATATTCCTGTAACGAATGCCGTTCAGTCACTGCAATTTCGGCCTCATCTTAAAAAAAAAGGAGGCCCAATCACGACGCCTAAACTCCGCACTAGACAGTTGCTCCGTTGACCGTTGTGGGTGCATTTATTTCTCAAAAATTGCATGAGGATTTTCTGAGCCCCAAAATTGACAATTTTGTGTATGCACGTAGCCATTCAGATGGAAATGAGCTTCATCGGTGAAGATGACTTTTTTCGAAAAATTTGCATCGACTTAACTTTGCTCGATTACCAATTGAAAGAATTGCTGGCGCTTTCCATGGTTTTCTGGTTTAGGCTCCTGAGTTTCTACGCATAAAGGTGAAGGTCTTTTGTCAAAATTCGCTGCGTAGTGCTTCGTGAAATTTGAAGTTGTTAAGAACGATGCTGAATTAATGTTTTCGGGTTTTCGGCGACACTCGTTTGCAGCAGCAATGTTTTCAACCGACCGGTACGTTGACGCAAAGGATTCTTAATATCCATAATCGACCCAGTTTCTTTAAATTTTTTGACCACTCTTCGAATGGTTGTCACATTAAGTGCACTTTCTCGACTGAAAATTTGGCGAAGTTTGCGAGCGGTTTCAGCGTAACTTCTCCATTTTTGTAATTCACAATTAAGTTTTTACAATTATAACGCGTTGTTCTTTCGAAAAACGCTCGATTTTTAATAATCGGAATATACATAGGCGACAGCTGTCAAGTTACAGAGTCGCTCTGCACACAAAAACAATGATTCTTTTATAAAGTACACTCTTACTGAGACACCTTTATTTAGACAAAGCAATACTCGTATTGTATACTCACCTTAAGTTCTTTAATTATGTAAACAATTTAAAAAGTAAAATTTACATTAAGTAAACCAACCTTTTTTTTTCCGTGCGGAAATCCCCTCGGATACCACCGGTGGCATGTCGGACTCGAACCGACTAAAACCGCACGCCGTCTCGTGTACTAATACTACTACAACAGGTAGACGACCCCCCCCAGTGTGGGAACCCCGTGTTCCCTCTGCTCCCTGGAAGCGAGCGCGCTTCGCAACGCGCTCGCCGCCACCCCGGCCTGCTTCTGCTAGGGTAACAGATGGCCTCACCTGTCACCCCCAGGCCTGCGCTTATGGAGGACGGAGGTCGTTCTGCGACCTCCGGCGCCTGAGTCGCCTGCGGTACCTGGCCCGTCCCCGGGCCTGGCGGGCCGGGAGAGTCCTAAACCTCTCCCGGTCCCGCTCCGCCGTCTCCTTCGCGAGCATAGCTTGCTCGCAGAAGGAGACGGCAGAGTTCCACGCACTCTCGCTCCGCACGATAGCCGCAATCAGGCTATCGAGCGAGAGAACTCCCACTCCGATGGCTGCCACGAGGTCTCGCCTCTGCTCAACCCACGCCGGGCACTCTGCCAGCATGTGGAGAGCCGTGTCCACGGTCTGGCCATCGCAGTGGTGGCACTCAGGCGTTGGCTCCTTGCGGATCAGACACAGGTGATCCAAGAAACATCCTTTCCCAGTGATCACCTGCGTCAGTCGGTATGAGAGGGTCCCATGACGCCTCTCGAGCCAATCCTCCATAACGGGTTTTACCGCCGCGATGACGGCGTGCCCGGCGCTCGGTTGCCCGAGTCGTTTCCTCCACTCCCCTATGATGACCTGGCGGAGTTGGGCTTTCCGGTCATCGATTCCTCGAATCTCGGGGCACCGACAAGTAAACCAACCTGAAATTATTTAAAGCTAGACGTGTTTTTCTAATATTACAACTTCTATTAGACCATCAATTAGACGGAATAATAATATTTAGTTAATAACTTTTAAGCAAATGATAACGCGAACAATCAAAAGCGACATTATCGTACTTTTTATTCAGAAGAAAAATTGTTCCGAGGAAACCCGCCGTGTTCGCTAGTATGGCAATTAACCGATTTAGCTTTTTTATTTAAAATCAATCATCAACAATCGTATGATTCGTATGATGTAATATTTATACCTATACTTACTTGCGATTAGGTATATTATGTGATTAAATTATTCTGCATTATTTCTGCAGTTGGCCAGTGCAGCGACAGCTGTGTGCAGCGTACCTACCTAATAAGTATAGTTATCATTTGGTAAGTAGATCTGTAGATAATAGATATTTATTCACTTGTAATAAAAAATCCAAATTTAATATTGAAGGTCAGTTAAGACGAATACCGAAGTTTTTAATGTTTTATACTTATTTTCTTCATTTATAAATCGAGTTGTGACGAGTACCTATACATTTCACCGAGCAAACAAGTAACTGTCTTGTATTTTTTTATAAGTATTGTTTATAGAATTGAATACTTTGCTTAATAACTTTTGCGATCCTAAGCGTGCATCGCACTTCGATTTGTTTAGATACGTGTTGTATACCTAGGTAGACGAAATATTTCTTCTTAACATATTCTCTTTTTAACTCTCTCTCTCTCTCTCTTTCTCTCTCTCTCTCTGTTTCTCTTCTTAACACTTTCGAGAATTATACGGATGATAATGATTATACTTACACATCAATGATTGGGCAATCAAGAACTCATCAAGTCATACAAGTTCCTACAAAAAATACCTATATTAAAGGAATACTGCTTAGGGGACTGATTGACGAGTTTCAATTGAAGTTGCCAAAGACTAATGTCTTTGGCAACTTCTTATTTTTATAATATTACATTTTCAGAAAACAAAATGGCGCCTATTCTGTATAGAATTGATGCTAGCTCGCCAGCAAACGCGGTACGCACGCTCGCCGATATGATCAGAGTAGAACTGGAACTGAAGGATGTCAATTTTCTCGTTAACGAACACAAGTCACCAGAATACCTTAAAGTAAGTGGGTAATTATTTGCGTAAAGACAACCTATTTAATTGTTATTTTTTAGTTTTGAATGAAGAACATCGTTTAGTCACTTGTAATTTTGGCACCGAAATATTAAAATTATAAACATAGACAAATACTAGAAGATACATCATAGACTTAGATTTATTAATAGGGTCGTATAATAATGTAGCCTTAAAAATATTTATATATTTCTTAATTTATATGTAGGTATGTATATAATAGAAATATATTTGTTTGGAATCATGCCTCGGTTTTAAAAGCATTCACTTATGCTCTATAATTCTTAACCTACCACACAGAACGCCCACTTTTTTATAACTTTTTTCTTTTTTCTACCAGATAAATCCTGCAGGCACTGTCCCAGCATTAATAGATGACGACTTCGTAGTTTCTGACAGGTAATTATTTTTATAGTTATAAGTATTATAATAATGACAGGGACTAAGCCGCTCTGTTATAAAAGAAAAATAAATAATCTTCCTACGTTACATTTTCTTCTAGTCACTCCATCATGAAGTACCTTCTTTCAAAGTACGGAGGGGATAAGGCTGAGTCATTATATCCAAGTGACTTGCGTACGCGCACGTTAGTCGATCAGGCAATGTTTTATGACACCGGCGTGCTTTTCATCAGACTGACAAGTATCACTGTTAGTTATTTTTCTTTTAGTGTCTGTAGTGATAAGTGTAATATAGATAGTTCAACTCAGTTGTGCGCGCGGCCCTATGTGTGCGTGGGCTTGTAAATGTGTGTGTGTGGCAGTGACGCGGCAGTCGTCGTCCGAGCAGCACACGAATGAAAGTTGTATATTTACAAGCCCACGCACACATAGGGCCGCGCGCACAACTGAGTTGAACTATCTATACACGATTAGATATCGTGGGTCGATTTGATGATCGAATTGCAATTAATTTAAATTATAAGTCTTAAAAAAACTTTATATTGGCTAAATGTATGCTCATGTATGCATTCCTACGACTGAATCATTTGATTTTGATTCTGATTAATTTTGGTTTGGATTTTGGTTACGAGTTTAATTTTCATTTGCTTTTAATTTAACTATGATTTTGATTTCATTCATTGATAATTTGAAATGTTTTTATTCACTTTACTGTTCTTGTTGTTGCAATTTGTTGTTAAGAGTGAGGACCTAGAATTGGCTTAATGTTGCGTATTTTTATGTCATACACTACTGTTATCGCTGTTGATCAGTGACGGATTTACTTACTGTAGGCTATTATATTTTTGCCGCCCCTAGTCTGCAATGCGAGGAATGAGGTGAAACTGTTACAGACTGCATATACACGTATTTGTGTGTGTATGTGTATGTATATGTATGTATATATATGTATGTGTGTGTGTTTGTGTGTATATATATATATATATATATATATATATATGTATAAATATAAAATTATGTATAAAAGGAAAAATTATAATAACAATAATCATCTGCAATGTACTACATACAAAGCGAGTGATGGCAGTGATACATAAACCACCTGTGGTTTTCTTCACTGTTACTGTATTTACATGAACTGTAACCTTGTGCCATGAACAAATTAAAAAAAAATAAAAATAATAATACTCTATTCTTTTAAGTGTGGAAACCCCTCGGGCCGTCACACAAGGATATGAAGCGGGTCGGAATACTGGGATACAAAGCGGAATTTAACCAACTAAAACCATACGGTGTGCCACTCTGTGCCTGCAATAGGAGAGATCCGGGAACCGCTATTATTAAGACATCCGGACCCCTCCTAGCGCATGCCCGCAATGGCGCGGGTACCATCCTCGGGTATATTCCCCATTTAGGCGGACGTCGCCTCCTTGTGGCTGGCAATTATGGCGGGTGGAGGGGATAATCCGTCCCGTCCACCCGAGGCCATGAGCCGGTGGTAAGCGCGCCTCCGCCGCCCGGTTTACCTTTACCAGCGACGAATTGGGTCCCAGTGGAGGTTGTCCTCCCGGGCTCTCTCCGCCGCCTCCTTCTGCGAGATGACGTCTGCGCAGATGGATGCGACCGTGGTGGAACATCTGGTACTACCGGCCATGGAGCGTATGACGGCCCGAGAGATCCCTTCCGACGACTGCAATGAGACCTTGGCGCTGCGGCACCCAAGCCGGGTAAATTGCCAGCGTGTGCCGAGCCGAGTCCTAACTGCAATCGCAGTGGTGACAGGCGGGACTCGATTCCCTCCTAGCGACCGAGAGCAGGTACTTCCCGAAGCAGCCGTTCCCAGACAGGATCTGCGTCAGCCGAAAGGAAACGGTCTCGTGCTGTCGCGCCACTTTGACGCTACAGCGTTGTCACGGCGTCGAATTTCAAAATAAATAAGTTTAAAGTTCGACGCTGTGGCAGCGCTGTACGCTAGGCTGTTTTCTTAGATCGTAGCATTGCTGGTAGAAGGAGGATTCAGGTTCCGGTAACCTCACTCATTATAAAGTAACGAAAGAATTATTTAACACCTGTTTTGAATTTAAACATGGCTCTCCCACGTATCATCCTATAATACGCATAACTGCGTAGTGGTTTAAGCAGTCACCTCGCCGCTTCCTACTGCACTGAGTGTTGTGTGTTCGATCCTCGCATGGGACATCACTTCATGTGGTACACAAATTGTTGTTCTGAGTCTGGGTGTTCTTTGTGCCCGTTTTAAGTAGGACGAAGGATATATTCCTAAAGCAGGATTTGTCTTTTTAAAAGAAGAAAAATATAAGATATAGTAGGCTGATAATTATAATAACCCGACAACCACAATTTAAGCGACGTAATCAATTACTTAAGTACAAAAATACTTACCCTTATATCTCTAACCAATAGGAATTTAAACTTTTCATGAATGTTGATGTTTTGATATTAATTTTATTTTTATTTAATCTTATCGCTAATGGTGATTAATACAAAGTACTTACCAAAATCATGCTATTATTTCAGATACCTTCAATATACGGTTCCTTAACCGAGGTCTCAGATAAACAGAAGCAGGATATTGAGAACTCCTATAGCGTATTGGAAGCCTATCTTCAGAACCGCAAGTACGTAGCGGCCGACCACCTAACCCTCGGCGACCTTTCTGTCGGCGCCACCACCAACAGCTTGCAACCCTTTCACAAGCTGGATTCGCACAAGTTAGTCATTTAATTCTAAGTTCTATGTTATTGTATATTCAATATCTAAGGAATTTTTATAGTTTTTTCATGTCTGTCTGTCCGTCCGCGGTCTTAGGGACTTTTTTTTTTTTTTTTTTTCCGTGCGGAAATCCCCTCGGATACCACATCGGTGGCATGTCGGACTCGAACCGACTAAAACCGCACGCCGTCTCGGGTACTAAAAGCCGGGGAACCAGGTATACCCTAGAAAGGAAGTCCCCGACATACCTCGGGTCATCTACAGACGAGTAGACGACCCTCCCCCCCGTGTGGGAACCCCATGTTCCCTGTGCTCCCTGGAAGCGACCGCGCTTCGCAACGCGCTCGCCGCCACCCCGGCCTGCTTCTGCTAGAGTGACAGATGGCCCCACCTGTCACCCCCAGGCCTGTGCTTATGGAGGACGGGGGTCGTTCTGCGACCTCCGGCGCCTGAGTCGCCTGCGGTACCTGGCCCGTTCCCGGGCCTGGCGGGCCGGGAGAGTCCTAAACCTGTCCCGGTCCCGCGCCGCCGTCTACTTCTGCTTCTGCTCGCAGAAGGAGATGGCAGAGTTCCACGCACTCTCGCTCCGCACGATAGCCGCAATCAGGCTATCGAGCGAGAGAACTCCCACTCCGATGGCCGCCACGAGGTCACGCCTCTGCTCAACCCACGCCGGGCACTCTGCCAGCGTGTGGAGAGCCGTGTCCACGGTCTGGCCATCGCAGTGGTGGCACTCAGGCGTTGGCTCCTTGCGGATCAGACACAGGTGATCCCCGAAACATCCTTTCCCAGTGATCACCTGCGTCAGTCGGTATGAGAGGGTCCCGTGACGCCTCTCCAGCCAATCCTCCATAACGGGTCTTACCGCCGCGATGACGGCGTGCCCGGAAGTCTTAGGGACTGTCAGTATTATGAATGTGTAAGTTTGTAAATTAATTAAATCACACTTATTATTTTAAAATCGTTTATTCCATAGTGTAAGGCACTGTTGGTTACCTATGTCTTTTTAAAACATTACACTTTAATATCCAAATTTTTGTTACAGTCTAGTATCCCTTTCCCCTCCTACATTCACGTGGGCCGACACGTATTTAAATGTTTTATTTTTAAACAGAGGGCCTAGTGTCACTTTATTTCACATGTTCTTGATTGTCACGGTAATCGCTTTCGGCGTTGCGATTGGCCCGCACTGAACACTTCACCAATCTCAACGCCGGATGCGGCCACCAGGACTCAAGTTTTATTTAGCTTGCCTTTTTGTACAATCATTGAAATTTTATCCCCTTTCTCATGACCGATTGATATCAAATCTATAACACTATAGTTCTGATCGTAAAACAATATTGTGTGTAATCATTATTCTTGTAAGATGTCCACGGCCACGAATTAGCGAATTCCATTGATTCATAGAATCGCTTAAATATTGGCATTAAATAAAAGGGATTCACTAATGAAATAAAATTTAGCATAAAATAAAAGAATGAAACCTTCTGTATCCTAAAAGGCGACCTTCCTTCGACCATGCGAGGTGATTGTGGCTGGCGGACAACGGCCTAACGGTTGATGTTGGGTAGTTATATATTTTATACAACTAGTCGACACAACAGCTTTCATTGCAAGATGCAGGATTTATAGTTATACCGTAGTTCGGTGTATTTTCAATAAATGATAGTGAAGTATGTTTTTGTTGTATATGAAAGTCGCTTACATACATATCTCTGTTACAAAATTCCTTAATAATTTTGTCTGATTGGTGTTTCCAGATTCCCCCGCACCGCTGATTGGCTATCGCGTATGCAACAGGAGCCCTCGTTTAAAAAAATCATGGAACCTGCCACAAAATTATTAGCCCAGGCGATTTCCGGATTTTGGCAGAGAAACAAGCAAAAGTGATGTCCGTCATCTCCAAATCTGTATAAATAAATATAAACTTATTAATTGTGACTATAACAATTGTTACTATATTAAATAAAATTTATTATTTTCAAAAGTGGCTTCTTTAGATTTGTCACACAATATATATTGGGTAACAAAACCGTAAAATGTTATATAAAAATTAGAATTTTATTAAAACATGGCAGCACTCGTACTAGGAAAGACTGTTCCTGTATCTAACCTGTGTCTAAAACGGAGATAAAAGCCTCGAGAAAACTGTTTTTTATTACTAAGGCAAAATTTTGTCCCATGTGGCAATTGAACACAAATACTCAAAGCTATGCAAAGGTGTGTGACAGTAACATTGGGCATGAAAAACAGATTACGGGCAAAGGATTAGGTATGGGATACCGCAAGTTTCGAATGGAAGAATGGGCCTAAGACTACACTACTACTACTTTTTCCGTGCGGAAATCCCCTCGGATACCACCTATCGGTGGCATGTCGGACTCGAACCGAGTAAAACCGTACGCCGTCTCGGGTACTGATAGCCGGGAAACCAGGTATACCCTAGAAGGGAAGTCCCTGGTGCCATCATATACATATATAGAAAATATAGTTTTACCTCAGATAGTAATATTTATATGTATCTTGAATGTTCTCGTAACAGATAAAATATAACATGTGGTGTTATAGAAAAGTAGGGTCAATATTGTGATATTTTTTTGGTTGTGGTGAAACGGGTGTCATGTTCCTCCAACACTAAGGGAGGATCCTCCGACCAGGCAAAGTGTTCATGTAGCGAGCGTAGTGCGATGCATAGCAAGCCCAACTAGTGTTAGGAAGTGTGTATATAATAATAATATTTTTGAACATTTAACCCACACCGCCATCTAGTTTCAAACTAAGCTAACTATGAAAGATTGACTAATAGATATATCTTTGCTAATCCCTGTGAGTATTTTTCATATCGCGATACAGGATTAGCAGTTACTCCGTAGTTCGGTGTGTCTTCGCTAGATGGCAATGAACTATGTTTTTGTTCCACTCCCGATATCTAGGTGACTTCCACACATAACTTCCATATGTGTGGAAGTCACCACTTAAATATCGCAATCTTGCCAAGCCTGAGTACGACCTGTTTTAGAAATAAAAACTACGTGGGACTCAGTTTATTTTTGGGTAGCAAATATATTGCTTCAGTAAGTAGGGTCATGTTAATGTTCAACTCTCCAAGGAATTGGTAGCAAATGTCCTTGAGATGTACGTTTATCTTCTATCGAAAAACTTTTTGAATTAGTAATTTGGTTCGTTTTTCTTTAAGCCGAGTATACACTAGGGAGAGATCGAATGAATCAAAACTTTTCAAAATTAAACGTGTAGGCAGTAAATAATTATATTTAAATGTAACAAAAAAGCGACTGGTATACTTATATATTGAAGTGTGAAGGTACGGAAAATTAGTTCAATATATCCTGGAAATGAATTAAAACATTATTATGACGTACTGCCTTTGACAGACGACCTGTGATCATCTGGTATTCTGTTTTAGTAATTTGTCACATCTATGATCAAATTATTATCTTTCATTATTATTTCATTAATTAAGTATAAATAACAAATCACGGGTCGCCACAATTGATATAGGGATTTTCCTTATTTTCTTTCTCCTTCTGGAAATACTTTATACATTTCGTTGATTTAAGAACTGGTTATACCACCCTTAAGCGATGAAAATAAATAAGTATATAGTTTATTATAATCCATAGTGATGTAGATGTATTCAAGGTATAATACTTTTTTTAAAGTCAGTTGTGACTACACGACACGAGGCCTAACGTTATTTTTATCATTTCGGTCGATCGTAGCTTTCGTAGTACTGCTACGAAAGTTCAGTCTTCAGTATGGTTACGGCGTAACCAGTGTGGCGCCGCGCTTACATGACTACATTTTACGACTTTATGTGTGCAAATATACATATGTTTGTATATTACTGTCATTGCGCCAAATTGAATCCCAGTCTGAAAAGTAAGGTCAAGGTTAACCTTTATAGTCTCCCTAAACGTACAATATTACTCTCGTTTTTATTTTTATAGCTTTGAGCACTAACCGTAATTTTCTCTGAGTATACTCGTATGTCAAACTTCTAATTGACACTACGAAAAATGGATCACCTTATTCAAGTCTTAAAAAGTTACGTCTAGGTACTTCAAGAAAATGTCTATATAATATTTCCTGCAATGATCACCCAAAGATTTTATTTAAAAGTACAGGAACATTTGCATACATTTTATCATTGACCTAATTCGCGTTTTCCAGAAACATCTTTCAACCTCCCTGTAGTTGAAAGTAATAGAAGTCTGCATGCGTACTTACTTTGTATCACAATCGCAAACATGAATGCATTAAATACATTATATAATCTTGCAAAAACCTTGTTTAAAGAAATATTAACATAAAAAGTAACTCCTTTTGTTTTTCACATCGCAATTACGTCAAAGTAAAAAGATGTATTGCCACAGACGCAACCATAACAATTGAACTATCTATATTTGAGGGGGTGGGGGATGTTACTCGTACGGTGGTGGTCGTACAGAGGCAGAATAGCTTGCCGTCAGTGCCACGCGGGCTCTCGGCGGGGGCAGATGGCGCGAAAGACGTGTCCACAGATTATAATCGCTAGTGACGTGGGTGCTTCGTGCACTTGAGTTTATACTCATAAATGATGTGATCATACTCTCATGAGATGCAAGACGACGCTGCTCATTGCCACAATGATTTTCGCCTTTTTCGCTTTGTCAATGCTCGGGATTTTAATCACAAAACCTGCCCCAGTAAGTTTGCTCCTTTTATTAATGGTAACATGCTGTCTTTTTAAATAGGTTTAAACAATATTTTCAGCAGTTAGAAAATTTTATAAGTATAAAAAATCTAGATAATTGATGATGTATTTTTACATCAATACATAGAACGAAAACCTCTTTGCATGACTACACTAAACAAAGTAACATTCAATGCATAACATGTACCAAATGATTTCTCTTTGTACTTAATTGTAATAGGAACTATTTATAGTCAAAAATCTGGGTAATAAGGTTGTACAAAGCACTTGTAGCTTGCTGCTTGTGCCCGGTTTGACAGCACGATCGATCGCTTAGAAATCATGCGCGGTGCAGCCTGACGCCCGGTTTTCCCGCTAAAATAACTAAAATCATACAACGCTATTATAATGAATAAATGATAACGGTGCAACTTATGTACTACTTACTTATTGATTTATCTCCTTACATGTATCAGTAACTTTGCATTGCGCACATCTTTGTCTTGGTTTAAAAGGAATAACAATGGTGGGACCGTAAAGACATTCTTATATATATTAAATACAAATAACATCAACTATGTTTGGTTATTGGATAGTGGCTTTAGAAACATTAATTCAGAAGAAAAGACTATTTTAAATAACAGCAGGGTTGCCATGACAACAGTACGCCGCCTTACAAATTTCAATCTGAAAGCGCCTAAATTATTCACGCACCATGTCATCTTGTTTTTATATGGACTTGCGTGACGAATCTGTGCTGACGTAGAAAGTTCTTAATAATTTTGTGAATGATTTTTTGATAAAAGCTTTTTTTATTAAATAGGCCTTAAATGGCTTATTAGTATTATCATCATCATCATAATCAACAACAACCTTTAATAGTCGACTGCTCATAGGCCTCTCCTTCGAAAGGAGGTTTTTGGCCTACTATACCACGCTGGCCAGACGGGTTGGTATACAGGTTTTGTTTTAAGTTTTCCTTCTCTTCGCAGTACTGTTGTTCTGCGTAGTTTGTTCCCGTAGTCGGCTCTTACGACACCCACGGGATGAATATGGTTGATGACACTCCGTATTCTTAATGCGTCGCCACACGGATAATGCCAACTAGTATGCCAACTAGCAATAATGGCGAGCCACATAAAAAAAAGCCATAAGTATTTTATGCGCTGCTTTACTATTCACCCGGTTTGTTACGAGCACAGATTAAAAGATATGACAACATAACATCTTAAGCCAATTTATTAAGTGTCAACAGCGCTAAACAATTCTTAAAATCGGATTAGGCGTGAAAGCGTAACAAACAAACAAACTTACTTTCACATTTAAAACGTAAAAGTATGGATGTAGATTTTGGCTGTCGAAATCAAAACTTCCGTAACTCGGTACCGCACGAATCTTATAAGCTAAATTAGAATTTGGTATGGAGTATGATACCATGGGCCTGTTCTGATGATTGAGCCCGAAGACGGCCGTAGGAAATTCTGAATTAAACAAGATAAACCCATCGAGTTTGGGCTTATTGGTTTTGTCTTGATGAGTAGGTATTTTGGTTCTCCATAATACCCAGGGTCTATAATAACTTTTTTATAAAAATTACCATAAATTATTTTAAATTATTTTTTGTAAATACAATTCTAAAGTTTTGACATATACATATCAGAACACAATCATGTTTCAGAACTTAATCTCGTATAGCAAACAACCCGGTCCTCACTTCAGTAGCTGTTTCAATCAGAACGACTTGTGGACTTTAAGATTCTTTTGAATTAAAGTATTCAAAGTGTAGGGGACGTACTCGCATCATAAGAGCTCATAATACATGCTCAATGCAGACATATTGAATGCTTGATGAGTGCTTTTGAATGATATCTCTCGTGGTTTGACTTCTTAAACGCGGTCGGAGCAATGTGTTATTTTTTGTTTTATATTCTCTTTTGAAAAGACTGCAAAATAGTGTTTTTTTATCACGGATGCTGGTAAAATTTGTCTAAGAATAAAACAATATGTACTGTATTGTGTGTATTTTAAGACGACGTATCTAAAGATCCTTTAGCGTAGTAATTATTAAATTAAGTATTACTTTATTTTTATGCATAATATTCATTAAAATAATATAATAATATTCATATTCATAATATGCTGATATTGCGCGGCAGAGCCCGCGCCTTAGCTCAAGAAATATCAGTTTTGTCGATAGTCAAGCTTTCGATAATTTTATATATATTTTAGATCTTAATTTACCTGTGGCAAATTTCGTGTAGATTCGTTTCGCCAATCTGGCATGATTAAGTAATAAACATGCTTCCATCTAAACTTTTGCATTTAATTTAGAAGTTACATATTTCTCAAAAGCCTGTTTTTATTACCTTTTCTAATTAACTATAATAATTTTAACATAATAAATATATTAAAGTCGAATTTGACCTACTTTTAATAATAATATTCTACCACATTCACACAACACCATCTAGCCCCAAACTAAGCAGAGCTTCAACTATGGGTACTAGACAACTGATATAAATACATGAATAGACTTTTTTGTAAATACATACATATTATACATAGAAACACCCAGACCAAATCAAACATTCAATGCTCATGCACACAAATATTTGACTTGAACGGGAATCAAACCCGCGACCTCTGGCCATTAGTCCGTTACACAAACCACTACGCCATCCGGCCCTCTACTTTTACTGTCGCGTCGAAATATTTGTCTGCATTGCATCTTGAGCTGATCTAATGATGGCGCCAGGAGTAAACTCCTCAAGTTTGAACTTTCCAACGTTTTGTCGAATTTGAAGTAATATTTAGGTGGGTTACAAGACTCTTGAATGAAGACAAATTATACCTTTGTAACTTGTTTCTAGTGTGCCACTGAGGAGCAATGTGCAAATGGTCAGATATGTTCAGCGCATTGGATGTGTTGCGAGCAGGGGTGCTGCGACATTGCAACGGCTCCGTCGCGACGTGACGCCTCCGACGAGACCGTCAAGGAGCACAGTTATGGCTACCCTTGGTATGCTCAATGGTAAGTACTATCATTTTTCTCCACATACATACAAAGTAGATCATGTTCATTGCATTGAGGATATTTGAATTAGTGCAATCCCTTCATTCCGACACACCATCTCGCCGCAAATCCCGGTGGGGTGACAGTCCGAGGGGATTTACACATGTAAAAAAAAAAAAAAGGTATCTTTGTCTGTTTTCAATAGGATAGGCTTTATGCACATATCAACTCATCCTCATCCTCTAAAAACAACCCAATGTTTTTAGTACCCAATCGATAGTCACTGATTCCGACAGAAATTCGTTACTCCTTATTATTATCAAATATCGATTAACCCACCTCATATTATAATGTACTGTGCTATGATAGCAAGTGTACACTTTCCCTCATAAAATTTTAAATAGACCAAACTAGTGTCGGAGATGCCGATGAGCCTCTGACCTAATTTAGTTTTTAGTACATTAACATGTAGTCGAAGTATTATTAATGACAGTTCAAGTTATGGACTAATCAATGATCTGAACATTCAAAATGACCGTTAGGCGATCTCTATTATCCATACTTCCACACCTATGTTTATTACGCTTTCACGCTTAAACCACTAAACCGTTTTTAAAAATTCTTTCACCAATGGAATGCTTCATTCATTATCAGAGAGGAACATAGGCTACGTTTTACTTTGATAACCGACATAAAAGAAAGATATATAAATAAATCCGCGATTTTTACCAACCCAGGTATACATACTCGTAAAATAATATTATATTATATTTTCAGGCCGATACTATTTCTCCTGGGAACGTTGGGAGGTATTTTAGTTTGTTGCGTGTGGTGTCTATTCTTCAAGCGGTCGTCAGGACACGGGGTCTACATGTGCTCCTTCGCATGCTGCGTCCGGAGGCCGACATCGGAACACGACTCGGCGGGATCCGTGTACCCGCCGCCGCGGTACAGCCGCTGCGGATCCTTCCACCAAGCCCCACCACCGTATTCTGAAGTGATATTCTTATTGTGACACTACTTCAGTTCGAGGTTTATTTGTTTTCGCCAGTTTTATTTTTTTAAATATCTTTTCTATTACTTTTTCGTCTTCTCAAATTTCCCATTATCGTGTTCAGTGTGGCATGTTTGTGGTTTTTAAATCCTTTAAAATCAAGGATTATAAAGCTACGTCCTTGATTGCAGCGGCAGTCGACCAAGCGATTTATTTTTTCAAATGATGTGTTATTTTTAAAGAATAATGAGCCAACGGCTTATCGACACAGTCGCTCTGTAATGGAGGACGGAGTTTAACGGATGCTTTTTATAATATCATAATATCAATAATTTTAAAATAATAATGTTTTTTTTAATAACTGTTGAATGAAAAATTAAACATTATTTGTGTAGGTTGCTTCAAAACCGGACTTGTATCCTCTAGTCATCACATGCGGAGAAGGTGAAGGGAAAGCGGGGAACTATCTAATGGTCCACTATTTCAGAAACTACGTCATACGCGGTCCAGGTGAATAATATGTATTTACTTTGTTAATAATAATAATAAGTTATTAATAATAATAACTTAGACCCGAGTCAAGCCGTGGGCAGAAGGCCCACAGCTTGGCTCAGATCAAACTTATTATATATAATATCCATTGATATTTATCCATTGAGAAACTTTAAACAGTACTTTTTTCTTTGCTCTTTTTTAACGACCAGATACATGACCTAATGGTTAAGTAATTACTGCTCCTCAGCAAAAAAACCTGGCTGTCCTTTAAGTGCCTCTTGCCCAGAATAGGGGAGTGGAGAATTGGGTCCTCTGTAAATTCACTCAACTGATGTACTGACTCAACTGACAAAATGTAAAGAAAGTTCTTCCGTTCTTTTCAATTCTTTAGTTTTCTGCATCATTCACCTCCTGCAGAAATTAAATTCACCCTTAGTAATAGTTAAAAAATACTCAATTATTTAAATGAGGTACATGACATAATGACAGGAATTTAAATATATAGGTATAGTTTATGTTCAATGTAAACTCTTTTTTTTGTTTGGTTTTGATAAGTAGAAGATCCAATATTCATGTTTCCAAGTCTGATTAACATAAAGAAGGTTAATATGTAATTAAAGAGTCAATAAAGTTGTATTTCCATCCGACGTCCATCTAATAGGCTTGTAAGATTATAGCGACGAGCTTGGCCTGTATGTAATTCAATTAGCCACATAAAGCGCTCTACAGCCAGTTACTCTCAATACGTAAATGCAAATGGTTGCGATGTGACAATGACCGATCCAGTAAAAAAAGTTTTCAAAAGACACGAGGGAGCATTCAGATTAGCTAAAACTAATATCGAAACTGTAATGGATTACAGAATACTATATGTATATTATACTTTTTGAGTTCCTTGCGGTATGTCAAAGAGTCAACTAAAGTCTGAACTAAAGTAAAGTCCTAATTGGATTTCTTCCTCTAAGTCCAATATTATAAGAATTACTCCGCCCCTCTCATATGTTCGGCTTAAATTAATATGTTTTTTTTTTCCAGAAGTGAAGTGAAGTGTTTTGATATTTTACTTTTGTTGTAGGTTCTTTATCAGCGACGAGTACTGCAGAATCTCTTAGCTCTAGTTTCATATGCAACGCAGCAAATGAGGTGAGTTCGAAAACGCTTTCTTTCTTTCTTTTTCTTCAGTTTCTACACGAAGTTGCTGTATTAAGTTCTATTTGAGTTAATTCCGATTCTGAGCTGATGCTATGCAGAGACTTATGGCCATGAGTATCTAGGTTTATAAGTACTTATAGTTTCCCATAATTGACTAAAATGGTTTGAGTGTAATATTATTGAAAGCACATGAGGTATCAGAGAGGATAATAAACAGTAGTTTATTAGTGAACATATGAGATATACTCGTTCACATAAACAGGTCCATATAAATACACATAAGTACTTTCATTAAGCGCAACAAGCGCAAAAAAAATGCCGCTGAACTGATCATCATCAACAGCCATTACTAGTCCACTGCTGGACATAGGCCTCTCCTTAAAAAGGCGGGTTTGGCCTACTACTGAACTGATAACGATTATAAACTACGATAACACTTCACCTAGAGTCTTGTTGGGTTTAGGCACCTGCCTCTGTTTTACCTGTCTGTGTCGCACACGTTTCCATTACTACTATACTTTGCGCGTAAATATCTCGAGTTTCAGCTTATTGTTGACACTCGGTAAACTTATTAAAAACAATATTTCACAAAGAAGCGTAATCCAGCAGATAAGACTATTCCTTTAAGCATATTGTGATGAAGAGCCTAAATATTTGTACAGGCAAATTCAATTATTCCACCGCCGTACTCGTGCGCGAGTAACTACGGGGAATGCGGGGTGGGCTGCGGACCGCTCCTGCGCTCGCTGTCGTCTCTGACAGACCGTCACAGCGCCAACCCTCCGCGCTGTCCAGACGTGCTCGCCAACAGCGGCGCACGCGAGCGCGACCTCCACAACGAGCCCAGACCAGCGAGACTACGCGACACTCCACAGGCCTTCAGGGAGAATCTTATTACTTCTCCAGCGCAATCCTTGGTAAGTTCAAGATTTTGTTCCTAACTGCACATTCCTTCGACATTGGCATATAAATTATAGTTTAGATTTGTATGATGATAAAGTATTCCTAATAATAATAAAAAATACTCTAGAAAAAATAAATGTCCTATCCTGTCCTAACGCCTATGTCCCTGAAGGGTTAAGCAGAGGCGAATGGGAAACCTAAATTTGGATGAATATAATTTTAGCCCCACTTATAGGGGCCTAGCCTATCTACTACGTTAAAGGGTCATTTCAAAGATTATACGGAAAAATTAAGAGTTTATAATTAGAAAATGTAGGCAAGAAGGGAAGGCCATGAAACAAGAATGGTTCAGTATTTTATTGTTTTGTTAGTTATTCTTCTATACACAATATCTCGTTACTAATTACATCTGTAACTTTTTTTACAGGACCCTACATTCGATCTAGAACTCGAGCTTATTGACTGCGAGATGTACTGCGATGGCGGCTGCAAACCAAGACTCGGTCCATCTCCTCCAGTTCACCAGTCACTCTCTAACGTCGACGACACAGGGTACGATAACGAGAGCTACATTCTACGTCACACCCTCTTTGCACCCTCACCAGAACTGACTGGAGCCTGTGAGTCACCACCTCAACCCACTAGCCCCACACAGACGTCTAGGGAATCTACTCTACGACGGGAGAACAAATTACATCGACGAGAAAATGCTGTCAAGATTATTCGAAGACCACGAAAATCGAGCTTATATATGCCGTTATCGGCTGCTTATCCAGTTAGGAGTTCAAGAATTTCACCTGGAACGCGCCCCTCCACAAGAGCTGCATCCAGGTCGGCACCAGTAACACCGTGCGGTTCTTTGGTGCCAAATCTCCTTAACTTCACACAGAGGCTATCAGCATCAAAACATGGCTCCAGCTCTTTACAATTTGAAGAAGAGTGTGATCCGCTGCTGAATGATATAGAACACACGCGTACCGACCATAAATTTTAGTAAACACGAGGCTACTGAACGCTTTTTGTAATGTCAGACCCTTGGATGTGTTCCCGCCATTATTGATAATGTGCCATAGTGTCGATGTACATTTTTGGACGGCCTAAAGTGCTAAACCCTGAAGGTAGCGGTCTCCTGGTGGCAACATGATAATTCTAAGTGTTGTGACTATTGTAATGTGCTCATTATATCGTAGAGCCAAATCAATTATGTAGGTAGTTTAATGTTAATCAATTATAATATTAAAAGCTTGTTGGACCATTGTTCACTTGCCTTCTAATAAGAAGTACTTATGAAAACAGAAGTTTTTGTTTTATTGAGCCTTCGTACAGCGAGTGTATTGTCAGAGTAACCGTAAAAGCGCTACTACATCTAAGGTTCGAAAATAGCACTGACCGGGTTACGGCATAGCCTTATAGGCATGGTAAGTAGGTATTGTTAAATACTTTTATTGAATTATACACACCAGGCTTACCAGGCCTTCAAACAAACTACTTTCAACGCTTCAAAAACTCAAAAAAAAAATCTGCTTCCATTGAAGTTGACACGATGTTTGATTTGCTTCAAATATTGTTTTTATCTTTTAGCAATGTCAGTTTTGTTACTCATTTCCCATTAATGTAACCACAATTTGCCACAGTAAAGCCTGGCAGGTACAGCTAGTCGTTGTTGAATAATGCTAAATTTTATTATAAAGTTGCCTTTAAACTACTACACTGACTTAGAAAATATCAAAATAGCGGTTCCTGAACGTATCGTTCACTTTCATTGTCAGGGCCGACTTTAGAGAGGGGCGGCCTGGGCGGGTGACCGGGTCGTCAGGGTCTCCTCACACGCGCCAGTTGAACTTTTAAACCTTTCTCTAGGGGTTGGAAACAACAATAGTAATAAAAATTTCATTTGATTACTAATTGTCGCATTAAACGAAACGCGTGACCACAATGGCTCCAAATGCATGACTCGACCGGGGGACTAAATGCTTATGACCGGCCGTTCATTCAGTCTATCATTCGTGGGATATTTAAAATAATAATTCAAATATATTAAGAAATAAACACTTAGCGACGTTGTGAATTGTTTGAATTTCATTAAGCATGAGAGATTCTAAACTAGTGTGATCATTATTACTATACGGCGTACAAAAAGAAACAATAAATGCCAAATAAACGGTTAAACCAATGATATTAGGAGTAAAATTTAATCAGCTAATGTTACTTTTAACTAATACGCTTTGTAATGCTTAAAAAGTAAGATCTATCCATCATCTAATAAAATAGTCGTCAATTTGCAGAGAGCCACGAAAAGTGCAGAATATATATGTCCATGGTCCTGTAAGCAACTAAAATTTGAGAGAATACCAGTTTTTAAGGGCTTCCTAGTATTAACAAGTACCTAACCCTTATATTTTCCGTCCGTATCCGGATAACCTTGCATAGGAACATATAACAAGTAATAATTAAAAAATATAAAAACTCGAATGCAAAAAGGCAAAATAACAGTAATACACTAAAAAGACCAAAACAGCACGAGGTCTGGCACAACAAACAAACATGGCCCATTTTTACGCCATCAAAAACTTTTAAAACTAATTTCGTTATTCCTGATTAAATTACATTACTTAACAATGTCTTTTAAAAGGATTGCGGTGATGTGGAGGCTATCTTTTGATTGGATTTGAAATACCTAATCATAAAGGTAGAATCTGCAATGAATTTAGGAATAGTGTTAGGATAAATAAGCTTTGTTGGTTTGAAATACGAGATCCTAAAATAAAATAAATAAAACATTCATTTATTTGATAAAGTTTTTTTTAAGAATGTTAGTTGTTCTTTATAACCACTAAATAGACCTAAGTTGTCTAATTTTTAGTTTATCGATTTCATATCCATTTGTTTAAAATGATAATCTAGACTAATATGTTTCTCTCACATTTTAATAGATTTAGACATTCATTTATAATTTTACTATTTTTTAATTTTAAAGAAAACGTTTAATTAATAAACGGAATGTTTTAATCGAAAAGTAGATGTCAAAATTGTCAAAGACAATGACAGATGATAGAATGACAGAACACAAACAAAACTCAGAGTTCAGAGTGAGGTTATATTTGTTTACACAACAGAATACGAAAAATATTCAAACTGTCGGCCAAAATAGATTTGGATATGAGTCTGCAAACAGACTTCGGCCCCGATTCTGGGGGCAGAGTAAAGGTATGCTTTTACACGTAGAAATTAAACGATTGGTTGTATTTAAGCATAGATGTTTGAAGAGCTATTTCATTCTTATTTCAGGGCTTAGTTATCGTTAAGCCGATAGTATACGGTAATATAGCACGTTACTTTGGCAAGAAGCGTGAAGAAGATGGCCATACACATCAATGGACAGTTTACGTCAAGCCGTATGCCAACGAAGACATGATGGCTTATATTAAAAAGGTTCATTTCAAACTACACGAAAGCTATGCAAACCCTAACAGAATAGTCACAAAACCGCCTTACGAGTTGACAGAGACCGGATGGGGTGAATTCGAAATTGTCATTAAACTATACTTCCATGATCCTAATGAACGGCCAGTAAGTAATAATTTAATAATAATAATATTTGTTTTTTTTTTATTTACGCTCATGTGAGTCTATAACACCTATGGAACCTGTTACTATTGAAAAAGATCACGATTACGACATACCTGTTGGCCAGACTATAAGAAGGCTTATGACTCAGTTCCACACACATAGCTTTTGAAGGTGCTGGAGTTGTACATTGATACAACTCTGTGCACTTTCTTGGAGTCATGTATGTGGCCATTGAGAACAGCACTTCAGTATCCAGGATGTCGGCAGACTGCGGTAAACGATGTACTAATAATGTTATTATTATTAGATTGAGCAGGGTATATTTGAATGTGATAGTCTGAGTCCCTTGTTGTTTTGACTGAACCTTTGGCTTTGAACCCTCTCAGCACTCTATTAAAGGGTTCAAGATAAGGCTATAGGTTGCAGAACGATGATCAAGTTATATCTCACCTTCTTTATATAGATGATTTGAAACTACCAGCCCCTACTAAATGACATTTGTCAGTGTTACTAAAGGTGACGGAAAACTCTAGCAATTCTATCAAGATGGAATTTGGTGTAGACAAGTGTGCAGTCATGTATGTAGAAGGGTGTGACAGTAGAATCTGAAGGAAAAGAGCTTTCTGTATAATACTGTCATATCATACTTTCAGGTAACACTCTATCACATCCTGAAGCTGTTCCAATCACCGGTATCAGATGGTGCTCCACCAGTCATTGGACGTGCACTTGTCAGCGAGTCTTACGAAGAGATAGTGTTTCAGGAACCCACACAGCTTATGCAACACCTCTTGAGTAATGTGAAGCCTATTACTAACGGACCTTGGAATCATGATACCGATTGTAAGTTATTTTTTGTAGCAGTGTTGATTAAAGTAACAGCACATTTTGCTAAGCAAACTATGCAGGACAACAGCAATGCAAAGAGAAGGAAAACTTAAAACAAATCCTGTACCAACCCATATGGCCAGTGTTTGGCCAGGCTTTGGCCTACTATACTAGTAGGCCAAAGCCTCCTTACTAAGTACAGGCCTATGTCCAGCAGTGGACTGTTATAGGCTGTTGCTGATCATGATGACATATTGCTAATCCTTATAAAGTTTTAAATGCTGTTGTCGTCTAAACAACTATTGTGGACATGTTAATAATGTTTAAATTTTATTGAGAAAAATAATGGTCTGGTTAGTTTAAATATTAGAACCTATTTATTTTATTTTTTTATAAGTGACGACTTCCACGTCAGGAGTATATTCTGTGTTGCAGGGGACTTCATAAACATTCATTGAACGAGCACAAAGAACAACAATTGGAGTATCACACAAAGTGTTGTACCATGTGGAAATCGAACCCACAATACTCAGATAGAACTTTGTGACTAAACAAATATTTTTTTTACATGGAAAATACTTTTTCATTTAAATATATAAGAAATACAAAAGTTTCTACTTCCTTTAATTTAAAAATGCCTTATGTTCTTACTGAGATCATACAAGAATAAAAGTTGGTAATTTTAGCCATTTCATAGACCATCTCATTTTCAGTTGAAGATAAGAAAGAGAAGACTTTGCAAAAGATTATAACCTCACACTCAAAAGTCCGTAGTGAAATAACAGATTTAAAAGAAAAACTGCACCTGGCAAAGGAAACCATTTCGAAGTTCAAGGATGAAATAGCCAAACTACAAAACAGTGGCAGCACAAGCATGATGACAGGATTGTAAAAAAAACTACTAAATTAGAGAATAGCATATGTAATTATAAGTCCTAATATTATAAGATGACCATAAAAGTATCTGATATTATTATGTTCTGTTAACTCTCGCCCATTTTTCCCACCTCATTCTTAGTGATTTAAAAGCAGATGTAAGTATAACGTTTCATTTCAGCGCCATCTAGTGTAAATAACGCAAACTATTTAGTAATTTATTAAGCTGTACGCAATAGCAAATGCTGTATTTTGGTTTGTTCGCAAGATTCTAACTTTCTCAGGAGTCCAACTTATAAAACATCCATACAAGTGTTCGCATGAGTCCAACTTTTATTTTTATTTACTTTTATTAACACTATTCCAACAAGACGGTACAGTTTTACGCATAAATGTTCGATTAAAAGATAGAAACTCATTGTAGTTTTTATAGAGAAAAAAACAATAACATGTATTAGTTTTATGAAAAATAAATATGAAATTATTGGTGTCATGTATTTAAAAAACGTTGTTTCTTATTATCAATAATGAATTATTAAAAGTTCAAACTGATTTGGCCCTATCCCTCAAATTTACGAAAACGCTAAAAAAAAATACTTCGAACGAAAGTTACGGCTATAGTTCTCGTATACCTAAGTTTGATAGTGTTAAAGACACATTATATCGTTGGAGAAAAAAGGCCCAAGGTGTTCAAAAGACCACTTTTAATGAAACAAAGGATGTTATTATTCCTGACATGTTCAAGGATTTTCTGATAATAGAAGACGGTGATCCTAAAATTCTGGTGTTTGCACATTCTTTGGTGTTCGAGAGTGTGCAAAACATTAAGCACTATTTTGCGAATGGGACTTTTTCTGTCGTGCCGCGTCCCTTCTACAGGGAGACGTTGGCAGTATTGACGATAAGACGTTAATCGTACCTTTATTTTTCGCTTGATTGCCCAATAAAGAGAAAATCACATATAAGCGGTTATTCAAATGATTGCGAAGACGTTTTCCGGACATGAAACCAACAGAGTTTCAGACTGATTATGAGATAGCAGTTATGAATGCAAATAAATCTACGTTTCCTGCAGCGGAGATAAGTGGCTGCTTCTATCACTTTTTAAATGCAGTTTGGAGCAAAGCAAAGTCACTTCATTTAATTAACATCAAGTATAATCGTATGTATATACATACGTTGTCTAATAGTGTTAACATATTTGTCCGCAAATCACATGCCTGAATGTGATTTAGCTGTGACCAGCAGTTACGAAGATGTAAATGAACAAAGGAATGATAAAATGGAAACATAAACTTGCCGCCATCGTTCCACACGGCAAAATTTTCATTCTCATTACCTGGATAGTTGGCTCCACTACTGTGCGCTTTTCGAGTTTGCCCCGCACAACCAATCTGTGGAACGGGTTATCGTCTGCGGTACATCCGGATCGGTACGACCTTCAAACCTTCAAGAAAAGAGCGTACTCCTTCTTAAAAGGCCAGCAACGCGTTTGCGACTCCTGAGTTGCAGACGTTCATGTGCGGCGGTGATCACTTTTCATCTGGTGACCCGTCTGCCCCCTCTAATATAAAAGAAAACATTTAAAAATTATTTATCTCTGGTTTGTAGTGTTTTTTTTTTCTTTTTGTCGTGTTGTTTTATCTATGCTCTTTTTAATAGGATGTACCTATTAAAAATATCATTTAGCTAAGGCACACTAACTTACAGCCGACAAGATACGGAATGGGACACCTAAGATTCAACGAAATTATTATTTACTTATATCGACGGATAAAATTGAAACGTATGGACGATTAATAGTCAATTTCTTCATTTTAGTTTGTTTATTTACGGAGTGTATGTGTTAAGAGCTTTTTTTTGTGGCGTATTAGTAACACAAAGCCGGGCATCATTCGACAGTTAACAGGTCACTAATGAAAACACATAAGAAAGAAAACTAGCCAACTTTTATTTCATAATCTTATATCCAAAGAGGACACGCCAACTATTTTCATAAAACTTATATCCAACATGTTTAGTTATTTCAAAGTTACGTTGGAGTTAAGAAACTTCACTTCAAAATCAGGCACTCGTATGTAAAATTCAAATCGATCAAACTCAATTTAAATTCATTTCTATCTACCAACTATACTATTAGTATGAGCCATATTGCCATTAACATTTTATGGAAATCATTTGTGAGTTCATGACCTTTCATGTGAATCACATTTCTTTTTTAATAGTTAGAAACGGTAACGCTTATCCTCACGGAATCCGAGTACATAGTACCTACTACATGTAAACTATTTTACAATTATCTTTTTTTTATTTTGTTAAGCCTACGGTTATAGCCACATGATAGAAATTAGAATGGTTGCTCAGACAGTTCATGAAGTGATTATTTTAATGGCATTGCAGCTACAACTGGGAGCATAGGGGAGTTTAGTTTACATCAACTCGATCGTCACGTTCGGCATTGCGATTTGAGAAGAGCTCAATGCAAAAAGCAGGCACAGCAGCGTAATACCTACTCTAGTGCTCAACAAGTACATTACGACTTGGCAATAAACTAATCGGTGCCGTCCAACGCTTTAAGCATCAAATAATCAAATTACCTAAAGTTAATGATATTAGCGTAATAAAAAGCCAATTGTTGTACATCACCTGAACTGAAGTACTCACTGACCCTCGGTGACCGTTACTGACATTGAATTCACGTCATAACTTAATATTTTTAGCTACAATTTTAATGGTCGTTATTTTATATCGATCCACTTTCGTGTCACTGGTAGATACGTATCTGTAACGTTTATCTACACCGTGTGTTTCTATTATGTGTGCTTAGTCTTTTTTTTTATACCACTGTGGTTGCAAAAAAGGTAAGAGTCGACTAAGGAAGCAAAATAGGCAGTACAATAGCACTGCAAAGAGAAGGTAAACTTAAAATAAACCCTTCTCCAACCCGTCTGGCCAGCGTAGTACATTAGGCCAAAACTTCCTTTCTAAAGAGAGGTATATGTCCAAGGCCCTGTTTAATAAAGCTGACATATCGACATATATGTCGATAAGTAACATCAACATCATCATCAACAGCCTATACTAGTCCACTGCTGGACATAGGCCTCTCCTTAGAAAGGAGGTTTGGCCTACTATGCCGATAAGTAACAAAATTGTAGAATTGTTGCGCTTAGGCTGTTTAACTCGATATATGTCAAAAAACCAAGGGCAAATTATTTCTGACAATGGTCGATGACAATTGTCGGAAATAATTGACAATTATGTGCACTTTTGACATATTTGCAAATAATTTTGCTTTATGAAGCCAATTGAGGGTATTTAGAAAAATATTAACAAAGTAAAAGAATCATTCACTAGGGTAACTTCGATCGATCGCGTGTACAATGGAAATGCACAACTATTTTGGGCCTTATTTATAAAAATAGAAATACTCGTATACTGTTTGGGAAATTAAGTAACTAATAGACTCACGATGTAACAATAAACAAATGGAAAGAAATCATGATCACTACTCTCACTGCTCGATGTAAGTAGGTACCATTTCTTATAATAAATCTTTGAAAAACAATTTCTTACACCTTCAAAATTCAAAATATTATATCGCGATAAAGGGTAACGATCCTGTTAAAATTGTCGGAGAATTTTGAGAAATTAGTCAATATCTCATGACAATTTTCTGTTCACTAAAGTAGATTTGAAAAGTTTTTCATGACAAATTGTCGGCTGTCACCTGTCGCTCAGTTTTCCACCACCATTTTCCAACATGACAATTGTGTTACCTTTTAGCTTTTTACCGTTAGAGGGGGCAGACGAGCAGACGGGTCACCTGATGGAGAGTGACCATCGCCGCACATGAACGTCTGCAACTCAGGAGTCACAAACGCGTTGCTGGCCTTTTAGGAAGGAGTACGCTCTTTTCTTAAAGGTTCGAAGGTCGTATCGGTCCGGAAATACCGCAGACAATAACCCGTTCCACAGATTGGCTGTGTGGGGCAAAAAGTGTCTCGAAAAGCGCACAGTAGTGGAGCGCCAACTATCCAGGTGATGAGAATGAAAATTTTGCCGTGTGGAACGATGGCGGAAAGTTACTGGTATTAGTCCGAACAATTCCTCGGAGCACTCTCCATGATATATGCGATAAAGAATGCAGAGTGAAGCCACATCTCTACGTAACGCCAAGGGATCGAGCCGATGATGACGAGAGATGTTTGGGCTAGGTATCGACGATTCGAGTCTCTCTTCGTTCGATGCAGTCCAGATTGAGAAGCTGGTACTGAGGTGCCATTGCATAGAGATGAGAACAGTATTCCATATGCGGCCGGACTTGCGCCTTATAGAGCTGAAGGCGGTGGGCCGGAGTAAAATACTGCTTTGACCTATTCAGCACACCTATCTTCTTCGATGCTAATTTGACCTTACCCTCTAAGTTACCCCGAAACTGGACTTTGCTCGATATGTCGATGCCTAGGATTCTGATGCTGAGGCAGCTAAGGAGGTGCTCTCAAACCGAGGTGATACGACAAATCTTAATCTGTGTCTTTTTTGGGTTGAACTGGACTAGATTTAGTCGGCCCTAATCTAAATCCTCCGATAAAGAAGTTTCAATTTCAGACACAAGTTTCTTTCGCCCCTCGATGACGTTTTCCTGAGAAACATTGTAAAGGACATCTGCCGTGCCATCATCTGCATAGCAATGGATGCTACTAGATTGCAACATGTCATTAATATACAGAAGAAACAGTGTGGGTGATAGCACCCTTGTGGGACACCAGCATTTACGAATTAAATATTACACAGAAAAATTGTCGAATTGTCACTTTTTGACATATGTTGGGCCTTTTTTTTTCCGTGCGGAAATCCCCTCGGATACCACCTGTCGGTGGCATGTCGGACTCGAACCGACTAAAACCGCACGCCTTCGCCGGGTACTAATAGCCGGGGAACCAGGTATACCCTAGAAACATATGTTGGGCCTGACGGATTATCAGCTTTATTAAACAAGGCCCAGCCAGTGGACTACTAAAGGCTGTTAATAATGGCGAATGTTTATTAAATTACCAGTTGTAGGCGCTTGTGATTTGCTGCGTGGTTATAAAAAAAAAAGCTATTTAACACGGTTTTTTTATGCTACAGCCGAGGTAATAATGAAACAGTTAAAAGTACATAATAGAACATACAACCTGAATTAACGGATTTTATCACAGTTTATCAATTCAGATTTTAATTACCGTTGCCCAACGATATGATCTGATATTTTTTCATTTTTGTCTTGTTAAGTTTTATAATCTGCGCATTTTAATTTCTTAGTGTCTGACGAAGTCAGCCAGTCTGACGAGGTCACGATCAGAAGCCAGTAGAACAATATATTGCAAAGGTCAATGTTAAGTACTAACTTTTTTCTTCCATAACTGCCCTTTTATAATTCATGATTCATAGTATGTCATTGAAGTTGGCGGTTAACCCGCTAACCATGACTAAACATAATGTACTGAAACTGTATTGAATATAATACCCATACATAAAATATGAATACTTAAATAAATACTTAGCAAATTCAAAATGCTTCCTATTAACAAAGTCACATATCATTCGCTTGTAATAAATTAACCTATTAGTTCAATGCATTGCATTTCAAATAGAAAACAAAATGTTGTGTTACTTATTCATTATTTTTACACCTCCATGCACATTGGCCATAAGCGGAATGCTGAAATCATTTTCTGCTTATCAACCATTGGATGATGCAAAGAAAACAGGAGGTAGGTTCATTGGTTCAAATTAATTTTAAAAATACAAATATAATTTTATGGCAAATTTTTATAGATCCGGGCAAACACTTTCAAATTACTGTCAGACACTTGAGTTTCATAATATTCATAATATATGTCCTATGAACAATAGGTTAAGCATATTATGAACGTTGCATAACAATACGTGCTCATAACGTAGTAATGTCGTGTTTGTTCACTTTATGTCATGGCACCTAGATATTTACAGTATCTTTTATTTACAGTTACTTGAGGTGCCATATTCATATTCCCTACACCTAATCAAACATTAAAGGTTCATGCACACAAATGTTTGATTTGGGCGGGAATCGAACACGCAACCTTTGGAATAGCAGTCCGTTACACAAACCACAACGCCATCCGGTCCAAATTGAAACCTTTTATTAAATTTATCTAGGAGAGTAGTCTTTCCTCGTCTTAATTTTATTCAGGGTTACTGCTCCATTTCTAAGAAACGTAGTGATGTTAAATAGCCTCTAGAAGTTCTATAACATCTAGGCAAGGATTTATTTAGACCAGAAATCATTTAAATAAAAATATTTCCTATAAAAGCCTTTTTGCACTATGATAATTGGCCGATTGACCGATTTATCAGTTAGGCATTGCGCAAAAACCGAATATCCAGCACGTTGAACTTTAAACAAAACCCTTTCTGCCCAACAAGGTATTTTTGAACAATAGAGCTCTCGTAGGTTAACATGACAAACACTGGAATTAGGTTAAGCAAATGGCGCATCGACAGTTCGCGTGCTGACATAGCCTGTTATCGATAAAATTGCCAGCATGCTATCTTTTAGATTAAAAAAAACTTAAACAATTAAATATTTAAATACTTTTTAACTTTTGCTTTTAAAAAAAAGAAATCGCTATCAACGCATGGACAATCTATCGACAATTGATTCATCAAAAGTGGGTAGATTCATACTGACAAAGACCTCTACTAAGAAAATCTGGCATTCGAAGAAAGGCTATCTTTGGAATGCCTTCTGGTTGGTTCAGCTATATGGGCTCTAGTAAAATAAATAAAGTAAAATAAAGTTCGAAGAAAAGTGGTCATTCTGAAATACGTTTTATTTGTATATTTTTTTACGGGCGTTTGCCAGCGACTTCGTCCGCATGGCGGTTGACATCAGACATCGTGGAGGACACGCTGCTACTAAAAATAACCAAGATTCATAAAATTTCCGACCCCCATTTTGTACCCTTACGTGTAGAATTTTCAAAAATCCTTTCTTAGTGCACACCTCCGTCACCTAAGGAACATTTGTGCAAAATTTCTTGTTTCTAGACCCAACGGTTTTAGCTGTGCGTTGATCTATCAGTCAGTGAATCATTCTGTCAGTTTCTACTTTTATAGATAAAGAAAGAAAGAAAGAATTAGAAAGAAAAGAGAAAGATATAGATTGGAGTGTGAAATGCCAATAACCTTTGACACAACGAAATCTGTCGGGGCTACTAGTATATTTAGACATATATATTGTTTAAATTTTGTTACCCACAAGTTAGGTTGACAATAATATTGATTTGTGAAAATAAAATCAATTTTCCTAATTCTATAGATTATTTCAAGAGACTGATACAATATTTAACTACATAAATATACACAAAAACTGAAATTTTGCACGTTGTTTGGAAAAAAGGACTCAACCCACATTCAATGATAATGTGCTAAATACAATATAAGTACATTATGTATGTGCTGTGTCTGTGTACTTTGATAACTTAAAAATTCTAAACCAAAGTGTAGTGCACCTTTTCATTCATTTCCACACCACCCTAAGATAGACTGGTAGAGAATGCTAATGGCATTAAGTCTGTTATTGTACATTTTGTGCATAAAGCTATTAAATAAAAGAAATATAATGTAATAGTAGTCCTTATTTTTAAACATCCATTTGTCGTTCAAGATCCGCAAGGCCTTAAGTCCGTGTCTTCGCACTGCCGTCGCTCATCGCAATCAGGGGCTTTAACTTTCGCAACAAAACTATCATAAGTAGTGTTGTCCAATATAAATTGGCTCTTATTATCGCCAGCATACATTTTAGGATGTTGTAACTGAATCAGATAACACCCGTATGCCTCAACGGGTTTGTCCCCAATAGGTTTTGTCATACATCCTTCAATCAAGGCTATCAGCAAGGTTGTTTAAAGCAGCCATTTTAAGTCGATGGAAGAAATATAAAATTCGGGGGCATACACCTACAGCTCTTCCTCAATCCAAACTCAACACAGATAAACTCATCTAAATAGATTCATTTGACTGACCTGTTGATCTAATGGTTAGTAACCCTGGCTGCAAAGCCAGGGCTCGTGGGTTCGATTCCCACCCAGGACAACTAATTGTGTGATGAGCACGATCATTTATTCTGTGTCTGTGTGTCTGTGTGTATGCATGTATTTAGAAATATATAAGTATGTTTATTATTGGTCTTGTTTATTTTTCATGATATTGTTCATCTGGTGAATACATGTCATGTCATTCTAGGCCTGCCCCCTTACCAGCTCGCCTGCTCAAAGGGGGTTAATTGTTTGCTCAAAAGTGTTTGGTCTACGCGCCAGGGGACCTAATTTCTGCCAAAGATAAAATAAATTTTGACGGCTCCTCTTGAAAACTCCTGTTGTGCGCAACTGACCCTTAATTTACTTATTACAATATCTAAATAAGTATTATATTACAAGTCAGTAGTCGAAATGTTTACTAATACCAATAACACTAAGAATTGCGTTAATGATAAAGAAGCCGAGGTAAAAATTAGAGCTAATTAATGCAATTCGTTTAATGATATTTGCAATCAAAATTTATTTTGGAATAAAGTGAAAAAATAGCGTTTAAATAATACCTAATCTCACTTCACACTGGTCAAGCGACACACACATACAAAAATTAGTATTTAAACAGTAAATCATTAACAAGGCAGTAACTATGCCAAAGACAATGAAGCTTGGATAAAAGAACAACTACGAAAAATTAATAGTAAATTGAAAACTCATGGTTACATAAATTCTTCTTTATATTCTATACGTATTCAAAACTTATGCATAATTTTATGAATTATGTTCTTAGATGTCCATTCAATCTTTCACACTAAGTAATAATGAATATACCTAAATACAATATACCTATTTTACGATCTAAAGTATAGTTGTATATATTTACAATTGTAGGGGAAGTAACACGCACCAAGCCCACTTGTTGACAAACGAACCAAGGTCACGGTACAATCGACACATGAACACTTCCACACACATTATTAATGAGAGAAGTCGTTAGCTTACTCTTACCTACTCGTAAATGAAAAGACCATTCTTATAAAATCCCACACTCTTTAATAAAATATCTGCATGAAGTCCACAACATCAAAACTTTGAGCAATAGTAATAGCTTCACGACAATTAAATATTAACAAAAATATCTCTTATTTTATAAATAAACTTAGCTTTAACACTTAAAATTCATATCTTTCAACGTCACTTCCACGTACAAATAAAACTACACTTTCTTAATCTAAAACCACTTTTTGTTTTAAAACCAACTGTTCTCCTTTTTCATTTTATCTCTGTGTCGTCCCTTCATGTCTAGCGTTTGAAAAATCTCTGAAAGCTGGTCCAGGTTTTGCGGCGGGGTTTGGGGCAGCTGTTGTAATTTCCATAAGCATTTATCACCAACTTCGCTCGTAATGACATTAAGTGTCTGTTTCTCCCTCAAACACAACAGTTTGCCTGTCTCCGGCGTTGAGGATAGCTTCGCCACTTCCAACGCAGCTTTTTTAAACCTTGTCTTTGGGGAAAGTTTTGGCGCTTCATCCAATTTCTTTGTATGGTTTGACGACGTCGTTTTCTCTGTAATAAATGTATTTTGCTTTATCACTTTCGCTGCGTTCACGTACACTGGTTTTATCACGTCATATGTATTTTCTCTAATCAGCTGCTGCGGTTTCTTTGCTTCTATCGTTTCCACTGAACTCTTTCTTTTGAACCCATGTATTCGGAGAGGTGTTAATGGTTTAAGTACGTCGTGTATCTTGACTGAGCGTTCTCTGAGGGCAACTGTTTCGCTTTTATTGAGATCGAATACAATAACTTTGGTTTTCGATCTCTCCAGCTTCTGTCCGATCGCGGGAAGTGGGTGGAAAGGAGAGAGTGTTGATTTAACTTGGACGTCATTGTCGAGCATCCTCGATTGCGCGGTTATATTTTTTCTGGTTTTGAATTTATGGGGCGCGTAGATAGTAGTAAGTGCGCGCGTTTTGTGAGGATCTAATGGCGCGAGTGCTCCGGGCAGCATGGGGCGTGCGGTGGCTCGCTCGGCCGCGCGCCGACAGCCCCGACCGACCTTGGGCGGCACCTCCCCGCCTATCGAACCACCTCGGCGTGACCGTCGTCCACGTAGCTATACAACGGTGCACAAACGCACTGCGTGACCTTTATCGCACGATCATCACAAACATCTATAAAGAAAACCACCTAAGATGTTTATATCAAATATTGACATGTTTTGTCAAATTTCAGCCCCAATTGTTTGACAATAATTTATTTTTCTTGTCATTATTTGAATGAAAATGTCCAGCCTTAAATGTTTTTTGCATAGTTAAATCCTTTTCACTTCTTTTGAATGTTTCACTGACATAGTTCGCTAACATTAATTACTTCAATATGAAACTAAATTAATAAGTTTGTTATCATGCCTACGGCTTCTACGTTCAAAACACACTAAACATGAAACCATTTATAAACTATTATTGACGTGAATTTTATTTGAAGGCGACTCCACGTTTGTAAAACTGACAATGGTGTTTGCCAGGGTTTCTCAAAGTGATAACGCAAACGCCGACGTGATGCCCCGTTTTGTTGTATACTCTTGGCGTCTGAATATTCTGAACTGGTTTTGAAACTAATTTTTAAAATATGTAGTTGTACCCTACGACGCTTAATGAAAAGTAAAGAATAAAACTGACACGAAAAATAGATTAAAATAATTTTTAAAGCGGTTTGTATTTCGTGTTAAAAGAGAATGGGAGAACCTCTCTCTCTACCCCTAGTAATATATGATAGAAAGAAAGTCACCCTAACTAATTTCATGTAATTATCATATTTTTAGAACTTTGGTAAAAGTAAATAAATTCTTCTCAAAGAATTGTTACGACTGCAATAACTAAAGATTCAAGTTATGTTATGAAAACGTTCATAATCTTACTATTAAACTTGCCGTGCATAAAATATAAATTACATAAAAACGATATGACATTAAAGTACTCACTAGTGTATTTAGCAGTTAAAAAAAATCATTTCTTTATTAATAATGTCAACTGTACAGATTAGACGAAGTAATAAAGGAATGATTATTTTAAATAAATTAATTTAAGGAAATGTTCATTTAAATCGACTAAATTAAACGTGAACAATATGTAAAAAAGTAATTAAATTTATTTGACAGGCTTACACTTATAAAAATATACACTACAAAATCATAAACAAACATAAGAGAGAGAACACGGGGTACAACTGCCTGTAAGTGGAAGCGATACAGGCAACGAAAGAAATAGATGCCCGATATTTCCCTCTGTCTCTGTTTAAATAAGCTGCTTTTTAACCCCTTATATTCCCCAGCCAATCACAGAGCTCGGCTAGAAAGAGGTAGAGGGATATATATATTATTCATTTCTCTCATTGCCAATATTTCAAGATTGGGGCTTGTTCACTCTATGCTTACAACTTTTAGTAAACGAATGATTTTGAAAGATATCTAAATTACCTTGTTGACAGCAATAACAACTCATTTGTGACAGCCAGGTTTCATTGGTATTAACTTCAGTTGTACATGCAAACATGCACTATATGCAAACTACAAACTTACAAATAACTTTTGAAACAAACACACACACTCACAAACCAGCTTAACATTTTTATGTATACAGGGTGTAAGGGACGGTGTAACGAATACTGAAATAGTGTATTCAGACCATAATTCTGAGTCGAAAATCATTGGAATTTTCTGCTGGTAAATTCATCAAATCTTTTTTATAATTTTCCATTTTTGTTTAAAAAAGTATATCATTAAAAAAAAAACAAATAATAATAATAACTTTCCAAAAAAAAAAATACTGCATACAGTCAAAAACTGCAATATATTTAATCAAACAGCCGAAGCGTGCGGTGCCTTACCCCGGCCGCTAACTTGTGTTAGTATGCGTAGACTGTTTGCACGTAAACCAAATGTAGTTATTACTTTTGTGCGATACCCACGAGGAATGACCTTAACGTTTTACAGCTGATTGGATTAAACGTTTAAGATTTTCGGTACAAATTTCCAATGATTTTCGATGATACACTATTTCAGTATTCGTTACACCGTTCCTTACGTGTTATGTTTTATTTAAAGTCTAATTGCACATGAATTATTATAAAGAGTGGGACACAAGGAGTCTAGTAGGTAATCGAACTTTGGGGCCGCGGGGGAATTTGGGGACATGGTTCGATAAGTTTGAGAATCCCTGATCTATATCAATAACTAATTATGGTAATTAACTTCCGGTAGTTAGAAATATTAGAGTAGCTATATTTGAATTGCTGACCAAAATAGAAAAATGTTGGTAAAACATTCCTTTGTTAAAGTGAAAGCATCCGAATAATATTAATATTTTTCCTGCTTGATTATATGAAACTAAATATGTCATACTAATAACAATAGGAATCGAATAAAAAATTGTTTTAGGTAGAGTTATAAATAGATAGATATCTAAAACCGGGGAAAATCCAGCTTTTGCCTGAGGGGTCATTGTGTAGCCATCATTCGTAACAATTTGATTATCCATTTGGAATTGTATAAACCAGACCTAATCTAGGACCCCATGACTCCTCTAGACCTGAGAAAAATAAAGTTGCCTGTGTGTGTAACCTTATTATCCTAATATTACTAGTTAGTAATAATAATAGTTTTGGTAACTATTTTGCATTTTTTTCGCTCTTTTCGTTAATATTTGAGATAGATGATTGATAGATCTGTTCACATTCATTTCATAAAGATTTATCAAACAAAATATAACCCAATCTCATTGCATTGAAGTTGTTTTTTAAAATAACTAATTTTAATTTTGTTCGATTGTTATCTATTTAATTCATTTACTGTTCGAAACTATTATTTTCAGTATGTAGTTATGTTGGTAATCGCAACTAAACCAGCTCCTTAATTGCAGTTAATAATTCTTTATTGACTGAAATCAGGAATACAATATTTCAAATTATTTGGCTCTTGGCCCTTTGAAAGCTAGAGTTAACGGCGATGTCTATGCTAGTATAAACTGTGTGACAGACACTGGAGCCTTCCTCCGAGAAGTAAAATTATATAATTTTAGAACATGTACAAATAGTATAGTACTTTGTCAAAGTATGTTTAGAAAGAAATGGTATTAACAATATAAAAACAAAAGGTGTGTAGTTTTACACTACACACCTCCTCCTCCCTAATTGAGTAAAGATAGTTTTAATTGACGACCGAATGGCGTAGAGGTTTGTGTAACGGACTGCTATTCCAAAGGTCGCGGGTTCGATTTCCGCTCAAGTCAAACATTTGTGTGCATGAACATTTAATGTTTGCTTTGGTCTGGGTGTTTATATGTATAATAAGTATGTATTTACAAAAAAAGTATAAATGTATTTATATCAGTTATCTAGTACCCATAGTACAAGCTCTGCTTAGTTTGGGACTAGATGCCGTTGTGTGAATGTGGTACAATAATAGGTCTTTACCTATGAAATTGCCGTTTTGTATGCAATAAGTGAAAGTACTTATTCTTTCAAACTTTTTTATTTCTGTTATTCGAAGTAATTACCCATGCAATCGACGCATCTTTGCCAACGCATTGGCAGTTTATTGATGCCCTTCTTGTAAAAATCAGCTGGACGGGAGGCAACAAACTCTTCAAAGGCATTTTGTACTGCCTCTCGGGAATTGAATTTTTTACCCACTAAAAAGTTGTCTAAATTTTGGAAAAAGTAATAGTCGGTAGGTGTAAGGTTTGAAAAGTTTAAAAAAAGTTTGAAAAAATAAGTACTTTCACTTATAGCATAGAAAACGGCAATTTCATAGGTAAAGACCTAATATTATATTATTATTAATTACGCTCCTAGAACAGTCTCACTGTAGTCAATACCTGAAACGGTGGCTAATAGCCTCGCTGGTTCACTGGATACTTCTCAAATAGCTACCCATGACACGGCCGGTGTAATGACCGTTATTATCGACATCGATCCATCACTGACCTTCGGCTTACAATCGGAAAAAATATTGTTTGTCGTTCATGTACTTACACGGACGGATAATCAAGCATTCATATATTTTATTTGAATACTATTGATTCGAATTAATTGTTGCCAGTGTCGCATTATTGTAATAAAATATTTTGTTTTATTATTGTTTAACTCGGGCCTGTGTTGCCAGAATAAAATTATATATTTTTAAAATTTTGCTTATTTTTTTAGTAGGGGCGGATGTAACTAACTATAACTATAGATCTTCCTGGCGGTCGTTTTATAGTATCTAGTAGTTTTGTGTAGCCGCTTTTAACTTTACAGCACATTTTGATAACAAAAAAAACCTATCTATAATTCTTATACATTTAAACTTTTAATATTTCAAATAATATAACTTGCGAGATTTTTCCTTAAAAAGGATACTCCTTCTCAAACTGAGGATAAAAAGAGATTTCTTGTCATTCGACTAAAACAAATTTATATAGCTAATACTAAAATGTTGCATAAGTCCCGACTAAGGAAGCAAACTCTGCAGGATAACTGCATTGCAAATAGAAGGAAAACTTGAAACAAACCCTATACCAACCCGTCTAGCCAGCATGGTATAGTTAGTTTTAAACCTTTCTAACGTTAGGTTCATGTCCAACCAGTGGACTACTACATCTGCGAGTGGCTGTCTATGATGATGATGAAAGTTTTGCATACACCATATGGTTCAATTTCACATGACAGGTAACTAAGTAATGGTGGGTAAATACCATATTTTTCTGTGTACTTAAAACATCAAAGAAAATGCGAATTACGGGGAAATGCGCATTATTGAGTTCTAGTTACTTTATTATGTATGAGCAATGTCAAGGATATGTTAATTATATTGTGAAGTTGACAATTATGGGATGGACTTATAGTCCATCTAATCTAAAAGGTCCGTGTGGTGACGGATTAAGAATACAGAGTGTCACCACCCCTATTCATCCCGTGGGTGTCGTAAGAGCCGACTTAGGTAAAAACCTACGCAGAACAACAGCACTGTAGAGAGAAGGAAAACTTGACACAAACCCTATACCAACCCGTCTGGCCAGCGTGGTATAGTAGGCCAAAACCTCCTTTCTAAAGAGAGGCTTATGTCCAGTAGTGGACTATTAAAGGCTGTTGATGAATCTAAAAGGTACCAGAGGTATGCAGGATTATTCGTATTCAAGTGAATTTGAAGAGCCGCTACACTACGGTAAAGGACTAAACTACGTGACCTTTAAACTAAGCTTGAAAAAATTACATACATATCATCATCAGCCTATCGCAGTCCACTGCTGGACATAGGCCTCTCCCATTGCACGCCACTTAGATCGCCACATACATATCTTGTGTATCAATTGGTTATTTTGATTTGTTTCAAAGATTTAATTACAATTGTACATCTTGCTATAAAACAAAAATTGCGTCACAATTCCATGGTTTTAAGGAACAAATTACAGAAATTGTGTGAGTTACTACTATAGAAAGTTGTTTCGTCTTGAAAAGTATGAAACGTCAAACGGTACCTCTTAGAATAAACGGACTATAGGTACGGCAGATTGGTATCGTAGAAATTGTGTAAATGCATTTTTAATACTGTTTCTGTCTCTTTCTCTAAGATTAAGCGGAAACAAATAATAGCATTACAATTTCTGTATTTTTGAACATAGAATATACAGAAATTACAAGATGATGACCGTCTGGTTTACTAACGATTCACATCACATCAACAGCCTTTAATAGTCCAATGCTGGACATAGGCCTCTCCTTAGACAGGGGGTTTTGGCCTACTATACCAAGCTCGCCAGACATGTTGGTTTAGGGTTTATGTCAAGCTTTCCTTCTCTTTGCAGTGCTGTTGTCCTGCGTAGTTGCTCCCTTAGTTGGTGACACTGTATTCTTAATTCATCACCACATTATATCATCTTATACATATTATAATATCTTATCATTAAACTTTGTCCTTCGTCCTTTCGGTCGAAGATATGATTACTATACGGTGTATTACCTTTAGTCTAGAATATGTCTGTTTCCATTTGGATCGGATGAACGGTAAATCAACACATTAAATACTCACTATTTTTTTTTGGATTAAGATTCTTAGGAATAAATTATGCCAAAATTCGAAGAAAACTTTTAAAAACTCAAATTAATTTTTTACTTCAACGATATTTTTTAGGCATTTTTCTATGACAGATATGGTGGCTTGTATATAATGTACTCATAGAAAGTGAAGAAACTTATAAGAGTATTTTGCTTTAATGTTTATATTAAGAGCGTCGGGGCTCGATAACGACTGTTAAAAATACTCCCTCGATAGTAAAAGAATTATTGAAATAATTTTAAATAGTTTTTTTTTCGAATTTTTAATTTCTAACCAGCGGTCAGTTATCAGCCCTTTCTCAGAAAATATGGATGCGAGAAGCCCAAAATCGATCTAAGTGGCGTGCAATGGGAGAGGCCTATGTCCAGCAGTGGACTGCGATAGGCTGATGATGATGATGATGATAGCATTATTGGTTGTTTTCAAGTTAATTGATGATGAGTTTCAAATCAGCGTTCCAATAGCCGTGGGACAGCCATGCTTGGCACGAATGGGCCGGCTCGACCGGAGTGATACCACAGCCTCACAGAAAATTGTGGTGTTAAGCAATTCTTTCGTTGCCTTTCACTGAGTGAGTGAGGTTACCGTAGCCCAAATCCCCCCTCCCGCTGACTCAAGCGGGAGGGACTCCAAGAGCAGAAACGCACTTGTAACTTTTGAGTTGCAGGTGGTGACCCGTCTGCTCGTTTGCCCCCTTATACCATAAATAAAACGGGATCTCTATGTTAAAAATGACAATGCTCAAATTCGACCTAAACATAGTAATACTAAATTTCTTTATTGCCACAATATACAAATAGGTACATAGTAGTAGAAGTCTCAATAGAGGAACAGAAAATCTTAATTATAGTGTTCTACTGGTACTTAAAATATCCTGTGCTATAAGTACTAGGAACTTTCCAGTTTCACAGCTAAACTAAATAAAGCTCTACTGGTTACAATAAGAAAGTAAACCTTCTTACATTATTTAAATATTTGCGAAATTTAAATATTAAATAAGAGTTCCTGTTCAATTTTCGGTATACCTGCTGTATACGGAATGTGAGGGGATGTGTGGTGTATCTACATAATTCAGGCAATGCGTGTGTGTGTGTGTGTGTGTGCGTGTGTGTGTGTGTGTGCGTGTTCGTGTGTGTGTGTGTGTGTGTGTGTGTGTGTGTGTGTATGTGAAAAGATCCTTAAGAGTTTTTTTTTTAAATTATAACATGTAACCACACTTTTCTTTAACACGTATAAGTATATGACCATGGTATATTTAGGTCAAGATCATTGGTAGAGGAAGTCCATTGTTTAAATCGAATCGAGGGTAGGTTATGATGAGCTTTTGATCAAATATGTATCCCCTTTCACGTGACACGCGTTGGCCGTGCTATATTTGTCTTTAGGGCAGTTTTTATACTTCTTGCTTATCGATTTAGCTTTATTTTGAACTAGCCAATAAATTTTATGTGGAATTTTGTTGATTGATGTGTATTGCTGTTTTTTTTTTTTAATATTTCATTACACATTCTTTATTTAATCATAATGAAAGATCACTTGGCGGTTTGAAGAAGTAAGTAATAAACTAAACTTGTAAATACCTATGTAATTAAATGTTAAAATAGTAACATTTTCTAAAACAAACTTTTATTTGAATCCACTAAAAGACGAAACAGTCGAGACCAAACTAGATGGGTTTATCTTGTTTATCGTGTTAAGTAGTTACGGAGTGACACTCCATAACTACTTAACACCACCCCTTTTTTTTTTTTTTTTTTTGCCGTGCGGAAATCCCCTCGGATACCACCTGTCGGCAGCATGTCGGACTCGAACCGACTAAAACCGCACGCCGTCTCGGGTACTAATAGCCGGGAAACCAGGTATACCCTAGAAAGGAAGACTAACACACAAACTTGACAACTTGAAACTTGACACAAACCCTATAACAACCCGTCTGGCCAGCGTGGTATAGTAGGCCAAAACCTGATTACTAAGGAAAGGCCTATGTCCAGTTGACGATTGTGTTTAGAAGTTTCTATGGTCTTCTGCCGGCTCCATCATCAGAATAGCTCCATGGCACCATATTATTGTATCGTCACTGAAGATACATTTCTACACTAAATTTGAAGCCAATCGGACGTCGGGAAGTGATGCTAATTTAGTTTCCAAGATTCGTTAATCTATGAACATGTTTATTAGGAATATGTACATACAAACATTGCCAGATAAATAAAAGCCTTGTAAAAAGTCTTTAAGTTAATGTTAACTGTCGTCAGTTAACATTAACTTAAAGATTTTTTACGAGCGATACTTCTAAATGTCATAACAAAATGAAACCAGATGAATGATGACAATACTACAATTCGGCCTCTTGGAGTTAATTTGATAATGGAGCCTTTTTGTTGTAGACTCTTTATTGGCTGTTGTACTCATCACACAGCCCTTTTATCTTTGAGATTAGTTAATTTTCCAGTTCTTACTTAGTGATATCAAAATCTTACTCCGTGTCATTGCATTTATGGCACAAATAGTTATCTGCTATTTACTTAACGGCTCTTATCGAACAGAGGTCTAAATTGTCGTCATTACATTTGACGTATGCTGAAACATGTGAAATGTACATACAGTTGTTAAACCTACACGTCTTTGGCGTGCTTTAAAATAGTAAACATAATCTTGGATAGATTGCTAGTTGCAGTTAGGCAACCGGTGCTTGTTTGTAACAAATAATAACTATTTAATACACCTCTGCCCCAATCAGGGATTATCCGTATCCATTCAATTTTAGAAGCTCGACCCCCCCCCCCCCCTCCCCTTACTGCACCCTTACTGGAATAACAAAGATAACTGTTGAATATAGTGGAAAAGGAGCCCAGCTTTGTAGTGTTTAGCGCGACATTCGCTAAAATTTTATCAGAAAAGCAGCCTTGACAATGACACGGAGATTTTTTCTGGTAGTCAAATGAAAATTATGGTTAGGACCTGCTGAGAGTATGTGAATCAGTCAAACGGTTGCTTTTGTACTGCCGGGCAACAAATCTTATGGCGAAATAATACTTCATTGTTGAATTTTTATCATCGTTTGAACCTGGAATGGCATAAAAGAAACCTTAATAAACAGCTTTAAGGTCCCTGCTGATAATAACTTCCTCCCTACCCAGAACATTTCTATAAGAGCCGATATTATAAAGGAACTATACACTCTAAAACTATATTTACTAGAAATTA